CTCACACACTCTATATAGTAAAATATATCACGCAATTGGCTTTTAAAAAAAAAAGTAGTTGGTGAAGAGAATCTATATGGGGAGTGGAGCAGGAATAGAAACACTGCTTCTGCACACTTTTCTCTGATTTAATTCATATTAGGAAGGCTAAAGGGGAGGGAGGGAGAGAGAGAGAGAGAGAGAGAGAGAGAGAGAGAGAGAGAGAGAGAATCTGATTGTGTGTGTGCCACTTGCACTCAAGGCCAGAGACAGCCTTAGAAATAATTCAGACTGATATAAAATAACACTTAACTGACAAAATTTTATATAAATGAATGTCGTGCACCTGTGACAGCTTATTGCTATTTGTGAAGCAATTATCTAAATCTGAAGAGGGGGCTTCTGCTATAACTGCTGAAGGTTGGGGAGATGTTGTTTTTGTGTTGATTTATATTCAAATTAGCTTGCAATATTTTGAAGAAAAATTAGGAGGTTTTTTCCTGCCTGTTGTTTTTAAAACCTCAACATAGCTGTACTGTGCAGCTTTTTAAAAAATAGATTTAATGAGATTCATCCACTTTGGGGTTCAAACCCCAAAGTGAATGAATCCTTCCCCCTAACTTATTACCTACATGTATAACTGTTCTTAGCATCTCTGAGCTTTCCAGATATCTCTTAAGTCTGAAGCTAATAGTAGAGAATTTTCTTGATTTCAACACCACCTAACAGGGGCACACAGGGTTGAAGGGAAGAAGTGGAAACTGAAAGAGGAACAATCCTCTGCTACAAGCTCCTAGCTTTTCCCATTCCACGCAATTTAGAGCCCCAGATGCTGTTGGACTCCAGTTTAGCCAATAGTGCAGGATGATGGGAGCTGGAGTCCAGCAACATCCAGAGGGCTGAAGGTTCCCCAACCCTGGTTGAGATTCAACCTGACTAATTTATTCTGAGGAGTCTGACTTAGCAAGAAGGGGAAGCAGCAAAGGTTCTGGGGCCTCTGTGGGATACCCAGGTGCCAACACCTTTCCTAACTTGAATCAGATGTTGGATGCAGCAATTTGTAAGCTGAATCCCATCAAGGTGTAGCAAATGTAAAATAGATTAATGAGTGACCCTATACAGACCACTCCTTGCTCAGCTGTACGTTGCCACAAAGCTAATGCACAATCTCCAGATTTGTGCCTGTGTAGATAATCCAGGCTGAACTACTCTGTGCTTTCTAACACAACATGTCTTGTTTTCTGTATTTGTATCACACTGTCAGTTAATATGTAGGAGAAGAAAGCTACAGTGATTTCTGCATTTGCGCAGGAGCTTATGAGATTAAAGTCACTTATCTAAAAACCCTATAATTTTCCCGTTATACCAAATGCATAGTCTGGCCATAGTATTTAGTAAAAGTGTATGATCTGGATACCAAACGATTATTTTTTTTTAAAGTTGCATTAGTCTAATCAGGCTAGAACACAGCAATTCTGGTTATATGGTTTTGTTAAACTGAGTTGTCATGGTTTGTTTCATCAAAAGGGCCTGTATAACTTGTAACTGAACACACACACTTTGATACTGTTCTACTGTAGCTCTGAAGTAGAACAACTGATTTAGGCGTGTCGGAATGATGCACAATCATGCAGGAATGCACAGCAGTGAATCTGGAAGTAGCTACAAAATCTCATAAAGATGTCACAGAAAGGGGCGGGGTGGGCTCATGTGTGCTCCGCCAACACAAACGGGGGTCCTGAACACAACCCTCACGCAAAACAAGGATTGCCTATGTTCAACTTCTTATCTGTCTCATAGGAATCTGCCATGTTAGAAAGAATTCCTCCTACAATTTGTATTATAAATCTGAGCACATTCCAGTGATGGAGGTGGAAGTTAGATTATAATAGCAACATTTTTACAGAGTGCTCAAGCCAGCAGCCTAATGAATCCTAACTAAGATTTTTGAGAATTTCTATACAGATTACATTAACAGCAGTTTGCTCTACATTCTCATTCCCTTTTAACATCCCTCTGAAAAAACTGAATTTTGAGCCAGACAATGAATAATTTACCTAACCACTGAGCTGATAAGCAATTTGGTTTATGTATATGTTTTATTCATTCTACAATATCAGTCAACAATTAATACAGAAAGATGGGACAGATATCTTAATAACCCACACCCAAGAAGTCTGTTGTAATAAGTAGTAAGCTGCTGCCACCTTCTGAAGAAAACCTAAAATTACTCTCTTTATAGAAGTCCATCTGATTGTGCATAATTACATACGTATTCACAGTTAGGAAAGCTTAGTCCCTTCTCTAACCATTTGTGATGTCACAGTCTCAGATGTGAAAACTCTCAGGCAACCACCATTGGGAGACCGAGTGAGCCTGGCAGAAGTGGGTATTAAGGGGTTTTGAGGTGCTACTTTAATCAGGAAATGAATTTCCAAGAATTTTCAAATATTATTTTGTTGATCAGATCAAGCCCTACTCTGCCCCTAACTCAGAAATCACTCAGAACGCACACAGTCCGAGTTCTCTCTCTCTCTCTCATACACATACACATACACATACACACACACACACACACACAAAGAAAACTATGTTACAACAACAGCATTGAAAAAAGAATGAGTTCATATCTTACAGGAACACCATCTTCCATGCAGAGGCTAAGAAGGTACTTAGGAAGGTACCTAGGCTCCCTTGCACCCTTGGGAAGGAGCTGTATCAGCACCTCCAAAGCCAGGAGAGACCATGGAGCAGAAACTCAAAAAGTTTGCTTTTCATTGCCTTTCATTCTCTGCCAATGACCCGCCGCAGCCATCAGGGTCAGATCTGCTCTGCTACATCTCCCCTCCTCCTCCTCCACTGGTCTATCTGTCTGAGTGCATGGACAGGCAGGCAGGCTCCTAGACACTCCAAGCCAGAGTGGAGAGGAATGATTTTTGCACCCTCTGCCCCTGCTCCCTCGGTGGGGCCTCACCTGGCCAATCCCTAGGTACATCCCTGCTCCCATGCTTGTCTGAAAGCAAAAGGCTGCAGCCCAATAGATCGGTTGCAAGCCTCTTGGGCACTCACATCTTCAAAGCAGGGCAACTTCTATCCCCACCCTGACTTCCATGCGTTGAATGCCAAGTCAGGAAAGGATGCTATAGGTGGCAAGGAAAAGGGAATCTTGTTAGTCTACCAATCTACCAAGAGCACTCATTCATAGGTACAGAAAGCATTTACATAGTAAAAGCATCCCAGCACTAACTATCTGTTATCTTATTTTATTGCAGCCTGTGAACAAACTATTGGATACCAAACCAATAAACACTAGGATGATTCTTCAACATCAACTTCATTGCACTGGTCATGGTGTTCAGATGCCTGATTATATCGTCTTCCAAAGCAACTACTCTATTCCCAACTTAAGAATGGAAAGTGAAATACTGGTGGACAACAAAAGAGGTTTAAAGATGCTCTCAAGGCAAATCTTTAAAAATGTCATATAAGCCCTGATAACTGGGAAATACTGGCCTGTGAGCGCGCCAGCTGGAGAACAACCTTTACCACAGGTGTCATGGACTTTAAAGCAGCACGAACTCAGGGCTAAAAGGAGAAACAAGCACATTTGGCAAACCCTCACCATGATCAACTCCCTCCCAGAAACCTATGTCCCCACTGTGGAAGGACATGTGTGTCCAGAATTGGCCTTCACAGTCACTTACAGACTCACTGTTAAGACTATGTTCATGGAAGACAATCTTACTTGGCTACGAGTGATTGCTAAAGCAGATCTTCTCTGTGTTCTTTGCTGTAACTATTGTCAAGTACTGCAGGGGGAAAAGAGCAAGATGGGCATTTGGCTTCTTGATAGATTATTTTGAACTACAGTAAATGGAAGAGATGCACAAAAGGAAAGAAGCACTGATGGCTGCCTTCAGAGGTTTATTGCTCTGTATCATTCAGAAATGTTTTTAAATTGCTTCATCTGGGGTGCTTGTTTAGTCTAATAAACTTCTACCACATATATAAATTCAGATACTGTTTTCCCTCTTCTAAGAGAAGCATGGACTAACTCAGATAAAAGTTTTTTTTTTAAATGCCAACTCACAATAATAGACATTTCAAAATTTACTTAGTTGAGCGTTCCACTACATTATAAAAGGAGTTAACTCTTCATGCAGAGTGAATGAATAAGGCCATCCATTCCATTCTCTCCATCCATTCCATTCTCTCCACTGGCATTTCCATTCTCTTCTTACCTAGGGATCCTGCTTGCAGACTTGAGTCCCATAACTCTAACTATCTCATCCTCAGTTACAGATGACCAGGAGTACAACACAGGGCGAGTATTAATACAGCTGGCGGTGAATTAATTATGTAGTGAGGAATTTCTTCCTATAATTTAAAGCCAAGGGGGGGAGGACAGAGGGGAGCAGCTGCCCCCCCCAGATCAAGTAAAACAATAGAAATACTTAACTAACTGACCAATCACGTTGGTTCTGCGCCCCTTAACAAAGTCCTGCCCCCCTAACAAAAATCCTGGCTACACCCATGAGCCCATTGATTCCATTTGTTGCAAGAGGTGTTTATAGGTGTTCTGTCCTATGTTTACATTGTGTTCTGTTCTACCCTTAGCATCTGTGGATGCAAGGTTGGTTAAACAGAAAATTAATAAATCAAATACCGCTTAATGCAGTTTTGGAAGGTTTTTGGAGACTCAGTTTGTTCTCCTTTGGAAGCATGCCAGCTTGTTGCGTGCACCAAGCCCCGATCCATTTGGAACCGGGCAGATTAAGCACCAAAGCGCATGATTCGCGAGCAGCCAATCCCACTTGCCGTTTATACCCGGCCGGCTCTCGCGCATAAGCAGACCCGCATCTCCAAACAATCCCGCCTTCGGACGTGAAACATACGGCGTAGCGGAGAAAGAGGGAGCCGGGATCGACGGTCGCTGGGCGGAGCTTTCCTCGGGTGGCCCTCCGCCTTCCGCAAGCGGGCGGAGGCTCGGAGGAGGCGGCGCCAAAGTGCGCCTCGGAGCTGTCCAGCGCTCGGTGGTGCTGATCGGAGCCGGGCTGTTCCCTCCGCGTCCCCGGCTGGCGCGGGGAGGGGCCACCATGGGGCGCCCTTCGCCGCCGCCTCCTCCGCCGCCTCCTGGGCGGCTCTGGTAGCGGCGGGGCTCTCCGCCTGCCCACCCAGCGTCCCCTCGGCTCTCTCCCTGGCCGGCCTCGCTGCGGCCCTCTCGGAGCCATGGCTGCGCAGGTGCCCGGCCCGACGGGCCTGCCTCTCTTCCTCTCGCTGCTGCTCTTGCCGCTGCCGGGGTGGGCGTCGGGGCAGCTCCGGTCGCCGGCGGCGGCGTCCGGGGTCGAGTCGCTGCTGGAGGAGTTCCGCCGCCAGCTGCTGCAGCAGGAGCCCCCGGGCGGCGGCGACGGAGGCAACGAGCTGGCGGAGATGGCAGCAGGCCGCTGCCGCGGGGGGAATGGCGGGCCGTCGGGCTTCTTCTCGGCCAGGCCCGACACCATCATCCGCACCAAGGACTCCATCGCGGCGGGAGCCACCTTCCTCGACTCGCCGGGGTCGGTGGCGGGGCCCAGGCAGTGCCTGGACGCCTGCTGCGCCGAAGCCCGTTGCACCCTTGCCGTCGTGCAGCAGCCGCAGCAGTCGCCCGCCGCGCTACGCTGCTACCTCTTCAACTGCACCTACCGCGGCCGCGCCGTCTGCCTCTTCTCCCCGCAGCGCGGCTACAGCAGCTACGGCCTGGAGCCCAGCAGCCGCCCGTCCGCCCCGGGTAAGAAGGGGCCTTCAGTCCGAGGCAGCCGCCTTGGGGACGAGGCGCTTTTCGGGGGCCCGGGAGGCTCTTGGAAACGGAGCGGTTTAAGGCCTGGAACTGAGCCATGGCTGATGGTGCTCACCTTAGACTTGTACCAGGGAGGAAATGGCAGTCGCTACAGGGTGGCCTTGTTTACATACTAGAGCTTCTGTCGGCGGCGGAGACGAAGGGGCCGGTTGGGGCGGGAAGCAGAAAGAGGGCAGCTCTTTCTCCTATGGTGACCCCATAGATGGAGTGAGATGAATCTTTGTACAGTATATATTATGTAGGCACCCACTGTGCTTCAGGCAGGCAGAGTGCATCTTTGTGCCATACCCTTTTTCTGCCTGGGCCCCCTTAATTGATTGATTGATTGATCATTTATGTATTTAGTATACCACCCTTCACCTGCAGATCACAGGGTGGTTCACAACATCGTGTCCCTGTTACAGGCCCATGTAGTGGGGAGCAAGATGGTGGGCTTCTCCTTTTTTTATTTCCGTCTCAGCCCAACCTCTGCTCTTGTTCGAAAAGTATACATAAAGCTGACAAAGTGGCAAAAGTGTCGCTCACTTCTCCTCTCCTCTCTCAATTCTGTGGGTGATATCCAACTGAGGGGTAAGCAACATGACATCCTCTGGATGTTGCTGGACTACAACTCCCATCACTCGTGCTGGCTGGGGTTGATGAATCTAACAACATCTAGTGGGCACCACCTTGGCTACCCCTGAACTAACATACAGTGGTACCTAGGGTTAAGTACTTAATTCGTTCTGGAGGTCCGTTCTTAACCTGAAACTGTTCTTAACCTGAAGCACCACTTTAGCTAATGGGGCCTCCTGCTGCTGCTGCGCCGCCGGAGCATGATTTCTGTTCTCATCCTGAAGCAAAGTTCTTAACCTGAAGCACTATTTCTGGGTTAGCGGAGTCTGTAACCTGAAGCGTAGGTAACCTGAAGCGTAGGTAACCCAAAGTACCACTGTATATTTAGAGGAGACCCATTGAGATAAGTGTCCTTGGATTTCACTGGGTCTGCTCCAAGTAGGATTTAGGTCAACATCACTCTCTGGGTGGTATTCAACTAAGTTTTACTCAGAGTGGACCTGTTGAAATTAAGGAGCCTACCTTAGTCATATTCATTCATTTCAGTGGGTCTACTCAGAGTAAAACTTAGTTGAATACCACCCAGTGTATTGTTAAGGTCCTTCATGAACACACAAAGGCATGCATGAATTTCCTTCCACAACACGTAGCCGCAGTGCTTTTGCATTGGTGTCAAGCAGCTCCCAGTCAAAGACTCTCTGCCCACTCAGGTGGGGATGACACAGTGTCTGTGTCATTGGCGGCAGCCCTTACAGAAGCATGACTCACTTGCTTCTCCGCAAGGCACTTCCATGTAGAAATTAACACATTATAAACACACCAGTCATGATGTGCAGACACTGAGGATCTGCAGTGAATCACTGCTTTATATGTAGGAACATTGCTCATGCAGAATCTTCAAATGTTACAATCTTTGTCTGGACAATTTGTCAATTTCTACACATAGAAATTCTGTGATGAGTGAAGTGGCATGAGCACGCAAGTCTGGCAGTTCCAAACATGCAAATGCATGCAGCTTTGGGCATTTGGGGAAGGGCACTTTCCTACCTTCATTTTCAGAGCACAAGAAGGTTATTGCAACTCATTTTGCATTACTTACAGAAGATATTTGCTCTCTTACAAGTAAATGGAAGGTTGCAGTTTAAGCATGCTAGTGCTGAGAAGACAAGGATGCCTTGATTATGAGCAGAGTGTTTTTTTCATAAGACTGGCGTGAACCACAGCCAGTTTTCAGACGTATGAGTCAAGGTCTTTAAGTTCTAGAGAAAAATGTGAGTACTCTCAGGCAAGCTATCTCTTTTCTTTCTTTTTAATTTGGTAAAAAGCAGGGAGAGAAACATGCCTGGACTGAGAGGTCCATGCCTCTGCTTCTATTCTTCAACAAGTTTATTGCATTCGCTAGCAGAGAGAGCTAGTGAATGGAAAAGAGAAGTGAACTGCTGCAGCAACAACCGCACCTCTGCTCAGACTGGCAAGGGACCAGCACCAAGTGACTTCTATGTTTGTCCATTAAAGAGTGAGGATTTTCACCCCTTGGGAGGCTGTGGCAGCAGCTTCCCCAGAGAAAGGGGCATTGAGAGCCCTCAAAAGTTCCATAAAGGCTGCATGAAAACTGAGTAGGATCTCTGTGTGGCCTTCTCAGTCCTCTCCTTCCAGTCCAATGAGTATGCCTGCCTCCCTTCTCTTTCCCATCTCACAGTGCTGTGCCTTCACCATCCAGGTGTGTTTCTGTGAAGGCACTTGTGTGCCAGAAGAGAACTCAAAACTTGCCAGGGATGTGTGCTCTCTTTTCTTTTAGTAACCGGATTGCTTTTCTTTTATTTAGAAGCTGATGAGCCTCCTCTCAGCAAGGCAGGGAAAGACATTATGCTTCAGTTGCCCATTAACTGGGTGATTCTAGATGGCCGAGAAAGTAGAGATGACCATGGAATCATACAGTATGAGTGGAGACTGCTTCAAGGTGCCCCTTCAGTTGATATGAAGGTACCTATAACTTTGTAGTGCAAGTTAATTATTTGCTAAATTTGGTCCTGGTATTGTGAAAATAACAATGTGAACTTTTCAGAGTGCAATCAGATAAAATCCATACTGAGATGTTTTGGAGACTGTAGACTGTTTAGTTGATATTCATTTCTCAAAGCTGGTATTTGTCAGGAAATTGGGTTTCTACACATATACATATACTGTATGTATATATTACAAATATATTACGAATATGGGCATTAAGCCTTAAAAGAACATGCCTTGCAAACATTCCTTCCTCATATTATGCATAAGGGAATGAATATGTGCTTACTATTATCATATATGGAATCCTGCTGTTTGGGTTTATTATTTAGCCCTGCAGTTGGCATGAAATCTTCATTCAAAAGGAAGAAGTTGAAATGGGTTGATCACCTTTCTGTTTATTTTTTGATATTACTCTTAGGATACCACTGCACTTCTTATGGTCAAATATTTATTTTCTGGGCCTGTGCTCTTTGCTACCAAAAGAGCACTGGTCCAATATGCTGATGCTTTACTGTGTTTTTACACTACCACTACTCACTGTTTCCAAGTCTCTCTTTCTCTATATATTCTTATCAGCTGCTTGGCAGACTTTCAGGTCTATGCTTGTGTCAAAGCATGGATGCTGGCTTCATTCAGTAGCATTCTGCGGGCTTTTGACTGTGTTACTATAAAATAGCAAGGGTGTGAGGAGGAGGACTTGGTCAATTAATGCCTTGGTTTCTTTGGGACAGGTACCACAACCTGGAACTCTGAAGCTCTCTCATTTGCAAGAAGGGAAATACATGCTGGAGCTGACCGTGACAGACACGGCTGGCCAAAGAAGCTCAGATAATGTCTCAGTGACCGTACTTCCAGTGGGTCACTCCATGTTAGGTGAGAAAACGGTTGAAATAATATTTTTGCAACCATATGGTATCTGTCAAGCACTGTGAACTGAAGAAGAGAATGAGAAGTCTCATCGCACAAGCAAACTTACACTTGTGCAATGTTGATATTGCCCATAATTATGAAATTGACAGAGCTTACTCTCTAATGATGAGGGGAGAAAGGGTGTGCCATTAAGAGCTATCGTAATGCTTTTGTTTATTATGTATTATGTTGTTGCTGCTATCATTATCATTATTTCATTTATATGCCACAATGCCAAAGTAGGCTTGTAAGTGGCTTTAGAATTTATTTATTTATTTATTTAGTTAGTTAGTTAGTTAGTTATTTATTAAACCATTTTTGGTGAAGGGCGGTATAATAATCTCATAATGTATAGTTTCTGTAACTCCCATTCCAGCATTTCCAGTTTTAAACAACTCAGTTTAGTGGTTCTCTTTTCATGTAACTTGAGAGTTGGTTTGTTACAGGATGTTTTGGGGTATGTTCGCGCTACCAGTTCCTCTGTGATGATGGTTGCTGCATTGATATCACCTATGCCTGTGATGGAGAAGAGCAGTGTCTGGATGGGTCTGATGAAGCTTTTTGTCAGAAATGTGAGTAAACAGCACATTGAGTTTACACGCATCTTTTACTTATGTACCTTCAAACGGACATTCTTCCTCTACAGCCTTGCAGAGGAAAAATATCTGTTGACAGGAGGGGTTTGAATTCAAACCACACCTGCAGATGGGAAATTTCAATGGGGCTTGCTCTCACCAGCAATCTCCTGATCAGCATTGCAAGTGAGCTCCTTTGAAAGTGCATTCTCAGTGTCAGTCATCTGATTATTTGAGTGTTTAAACAACACACACACACACACACACCATAAAGACAATGTCTGTGTTTTAATTTATTCAGTTACTTCAGGACAAAAGACAATAACTCACCCAGCCACTAGCTTCATCCAGCAAAACAGCATTGGACAAACTAACGATGTCAACAAGGAACTTGCATTTGAAATCACCCAGAAAACTACTGTAAGCAATCAAGCATCTGATGCAGACAAGATCAACAAATCATCCTCTCAGGGACCAAAGAAACAAATTACTGGGTTAATGCCAGGTATAATGAATATACCTTAAATATCTCTGACATTAGCACACTGCAAGTTTGATGTCATGTTTTGCAGCATTAGTATAGTTCTCAGCATGCCTCTTCCTAAGCACATATAACCAATACAGGCAATACTATGTTGCTAAGCACCTGTACTTGCAAGACTAACTTGGACAAAAATAAAGACCACCCTCCGGTGCAGAATTAATTACACTTAAGCCCATTGATCTCAATTAAATTTGAAGAAAATGTTGCATGTTCTGAGCCTGATCATAGAAGCACTGTTTTCCCTCCCACGCACATCTCTGATTATGGAAGTATTTATCATTGTGTATTCTATGAGTAAGAAAGTGTTCTCACCCTGGTTAATTCTGGTAGCTCTTACTGTCATGTGCAAATTTAGAGCTGTATTCCGCATTTCTGAATTATCAAACATCATAGTGTTGCGCAAGATTCAGAGTGGCAGGGTCTACGTAGAAAGTCTTCCTTGGCTGGTGTAACATGATTCACCTTCATCTTGGACACGGGAAAGGTTGTCAGAATGACCCTGAGCCTATACTTCTTACCATTTTGCTGCATATTCCAATACACATTTCACCCAGCATCTGGCTCTAATAGGTGCCATATGGTCTCTGTAGCCGATTACCTTTGCGTGCAAATTACTCTTTTGCCTTTTCTGCCTGTGATTCAATTAATAACGTGAGATGGACACAGTTCTAGCCACTGATGCGGAAAGAGCAGAAGTAGTCAGGCATATTAAAGCAAAAACAAAATCCATCAGTTTCGTAGTTAAGAAACTGAAGTGTTATAAAATAGTGACAACCATTAAATCACATACTTAATGCACTAAGTACCAAACTTTAGAAAAGCTAAATCCTGGCTTATTTTTAGATGTTTTAGAAGACATAATGTTTATAGTTTCTTTTTCCTGCTTTAATCGCAGAGCTGTGCTTGGTGCCTCCTGCCGCTGGCCCCTGCAATGGCCATTTCCCTCGCTGGCATTTTGATGCTTTTTCTGGCACTTGCATACATTTCGTCTATGGCGGCTGCAAAGGCAATGAAAACAACTTCCTTCAAGAATCAGACTGCCTTGCTGAATGTGTAAAAGCTCATGGTAATAATCAGTCACTTTTTTTAGAAGAGGGGAATATTGCAGTACAATATAGCTGCAGAATCTCTTGGTTTTTTAGCTCAGAATAAGCCCCTTGAAATCCCGGGAGCTGCTTGAATAATCCTCTTATTAGATGACAGGAAATTTGCAGTGGCAGCCAGGAACAATACTAATGCATCTGCAGCCTGTTAAGAGATGCCGAAGAGGAGCCCCTATGCTTCTGCTTGATGACAGCACTCTATGTGCTGTAGTTACTGGAAAAAACATAGAAGGAAGGGCAGACTGTAAAGCAAATGATTTGTTATGTATATGGAATATGACTTATAGCTATATATCCTGCTCCATATTTACAGACTCTAAAACCTCAGGGAAAGACACAGATTATAAAAATGAAAATAACATTGTGGTGTTAAAGGGCACTCCCATCGAAAAGAGCCATCCGGTTCCAGAAGCAGGTAATTACAATGCTGTATTTTTAAACTAACCCTCAGAGAGTTAGGTGTCACTGAACGTTTTAATTCCCATTAATGTGCAGAGTGGGACTGATTAGAAACAAAACAAAATGCCTTAACGATACAAGCTTAACAACTTGCATCATCAATTAATCACAAACTACAGGAATAACATCCCTGCATGATGGTTATCTCCTGGATTGGGTCAGCATGTCCATGTACCCCTGCCTAAGCTTCCTTTGCTTCTTGCATTTGCTGTTGTAGCTAGTCTGACATGGGTGGCACTGTGGTCTAAAACACTGAGCCCCTCGGGCTTGCCAGTCAGAAGATCGGCGGTTCAAAAACTCAGCATGATCCTGACATAATATATGAGAGCTAGGTTTATAGTATCATCCCTATGACATGTAGGTTAGCACAAAGTATTCTTACAGCAGTTGACAAGTGATGGTGTGCACTTCTTTTCTGACAAAGATTTGTTTAAGGAAAAGGCCATCTATTCAGTTTCCTAGGCAGAACAAGCTGGACCTTACAGAGAAACTTTTTAAATCACAAAAGCAATGGTGGGCTTATTTCCTGGTAATGACCCCTGTGTGAGGGTGCATACAGACTTACATAATTTTTGCACAACCACGCTGCAGAAGCATATGCGCTGCATTTTAGACACACAGTCTTCTCTCTCCTATTGACCTCAGGGAAAACCTGTTCTTCCAGTTTGCAGCAAATGCCAGCTTTGCACAGCTCTCATGGGTACTGTGTCCATGCCAAAGCCTGCAAGGTTATCCAGTATGCAAAAAGCGTAAAGCAAGTGTTACTATTATAAGAAAAAAGGGGCAGATTGATCAGCTAAACATGCAGGATGCTCAGAATGGGGAGGAACACAGGGGGAGATCAGCCTTCAGCTTGGAGGTTGTGTGCTCCTATTTTTCAGAGTGAAGGCAAGGAGAGAGAAATCTGCTGCACTGTTTTCCTATTTGCAGGTACAGCTGTTTGCAGCGTTGATAGCCCTAAGCACTAAATTTCATGTGACCACATTTCTTTCCTAGACGTAGAGGATCCAATTTTCATCATCAGATATACAGTCAAAATTCTGCTGTAACTTGCAGCCATGGCAAATAAAAAAGAAATGTGTTGAAAACTGGCCTAAGCTTTATCTAGGTGCATGCTCAGACAGTAAAACAGTGCTCTGTTTATCAAAGTGACATAGGCAACCATCTGGTAATATTGCTACAAAGTCTCAATGGCAAGGTGGTTTTAAAACAGTTTCACTAGGCAAAAGTTACGTTTTTGTGCCCAAGGGGAGAAAAGCACTGTTACAATTCCTAGTAGCTGCCTGGCTCTTCAAAGGCACCTTTCCCTTAAACCCCAGCACTGAGCAGCATACCTGCAAGGCACTCTTGCAAAACTTGGAATTGTTTTACTGGAGACCAAGCATTCTCTGTTAACTTTTTAAGAAAATCCTTTTCTAGTAATTGGGACAGCAACCGGTGTTGAATGTTTTAAGTGGGTTGACATTAGGGATGGAAGATAATTTGGTTCATTCCACATTTTAATGCAAACCTACGTATTTTGCAGTTCCCAAAGCAACACACAAACCACAAGACAGCTGTCCTTTGAAATTCACACTTTTCCAAATTTTGTGGTGCATCTCTTCAACCCAAAACTATGTATATTAGGGGAAAGTGTGTAAAACCAAAAATGATAGTTAGGAAAAATAAGGTACAAAAATATTAGGGGGGAAATCACTGGGGGGGGGGAATGTATATTCAGCAAAATGGCATACAAAAATGTATGTATTAGAAGAAATATACACTAACATGCTGGTGAATTATTATTATTATTATTATTATTATTATTATTATTATTAATTTGGCTTTATATAGCACATTCTTGATTAGTTCCGGTGTTAACATTGTTTAACTGCTTCTTTCTTTCCCTTTTAAAGGTGCTGTCCTCCCTTTGGCTCTTGGGCTGGCCATCACAGCTATGCTGCTGCTCATGGTAGCTTGCCGACTTCGGTTAGTGAGACAGAAACTTAAGAAAGCTCGGCCGCTGATGTCTGAGGAATCCGATTACCTCATAAATGGGATGTATCTCTAAAGCAGGGTTCAGGTGACTTCCCTTTCCTTGAGCTTTCCTCAAAAAAAGTGTGCCTCTTGCATCTTACACTTTCCTTTTTTAAAAAAAAAAGTAAAAACTCATGTTTAAAGAAAAAACGCAGCAGCCACCTTCTAAAAGATTCTTTCTAATATCAGTGGTAGAGATGTTTGTAGCTGCACCAGCAGACAGACCGGCTTCCCTCTGCCAGAGCTCTAGGACTATCTTGTGCTTGCCAATAAGGCAAATTCCATCTTACTGGGTTGTGTATCGGTTCAGTCCCATGAAAATACTGCCATAACTAAGGTTAGCTCTGCGATGGATTAAATGCCATGTTCTCCAGGAACTGCCCTCTCCTTGTAATCCATAATACTCACTCAGTTCTTTTTTGCAAAGAAGCATCAGGCAGTGTTACAGCACCACTTTGAATATTGGCTGATGATCCACATTGCTGATGATCCACATTGCTGCACCACTCCCATGTCCCAAGGGATGGCACAGGCCAGGGCATGGAAAAATACAGCAGTCATATAAGATCCTAGACACATCTATTTCCTGTTGTGTTGGCTCTCTGCATCTGGCCTTAGGTGAGAAATTAGATTCCTTTGACATAAATGATCTTTCTTTAGCTTCCTTTTACAGAAAGGATATTTATTTGCTAATTTAAAACCAGTATTTTATTTTATTTTTAAATAACATGGCACTATTATCACTTCAAGATTGGTTCAAATAGAAGCATATTTTTCTACTCATCTAATTGCCTGGGGTTGCTTCTCACTTGTCACAGGCATGGGATTATTTACAAGCCACCCTGTTAAAGTGCAGAGTTTCCCAAGGTGAAACATTAGGCTCGGTCTAGACAGGCAGCAAAACGAAGTACTTGGATCTTAAAGTGGTATGAGTGGTTTGTATCACTTCAGACAGTGGAAAAGGGAAGAGAGATGTTTTAGTGTTCCGTTACACAAAAACAAACCTAGCAGCACAAGCAGAAGGACCGTAGGGGAGACTGCCCTCTGCTATGATACATTTCTAAACACAGTGAGGATTCCCACCCTTCAAGCAATCTCTTTATCATGGGCAATGAGCAGCATTATCCCCTGCTTTAAACTGAAGATCAAAAAGATAATAGCATCCTCAGCAGTCTGAAGTTGTACACTCTATGCTAATAGCTCAGGACTCTGCCACCTCATTGTGCTACAGATATGGACTAGGCCTTATGTTTAGCAACACATCCCATTGCTGCTATTGATACAACGCTGCCTGCTTTCATGGAGCTTGAAAGATTCTTGCTAATTGGACCCTCACAGCGAAGTTAAAGTTTCAGTAGCTGCATCAATTTTAAAGCTCATCCCGTCGTCTGATGACTTCAATGTATGACTGAATTGTCGGAAGTGTTCGTTATGCAGTAAAGTTTGTAGTCTGTGTTATCAGCCTTTGTGTGTGAACCCTCCTCTTTATCCATCTGTGCAAAGAAGTTCCCATCCGAGGACCCAGGTACAAATCAATGCAGAAAAGGCACGCAATGATTCTGTATGTCTCTCTTATTCTAACGAACTTACAACTTTGAATCCTACCCCAGACCTCCACATTGCCAATGTCCCAACCTGATAATGTAAAGTAAGAGATAATAAACCTATTTTATTCTTAATACCTTGCAAAATACTTGTTTTCCTTTCAATAACTATGTAAACAAAAATCTATGTTAGCAGGGTTCTGTGTTGTTGCAAAACAGTGGAACCATAGAAACAATTCTAGAACCATAGAATTACAGAGTTGGAAGGGACCACACAGGTAATCTAGTCTGTGATAGCTGCACATGCATTCCTTTTACATTTCTGCCCTATTATAATATGAAGTTGTGTCTTAAACAATAAAAGGAGCCAGTGTCAGAGCTGAGAACAGAAGAAAGGTTCTGGAGAAACCGACTAAGGGGAAGAGAGGTAGCCAGGGCTGTTTTTATTCTTAGCATATAATTGATCTCCTGCATTTCATTAGCTCAGCCCCTCATCCAGTTTCTGCTTTATGTGCAAACTGGCCAGACACACGAAAGATGGCCTCATCATGCCTAGCTGGGTTCTAAAACCTACTGCCTGGGGCTGGGCTTCACTGCTGAACATGCGGTTCTCAAAGGACACTTGCACCCAAAATGATCTCTTCACATAGCAAATTAGCATATGAAGCTGAGGCTAGAAACCTTCTCCTTGACAGCCAGTTTGCCAATTACCACTTTGCTAAGAAGCAGGCCTCTGTGGAGTTTGAAAGCAGCAGGTCTGCTGCTGTTACCAGCTGCTTTGCATTATTAACTGATTAAAAAGAGAAACATTTGTGTTAAGGCTTTGCTGTTAGTTCTCTAACCAATAGTCCCATGTACAAATTACTTGTTTGTCACAAAATTATGGTGAATGTTACGTGACTTTTAACAGTAAATTGACAGTACTTTCAGGTATGTGGCGTTAATGTATACTTTTGCACCTGCTTCTCAAATGTGTTGTGAACCTTCTACTTTGAGAAATCATGTGACCCAGGGTGGAAGTGCTGCTGTTAAGGAAAAGCCCCACTACATGCTAATGTAGCTGCACACTGCTTTGCTCCATCATCTTTGATTGCCTTTCCTTGCTTATCAGTTTGGAGTTACAACCTCATTTTTTTGTCCAAATGCTAAGCTTTACAAATAATTGTTATAATTTTTCACAGTGGCAGGGCTGTAACTAGTGGACTTAGTATTGGCAGTGCTATTACGAATGTGTTTTCCCCTTCTTTGCATTATTTTCACTGCAGATCCATTTTAACAAGAAACTCCTGCTCTATGAAGCTACCAATTCTGTCCCTTCTTAATCTTACAATTATCTACAAAGCTAAAGGCCACAATCCACAGAATCCTTTAAGGGCAGGTACAGAGAATATGGGGCCCTCTTGATTCCATTGGGACTCCAGCTCCCATCAGCCTCAACCAGCCAGTGCTTTCATCAATGCAAAGACTTCTGATTACAGTGGAACTTATTCTCTTCTCCTCCCAGTGTACCTGTTCTGAGGTTTCCCCCACCCGAAACCTCCAGAGCAGATTTGGGAAGAGGGGCACAAGCAGTGGGGAAGGAAGTCCTTCAACTTCTTGCATTTACGGAACTGCTTAACTGGATATCACCCATGTTTCCTCTTTCCTGCTTTAGGATGTGACCCATGGCTGTATTTTGAGTCACTTCACATATCTTTTGGAAGCAAGGTAGGACATTTGTATTCAAGCTGGCTTTTGCTGGCCAGGAATGCAGCACGATGAAAGTTTAATAATTTAACTGAGGTAATGATTAACCTTATTGCCTGGCCCAAACTGTTAGGCTAAATCTAAATAAATGAGTAAAAATATAGCTGGGGATCATTGGGGTTGGGGGAGAGATGAGTTAAATCTACCCTGCCATGCCCATAGCCTCATTCTCATTTACTTAACTGAAGACATAAAACCTAGGACGGACTAGCTAGCATTGTACAAGGCAGTCCTTTTCTACTGCTGTGAACTTATTTCTCCAAACTAAGAGGCAGCGCAAAAGAGCACTTTATGGTTTAAATACTCACCTTAATTTTTCTTTCTTAAAACATTTCTCATTGTTTCAGTGCTTCTCAAGTTCTGTTTGCTCCTGTCAGGCCTACCAGCCTTTTGCTAGGCAAGCTGTAGCATAATCATTTTTGCAAACATTCTAAAAACAATGGAGCCATTACATATTGCATGCATTTTATGAAGAAAAATAAATGAGGCCCTTTGCAGCATTTGTAAACGTGCTTGAACAACTAAAAGATGTTCAACAGGGCTACTGGAACTGGTGATTTATTCATCACCACGTAACAACAATGCCTGCAAAGACAATCATGCCAGTGTTCTCCATTCCCCTAAACCTCTGTTTGCATAATGATTTGTATTGTCTGGAAAATAAGCTAACTCTCTATTTGCCTTTAAAAGTATCTGACAAGCAACAGCAAATATATTGATCCTCACAATGTGCTTCTGTAATGCTCAAATCTTTGGGATCTCTTCTCTCATCCTGTTCCTGTATTAGCTATGCTTTTCAAAAGGTCATATTGATCAGTGCTATTTTTCTAGAAAAAGAGGCGCTGGAACTCACCATGAACACCTCCCTTGTTCCCTTAGAATGGCAATGGTGCCCACCTGACGGGTGCCAGAACTGAGTTCCAGTGAGTTCCAGCTGAAAAAAAGCCCTGGTCTTGATACTGATGATTTATCACAATTAGAATAAAGCAGTTAAAACAGTAAAACAATTACTACACATTGCTGCTTTCATTGAAATTTATAGATTACATGTCTTTGGGTTTAATGGAGCTTATTCTGCGGTTAAGTGAATATAGGATTGCCACCTAGGCTTTGGTTTAGGGTTGGCATAGGGGGAAAGCATGGTTATTGTGTCTTTAATAGCTGCGTGGCAGGCAGAAGAGTTCAACAGGTTAAATATTTTCTAGTATGGAAATAATATGAAGGGAAAAGCTTTACCTAGTCACATTCTGTGTGCCTTTTATTATTTTTATGGACACCTATTTATTTTTTGAGCACTCCACCTACAAAAAGGACACAAATTTGCACGTGACACAAATCATATGCAAATTCTGTGCAGATTTATGCCCTATCTTTGAAACATCAGGGATTATGTACACTAACTGATAGGTAGCAACAGCTGCACACAAAACCACACCCTTCTGTTACAATAAGCACTCAAGGCGTGTTGCTTTTTTTAAAAAAGCAAGCGTCTCCTTGCAGGTACAACAGGAGAAAGTGAACATGTGTTTCAAAAACAACATAAGGATCACACGAGAACTTTCACACTTCTGAAAATTAGCTGTTGGTAAAAGTCTTTTCTAATGTTTAGCAAATGGGTCAACTACCCAGACACTTTCCCATTAAAAATAGCACTTGCAAACCCTTTTTGTTTTGAATTTTATTTGGCAAAGCAGCATTGCATAAACTGTTCAATGATTAGGACATAGCTTACACAGTATTTGTTATACAGTTTTAAATTCAGGTACATCAAATTTGCAAACAATACTCTACTATAAACCTCTAAGTTATTCTACAAGTAAAAGGGAGAAAACTATGTCAGTTATGTCCATCTTGAACAGCAGTGTATTCAACAAGAGCTGTCACTTCTGATGTCTTGAAGTTTATATACACGATATCTGATTTTTAAAGGGAAGAAAGCAGCTGATTGTATATACTACATGCTAGTCTATGACACCACGCTGAAAGCTTTGAAGAACTTCATCTCATTTTAGTAGCATCTAGAAGACAGCTGAACACAGGAACCATATAGTGTGCATGTAGTGTCAGAAAGTGCAGATAAGCGGTTTGATGGACGAACACTGGAGCTGAAAGAAGTGTTCAGAACGTTTCCCAATCCAAAATAAAGAAGATAACAAATTGCAGGTCTGTCTGGCTTTCTGCAGACATATTTCACTTCTTTAAACAGGTGAAAATAAGGGCATGTTGAAAAGAAACATTTGCCCAAATTTAAACTTTCCATCAGTTCATTATCAAACTTGCATTAACTTCTACAAAATAAAAAACACCACACTTTTCCATGCTGATAACAGTGTAACAAAGTCCAAAACAAGCTGCAATGCTGTTGGTTTTGAAAAGCTTTTAAGAATTGGAGATGAGCAGTCCACTGTTAACACTATGTTTGGGTCAGATGACGTAGCTTTTACATTTCATCCCTGCAAAAAGAGGACAAAAATTACAAGTTTAACTCCTCAAAATTAAACTCGTTCTCAGATACTGCAGCAAAATTGCATAAACCTGTTAAGGTACTTAAGCCAAAAGAAGGGTCAAGAACATCAAACTAGTAGTGCACATAAATCAAAGCAAAAATACCTCCTATGCTTCCGTCAATGTCATTTAAAATACCATTAGCTGTAAAATCACAAGTCTACCTTTTTACTGAAGAAGAGAATGCCTTAGCTCTCTGTAAACCATATACTGTAGATTCATTTGCCATTATAGTCCAGTTATTCTTGGAACCTGCACCAAAGGCTGCAAAATGTGAAACCTAAGTTCAAAATTAGACTTCACAGTGTTGATAACAGGCTCCCCATCCAGTGAACAGGGAGACCCTGTTCTGTCCAGAGGAATGCAGACCACCCTGGGGCAAACAGGGCATTGAGTTTGTGAGATCCTTGTGGAGAGTGGCAGGAGGATATATGTGGCTGAGAAACAGCAAGCAAGGAAAGGCTTAAACTCTTCAACTACTCCTGCTGCTTTTCATTGCCTCTTAATGCTAATTTGTTTTTTTGAAAAGGAAACAGGGTCTGCATCTGCACTTGAAGTCTAGTTGGCCCGCAATATGGTAGACTTAAATCTGAGGAGTTCAGTTCAAGTCATGGACTTGCCGAGGGGGTTTGAACTAGTTACTTTGCTTCAGCTATAGTTCCCTATCCACAAACCAGAAAGAACAGAGCCTTTGATTCCACTGTTATAAGGATGAGGCATGGACCAAAGCAGTAGCCAATCACAGAGCAATACAAATTATAAAATACTGCTTGTTTTTCAGAACATCTTTCTCAACTGATTTTAACTGATCCAGGACTAAATAGTACCTATACCACTGAAAGACCTGAAGCCAAGGACAAAGATTCAGAGTGGAATAGATGTGGGTAGCTTCTTCTATATCAATAGTGATTATACAAATACAGTATTCAAGTATCTTTCTAACAGGCAAAGTAAAAGCGTACATAAATGTCAGAAACCATATACACGACTTCATACTACTGCTACTGCAACTCTTTGGAGTGCCCCCCCCCAAACAAGGAGCTTGACCCACCTCCACATGCCTCCCCCCTTGCTGTCATTAGCATATTCTGTTATGTTAATTTCAGAAAACAACTCGCCCACAATATGCTCAGCCCCTTCTGTGCCCCCATTTTTTCTGGTGCAGTCACTGGTTGTGGGGGGAAATATAATGCAAGAAAAAGCCATGCAATGATTTGGGGTGTAAAGCAGAGCAAAGGAGCAGCAGCAAGGACATCTGAGGTGGAATTGTGTCTTGTGGTCATGGTCTTCTGGAGACTTGCATTTTTGTGGCTTAAGAACTTTTGCAGCAGAAGCACAACCCTGATATGATTTCCTCATGATTATATTTGTGGTGGTTCAAATTGAAACCTTTTAGAATTTTACATACATTCAAATAAACGGATGTACATTTTAGTTTGTGAGCTCATTCTGAAATACAATTACTTTGATGAGCAGTATTTAAATAGACTGATTTATGCAATCACCTTGTGATGACAGCCATATCTATCACCACAACGGAGTGCTGTAAAAAGTAAGGCTTGGGAAAAGAAAGCCGTTATGTGAACTGGCCCCAAACCAGCTTCTCTCACAACGAAGTGTCCAATGTGCAAATAACTAGACACATGGCTTGATCCCTACAGGTAGGGAGATACTGGAGATTAATTGAAATGTAAGCATAAAACCTACTGACCAGCTTACTCACTCTGCATTTTCTTCACTGCACTAGCTGTTAGCTTGTATGTCGGGAGTGCTAGCTGACATTTTTGTAAACTGAATCTTCTTCCAGTTGCTCTGATGTTTCTAAATTCTTTAAGCAATATCTGTATTAATGACTGTTGCAACACCTTCATGATCTTCAGTAGGCTTCATTCAGATCTGTCAATATTTATAACCAATTTCCAAATGGAGGTTCTGTTTGAGGCACTTCAGTCAGTTTTCAAATAATGGATAGACTAATAGCTAAGCTCAAAAGTGTTTAGCTTTAATGGAGATTTTAATGAAAAGACGACCTTCCTATTTTATGACACACTACACCATATCTCCTTAATCTATCTATTACATAAAAACAGAAAATATACCTATCTGCCTTCCAAACAGCAACTGCAGGGGTGAAGGTTTCTGCTTCTACCCAGGACGTTACAAGGACATAACCAAATATGCAACCTTCACTGAGTGGGAGAATGTGAATACCATGCATCTGTTGCCAGCAGTTTTTTGAGGCTAAGAGGGCTATACACAGCCTATACTAGCTGTGTAGAGCTATCTCTCCATTATCAGAAAAAAAACCCAAACACTATTTTGGTGAAAATGGGAAATTGCACACTAACCTAGAGGTAACTGTTGCTTGTCATAGGCTCAGTTTTTTTAGTAGCAGTAATAAGTTATAAGGCTGTACTAAATCTACTTCGGAAGCAAAGGCTATCCATCAATAAAATATTAATACAGAATTTAAACAAATAGCAAATATTAATTTGCTCAGCAGAATCTAGGTCTCTGAATATGAAACAAGCTTTCTGTAGCAGCTTTTGGTCAGCAGCAATTCATTCATGAAGTTATCGGTATGCTACGCAGTAGCTCAATACTGTTCTCACAAAACAGTGGGCCTTCCATTGAAGGCAGAAAAGCAAAATTAATTAGTTTATTTTTGCACAGACATTTCTACAGCTGTAAAGTGTCTAGAAATGCGACATTTTTATTAAATGTCAAAGTAAAACTTTATAGATTTGGAGAGCTAATCAGGCATGTGTTTGTCTCATCAACGAAGACAGTTCACAAGCATTTCTATCTAGCCAGCAGTGAAGGACTGCTGGCTTATTCATATGCATGCTAATGATAGGCACCCTTTTAGCACTGACTACTCTGTTATGTGTGCCCTAAACTACAAAGCTATCCACAAACCCTGACAGCTCCCAGAGTTAAAAATCTCTGAGACCTGGTAGCTTGTTGAAAATGAACAGTTTGTCAGCTTGAAGAAAATATGACAAACATTATCACACATCCAATACCATCTTCTTTTAAAATAGCAAATGTAAAGTATTTGGCTTGGGTTGCTTTTGATAAACTATAGTGAACTTGTCTTAAAGCTAAACAACTAACATGTAAAAATATCCGTAATTAGATTGCTTGCTCTAAAGGTTTCTGAGCAATGTTTAACTTTTGAAAACTGGGAAATCCCTTTCCTTTATAGAAGTCAGGCAGACACTTGCAGTGTGAAACACAGTCTGATCTATTGCACCTTGCATATAATGCATACTTATCAAAATCTAACCCAAGACAGCAATAAGAACTTTGTATTTTGGGAATACTTTAGTCTCAAAATGTAGGTAATATTTTTAGCTTATACTAGAGAACCTCAAGAAGACACAAGTTACAATGAAAAATGAAATAAACGCAATCGATGCAATGGTATTTTCCCCAGCATTTAATGAGACACACAAAAACTTGTATGTGGTGATGTAACAATGCAAGAGGTTGCTTTTGGTGGTACAGTCAAGCAGAAAGCAGGGAGCAAAAGCAGCCTTGGCAAGCTATGTCTTAAGAATCAAGATTCAAGACCCTTTCACCTTGTATGTGTAAGTGTGTGGAAGAAGAAAGTTGAACAGAAAATCACTTCCACCTGGACCACTGCTTCTCCTTATCTGTTAAAGGCACATATATCACTCCCATCAGAGGCTTCATTTTGACACTGCCATCTTCTAGCTTATCGTACTGTTCCAGCATCTGGTTTCCTCCAGCGGGTCCAACAGGTAATATTAACCTTCCACCAGGCTTTAACTGATCTATAAGCTATAAATTTAAAAAAAAGTTAATTATTCACAGCAAGTGTACTCCTAAGCAGTGTTAGTTATACTCAAAGCAGACCCATTGAAATTAATGGAAATTACTAATTTAGGTCCATTATTTTCAATGGGCCTGCTCTTGAGTCTTAATTACTTAGTTGGATACAACTCTAAGATCCCTACCTTGTACAATGTAAAATAACAAAGAATACTGTATTATACTCCTTGATGGTAAGAGCTTTTAGGCCTAATGGTCTGAGACACAGCCCACAGTTCTAGCCCTTCCCCCTGAAAAATTGCTGGAAGCTAAGTTCTGGAAACAGGTAAAAGGAGAGGGGATAGTTTGGAATGCCCCAGTCTTTATTTGCCTTGACAAAATTAAAAGGGATTTGGGCCTGCACTGTGCAAAGCTTTTCATTTCCAAACCACCAGCACTCCCAATTCCAAAAAACATCAACATCACCTATTAGTATACCAAATCAAATTCCACTGTTGGAATGTGTTTCATTTAATGAAATCTAATTAAAAAGCCCATCATTTAAAGCAGGTATAAGCATCCAATTAATCATTTCAATTAATAAAGATAAATCATAGCAAACAATATGTACCATATATATGCATAAATCACTTACTGCTTGGGGAACAACTGGTGCAGCAGCTCCTACATGAATAGCATCATATGGAGCTTCTTCAGAATATCCCAACCTTCCATCTCCCACTACAAGGGGGGAAAAGATATATACAAGGATGAGGAACAGCTGACTTCATATTGTCCTCAGCTTATTCAAGACACTGAACTCATAGATGAAATCTTAACTAAGTTTATGAGTTTATGTGGAACCAGCAAAAAAATGTTGAAATTAAAAATAGCCATAATTAGCCTCCTAAATTTTAATCAGATTCCCAACTGAAATTTCTACTGGGAATGAACGACCTGGGTTCCAGGGAATTAGTACCAAACAGCAGTAGTTCACTAAATGCAGCCAGATGTGGACACAACAAAAGGCAGCTGTATATGAGGATTGGAAAGGGCTCCTAGTGATTTCTGCTCTTGTGCAACTGCAGTGCCATAAAGAGGAAACACTTTTACAGAGTGGACCCACAAATGAAACCCAGTTTGAAAGGCTATGACTCCCTGTGCCAACACTAAACTTCTTAGATCGGATCCCATGACCTGGTCACTAAGCACAGTAGCTTGCAAAAGATTACAGACCTAAGCACATGTAACTGAAAATGAAGTTATTAGTGGGCTTGGAAGGTTTTTGTTTAAAAAACCCCATCAAAAAGTAAACATAATAATTAAATAAAATTATATAAGTTGGATAGTAAACCTAACTACTCTAGTTGTTTATATTTCATAGAAAACCTACTACGAAGAGTAAGACCCTGCATTGAACAAGCATATTCCTATACCTATTTTTTACTGTTAATATACTCCAGTACTTACCAATCAGTTTCACTCTTCCTGAAGATAACAATAGGGGATCGTCCTTTTTAACATTATTTATTGAGTCATCTACCAACTCTTTGATATGATCAATTCCTACAACTTGTCCTTTGGGACCAACCTGAAACAAAACAAGTTTATTTTGGTATGGAATGTACTATGTATGTATTCAGTTTCTTACTTTTACTTTCAATTGAGGTTATAAGCAAAGGCTACAGGAGATGAAGGATAAAACCTAATACGGGTTTTTCCTATTATCTGTCTATCTGTTTCTCTTCCCCCAGTTTCACCACATCCATTTTGCCTTAGAATGTTTGGCATGCAAGTTTCTTCTAATAAAGTTATTGCCATAAATACTTTAGAGTTTCTCATGGTCCATACTTACGAAGTCATTTCCCAATATTTTTTTTCATATTAATATATTGTAATTAACATTCCAAGAAGATATGAATATTTTAAGGCCTCAAACCAGTGCTGCATGTTAGCAGTTTTACTATGAAATACATGAATAGCAACTTATTTTGTTATGTACAGAACTTTTTTTAAACTTAACATTCTATTGGCATTTGAAATGTAATAGAATATAATCTGTTCAGCACTAGTATTGACTGCTGATTCACCTAAGCAGGATTACATAGGTGACAAGGCAACTTTTTTAAAGTTCAGGGTTTCTTAAGATATACTGAGATGATGGAAAGAAGCCACTAGCTGGAAAAAGAATACTGAACTAGATGGACCTTGGCAGTTCTTATTTTCTTACAAGATTATGGGAAAGAAATATGGTGGGTTTTTTAAAAAAATAAGAGTGTGTTCCATGTTGCAAGTTGATGTTAAAAGAAGAATGCAGAGTCTGGAGTCTACTTCTATATTAATGGCATGTCATACACATCGCACACTCTGCAAAAGAAAATAGAAATAGAAAATCCTGCACACCCCTGCTTGCTTTCTTACATGATCAGTAAGAAAAATCACTGAGGAAGGTATTGAAGTGGGGATGTGAAACATTTTGCAGCATGAATGCCTCATGAGCAACCTTCTGGGGAACCTGCATGCTGATGGTCAATGGGCCAGAGGCAACAAGTCAGCAGAGCAATGGATGCAATTCTTACATTTGTACAGTAAGCTTTATTCCAGCCACATACAAGTCAAATGCTTCTACACATCTCTGCATCTTCTACCCAGGCAGACAAGAGGCATTTTCACAATGCATATTCCAGCAAGGTAAAAGCACTTAAGGAGGGTGCAGAGCAGGGCCAGTGAGGTCTGAGGATGGGCTTCACTGGGGGAGAGTCCCAAGAGCCAGACAGAGAGGTCTGGAGGGATCCCTTAGCCCTGAGGATCCCTAGCCCTGTTTTAAAGCATCCTTTTTCCGGTTATAATTACTAAGCATTACACAGGAACTTGCCCCAGAATGGAGTACTTCCATACTTCATAGGCTGTTCTTTCTTCAAAATATTCAATCCAACTATTAGGTGGCATTAAATACAAAAAACAAAAATATGAGCTGATTTGAGCTAGTATTGCTTCATGTTCTTTATGAGCTGGACTTTATTGAAACAGTAAGGTATTGGTGTAAAGATACCCCAAAAGACCTATCCTTCTAAAAGTATAAAATAATATCAGAATCAAGTCCTTGCAATTCTCTTGTAAAGACATAAAAAATAAAGCATTTTGTAATGCACACAGAAACCTAACAAGAGTCATATATTTATCGTAAGTGGTTAAGAATTGTCCTCTCACCATTCGTGCAAAGCATGCAGAAAGAATTCCACTTCCAGATCCTACATCAAGGGCTTTGGCTCCTTCATGTAATTGTTCATATAGGAGTTCTAGAGCATATGCATGCTGACCGAAGGAAAAAAGGAAAAGATGTTGGTATTTTACTTTTGGTTTCGCCCAATGTACAATGCTATGATTTTATGTTCTTTCATAAAGAATTCAAACTATGCAATTCCCTACAGAGAATCCAGTAAGTGAACTCAATCAAGCTGTTATAGATATCAAACAATTTCACAATTTAAGAGCTGCAGTTTCAAACCACATAAAGATAAGTATGTCAACTGTCAATTTGTAAATGTAAAAAGATCCCCAAACCCTTTAGCTACCCAAATTTGATTTCAGAATTGTCCATTTACACAATAACAGTTCAGAGGATCAAGCCCAGGATACACAGAAATACGTTACTAAATGAAAAATAGCTTTTAGGACCCCCAAAGGTTATCTGACAAGAACCCATGAGCTTAATATTTGCTATTAAGTTTTGTATTTTTCTCTATAAACCCTAATAAAATCTATTGAGCTTACAGAATGAGCCTAGACACAGAAAGACAGAAAAGCATTCAAAAGAAACTTGTGCCAGGCAGACTGTGAATCTATCAATCAAGTCTACTATTGACAGCAACTATGATATGGAATGTTAACGGGTATCACAGTTGGAAGCCAACCTCACCCACAAAGAAAAACATGAGGGAGAGAAAAAAACCTACCTTCTCAAACAACTAACAGTATCCTTAAAAAGGGTCGAAACAAAATAAAAAAAAATCCTTCCAGTACCACCTTAGAGGCCAACTACGTTTGTCATTAGTATGAGCTTTCATGTGCATGCACACTTCTTCAGATACACTGAAACTGTTTCAGTTTCAGTGTATCTATGGCAGACCAACACGGCTACCTACCTGTAACTTAAAAAGGGTGTGGGGGATAAGCATTAGGGTTCCCCCTGCCATGTACTACACTGGGGTGTGTCATCAGGGTAGACAGAGGAAAATGAAAGTTTAGTTGTTAAAGGAGGCAGGCTGACAGTATATAAATATAACGCTTACCATGTGTGGAGCACTGATTGTTGCTTGAAATCCTATAAAACATTTAAAGAATGATATGAGTAACAAAACAGCTCACTTATCAAAATGTTCAACATCAGCACCTTTGCTAGCCAACAAATGAAGACTTAGATATATCATTTCTGATGTATTATAATGACAAAGAAACAGTTTCCAAGAGCAAATCATTGCTACAACAGCAGCCAATTAATTGGGGAGTTATCTTGACTACCGAGATGGCATTTGCAACACTTCTGGAACAGTTCATCTTTGGTTCAACACAACAAGGCCTTAGGAAAATAAAGCTTTTAGTCATCGTTAAAGACTTTGAATACATAATTTTCATACCTATTGATTGAGGAGAATCCATATATGGGTTGCATTTTGCATAATGGCAGCGGTCTGTTGCAAGCATTACTTCAAATACTTTATCTGACTTGATTATTCCATTTTCTGGAAGAAAGGCAAATCAAAATATAAGGGAATATTATTCCACAATACCATTATACTGAAACTACAAAATAAAATGTACCACAGTCTTCAGAAAAAAACACAAGTGGTCAGTCAATTGATGTAATGCTCAATTGTAAAAGTTTATAGGAGAGAATTTTTCAAGCATCAAACAGTAATGCAAATGTCTGCTATGAATCCAGGAAGGATTGAGTTAATTACTGAAACAATACAGTATATTTATTACAAAAGAGATTATAAAAAAGAGATTACTTTCTTATAGCAAAATGTTTTGGCTTTTCCCTTCTTCAGCGGCTCTGAAGTGAACCAACTCACATCGGGGAACTTCAGGAAGATGCTACTTTAAAATATAGCCTACAGCAATGATATACATTATGCCCATGTTAGTTTATCTGCAAATTATGGAAGCTGAAATTCATCACTTCAACATTACTATGAAAACCCACTGTCAAAATAAATTAGGAGTTGGACTACGAGTCTTCTGGACTGCGTAGTGCTGATGTTATTGTTACAGTCAGCTATTTAATGGTTCAGAGTGGGGAAAGAGCTTTATCCTATCCCTGCCAGTCCCTTTGTTATTCTAGAGATGGCCTGGGTGTAAGTGCTTCCAGATAAAACCTGAATTTTGGGGTGGGCCAAATATTAGTCTTGCCTGTTTGGACAAATTCCTCATCTAGGACTTTGGCCTGTGATTGACTGTTTCTGGATTGATCCCCCCTTGCTAAGGTTATGTGCCACATTTCCTAAGTTCTTCTTTAGCAGAGCAGCTAAGCACATAGAGCACTGAAATACAGGCAGGAATGGGACTGCAGCAGAAAACACATGTAACCAAAATTCAGCTATACTTGTTCTAACACAGCAAAGAATAGACCACTGCAGCTCTTTGAGTTATATAAAGCCTGGCAAATCCAATGTGTATCAACACATCTGAGTCTCTTCAGTTCCACACTCTGAAAAATGTGCCACAGTTTTCAGAAAGAAAATATGTGAACTCTAGATGGGGCTTTACCCTGAGAGTGTATCTTCTAATCTTATTTCAGCATAGCTGTCAATGAGGAAAAATTGAATTAACATCCACAATGTACAATCCAGTTCCTGCCTGCCTTGATTACTGATTTAGTGGCTGGGACTATGGTACCTTTGTTGACAAGCATTATATCAGCACATGCTTAGCTCTGAGACCAAGTCATGCTGGTTCCCACCCCCTCAATAAGTGTGTTGTTTTATTTATTTTTTGGTCATCCAGTTCCTAACCTCCCATTTTTTAGAAGAACAAATGAGAAAAGCTTCAGAGTACATCTGCAACAGCATAAAAATAGATTTACAACTAAATATGATAACCGTGTTTCATTATTAGAATACAGTACCTCTATGGTCCCTATTCCTTAAAATATTGCTTTAGCAATATTTGCTTCTTGGTCCAGCTTCCTTACCTCACTTTAAACTAATTAAGGCTTGTCCCTGTTTCTGTGGATTGCAGAACTATATTCTTGCAGAAGAAATAATTATGCAACATCTAAGATAATAAAAACTGCCTTATTCCAGGTTGGACTATTTGTCCACATAGTCCAGTTCTGTCTACTTTGATTGGCAGCTCCAGAGTCTCAGGCAGATGTCTTTCTCATCTGCTACCTGACCCGCTTAACAGGTGGTGCCAGGGATTGAACTGGGAACCTTTTGTGTGAAATAATGCGCTCAGGTACTGAACTATGGTCTCTTCCCAACTATGTCGTAAAATAAGAACTACACTACTGTATTGTGGTTCAGCAATAGTACAAGTTATAGATAAACCTTAGAAGAGAGTTCAAGAAACTATGAATTGTTTAATAATCTTCAAACCCATAATATGTTCAACTTTGCTGTGAGAATGAACAAAATAGTCATAGGCAAGGGGGTTGGAACACCAATACATTTCACTTTGAAAAACAGTTTTTTTAAAAAATCTGGAAATGACTAGAAGATAACAAGGGGGAAGGGGAGAAAAATAACAGTCTGATAACTAACATTTCACCCCAGATGTGGAGCACTATCTACTAGTAAAAAAAATTCTTTCTTTTTTTAGAGAGTTCCTGAAAAACAAGTTCAAAAACACATACTAGTAGCTGCAACAGAAAACAGAGCTTTGTAAGAGCCTAGATATATTTTTCAGATCATTTTTTTCCTAGACTTCAAACTAGAATGATTTTAAGGGTGAATTTTGAAAGTAAATGTGCTCTTTGACATAGTGATTGGTTAGCTTCTTGATCAGAAGATTTAAAAATGACAATTGAGCATGATTTTACAGGGGAAGAATCAGGTTCTAAAATAATATTTAGTCATGCTCATTAATTTCAATGAGTTCACTAATACCTAGCTGAATACCACCCTATCTGTGTCACATTTCTGGATATTTACTATTTCATTTTATCACATTTCTATCATTTTTAGGGCTGTGAAAATCATTCTGAAATTGTCATCCAAAATTTGCAAAGCAGCACTAGAATTTATGTAACACTTTCCAAGGTTTTTAAGTACTAAGAGTCATATTCATTATTTAGTAGCAGAATTCAAACTACATCATGCTGTTGTCCTGCCTGCAAGCACCATACATATTTATGTTGCAAAAGGTTCTGAAACAAATCTGCAGCTTATTTAAGTCCCTGCTCACACCCCTACCTTATTAATAAACTATGATGTAGCTTTTAACTCTTCATCCCTACAACATCAAGAATAAGAGAGGGGCGTAGGGAGAGAAATAACACAAGCCCACCTTCCCTACACTATTCTCAGGAAACGCTATTGCTTTGCTAGACAGTATCATTGATTTTCCAGTGATGGGTTGGTGGAGGAAGCCATATGTTCTTAACAGAGAAATGTTTTTAAATATTTGGCAGGTCAGGCAGAAAAGATTAACTTCAGCATACCTTCTCTTTTTAGTTAAATTCAAATTCCTTAAGTTAAATCTTTCTGGTGTTGTCTTTGACTCCTGTTCTGCACTTAATTATTATTTTTGTATATTTATTGACCTAGATCCTTTTGGCTACCTACGCATATTTTTCTACAAAGGATAAGTATAAAATACTGGAAATAGATAAATAAGAAACAAAATAAAATGAGTGTTATGGACATACACAGTCATAAAATATAACTATGCATGTGCTGTTGAAGTCAGAATGTTGCAAAGTTATGTTTCCTTTATAGAAGTACACTCAAATAAATAAATAAATAAATAAATAAATAAAACCCCACCCATCTGGCTGGGTTTCCCCAGCCACTCTGGGCGGCTTCCAACAAAATATAAAAAATACAATAAATCATCAAACATTAAAAACTTCCCTAAACAGGGCTGCCTTCAGATGTCTTCTAAAAGTCTGATAGTTGTTTATTTCCTTGACATCTGATGAGAGGGCATTCCATAGGGCGGGCGCCACTACCGAGAAGGCCCTCTGCCTGGTTCCCTGGAACTTCGCTTCTCGCAGTGAGGGAACCACCAGAAAGCCCTTGGAGCTGGACCTCAGTGAATGATGGGGGTGGAGACGCTCCTCAGGTATACTGGGCTAAGGCCGTTTAGGGCTTTAAAGGTCAGCACCAACACTTTGAAATGTGCTCGGAAAAGTACTGGAACCCAATGTAGGTCTTTCAGGACCGGTGTTATGTGGTCTTGGCGGTCTACCGTATTTTTTGCTCTATAAGACTCATTTTTTTCCTCCTAAAAAGTAAAGGGAAATGTGTGTGCGTCTTATGGAGCGAATGCAGGCTGCACAGCTATCCCAGAAGCCAGAACAGCAAGAGGGATCGCTGCTTTCACTGCGCAGCGGATGATTCCTCTTGTTGTTCCGGCTTCTGAGATTCAGAATATTTTTTTTCTTGTTTTCCTCCTCCAAAAACTAGGTGCGTCTTGTGGTCTCGTGCGTCTTATAGAGCGAAAAATACGGTAATTCCTCTGTTGTCAGAGGCATAAAAAAAGCCACATGCCCAATTTATTTATGGTAAACAACTGCTTACTATTAGATTCTAATGGATTATTGAATATTCCTTTATTTGATATGTTGTGACTTTTTTACATTATATCAGATTGTTACTATTAATATTTGATGTTCTTTGTGTTTTTATATGTGTTGGAAGCTGCCCAGAATGGCTGGAGTAACCCAGCCAGATGGGCAGGGAATAAATAAATAAAAATTATCAGTATTATTTCGCAAGTAGAGACACATACTAAAACTGCCTCCAAAATTTAAAAGCTGCTGTCCTATAATGAGTTTATAGACATATATAACAGGAAAAGTATTAAGATACAATGTAATATAAAACAAATCTCAAAAAATTTCCAACTGTTTTTCACTCTGCTCTTTAAATCACTTGCTACATTCCCAAATACGACAAACAGGATACTAAAGCTATTTGCTTAGTTGCAATACGAAAACAGGAACAGACAGCAAGAGCTGCTGCAAATGATTTTTGACTAAGACCTATAAATCTTTTCCAACCAGCTTCTCCTGTAAAATACTTCATGGAACAGGAATGGGAATTCTTACTTTCGAGATCTGCTGCTCATTTATTTGGGTGCTTTTTGTACAAACCCATATAATTTAGTAACAGGCCCAAATGCTTTAATAAACAAAAATCACAACTCCATCAAACAAATGACATCACTAATTTATATTTGTGGTATCACTACCGCAGATTGTCATATGTTGTGGGATTACTTTCGATTTATGCAGCCTGGTGATGTTGACAAGGCACCTGCTGCTCTGTGCCCAACCATGGCTCCTTCTTGGCTTATTAATTCTAGCAGAAGGGTGTGACTGGCTGGACTGAGGGCACGGTTAACACTTCATAGTGTGAGGAGGTGATCCCTGACTTGAAAGAAACAACACCCACTCCTAAAGAAATCAACCCTGTGCCAGAATTCACCATGAAGTTGATACAGTAAGTGCCACACTTTTAACATTGGGGGGTAGGGAGGTGCCAGTAAGCATTTATGGATGCTGTTTATCTACTGATTCCAATCTGGGTTTAGGCCTGGCCATGTGACCAAATCTGCCTTGGGTGCCCTGATAAATCACTTTTACTGAGAATGGGACAAGAGGAATAAGTCCTTCCTTTGCTACCATTAACCATGCTATCCTCCTAAATAGCTTACGGCGGGTTGCAATTTTACCTACAGGACCGAGTCCAGAAAGTAAGACTAGGGAACTGGTTTTTGGTCCCATGACACAGGGTGTTATACTATCACCAATGTTGTTTAATATCTATATGAAGCTGCTAGGAATGGTCATTAGGACATTTGAAGCAAGGTGCTGATAATAATTTATTGTATGCCTTTCCCACCCCTCAAAAGATGGTCTCAGGGTAAGAAAAAGCATATAAAAAGACTATTAGAACACTCAGCTCTATTTCTCAATAAAATCTGAAACAGGAGAGGCTGCACAAGTGACAACCTAGTGCCTGGATGCAATGGTAGGCTGGATGAGGACAAATAAACAGAACTTTGATCCAAGCAAAGCTGAGGCTCTGTGGGTGAGTGGTTCCTGTGTCGCAGAAATGGGCCAGTTGCCTCCAAGGATGGGAGTTACACTTGCTCAGAAGATGCAGGTACATGGTCTGGAGTTATTCTTGGACCCAGCTCTCACTAACTAGGCTCAGGTGATCTCCGTAGCTAGGAGCACCTTCCACCAGCTTCAGCCATTCCTCAACTAGGATAGCTTGCCCAAAGAAACCCAGGGAATTAGTAATTCTGAAAGTGGATTACTAAAGTATGATATATACAGGGCTTCCCTTGCGATTGCTCTGAAAGATGCAGTCAGAGCAGAATGCTATAGCATTATCGCTGACAGGAGTGAGAACCTACTAGCATATTACTGCAACTCAAAGAACTGCACTAGCTGCTGATTTGCTATCAGGCCAAGTTCAAGGTCTTACTATTAGCATATAAAGCCCGTAACAGCTTGGGAGCAGTTTGTCTGTGTGGTCATCTAGCCCCTTATGTGCCTACTTCCACAGCTTCAATGCGCAAAACTTGCACTGAACAAACACCTTCATTATGTTGCTTTAGACACCGACTAAAAACTTTGTTTCAGCAAGCCTACCCAGCCATGTAAACAAGTTATGCGTACCTGCTTTTAAATTTTGTTGAATTGTATATTGCTATCTGTTTTGTGTGCACCAATAAGTGACTTTTTTTTATTAGGCTGTTAATCAATTATTGTAAATAAATAAAAACAACAAATTATCCATTTCATCCAACTTTCTCATTATGGGATTCGCATTTGCAGCACACATTAACATGGGTGGCGGCTCCCAGGCAAACAAAGATGTTAACAGCTGAACCAATGAGAAGCACCCCAAGAGACTCACTAGACGGTTGCATAATGACTGAGGGGAGAGCGAAAGAGCAGCTGCCACACTATCCAAGGGACATTTTAGATTTAGATGGTTTCATTCTTCTCTGCAGTCACATGAACCTGAAACCTAACTTTGCCTTTAACGACTTGAAAAACCTGGAACTTTCCGGCTTTTGTGAGCTATGCATCGGTTGTTTACCTGTGGGTGGGAAACTACATAACACATGCCTGCTGCAGTAGGTAACCCGCATAACGTTTATTTATTTTATATTAAAAGGGCGTTTGGCAGGTCCGATGCGGGATGCTCACAGCTGAGAGCCGGCCGTTTAGCTGCCTTCCCCCTTAAGACGCGGGAAGCGGAAACGGAACCGGGAGAGAGAGGCACCTCTACCACGACTGCCGGGCCCAGCGGCGAAGTTGGGTGGACAGCCGAGGCTGCTGCTTCCCCGCTTGCGAAACAGCCGAGGGACTCAGCCCTGCTCTCTTCCAGTAGCGGCGACAGCAGCCACCGCCCTCAAGCAAGCTCCCGCCGCACCGAGACACACCCGCTCGACTGCGGGGACTCTCTTTTCCCTCTCTCCCCACCCCCTCGCGGTGCTCGCGACCTCCCATCCGCCCACGTCTCCAACAGCCGCCAGGCGCGAAGGCCGTTGGCGAAGGCACCCCAGCGCGCGCTTCTGAGGGCCGACAACTAACGGTCACTCCCTAGCGACGGGGTTCGCGCGCGCGCGCGCGCTTGTGTATGTGTGGTACATGAATGGACTGCGCGCGCCCTGGCCCCTCCTTCTGCCTCCTCCTCCTCCTCCCACCCCCTTCCTTGGCCACCGGCCCCGGCGCGCACACCACAGACGCACTCACTGCGGAGGTTGTGGATGAGCTCGGAGTGACTGGCGCCTCCTGACTTCCAGGCCATAGCTAGACAGACTCTGCGGAGCAGGTAGAGAGCCGCCTTCAGTGCCGCGACTGCGCACAGCAGTTTCCCCAGGAAGGACACAACCTCCAGCGCCGACACAGGCGCCGCCTCCTTCCCTCCCGCAGCAGCAGCTGCCGCCGCCGCTGCCGCCGCCTCGCGTCCGCCGGAGGGAGGGGCTGCTCCCCCGCCCCCCCGCGCGCTCGACATTCTGAACGGGCGCCGCCGCCGGGCAACCGCGGCTGGTGTGCGCAGGCGCAGTACATGGAATAAAGGGGAGCGGGCCGGGAAGGGGGGAACCTCTTGGTGATGAGCGGAGGGGCGGGGTAGGAGGCTGGGTTCTTGGGGTTGCGGAGGACGGCGAGGGGCTTCGCAGCCGAGGTTGTGGGAAGCTGGCTGCTCCTTTAAACGGAAGCATGTGACTGGTTCTCCTGTCGGGCTATAAATAACCGTGGCACGGCCCATAAGGCACATTTGCAGTTTTATTTGCAGTGCAATGTGGGTAGGCTTTTGAGGCAGAGCTCAGTTTTAGGGGGTGAAAAGTCTCGCAGCGTCGCCGGCAGGGAGCAAAGCGCAACATAGGCGCCTGACTGGACGCAAAACGCTTTCTGTCGTGTGGTGGCGGCGGCGGCACATAGGACATACAGTATATGTAATGGGGCCACATGATTTTTATGTATCAAGAAAAAAGATTCATAGCCCACCAATCCCAGCACTGGGTACAACATAGAGAAAATCCTAACAACAAAAAAAATCAGTGACATACAAAAAGAGACAGTGGAAACAACAGAAAGGGGCTACAAGGATGTTGCCCACTAAAACGATAGGGCTGGGGAATGTTTGTGGAATTGCTGATGGATCTGGTGTGTGCTCAGCTGGGAGGGACAACACATCCAATGTGAAAATGCACTACAAAAATGGCAAACAAGCCCTCAACACCCCTGAAAACAGCCAGTGCCCACTAAGTTGCGACTGCGATGCCAGGTATGCCCACATGCTGCCCACCCATGGAGGGAGCCAATGAACTCTCAGCAAGATAGGTGTATCTGCAGCACACACCATTGCATCACCATACGTACAACACCCATGGCGATGCCACTCTGCCCCCACTCTTATCAGTTCCAAGCGGCACAGCCAAAACTGACCCCTACTGCCAGTTCTGAAGCATCCCTCCAGGCAGGGATCTGAATCCTTTTATGCTCCTCACAACCACTGTTTTGGAGCATAACCCACCAAGGACAGGACACAACACAGCACACACTTAGCTCCCCAGGCAGGGCACACCTAAAGTACAGTGGTACCTCGGGTTACGTACTTAATTCGTTCCGGAGGTCCATTCTTAACATGAAACTGTTCTTAACCTGAAGCACCACTTTAGCTAATGGAGCCTCCCGCTGCCGCTGCGCCACCGGAGCACAATTTCTCGTCTCATCCTGAAGCAAAGTTCTTAACCCGAAGTACTATTTCTGGGTTAGTGGAGTCTGTAACCTGAAGCATCTGTAACCTCAAGCGTGTGTAACCCGAGGTACCACTGTATGCACATAGCACTTATAGGTTAAAGTTATAAGGCCCACCCAAAGAGGAAGAGGCACTCTTGTTAAACAGCCAAGTCAAGGAGAGGGTCAAGAATGCTGTTCCATCTAACCTGTGAGGAGAATGAGGGAAACATGCTTCTTTAATTAATTTATTGGTAATTGCTCACACTTCCTCAACTCTGCCTAGATTTGGATGAGGAAGAATCCCAGAATCTGCAGTTTATGTACTTGAGAGGGAGAATTATTTTAACAAGAGCTATTTACTGTTCATTGCACACTTGAGATAAATAAATATTTTATTATGGCAGCACTGTTCTTCAGAACTCCCTGCCTATAGGCAAACTTCTTTGTTGTACTGTGTGCAATGTCTGCTAAAAATGTTATTTTTTGTATATATTTGTTTTTAAGAAGGTTGATTTTTATCTATATTATGATAAATATGTTATAATTATATTATGCCTACTTTTGTTGTGTTGATTTTATCAGTATTTTCCTATGAATATTTAATATTACCTTACATAAACTGCTTAGAGGGCAGAACTTTGGAACAGAAGTTCAAGGCCCCACTCAGGGCTGATTTACCACATTTTGAAGTAACAAAATAATACACACTGCCTTCTAAAGAGGGTACCCTCCATAATACTTTTAAGTCCAGAGTCTAAAATTACCTAACTACACCACTTGAAATCATGTAGTTTTTATAGAGGCTAGAGTAGCTGCCAAGAAGCTATCCGATATGTATGCTATACTATTTTTCAGTCCTTTTCTATGCAGAGCTAAGTACCCATCAGCCATTATAATTTTTGAAAGTAAATAATAACCAATAACTCCTGGCCCAGTTTGAGTTTACAGCCACAACCCTACGTATAGTTATCTGAGAATAAACCTCATTGAACACAGTGAGACTTATGACTGAGCAAGTAAGATCTGGGGGCATGGATGCGATGCTATTGAGATTGTCACATGAAATCAAGTGCTGTTTTTGTCTTGCACAAAAATGAATCCTCCAAACCAAACACATTTCATTCTCTTTTGCTGATGCAGTACTAACACTCATATTTTACTTACGTATATACAGTACACACTTCTTTCTCCCAGAACTGAGCAAACATCCGTCAACCCATACAAATACCACTATCATCCCATAATTTTAAAGTGACAAATCAGGAAAACCACGACGTGGTTTCTGAAGTATCAAGGTCTAGCTTTAGAAATTGTAGAAGAAACAAGGAAGGAGCTTTACAGGCCTATGAATACTGTACTCTTCAGCTAATTCCACTGACGGGGAGTTCAATGAGGCTTATTCCATAGGAACTGTGTTTCGAATGACACTACATAGAATGATCCCTTGCATGTTTACTCAAAAGTAAAAGCCACTCTGTTCACTAGAATTTCCTAATAGGTGTGTTTACAGTTGCCGCTGTAGCACACATGGATGTAGCCAGGGGGGACAGCTGCCCCCCCATAAGTAAATAAATAAAAATACTTAACTAAAAGTAGAAATTGCAGAGATTTTGAGAGATTTTTCCGAGAACTTGGGGTGAAAAGAAAGTAATTTAAAACAACATTGAAATATACTCAGAGTCGCAAAGTGATTTCATGCTCTTTATTCAGCTCATAGTGGTGAGGAGGAATGAATGAAAGTCCCCTCAAAGTATCTGCTTTATATACATTATTTACACAATGGGCTGCACATGATTGGCTAATTCTGGAATTCTACTGTAAGCCAATCAGGTTGTGGATTCACTTATATCTGGAGCATGATTGGGTGGTTCCTGCCAACCAATCATACTGCTGCATTGTTCTAGGACCAATCAGACTGCTGCATTCTGAATCCTATTCTAGGACCAATCAGACTGCTGCAGTTTGGATCCTATTCAACTCAGTACATAACAAACATTTTATTCCAAATCTGCTAGACAGTTGATGATGACAGGTGGGTGTCCTGCCCCTGCCCTAACATAAATCCTGGCTACGCCCATAGTAGCACATAATGGGATGGTGGCCAAGAAGGATTGCAGGGAGCCAAGCCTTCCCTCGTGCCATTGGGTCCCTCGTCTTTATTAGGGTGCTCAGTATTGACATATATCACGAGATGTGGGGCATCACCACCACGTCCTGGGAAAAAAACGACATGGAAGGAACGTCTGGAGATGCTTTACATCCCACCTCAGCGTTTCCTCCAATTCTAGCTATTAGAAAACGAAAGGAAAAGCCAAAGATAGAGCATCCCGCGTTCCTCCCCCCAGTAATCTCGGGAACCTAACGCCTCCTTGAGAGAGAGCAGCGCAGTCCTGACAGGCTTTTGTCCCGCTTCCTTCGCCGTCTCCCGTGACGTGTGTCAGCCAATCAAGAGGGCGCATTTGAAAGCCGGCGGAGGTAAGAGAGACGCGGCGGGTTCTCCCCGCTTAAGCATGGAGGATGTGGCCGCCAAGTACGTGTCCCAGAAAGTTAGTAAGGCCCGCTGGCGACCCGTGTCTGCCGCTGCCCTGCAACCTCCCGAAGTCTTCGCTACCGGCTCGTGGGATAACGAGGTAACGCGGTTTTCCATCCCGTCACCCCTTTCCACCCCGCCCCTCTCTCCTGTGGCCTCAGGGTGAGCTGCCTTGGAAAGGGGGGTGCAGCACTCTTTCCCCCCCCGTCTTCGGTGCTTTCCGTTCCTACGTGCACGTTTTCCGTGTCTGAATCTCGGGGGTCGAGCTGTATTCGCTTAGACTCAGAGGTCCGTCGAAGCCCCAGACCCCATATTTTTTATTTAGTTTATTCAACTTGTAGTAGTAGTTACGATTTAACTGGGCGGTTTTTGTGTTTTGTGTGATTCTGCCTGTTCTTATTTAACTGTTGAGCTCCCCGAGCCAGTGAGAATGTTAGGATAATAATAATAATTAATAATAATAATAATTTATACCCCGCCCATCTGGCTGGGTTTCCCTAGAAAATGAACTCTTCCCCCGCTTTCCCTCTTTTTTTTTTTTTAAATGAACGATTAAAACAACTACTAGCCATTTGTAATTAAGGTGTGGGGTGGCTTAGAAATAACTGGCATATACTAATAATAATTTCATTCTGCTTTGGAAGTGTAATTTAATAGCTTTCTCTCTGTTTGTTTGCTCCCTCTCCTCACTAATGCAATAAGGTAGATTATGTGATCACTGAAAGCTTTTGTACAAAATTATAGAAACCTGGTAAACTGTCTATTGACAGTTCAGTAGGTACTACGTATGTAAAAAAGAAAATCCAGCAGTTTTGTGTTTCCATTCTTTTTACCTCTATGTGGTGTGCACAATATATAGTGTTTTGTATCTACCTTTTAACTTCATATATTTGTTGATGATAGTATGGTATTTGGGACACTTTTTTAGCTTGGCAAGAAAAATGAAAATGTAGCTGAAGTAGGTTGTTATCCAAGTTTGGTTTTTCTTATACTGGTACAAGAGCTTGCTTTTCTTGTAATCCTACAGGAAAATAAGATTTCAATATGGTCTGTTGGAGACTTTGGAAGTTTGACCCCAAATGGAGAATACCATGGAGAACCACATCTGCTATGTGATATTGAACACAGTGGTGATGTTATGGATATGGAGGTAAAAGTGCTATAAAAATAGCTCTTAATGACATTTAATTTCCATGTTAAGAAAGTTTAAGGTGTTGCAGTTATACCAGTAAGAAAGGGAGTTCCTAACCTCTACAGTTGGGGAAATTAAATATGGGACATTGATACAATTTGCTTATCAAATCTTGTGTAAATACAGATTTGTGCGTTAACATGTTTGAGGATTTCTTCTCCCTTAGTTTTTGGATCAGGAGAGAATTGTGACTGCTTCATCCACTGGAAGTGTGACCATATTCAGACATCACCAAAATAATCAGGTAAATAGTATTCGCTTTCAGCTACTATGACAGTTGCTCTGCATGTCTGAAATAAACAAGTGTGAAGCTGTTAAATATAAATGACAGCTAAAAAACTCTAGTAGAAGTGGTTAGTTCTTTCTCTTGCACTTAGTTGACTAAAGTGTAATTGTGTGGTCCCTAGGCAGCTTTAGGAATATTTTATGAGAACTATACCCATACAACTCGTCAGGTTTGTGTTGATGTATATTAGCTGAGTATACATTAATGTTGACAAAACCTTCATTGTGGAATAGTCTGCAGTTCTAATCACCATTAATCATAGTGAGACGTGCTTCTTAGTACTGCTGCATATGATTGTGCTGTTAATATAAAGCTCAATATACAAAAGAAAACAGTGAAACATTTTTACTTCATTAGAACACTTATAATGTAGTCCTATATTAGATGGGGGTTCCCCCCCAGTTGTGTCTGGGACTTCATCAAAGGCTACACTCCAACTATCAGCAGTTATGGAACTGTTGAAGCAAGGGCCAGTCTCTGTCACTGGCCAGAAGAATAAGGGGCATTGGGTACTTGTGTATTTTTAACGCGTTATAAGCTGTCTGAGAGATTATTTGACCTAAAGGTAGTATATAAATAAACAATGGATGGGATTCAGCTAAGTCATTAAATGACATGCAATGGGACCTTCCCTCCCTCCCGCACACCCCCTAAATCTGTTCTCTCGGGTTGGAATTCCTGGAACATATTTAGGAGGTGTGCAGGCAGAAGAAACTGGAAACCCGTTTGCATGAGCGGACCTCACTCCCTGTGTACATACCCCACCTACCGCTATGTTGAATTCCATCCATAATTATTTGCCCTTGTCCTTGAACGTCTGCTGATAACTTACCATTTGATTTGCTGTGTGTAATGTCTTTCAGATTAAATGCAAAACCATTCCTGCAGAATGGTTTGATGGGATATGTCTGGCAATCTGATTTCCTTGGAGTTGGTTACTCATTATAAATAACTGCAAGGCACTGACCTGAAATGTTGTAAATCAGGGTGGGGAACCTTTTTCAACCCAGGGGCTGCATTCCCTCATAGCCAGCTTTCTGGGGCCACATGCCAATGGGTTCAAAATGAAAGTAAGTGTGACCAGAGTGGACAAGGCCAGAGCTGATGGTGTGGCCAACAAACATAAATCTGCTGATGCTGTCTGAGTGTATGTGGGGGGGGGGAGGGGGCTCATTTAGTTTCACTGCATACAGGTGGTGTAGTGACAATAAAGGTTTATTTTTATTATTATACACATATTCATTCTCTCCTGCCTTCTTGCTGCACTGAGGCTTTGAAAAACAGTAGGCTTTTTGGAAGCTATCTGTGACAAGCTAATTGTGAGTGTGTACACACTGACCCAATTTGCTTGTTGTGTTAACAATAACAAATGGTTTGCCCTGAACATAGAAATTACGTCTGTTTTTCTATTCCCCTTGAAGAAGCAACATTCCACCACCCCTGGTTTAGCATCATGTCTTTTTCTCCAGAAAAATACACAATTAAGTCAAGAACTAACCTTAACTTGACATTGTGGTTTGGAGTGAAACAAACCACGATTGCCAGTTTGGATGTAACACTAAGTTAGGGATTGTGATTTGTGGCTCCTGACTGTGTTAGAAAGGAAGTGAAGTGAGAGCCATCTGCACATCTGTGGTAAACCATTAATTAAGGTTTTCATGATGCTGCCCATCCAACATATTCTAGTTACCAGGAAAGGTGGAAACAGAATACCTCTGTGTCGCTTCCTTGAAACTTGGACATGTCACTCATGCATTTGTACTTCAAACATTTTTAAAATCCTTTGGAAGATGTGGGGTGTATAGGAGCAGCCAGAAATATAATATGTGTTTGCTTGCAAAACTGAAGATATATTTACTGGCAATTTATATAATACATAGATTGTTATCTTGACTTTTGAAACTTTAGTATCTAACTTACGTAGTTGTTACTTCTGTAGCATTTTTCATTGTACCATTTTATTTACAATTCACATTTATGCAGTCTTACTGCACTCTGCAAATTGGTTTAGCCTAAGTGGTAATTTGTATAAAGCTACCCAAAAACCTTTTATGGAGTTTTGAACTTTTATGGAGTTTTGAACTTGAATGCGTGCATCACAGCTCTAAATTCAGATACTGTACTAACTTTTTCCACATAGGGTGGCTGTTTAATCCTCTCTTTTGTCTTTTAGACTTTGTCTTTAAACCAGAAATGGAAAAATGCACATTACTATGATGCATCTGGTGGCAGTGCATCATGCACTGGGATCATATGCAACAGCCCTGAAATTTTTACAGTTGGTGAAGATGGTAGGATAAATGTGTTTGAAGTTGACCATAAGGAAGCTAAACGTACTATAGGTAAGTAATTTTAGCTCAAGTCCTAAATATTTGTGCAACATATTGTTGTAAACTTTCCTGCTGACCTTTGCTAGCTCAGGATAAAAACGAATCAATTGTCTGGGGAGTCCTTGGAAGATCCATGAGTGCCATTTTTATGTGAACTTAATCATAGTTGTAGGGAACAAGAATATTAAGTACACTTTTAGAGCAAAGTATATACAACTATGAAACACTGGAATGTGATTTACACTGATACTGTACATCGATGGGCATGTGCAGTATTGCTTACCTTACCCTATAAACCACCAGTTCATTGAGGCTCAGGAAGACATTAAATTTTGGGTGGTGCCCTTTGTCATCTGCCTTAATCTACATGCCAAGGTGTTTTGAATGTTTTTAAGCAGATGAGATAAACATTTTCCAAACTGACAGCTCTCCTGTTTGAACCGAAGCTCATGCTTTGTTATATGTTAGTACTGCTATTAGTTGTTAAAACTCCTTCTGCACACATCCAATTTCCATAGGAATGGTATACTCTGCTGCAATGCCTGTACTTTGCTTTCTCATTAAAAGCATTCTCTAATAAAATTATTAGGTTTTTTTAGAGCAAAGAATATTCTCAGGGACCTACAGACAGACATGTTCTGCTGTGGTTTTCATAAGAACTCATATGCGAATGCAGCAAAGCTTCAACAGTAAGATCCTAAAGAATATGGTTAAAAAAGTGCTTTTGTAGTAATGGTTAGAAAAGTGAACAAGAAACAATAGCTTCAGCAAAATGGAAGCTGTAGACCAAAACTGTTTAGCCATTTAACAAAAATCTAAAATTGCTACTGGTTTCTTAACCAAGGTATTGAGATATTTAATAATGAGATAGTGGCATAACAAACCAGAGCAGTTCTCAGGGAGGCAACACTCTTCTCTCATACACCAATGAAGTTATTCTGGTGTTGATCTTTTGTGAAGACACTGATAAGGGCCATGTACACTCTAAAATACTTGACCTTTACTTTCATGAAGTTTCTAATTGGATTCTTTGCACTTTAATAAGCATTGTACAAAAATTCCCATCTCTCTTGGTAGACAGAAGTGTGAGCAATATATCAGAAACAGTAATATTGAATTCTGTGGGGATTACTCCCAGGTAAATGGCTATAGGATTACAACCTTAGTATACCCTTAATGAGAAGGTATATTAGTATATCCAACTAGTAGTTTACATGCCAGAAAGTTCTCTCTAGAACATTTAATCTCCTGGGGTAAATCCTACAGTTACTTCTTAGAAACAGTTGTTCACTCTGCTTTTCTGATATATAAACAAACAATGCTTGCTAAGAGTGATACAGTTTTAGATGATATGAACTTTTTTGTTCTAATTTCCTGTAGATAATGCTGACAGCAGTACACTCCATGCAGTTACTCAACTTCGCACAACAGAGATCCTGACAGTCAATTCCATTGGTCAGCTAAAAGTATGGGATTTCAGACAGCAAGGAAATGAGCCTTCACAGATATTTTCATTGTAAGTATGTACTCTCAGATAAGGAATGATGTTAAAGCCAAGCACTATAGCTAAATGTCATTTGCTTCCTGGATTACAGCCTGTTTGATTCCCCATTAAAATGTGTGTTCCTCTTGCTTTGCAGGACAGGGGAAAGAGTTCCACTGCACTGTGTGGATAGGCACCCTAGTCAGCAGCACATTGTAGCCACAGGCAGCCAAGATGGAATGTTGAGTATTTGGGATGTAAGACAAGGCGGCATGCCAGTTTCCTTGCTAAATGCTCATGACGCAGAATGTAAGTACCGAAACAAACAGGCGTAATTCTTGCGCCTGTCCTAATGTCAACAACTAGAGGTACAAGCCTTCCACACATGAGTACAGTACTTGGGCGAGGCAGGATTTCCATAGAGCTCAATAGACCCTTGTATCTCTCCTCCTTGGCATATACATGGGTATATGTTTGGGAGGTCTGTACAACCTCCAGTTATTCAAATGGTTGTGGTGTGTCCATGTATACGAGCTATGAGGTAAAAGAGAAATGGCTCTAAGCCAGCCTTTCTTAACATTGGGTCCCCAGATTCATAGAGTACTGTAATAGAATTGTAGCATTGCAAGGGACCCCTAGGAGCATGTGTGTATATTCATATCAGGGAATTAGCCCTTCCAGAACATGAATGAATAAGAGAATTTATTACAAAATTCTTAAATAGAACCTGTTCCCGGTACAGTCACCCTCTGTTCTGCTGGGAGACAAGAGAGCTAGTGCAGAAACTACGACACATTTTACAAAATATACAAGAGCGTAGCAACTGTAACTTGGGAACATAGTCTAGGCAGTGGAATGCTCTCATAAGGTGCTCAAGAGGGAACAATAGAGATTTCACTGTATTTTCTCAATAAAATTTCATTTCAGGAAAAGCTACAATCACACCCCATGTGAGGGTTCTGTTCCAGAGGCAGTGTGCATACTCAAAATCATTTTGTAGTTCATAGAAAAAATATATGTATGAGTCTACTTTGTAAAAATTCAAGCTTCTGTTCTACTTAGGCTCATTGTATTCGACTCAGCCTCTAATCATAGTCTATTATTGTAAAATGTTGCACGCCTTCATGCTATCTAGTACCTTTATTATGTCCAGATTAGTGTATATTTCAATAAAATTTGTTTACTTGTTCAGTATGGGAAGTCCACTTTCATCCCTCCAATCCTGATCATCTGTTCACTTGTTCAGAAGATGGAGCTCTGTGGCACTGGGATGTTTCTACTGACGTGTCTGAAAGAAAATCATTCCTTCATACAGGTAAATTTCCTATTTTTGAGAAACTTGAAGGAGCTTATCTTCTGTCAGTAGACTTGGGAGTGAGTGTAAAGGAAAAGCATAGGACAACATGGGCTTATCAAGCATAGATGTTACTACATTTTTGTGTCTGCTCATCTTCAGAGAGTTCTTCTGTTGTGATATTCAGTTTGGCATTTTCTGTTTATTTCTAACGTGCTGTGTCTCTAGCCAAATTAAGACAGAGCAGTAAAACTTGGCACAATCTACGTTTCAAGTTCGTAAACTGGCCTAATGTTCCTCTGCTATCCCATCTGTGGTTAATGTGAGGAGGGAGGAAATATATACATATACTAGAAATCTCAAAGGAATTCTGTGGTGAAAGCAGTACAGTATCTGGTGCCAATTTTCCAAGTTGGTGTGGTGATGTGGTATGTTTACAATCACTCTGCTTGGGGAATGAAACTTTCAGCAGTGACTTACTGCTTTGATAAAGGAAGTGAAAGGTTGGTAGTGCTTGAAGGGAACACACAAATGTAGAAAAGAAGGTGCTAGAATGAAAGGCTCAAATTTTGAAAGTTGGGTAGAAGAGATCCCCTTGAAATCAAGTGGTTGAAGGCTAGGCCATGAATTATAAAAACAGAGATGAGCCGGGGAAGAGAAGGAAATAATGTGTTGCATTATGTAGCATAACATGTGTAGCACCTGAAGAACAGTGGTTTTGCCCATGCTGCTGCTACTCTGTATTTTATTTATAGGCAGCCATTTGGTGAAAGACTCCAACCCAAATAGTAAAACACTATAGAAAATATAATTTCCAATAATAAAACCCATAAAAAACATAAAATTCAGCAATCATAACAACTTAAAACCATTGACAAAGTATGTTGAAACATATTGGCAATGAAGTCTTTGCCTAACACCAAACAGAAATTAAGGTAGACACTAGGGAAGTTTCCCTGGGAGAGCATTAAATATATGAGGCACTGTGACAGAGAAAATCCTCTTCCCATTATCACTTGCCTAACTTCAGGGCAACTTGCCTAACTTGTCAAGGGGATATGGACAAGACCTGAAGAATGAAGCGTTCATGTTTTGGAAGGCAGTCCTTAAGATAGCCAAGTCCCAAACCATTTAGGACTTCATAGGTAATGAATAGGGTGGTCTGGTAACCTGTATACTGAACTACAGACCTCTGTCTTTGAAAACTGTTTGGAAACTGCAGTTGGTATAAAATACAGCTGATAGCCTACTAACTGGAGCTGGCTCTAGGGACTATGTCTCACTGTTGTACTAGGCTCTCATAAGTTGAGAAGGTAAAGGATCCTGGACGGTGAAGTCCAGTCAAAGGCGACTATGGGGTTGCGGTACTTATCTCGCCTTCAGGCCGAGGGAGCCAGCGTTTGTCCACAGACAGCTTTGGGTCATGTGGCCAGCATGACTAAACCGCTTCTGGTGCAACGGAACACCGTGACGTAAACCAGAGCGCACAGAAACACTGTTTACCTTCCCACCACAGTGGTACCTATTTATCTATTTGCACTGGCGTGCTTTTGAACTGCTAGGTTGGCAGGAGCTGGGACAGAGCTCACCCCGTCGTGGAATTCGAACCACTGACCTTCTGATTGGCAAGTTCAAGAGGCTCAGTGGTGTAGACCATAGCACCACCCCATCCCTAAGTTGAGACGGAAAGAGGTGTAGGCTATATTTCTGGAATGTTAGCAGCAAAGCCAAATACTTAAACTGTTAACAACATGAACAACTGTCAGTCATCACATTTGCTATGGAGAACAATGACTTTCTAATTCTGCATTTAAGTTAAAAATTAACTCATTTTGTGTTTTATTTTAGGTGGGAGAAGTACTACTACATATCTGCCTCACAGTGCAGTTAATCAATCTGTAACAAGTGCCTGGCTCAGCAATGATCCCACTAAAGACCGCATGGAGATCACAAATTTAGTTTCAAATCCAACATTATCTGTGAATAGTTTAGATGTTTTAGGATCATGTCTTGTATATGGAACTGATGCAGAATCTATTTATGTTAAAAAAAACCTATTTGCATAATTTTATCTCCACCAAAGCTGATTTTGAACTTCTAAATGCTGAAATACATTTTCTAGTCATAAACTAGGGGAATAATTTGTAATGGCAGATAAACTACAATTCACATTGCAGCCTCGATTCTTTAACCATGTTACATAAAAGAAAAATAATTGCCATTTCTTTCTAGTTCATGGGTTACCAACTCCTCTTTGCAGTAAGCTACCTAAAGCTCAAAAATATAAAAGGATAGTTCAGCCACTTTTACAGTTCTTCAGCAATCATGAAGAATATAATTAATGTTTAAGTTACTGATAGTGGCAGTAGACTAAATTTCTGAACAAATGCTTGTTTGGGGGAGACTTATGTTGCATTTTTATGTACCAATTAGGTTACAATACTGCTAATCAAAGCTGGAAAAAATATAAATCTTGGCAAAGGAAAATGGAAACAGTAGACTGTTAAAATGCTTCAAAATTTTAATAGTAAGCCATGAAATGGTTTTAAATAGTAACTTTAATGTGACACTGCATACCTCCAACACTGTATCTGACAATAAGATCAATCTTTGGCCTGTCATACAAATTCCATTTAGATTAGCACTGTTACTATGAATTTTTACTTAGAAGTCCCACTGATTTCAGGAAGACTTTTTCCCAGTTAAGTAAGCTAAGGTTCAACAGCCTTATCAATTTAAGAAACACAACTGCTTGTAAAATTGTTAAGAAATCACTGACTGCATGTATCATTTATGAGAACTTTTTTATTAAACTGTCAATAGAAGTTGGTTTTCTTTTCCTACACTCGAGTGCTTAAACAATTATTATAGAACTTGAACATATTTATTGAATAATAAAGCTGTCTTTGATAGCTGTAAGCAGGGCTGCCAGAAGGGTCTATGATAAGGTTACCAGATTTTTTTCAATGAATCCGGGGACACTTTTCAACTTCATACTAAATACCGTAGATGGATTTTGTCAGGGGACTGATTTGTAAATCTGGGGACGTCTGGTAGCCTTAGTCTATGAGTCCAAGTGAGCTTTTTAAACCAAAAGTGAATAGTTTGTTCCAGCCCTCCTCCAGGTGTATAGGACCACGAGCTGTTTGGGGTAGGTGGGTGAGTAGGAAGGCACTGATGCACTCCAAAGAAGACTGTCCTGTTACAGAAACCATGTGAAGGCCATAGTTTTACCTCCACAATAAGTCTTCAGTTAAAGGTAAAGGGACCCCTGACCATTAGGTCCAGTCGTGACCGACTCTGGGGTTGCGGCGCTCATCTCGCTTTATTGGCTGAGGGAGCCGGTGTGCCGCTTTTGGTTATGTGGCCAGCATGACTAAGCTGCTTCTGGCAAACCAGAGCAGCACGCGGAAACGCTGTTTACCTTCCCGCTGGAGTGGTACCTATATATCTACTTGTGCTTTGACGTGCTTTTGAACTGCTAGGTTGGCAGGAACAGGGACCGAGCAATGGGAGCTCACCCCGTTGCGGGGATTCGAACCACTGACCTTCTGATTGGCAAGTCCTAGGCTCTGTGGTTTAACCCAGTTAGGCTAAACAGCCCTATGCCACTTGTGAGTTGTGGCCTGATCCAAGATGGGCCACAACAGGAGCACTACCACCATGCAAATGCACGGTAAAAGATTAAAGAAGGTGTCCCCTACTGCATGTTTGGGTGAAGAGTGGGTCCTGGGTCTGAAAACTTTCCCTGAAGAATGGGGGGTAGGCTAAGCCGAAGGCAGCAGAATACCTTGGCCTGGTTCTGTCCTCTACTTAGTTCCACCCAATGGGCCCAATCCGCACCCCCCGACAGCCAGAGCAGGCGAGCGAGAAGCGACCCATGAGTAGAGACTGCAGCTGTTCCTTGCAGCCACCTACTGCTCGCCGGCAACCGAGCAACGAAACTAGTTGCAAGAAACAGCTGCCGCAGCCATCTCTCGCTCTTTCAGCGGCACGCTCATCTCATTGCCCAGGCCCTACTGTTTGGCCCGCCTGAGCAGCCGCTTTCCCTCGCTTGCGCTGCGTGCTCCTCCCGGGCAGAAGCAAGCGGAGGCTGCTGCTGCTGCTCGCTGACACTGCCAGATCCTCTGCCTCCCTTCGGTGAGAGGGAGCCGTCTCCCCGCAGCAGCCTCTCCGAGAAGCAGCAGCAGAAGCAGCTCACAGGCGCTGCGAGACAGGCACGCGCCCGCCTTCTCCCCACTGCTCGCCTGGCCCAGCTTCCCTCGGCAGTTGCATCACCCGCCCCCTGCCCCCCCCCCCCGAGAAGGCGGAGGCTTCTTACTCCTCGCATTCCAAAGCGAGGGGAGAAGAGGAGGAGGCCAAAAGCCGGCGAAACACGCAAAGGAAGACGGGAAAAGGTTTTACATCCGGGAACCTTGGGCGACAGGCCCTCCGACAAAATGGCGGCCCGGAACTGAACCCCGGAAAAAAGGGGGTGGGTGGGAGATATTGCAGGGGGGAGGGGACGAGCAACTGCTGCCATCAGCACCGGGGACCGAAGCCTTGCTGGCTGCTGCAGAGACGCGCCGCTCCCGCCCCTCTGGGAATCGCTCGCCTTGAGGCGCTGCCGTCTCCTCCCTCAGGCAGGTGGGTAGGAAGGCTTGGCTGCAGTTCCGCCTCAGGGAAGGAAACTCGGTGGCTAGTTAATGGGGAAGGCCCTGCGCACCACACGCCTTGGCCTGGGGTGTTATAACGGGTCCTTCGCTGCCACGGCAAGAACGTCGCTGCCTCCCTTGCCTGGTGAGCGTCTCACCTCCTTCCTCCCCCCGCATTCCTCCGTCTCCGTACAGCTTCTCTCAGGCAGGTTTCTGGCCTTTTTGGTGTCGTGGGCGTTCCTTGTTAGACCATCCGTCCCATTCAACCTTAGACACCCGCTTGCAGCCACCTTATTTATTTCCTGCTCTCCATCCGTTCCCCACTTTTTCATGCTGTGCTGACGAGAAGTAAGTCTTAACGAAGTAGCTGTTCTCTTTTATTTCTCTATTTGGAATTTCGTTTTCCTGTCAGATCTCTCTATCTTGCTGACTGGTTTTTTTAAAAATGATAATTAAAGAAAGGTAGTAGTTAACATTCTCCCAGGGCAGATCAGAATTGTTTGGAAACCTGCCTACTATTTCTCCACAGCGAGATCTGTATTATCATTTTTTAAATGTTTCATCTTATTGCTTGGAATAATGATTAGATGAAAAAGAATGTCTGTTCAAAGTATAACACCAATTCGAATCTGAGATTAATCTGCAAGATCAAATCACTTAACAGGGAACAATATCTAACTGATATGATGCTGATAGGCTTTTCTTTTTCTGGTTTACAGTACTGTATAGTACTTTGCTTAGGTGCAAGTTTGAGTTGAACTGATCTATAGTCATAAATAGCCTAATTGTGAAGAAAAACCTGCAGTTGGAGTTTTTTTCTCTTTAAACCACAGCTCCGCTTCCAAGTATTTTGGTATTGATTGTCATTATTAAATATTAGGTTCTTAACATTCTGCTGTATGCTATACAAATAATAAAATAGGCAAACTTTTGCCTAGATGGCTTACTATATTATTTTATGCCCAGGGTGGAGAGAGGGAATATCGTAAACAAAAAACACAGAACCTCAGATATATAAATTTTACTTAAGGGGGGAGGAATGAAAAGATTACTATGCTTTATTTTCTTTTGTTTTAAAAGTGTGCCTCAATGTGGTGTTTTTGAGATATAATGATTGTAGGTATTAACAGTTATAAAAGTTAGCTGTGTTTGTCCTCATAGTTTATAGCATGGGTAGGCAAACTAAGGCCTGGGGGCCGGATGTGGCCCAATCGCCTTCTAAATCCAGCCCCTGGATGGTCTGGGAATCAGCATGTTTTTTACATGAGTAGAATGTGTCCTTTTATTTAAAATGCATCTCTGGGTTATTTGTGAGGCATAGGAATTTGTTCATATTCCAACATATAGTCTGACCCCCCACAAGGTCTGAGGGATAGTGGACCGGCCCCCTGCTGAAAAGCTTTGCTGACCCCTGGTTTATAGTATTTCATTATGAGCTATTGGACTTTTTCTTTATTGTTATAGGTCTCCTAACAGCTTGATCTTACACGTTTATTCAAGTTTAATTTATTTAAATTGGGCTTACTCCCAAGTGTGTTTGTGATCTAAGGTAGTGGTTCCCAAACTTGTTATCTCCTGGACCACCTGAAAATTGCAGTGTCTTGGCAGACCACTTAATGATTTTCTATTTGTTTAGCAATTGTAATGTGCTGTGCTAGATACTGAAGTATTTCTTTAAAGTTATATGGAATTCAAATTTTAATACAATAACTTGGTCTCAGGACTCTAAGTGGAATCAGCAAATACTGCATCTCCCATCCCTCCATTCTACCTGCAAGAATGTCCAGTTTGCAGAGCAGCAGCTTCCTTTAATCAACACATTTCCATTAGAGAAGCCTTTTCATTTGTAACATGGCAGGTCTGAATCCAGCTCTTTGTGAATTAAAACATGACTAGTGATGGATGCAGGTGGCGCTGTGGGTTAAACTACAGAGCCTAGGACTTGCCGATCAGAAGGTCGGCGGTTCGAATGCCCGCAATGGGGTGAGCTCCCATTGCTCAGTCCCTGCTCCTGCCAACCTAGCAGTTCGAAAGCACGTCAAAGTGCAAGTAGATAAATAGGTACCGCTCCGGCGGGAAGGTAAACATCGTTTCCGTGCGCTGCTCTGGTTCGCCAGAAGCAGCTTAGTCATGCGGGCCACATGCCCTGTCTGCTGACAAACGCCAGCTCCCTCAGCCAGTTAAGTGAGATGAGCGCCGCAATCCCAGAGAGTCGTCTGCGACTGGACCTAATGGTCAGGGGTCCCTTTACCTTTACCTTTAGTGATATTTAGCAGGACCGGAAGAGAAAAATAGTTTTAAACTTTAATATATTGAAAGAAAACAGAAGGGACACAAGCCAATTCCTATCAGCTTTTAAAAAATAAGTTAATACAACATGTAATATTTTAGTGCACATATAGTGTTGAGCATTTCTAGTTTATTCCTATTCAAAGAGGTATTTTCATATTGGCCATCCCAGTAGGATTTCTTTCTTTCTTTATTACAGGTGTGGATCCCACATTCTTTCACTACTGCTTTCGAAAGTACTATGCTTCAAAAGCAAATTGCAGTGTAGCTGATACTTTGGTGGGTTTTTTAAGCCCACACCTCATTTGAAATGTGGAACTAAATGTGCCACTGGTAAAGTGTGGACAAAAACTTTAGAAGCTTTTTTTTCCCATTGAGGACTGTTCAGGCTCATTGAAATCAAATTTGGATTTTCCATTGACTTAAGTGGGAAGTAGATTATTTTGTTGAAAATGCAGACTTTAAGTAGGTAGTCCTTTTTAAAAGGTGAGTGGATAGTCCTGCAGGTCTTTGCCTCTTGTGTACCTACTATCTTTGCAGTATTTTAACTGGATTGATGGCCTATGTTCTTAGCACTACTTTGAACATCCTTCATTGAAAGCAAATGTATAGGACGACATCCAGTGATGTCCGCCTGATTGTGCAGCAGATTTCTGTGTATGCAGTGGGACTCCCCTTCCTTTGCTCCCTTAGCTCCCCTGCATGCCCTCCAAATCTCCAAAGGGCCCTTTAACTCCAGAGTTAAAGTCCGGTTTCCGTCCTGGTTTTGGGACCAAGACGGCTTTGGTTGCCCTAACAGATGATCTCCGTAGACAACTGGATCGAGGCGGGTCAGGACTGCTGATCCTTTTAGATTTGTCAGCAGCCTTTGACATGGTCGATCATGATCTTCTGGACCACCGCCTCGCAGACGAGGGGATACAGGGCATAGCCCATAACTGGTTGTGCTCTTTTATCTCTGGTCGGGGACAGAGGGTGGCACTAGGGAGGGAAATGTCGTCGCGCCACTCCTTGGTGTGTGGAGTGCCGCAGGGCGCAATTCTCTCCCCGATGCTTTTTAACATCTTTATGCGTCCCCTTGCCCAGATTATCCGGAGCTTTGGGCTGGGCTGTCACCAATATGCTGATGACACTCAGCTCTATCTGCTGATGGATGGCCACATCGACTCGGCCCCGAACACACTGACCAGATGCTTGGAAGCTGTGGCTGGATGGTTTCGTGGGAGCCGATTGAAACTAAATCCTTCGAAGACAGAGGTCCTATGGCTAGGTCGGGATGGCATGGGGATGAGGAACCAACTCCCTTCTCTTGCGGGGGCCCAATTAGTGCCATTGCCTTCCGTTAAGAGTTTGGGTGTAATCCTTGATGCCTCCCTTTCCATGGAGGCGCAAGTTACAGCAACAGCCAAGGCGACATTTTTCCACCTTCGCCGCATCAAGCAGTTGGTCCCTTACCTTTCCCGCCCCAACCTGGTCACAGTGATCCATGTGACGGTCATCTCCAGGCTTGACTACTGTAATTCGCTCTACGCGGGGCTGCCCTTGAAGCTGTCCCAGAAACTCCAGCAGGTACAGAATGCTGCAGCGAGGCTCCTCACAGTGTCTCTGCCATGGGAGCATATTCACCCAGTGCTTTTCAAGCTGCATTGGCTCCCGGTGGAGTACAGGGTCAGATTTAAGGTGCTGCTTTTGACCTTTAAAGCCCTTCACGGCCTAGGACCCTCATACCTACGGGACCGCCTCTCCCGGTATGCCCCACGGAGAGCCTCAAGGTCCATAAATAGCAACACCCTAGTGGTCCCAGGCCCTAAGGAAGTTAGATTGGCTTCAACCAGAGCCAGGGCCTTTTCAACTCTGGCTCCGGCCTGGTGGAACGCTCTGCCTCATGAGACCAGAGCCCTGCAGGATCTGATTTCTTTCCGCAGGGCCTGTAAGACAGAGTTGTTCCGCCTGGCCTTTGGCTTGGAGCCAATTTGATTCCCTCCCTCCGTCTCTTCCTTTTTTCTTTTCCTTCTCCTCCTGCGATGAGGCTACTTTTTAATATTTTAATGTTTCAATATTTTAATGTTGTATTTTAATTTTGTTTTTAAGTTGTAATCATTCAACTTGTTTTTATTATTGCTTGTAAGCCGCTCTGAGCCCGGCCTTGGCTGGGGAGGGCGGGGTATAAATAAAAATTATTATTATTATTATTATTAGAGGTGACTAGAGGGACAGAGGATAGGGCAGCTATTGGGAGGTGGGGCCAGGTACATCGAGATAGAGCTAAAGATAGGGGAAGTATAGTGGTACCTCGAGTTAAGTCCTTAATTCGCTCCAGAGGTCCGTACTTAACCTGAAACTGTTCTTCACTTGAAGCACCACTTTAGCTAATGGGGCCTCCTCCTGCTGCTGTGCCGCCAGAGCATGATTTCTGTTCTCAGCCTGAAGCAAAGTTCTTAACCCGAGGTACTATTTCTGGGTTAGCGGAGTCTGTAACCTGAAGCATATGTAACCTGAAGCGTATGTAACCCGAGGTACCACTGTACTACAGTTTTGTGAGACACACTTATTTTAGGGTAAACCTCATTGAACAAAGTGGGACTTCTGAGTAAGATTGTGTTAGTAATCTTGACTATGTCCTACTTCAGAAATATAATTAGTCATTACATAGTCACACTACATCATTCCAATAGAGAAACCAGCAAAATGTTACCTTCAGGAACAGTTATTTTACCACATGCAGCTCGATCCAATGCATGATTACTTATTGAATGGAATATGACTGGCTCCCAAAGTAGTGTATATTGGATTGCATTCCTGTGCCTTTGACAGTAGCTTAACATGCTGAAAGTAAACAGGTGAAGCTCTTCATAACATGGCTATATCAATTGTGGGGAAAGCTGTTTCCAGCCAGTGTACTTAGAAGTGGCCTTATTCCTAAGTGCATTGGAGTTCAGCCTTCATAGAAACCCTGCTTTTCATATCAGGCTACTGCTAAACTCACGGAAGCAGGAAAATAAAGTTGGTAATCCTGCTGCTAGTCTAGAAAGATGCCTTGGGGGACAAGTAGAATTGCCACCTCACTGGATTCTTGTGCCTTCAAACAGCTGCAAGGAGAAGCAAATTTTCAGCAGCTGTAACTTACCTAGGAATGGAAAATCCAGTTTTAGAGCCTGATCTGGGTATCAAAATGAACTTTCATTAAATTTGCAATAGGAATAAAAGTTTCAAGTATCCATTTCACTGAGGATTGGTGAGGCTCAGAGACCAATAACGTACTTGTCCATTTCAGAGAGTGTAAAACTCAACAAAGCAGTTGCAAAAGCCTATTGTAGAGCAGAGAAAATGGTAGTTATGTTGTGTTTTATAAATCCAGATGTGCACCAGATGAGTTAGCTTCACTTAAAAATTTCAGAGGGGAAAAATGGACTACTGCTACTGAAAGTAAACCTCCAACAAAGCTTTTCCAAAAGTGCATTTCAGGGACACCCCACCCCCATTTTAAAAGCAGTTTAAAATATTTCTTTCTCCACAAATTAGACATAAGTTTAATTTACCCCAACAGAAATGACTTCTTGCAAAAAGAGGTCTGAATTTTTGCATAATAGTCTTGGACTTGGTTAGTTTGTTTTGAGAGTATCCCCAGTCTTTGACAGCACACAGTAACTTACGTTGGGTGAGTTATACATGGATATCTCTGAAGTTGTGTCTTTTTTATAGAGTCTCTCCATGCCTGCTTCCCTCAATTCAAGCTAGGTTATAAAGAATAAAGCATTTTGCTAAAGCTGTCAGATCAAATCATTTGGAAACAAACATGTAAATAAAACTCTGGCTGCAATCCTATGCACGCTTAATTGAGAGTAAAACCAAATGATCCCAGCAGGAGTTATTTTTTACTAAGCATGCATAGGATTTTGCTGTTGGCAGGAAAACAACAATTGGAAAATGTTATAACAATGACATTTATTTATTTAGGTTGGCTGACCTAGGTTTGAATGAATGGTTATCCTCCTGGAATCAAGGTCAACCGTCAATTTTGAAGTTGCCATCCAACTTGTTGAGTATATTGAAGGTGAATCTTCGTTAGAGGTTATACAGTTTCATGAAGAGAAGTGAGAAACCAGAAGGTTATAGACAAATGAGGCCTAAAACTTTTCCTGCCAGTAATTACACTGGTAGCAGCCGGCAAATGTTGCAAGAAATACGAGAAAGCCTTAGAAATTTGCCTAAGCCCTCTGAAGCTGCAAAAGTTGAGCAAAATGTGGGTAAAATACCAACTGATGATCCGAGACAGGGTCGAAATCCCCCTAAATTTGTGACCTACCATAAAGCATTACAAGAAATTCGGAATTCTCTGCTTCCCTTTGCAAATGAAACAAGTTCTTCAACAAGAGGAACATCAGAAGTTAATCGGCAGATGTTACAAGATCTACAAGCTGCTGGATTTGATGAGGTAAAATAACAAATTTAAGTGGTTACTTATATTAATGATAGTGCAAAAGCCATATGAAATCATTGTGAATGTTTTGCTTGTAATTTGTTGCTGGTAATATTTTGCTGCTTCCTATGCACATTCCTAGTATAAGCTTAATGTTCCTGTCTAGAATTCAGTCCAAAATACAGTGTATAACTTTGGCTTTCTAGTTAGTTCTATTGGTTTTCAAAAGGATTTGTTTTTCTTTATTGATTGTGGTTCAGGTTTTTTCCACAAGCATTTCAGATTGCTAGCAACCTCTTATTTGATTAAAGTTAATACCGTAAGTAATGTTAATGAGATGATTATTTTATACACTGTTGCTCTTTTTGTGTTTTCTATTTCTTGTATTTTATTATTTTTGGGATTTCATTAGTGCATAAAATTCAAGTGCTTTAGATGTTGCAACAAATCAGCCCAAGTACCCAACTCTTTCAGTGTAACTTGTATACTTTTAAGATGCATCTTGTTTTTGAGGCTGCATTCCTAACATGCTTACCAGAGGAAGTCCCTTTCCCATATTTCTCTCTTCTCTGGAGTCTGTCAATCATCTCCTTTAGATCATTTTCTCTTTATCTCTTTCCTCACAATCCTGTTATTTTGTTTTATGCTGAACCTGCAGCTTCACTTCTATATTTATTTCCATTTCTGATAACTCTGCTTGAGTTTTTGCTATTTCTGGCTAGATGTGTTTCCATTCGCTTTCTCTTAAAGTTTCCCAAACTGGGCTATTGGTCTTTTCTACTTCTCTACGTACACTATATTTATTTTCTTTTACTTTGCATCATTCTTCTCTTTTATGTTAAAGTTGTTTTTGATTCCTCTCTTTATTCAAGCTGTTTCAAAAAAATTGTTCAAACATTAATATAACTAATGTATTTTTTGTTGTCTTCTTCCACTGCCAAGGCACTGGTGTAGTATTAATTATTAATTTATAGCTTTATACCTTTCCTCTTCTCAGCTTCCTCTGGTCTCTTCCATCCTTTTAACTCTGCTGCTAATTTAGTTCATTTTGGCCACTGTATTTGTTGTTGTTTCAATTACCTTCATTGGGTTCCTTATCAGAGACAGTTTAACCTGTCACTTCCTTTTCTTAAACCTCTTCTTTATGGACACCATCTTATCTATCTTTTATTTGTCTTCTCATAGTCTTCACCTCTTGCTTTACTTCTTCTCACACCCAGTGCTTTTTTGTTGCCACTGGTGAAAGGAATATGTAATGAGCTAGGGAGTAGGAATTTCAAGGGAAAGTGGCAAGATATCCCCTTGCAGCTATTTCTGCTGCCTGCAACATACATCACTGAATTGAGAAACTTACTGCATGATGTAAGGGAGAGTTTTCCCTCTGTTTTCTTTCCCACTCCCTTGCAGCTGGGAAGCATCCCTTTGTCTGGGTGGCAGGAATGGATTTGGTGGATAAATATATCCTCAGTTGGGTTGCTGCTCCTGTTTATTCCAGAAAGTGGAGCTATTGAAATCAGGCACAACTACCCTCTAAAGGAGAGCACCTTCCCTCAGTCTTCTGACGCTTCAGGAGACAGCTCAGACATTAGCTCTTTACCTTTCCCCCTTCACTCTCTTTTTTTGTCTGCCTTGAGTTTTTCTTTAAGACCGCTCTCTTATGTATTCTAAAGAGAGAGAAAGAAGCAGCTCAGTGTGCTTTTGATCCCACCCTGCCATCAGTCTAATCCCCACACTCACTCTTTCCTCCTAATCCCGCATCACACTTTCTCCCACACTGCTAATCCTCAACCTTAAAACACATTGTACCAGGAAGAATAAATGTTAAATTCTAATAGAGCTCGGGGAAAGTTTGCCTCAAGTTTAATAGCTAATTGTACAACACTATGCACTAAGAAGCCTAAGGCTACAATCCTGTACCTGCTTATTGAAAGTAAGCCAAATTGAATTTAATGGAACTTACTTCTGAATAGGATAGTATTGCATTTTCAACTTCACAGTGTTATCAGTATTGGAGTTAGATAAAATGTCATTTAAAAGTCTTAAGCAGTGACAAAAAAAGAAGCACCAAGCTACAGAGAGAGATAGAAATATAGCAAGGCACTTCTGTGCATAAGAAAAAGGACAGATTGCGAAGGATGCATCAGCCTTTGCAAGAGAGTTGATAATAACTTAAACTGTAAGTTCAATCATATACTGTACAGAAGTGGACTCATTGTGTCCATTGGGGCTTACTCCCAGAAAAGGATTGCAGTCTTAGAATTCTTACAATATATTGAATTTTTATTTAGTCTTTGAGCGTTCAATTATATTCTCCATGGAAAAGTATATAAGAAGCCCTGCCATCTGGAACGTGTAATTTGGAGGGAGAGACCAGCAGGAGAGGGTTGATACATCCTTTCCCAACTGCCCACATGATTTGCATAATTAGCAAATACTTTGCATAGTATGCAAATTAGGCCACATTTGGGGAACTGAAATCTAGATCTTAATCTAGTCGTCATCATCATGATGCATTAAAGGTTTGAATGTGTTCCTTCCACCCTTTTTTGTTGTGAGTTATTGGAGGTTTTATTTTAAACCCTTTCTCCTCCCATTCCCCAAATAGGATATGGTTGTACAAGCTCTAAGACAAACCAACAGCCGCAGTATAGAAGCAGCAATTGAATTCATAAGTAAAATGAGCTACCAAGATTCTCGGCGAGAACAAATGGCAGCGGCAGCAGCTAGACCTGTTAACGCTGGCACAAAACCACCAGGTAGGTGTAAAGAAAAAAGGTAAAGTACCGCTGGATGGTTAAGTGCAGTCAAAGGTGACTATGGGGTGCGGCGCTCATCTTGCTTCAGGCCAAGGGAGCCGGCGTTTGTCCACAGACAGCTTTCTGGATAATGTGGCTAGCATGACTAAACCATTTCTAATATATGGCCTTGGAAACAAGAAATGAAATTGGCCACTTCTGCCATGATTGGAAATCTTGTGGCAGAGGACAGAGAGATAAGCTTTGGAAGTTCAACATCCAAACAATAAAGACAAGACTTTTTAAAAAGTAGCATTTTCATTTATATATGCTATAAAATTTTATGTTCAGTGTTACACAATTTTACAGCAAACTACTGCAGCTCAATTAATTTTGTGTATTCAGTTCATTTTGATATCGGGTTGGATGGAGATGGTGTTATTTAACTTCTGAAGTGGATATTTAATTAAAGGCCTGTTGAAACAGGGTGTGTGTGTCTTTTTGCTATTGCTTTCATTCTAACTCAATACACCAGGAAGCCCCAGGGAAGTAAATTGAGAATGCTTCCTCATCTCATCTGGCTAGCTCCAGCCCCATTTCTCTCCCACCTTTTGGGCTGGCATCTGGAAAACTGGGTATAGCCAGAGAAAGGCAATACGTAGAGATCTGGACCAAGTTTTACAGCAATGGGTCACTTAACATATTATATTCCAATGTGCATAACTAACCCTTTTTTAAAAAAAAATGAAAAGCTGCCTCAGGAAAGGAGTGTTCAGAGTGAAAGAGGGAGGGATGCTTAGTCCATTCTCCACCTGCCATGTCTGTGCTGAAAATCAAATGCCTCCTTCCCCCAGAGACTTTCTTGTGGAGTTCCACAAGTTTCTTTGTCCTATCATACTCAGAAATTAACCAGAAAAGAGAGAAAAGCCTCTTGAGCATAGGAATAATTTGGTGCAAATAAATAGCTGGATAGAAAAAATAGTGTCCTCCTGTTGCTGCTTTCCTTTTGGGGAAAAAATCTGTTTGGGCTCAGTTACATGCAGTTGTTTGTAATATGTAGTTACACAAAATATCCATTTCATAGAAGAAACACCTGTGATGTTTCGAGTCCTCCCCACCCCAGACAGGTCTCTTAATTCCTCAAATAAGAAATAAAACAAACAAAGTAGGCAATACCCCCTAAAAAAAAAAAAAAAGGACAATGCCTCCCAACAAAACAACCAAGAGAGGGAAAATAAACTTAACTTTTAAAAATAAAAAATTGGTTGGGGAAAGCATGCCTGAGGGTATAAACCCTTTAGGATCTTCCAGTCTTTTTCTGTGCATATATTTGAATTAATTCATGCCCCTTATTCCTAGAAGTAAGTTCTTTTAAATTAATGTTTTTAAACTCAAATGAATCATTCATATTGTTTTTTCAAAGTTATATTTGAACTTTGCTTCTGTCTCCATGAAACATCACTTTTATTAATCCTATGAAATTCCTGTTCTGAAATAACAGTGCACTGTGTAATAAAAAGCATACTGTTGTTTTCTTTTTAAAACAAATAGGGGGAGTGCAGCAGTCAGTCAACCGCAGGCAGAGCTGGAAAGGTTCTAAAGAATCCTTGGTGCCTCAGAGACATGGTCCTGCATTGGTAGATGGCCTGGCATTTCATTCCGAGAATCCCATTTCTCAGCCTGATGGAGGAAGACCCTTGTCTGGCTCTGGAATAACAGGATTTGCTCAGGCTCATCCTGGTAATGGACAAAGAGCAAATCCGCCACCTCCACCTCAAGTAAGGAGTGTAACCCCTCCTCCTCCACCTCCCAGGGGAACAACTCCACCTCCCAGAGGAACAACTCCACCTCCTCCTTCCTGGGAAACAAATTCTCAGACAAAACGGTATTCTGGTAGCATGGAATATATGATCTCTCGCATTTCTCCAGTGCCACCAGGGGCATGGCAAGATGGCTATCCTCCGCAACCTATAAATCCATCATCGATGAATCCTTCCACACAGGGACAAAGAGGTATTAGTTCTGTTCCTGTTGGCAGGCAACCAATAATCATGCAAAGTTCAGTTAACAATAAATTTAGTTTTTCATCTGGAAGGGCTGGAATGCAAAATGGCAATTGTCAGACTGATTATATTGTTCATCAGAATATTGTGCCTGGTAACTCAGCGAATCGTCAACCACCACCGCCTTACCCCATGTCTCCGGCAAGCCAGCAAAGCCCCACACCTTTGCAAATGCAAGCAGGAGGCTCTGCAGCCCCATCATATCCTAATGGGAACATTCCTCAGTCTATGATGGTTCCAAACAGAAACAGCCACAATATGGAGCTGTACAATATAAATATTCCTGGAATCCCAACATCCTGGCCCCAGTCGTCCTCTGGGCACGAAATTCCAACTTGGCAACCGAATATTCCAGTAAGGTCAAATTCCTTCAATAACCCTCTTGGAAGCAGACAAAGCCATGCTACCAATTCACAGACTTCTGCCACCACAGTAACTGCTGTTACTCCAGCTCCTATACAGCAGCCAGTAAAAAGCATGCGTGTACTGAAACCAGAGCTGCAAACTGCCTTAGCTCCTACTCACCCTTCTTGGATGTCACAACCAATGCAGGCTGTCCAACCCATCTCCTTTTCTGAGGGACCATGTACAAATATGGCAGTCCTGTCACCTGCGCCAGAGGCTCTAACATATCAAGGTCCACCACCACCTTACCCAAAGCATTTATTACACCCAAATCCACCTGTCACTCCTTACGAGTCTGTTGCAAAGCCTGGCAAAGAGGATCAGCCCAGTTTCCCTAAAGAAGAAGAAAGTGAAAAGAATGAGAACAGCGAGGGAATGGATAGAGAAAAGAAGCAAATAACAACTTCACCAGTCCCTGTTAGGAAAAACAAGAGAGATGAAGAAAGAAGGGAGTCCCGCATTCAGAGCTATTCTCCTCAGGCTTTTAAGTTCTTTATGGAGCAGCATGTCGAAAACATACTGAAATCTCACCAGCAGCGACTCCATCGTAAGAAACAACTGGAAAATGAAATGATGCGGGTAAAGCCTTTTAATTATTTAATTCCTATTTCCGTGTTGCTTCTGTGTGGAATGTTTTTCAAGCCTTCTGATTGTATCATTGTGTCAAATCTCTGAGGTGAACTAGGCTGACCTTCAGTGATTTACTCATAGCCAAACACTCTGAATCTGAGATCTTTCATACCCAAATGCCAGGAGCAGCTGGTGTGATGGGTTAGAACTGTGGAGCCATCTTCCTGGCAGCACCAGTGCTGCAGCTTACCAGGGCAGTGCTTGGGTGGAGTACCAGATTGACTTTTTGACACTCCAGTCCAATGACATCCAGGTAAGCTGCAGCAGAGTTGGTTTCTGAAGGACAAGTCTGTGGCTCTAGCGTACCACATCAGCCATTACTGTTAGATGCAATACTATCATTTGCCACAGCCCCCCAAAATTCATACTTAGATAATTGTTGAATCTGAGTTGCTTCCCTTATATGTATTATATCATGCAACAGTATCAAGGTAGATGTGTTGGGTATTTTGTGTCTAGGAAGAAAAGTTATAAAAAATTGTTTCTGAAGTAATGTTGCATGAGCAAAATATACTTAAGCTCCTGCAAGGAGCTGTTTCAGGTTTTTTGGTCATTTCCATAGCAGGCGTTTGTGACATATGCTACTAAATTACCTCTTCTATGTGCACAGTTGATGATAGTCTAGCTCTGTAGGAATGCAGCATTTGTTACAGTTCTACATTTACTCTCTTTTGAAAACTATAAATAAATAAATAAATATTATACCTAGCAGATAAATGGCTTTGATCCTGAGTTGCTGTTTGACTACCAGAAATGACTCTGAGCCTAAAATCCAAGCCTGTATCTGTACAATCTCAAATTCAGTTCCAGAATATATTTGCAGAATTTATACTTTCACCTTCAATTAAAGTCCCAGGGCAGCATTTCCAGGATACTGTTTTGTCCTATGGATTTTTGTTGTTCACTCTGTTTCTCTCTTTACTGTAGTAGTGGTAGAATTCAGCCTCAGACCACAGGTGGTGTTACATATCTCTTTATGTAAGCAGTAAGCATCAAGTTCTCATGTGAGATGTAGCAATTAGCTTTGTCCAAGCAATTAGCTTTGTTTCAAGCACAAGAGAATTCTAATAAGAATGGCTTAAAGATCCTAATGCAGACTTCTTCAACCTCGGCCCTCCAGATATTTTTTGACCTACAACTCCCATGATCCCTAGCTAGCAGGACCAGTCGTCCGGGATGATGGGAATTGTAGTCTCAAAACATCTGGAGCTGCCGAGGTTGAGGAAGCCTGTCCTAATGGAAGGAATCTCATTTGCAGGGGGGAAACCCTGAAAAATCGAAAGCTCTTCTAACAATCAGCAATAATGCTGCTCTAGTCAGGGTATCAGGCTGGAATCACAGGAGAGCTTGAAGCTCTCTAGCCATTGTCTATACCTTTGTAGGAAAGGCCTACCTTCCTTTATGAAAACAGGGTTCTTGGTCAAAAAAAGAACCTATCTCCTTATGTCTGCTGAAGCCAAGTTGGTGCATTCAAGAAACTATAAAAGGAATGCATGCAATCAGGAAGCACTGGAAAATGGGTAGAAACAAGTGATCTAAAAATGCAGTATGCCGACTTTCAACTTTATTGCTCAGAAGAGAAACAAATTGTTGATGCCATGAGAGTTGGGAATGGGGAAGTTGGAAACTTATTTATATGTGCCCAACCAAGGATATACACAAGTGTAGTCAGAAGCAGGCAGCTTCCCTAGGAATGTGCCAAAGAGATTAAGTATTATTTTCCGCAAACTCTAGCAACACTGATTCTGCTAGGACCATTACTTCTAAATCTGAGCTTTGCAGCTATTTTTTGTGGCAGACATGGGCCTAGAAGTAAGTAACTCAGTAGACTGAGAGATTTAATAAATCCTGTGATGAATACAGGCTAACAAGATATAAGGGTTTTCCTTAATCTTGCTAATTTTATGTTAAGCTATTTGATGGAATGTAAAAGGCCTCTTTGAAAGAAAACAACAACTGTATACGCTCCAAAATTATGTGACGTAGGAAGGAACTGTTTTAATCAGTTGTGAGTTCTTTTGATTTGTTACAGACAGGCATATTTTGACAAAGCAGTGGAATTGCCTTTATTACCTGTGTTAAAAATAAGCATTGGAATTTCAGCTGCATGTTATTAATTTCTAGTTTACACTTTCACTGGAATCAAGGGTGAACCACCTTTCTCTGCTTCTGTGACATTCTTTAGAAGTGCAGTTTTGTTTTCAAAAAATATCCCTGTTAAATTGTATCTTTATGTAATAGTAAGCTAACTGATGTGTAAATCAAATTCCAGTTCTTGCTTTTTCTACATGTTCATTCTTAGTCTCTTTCCTTTTCACTTTCACTAACAGCTGATTTAACTATTAAGGTGTTGGAACCTTTCCTGACATCTCTACCCTTCGTTACTGGGTAGGCAAGTAATATTTTGGAGACAAGTGTTGCATTTACAGAATAGCATGGACTCTTTCTTAGGGACCCTGCATGCTTACTTGCATTTGAATTAAGCATGTATTCTTTCACCGTACTTGAATGTATTTATATCAGATTACTAATCTTCCTTCCTTTTCCTGTTTTATAAAATTATTTATGGTCTGCAGTAGCACAGGGATAATGATACAATTAAACTTTTGTATTTTACTTAATTCTTTTTTTTTAAATAAAAAACCAAGTTCTAATTCCCTATTCTCTCATTAAATATTTCTTAAAACATAGTCTCCTTCAGGATTGTCAAGTCAGAAAAATTGGGGGGAAACCTGAATACTGGAGGTAGAAGCTCCTACACTTTCCAGAGTCTGCAAAAAAAGCAAACCTCTATTTTACTCTCCTTGCTGAAAACTAATCTGATTTGGCTTGGTTTCAAACGGAATAGGAAAGGATAGGGGAAAATCCTGCATTCTTATATGGTTATTGCTGTACTTTTAATTTAATGTAACATCCTCCCAAGACCATGAAGCTCTTATTTTCATTTCGGAAGCTGCAAATCTTCAAACGCCACCACAACCCGACCCCGCCCTTCCTTCTCGAGATGAAGCATTTTTAAGCTATTGAAGCAATGACTCCCAAGTTCCAGTCCCCTATTCCCTCATTAAGTATTTCTTTAAAAAATCACAACAGCAAGTGCAGAAGGGGGAGGAAAAAAACTCAATACTGGAGAGGCAGGAGCTACTACTTATAGAGAGCCTGCAAAAAATTAAAACCCCAGCAAGCCTCTAGTTTACTCCTTGCTGAAAGAAATTGATCAAGCAAGAATAATGAGAGAAAAAATCCTGTATTCGCTCAGAACCTGAGAGTACAGTGCTGATAACCCCACGGTCGCAAATTCAATCCCCATATGGGGCAGCTGAATATTCCTGCATTGCAAAGACTAGATGACCCTCCTTATTTTATTTGCTAAAGCATTATAATCTAGAACCAAACCCTAGAGCTTTGCTTTCCTAGCAGAAGCTATTCAAACCCCGCCAGCACCCAACCTCCACCCTTTCTCCCTGCAGCAAGAAAATCTATTTTACTTAATTCTGTATACTTAAAAGTGGCTGGTTTATTTAGTACTTTCATTACTTATTTTGCCAGACACTTATTTGTATAACTTTCCACCCTCCTTTTCTTCTAAAGATTGTGTTCAACACAATTATAAATTGAGTCCTTTAACAGTGAAGGGTAGAAAGTCACATGGGAAGAAATAGTGCAGTTTCTTTAGTAAGATTTGAATCCTGACAGGAGAAGACTACTTTTCTTGTCATGTAAATAGAAGAAATGTGAATGAGATCTAGCTTTAGCTGACTATTAAGAACATTTCTATGAAGGAAAGTAGTCATAGCCATCCTGTCCCCTACTCTTAGCAGTAACAGAATGTTGTGTTCAGCTTGCCTATTTTCATCAGTCAAGACCCTCATCAAACCAATTGTCCTTAAATCCTGAGCCTCATTGTGCATGGCTCTTAGTGTATGGCTTTGTTATAATCACTCCTTTTAACCATCCCTGAATACTACATTTTGTGTCATATTTGTTCTGAAGTGTTTTCATTGGCTCCTAACATATTGCAATACAGAAATTAAAACAATAAAAAATGGAGGCATTATTCCCTATTTAAGGACTGGTGCTTTGCTTGTCCTAAACCTGAGTTTGTAGACATTTTCCATGAGCAATTCTTCATTTTTTTCACTTGTCAAATTTCATATTTGTTGCATAGGTTGGGTTATCCCAAGAAGCCCAGGATCAAATGAGGAAAATGTTATGCCAAAAGGAATCTAACTACATCCGTCTGAAACGGGCAAAAATGGATAAATCAATGTTTGTTAAGATTAAGACCCTTGGAATTGGGGCATTTGGAGAGGTGTGCTTAGCAAGAAAGGTGGATACAAATGCCTTATATGCAACAAAAACTCTACGTAAAAAGGATGTGTTACTTCGGAATCAGGTTGCTCATGTTAAAGCTGAACGGGATATTCTTGCAGAAGCTGATAATGAGTGGGTAGTTCGTTTGTACTATTCATTCCAAGATAAAGACAATTTATACTTCGTTATGGACTATATTCCAGGAGGAGATATGATGAGTCTGTTAATTCGAATGGGGGTCTTCCCAGAAAATATGGCCCGGTTCTACATAGCAGAACTGATCTGCGCAGTTGAAAGTGTCCATAAGATGGGATTCATTCATAGGGACATAAAACCAGATAATATTCTGATTGATCGTGATGGCCACATCAAATTGACTGACTTTGGGCTTTGTACTGGCTTTCGGTGGACACATGATTCCAAATACTACCAGAGTGGTAAGAGAAATGTTTGCAATAATGGCATTTTGTTACTGCATATTAGCATATATAGTAGCAGCGTTTACTTGTATTTACTAGCAGGTTTTCCACATTGCTGCCTGATTGAGCACCATAACATTTTGTGAAGTCATTATCAAAGCAGAGATAGTCTCAATCACCCATTATATAATATTAGATGACTTTTGTAATCTTGTCCCACTTCAAAAAATATTAATGACTATTGTGAAATGACATCATTTAAAATATATATACAGCAAAGATGAGCAAGGTTTTGCTTCCCAGTCACCCCCTTCACAATTGCTTCTATTGGTTTGCAAAATGTTTTCTGTTGCAGGTGACCACCCACGTCAGGACAGCATGGATTTCAGTAATGAATGGGGAGATCCAGCAAGCTGTAGATGTGGAGACAGGTTGAAGCCACTCGAACGTAGAGCAGCACGTCAGCACCAGCGCTGTCTGGCACACTCATTAGTTGGGACACCAAATTATATTGCACCAGAAGTATTGCTGCGGACAGGTAAATGTTTCCTTTTGTTCCTTGGCAAAGTAATTTGGTGCTAGTTTCTGAAAATGATTACCCAAAAACACAAACTGGTATAATAAGGAAGCACCGCTATAATACAGGACTGTATACAGTGATACAAATGACAATTTATGGTGCTATATTTTGTAACACAACATAGTGTATCAATGTGAAGAACTCTTCATCCTAATAGGGGAAGATCACAGTTATCCAACATTGTATAGATTCCTCTGCTTGTGGTAAAGTACACCTGGATAGAAAAAGCACCTATTTTTAAGGTAGCTTCTCATTTCAGCTACAAATGCAAACATGAACAATGAAGGTTTTCCCCTGTTTGGTGAGCCTACCATTTTTTCAAAATGTTTTTATCATACAGGTAACATTGTAATACGACTGTACTGTGACACTTTATGGTCTTAAATTTTGTATTATTGTGCTATGTGTGATAGAGCTCCTGACTTTTAACAGTCCTGCTGCATAATAATTAGATTAGACTTCCATTTGTATGCTGCCTTTCCACAAAACAAATTATGTTCAATAACATTTCAGCAATAATTTATATAAGCATTGAATACAGCAACATTTCTGAAATGAATCAAGCCAAACTGCATACACATTAAAGTGCCACATGCAAAAGCATCACTAACCATCAGCCCATTTTTAAAATAAATAAAGTTACATGCAGTAGAAAATTGAAAAACATGGCAATTAAAAAAAATAGCTGGTGGTTAAATCTAGAATTTTTATTGAAATATTGAATTACTGAGTTTTCTTTTGTTTCAGGATATACACAGCTGTGTGACTGGTGGAGTGTTGGGGTGATTCTCTTTGAAATGCTAGTTGGACAACCTCCCTTCCTGGCACAAACACCATTGGAAACACAGATGAAGGTATTAGAGGAAAATCTACTTTTGAATGTGTTTCAGAAATGTTTCTTCACTTGTTCGTGAGGGTAGGTGTTTTATTACTGAAACAGTCTTCTAATTTTGTTGCACTTGTTTGTGTTTTTAATCTAAAGGTTATCAATTGGAAAACATCACTGCACATTCCACTGCAAGCAAAACTAACGCCAGAGGCATCTGACCTTATTATTAAGCTCTGCCGTGGGCCAGAAGACCGCTTAGGCAAGAATGGTGCAGATGAAATAAAAGCACATCCGTTTTTTAAATCTATTGATTTTTCAAGTGATCTGCGGCAGCAACCTGCTTCCTACATCCCTAAAATTACGCATCCCACAGACACATCAAATTTTGATCCAATTGACCCAGATAAATTATGGAGTGAGGATAAGGAAGGGAATGTAAATGACACACTTAATGGGTGGTATAAAAATGGCAAACATCCTGAACATGCTTTTTATGAATTTACATTTCGAAGGTTTTTTGATGACAATGGTTACCCTTACAGCTATCCCAAGCCTATTGAATATGAATACAGTAATTGTCATAGATTGGAGTCAGAATCAGATGAAGATGAGGAGAGGACCAGAAGAGAGGCCCAAAATCATGATCTAGTTTATATTTAGTGGAGAACGTAAACCATTCTTTGGGATTTCCAAGATGTATGCTACAAGAGAACCTGAAAAACAATTGGAAAGCTGGTTTTCTGCGCACTTGGGGTGGAGAAAAAGGATGCATGATCATTGTTGATCTAGTGGTTTTTCCTGTCTTTCTTTTCTCCCTATCAACACAGAAGTCCTTTTTCAAGCATTCATTTTTTCCAGCATTGTTAAAGAGGAATATAGAAAACAGTAATGTTAGGAAAAATAAATTGTAAAATAAATAGTTACACCTTTGTAAAGTATTCAGATTAGGAAATTGTAATTTCTTTAGGAAATTAGATACTTGTCTATTTGTATATAGACCACATACATTTATTTTCCTCCCATAATTTTTCATTTTTTAAAATTGTCTTAGCTTGACCAAATATCATTAATACCATGTACTTACTAAACTGATAGTTGTTTTTCCTGACTATTTATCAAATTCTCACTCTAGATGAGACTGCAGAGAGTAAACTAGTAGGGATTTTCTGGCACTCTGGGGGTTGTGGGTTTGGAACAAAGAAGCGTAGGATTATAATCCGAAACCCATTTAGAAGTAAACTGTTGAGAATGTAGTGGGACTGACTTCTGAGTAAACATGCATAGGAATGTTTGTGTTTCTTCTGACAATAAATGATGATGTTCACATATTAGTAATTATTTTAATTTTGCTTGATTGTTTTGTGAAGCATTACTGGCTTTGTGGTGCCATAACATAAAATTGAGGCGGGGGGGCGTGTGTGTAGAGTGATACTGGCCTATCACAAAATGTCTTTGCTGGTTGATCTCATCCTGCATTAGAAAAGACTGAAAACACTTGAGTTCCTGTGATACATACTTACTATGAATTCTTATCCTATCCCTGTAAGAAACGCCATAACCAGGTTCCCTGCAGTTCCGTTATTACTGTCCTTGCGCTGTATCATTTCAAACCAAAGGGCTTGTTTTGAAACAGGTGGTTCAGTTCCTTACTCCCAGATTCATTAACTAATTTGAACTGAACTAGTAATCCTGTTTACTGGGGATTAGGTATAATTTTATCTCTCCAGTAGACTGCTTCTGGGATACCTTTGAAGTTGCAGCCTCTTGTTTCATCATTCCAAGAATAACATGCTAAGTCCTGGTTTCCATGGTACATGTTGGCTTGAAGATATTTCTTGCTTCCTGCATAGAGGGCACATGCTGCTGTTGCAGGTAACTGTTGTACCCACAAAATCTGTTTGTACCTCAGTGATTGTAGAAGGTAAATAGTTCTTCATCCCAGAGCCAGCTACTTTAAACTAAAGGAAAAACAGCAGATCATACAATTTTGCTTGCTTGATTTTTTAGAAAGCAGTTCCCCCCTGCACAGATTATTCTAAACATCCTGCTCTCTAACACAGAGTTGCACAAATAGTTACCCTTTCAAACCCATATGCTAGTCTTTTCACCCTTGAAGAATTAGCAGATTCAACATCCTGTAGTAGTCATACAACTACTTAAGAATATGTATATATCTCTCTGGTTGTGAAAAATAATGTGATGTGCTCTGAAGAATCTCCTTCCCTGACTAGTGCTTATTCTTTTGCAATGAGTTAATTTATTATTTATTATGATTCCTTGCTTTTCCTCTGATAATGACATAAATGGCTCATAAGAATCTTCTAAATAATCTTGTGCCTATATAGGATAACATGGTCAGGGCTGCTTGCTTTCAGCATTAGAACCAGATCTTGTGCCTTTAGACCATTCTCTAGCCTGCTTACCTCTTGAGCAATAGGCATGTTTAATATTTCTCTATTAAAAACAGTAATATTCATGGAGTATAGGCTACTGCAGAATGCATATAGATATCTGTCTTCAAGAAAAACAATTGCCCCAACACCTTTATCATTTAACATTCTGGTTTAGAATTTACCTTGTGTGGGTCCTACATATGATGGGTATAAAAAACCCAATTCATGCACCCTCCCTTATCTGGTATATAGCTTTTAGTCTTAACTAGACAATCTTTTGAAAAGTTCTGTGGGCGGTCAGTAGTCTTGTCTTGCTCCCCTACACTACAAAACATAAGTTCTGTGTTTGAAGCTGAAGTGTGAATCAGACCTTGGAATGTCTAACTTTAGCATTATATAGGATTCAGTGTACAGTTATTCTAACTTTTGAGATGTGTTTTTTGTAAAAATAAAAAAGTCCTATTTTAAAGAGGATTTTGAAGGTTGTCCCTTGTTTATTATTGATAGGAGTTCCAGTTAAACTGGCAAGTTATTGTTTTTTGTCCTGCAATAAAATATAATATATTCCTGGCTAAAGCCAGATAAATTTAAACTGCTATCTACAGTTAAGTACATATGTGAACTTGCTTTCTCAGTTTCAAAACAGAATGTTCATCATCTAAACTCATAGAGAAAACAGAGAGATCTTATGTATCCCGAGTTCTCAAGTCCAGGAGATGGCCTGTGTTGGAAGAGGTTACCCTGTCCTAGGAGCAGCAGGTCCATAGCTTAGGGGTTCTGGATTCAACTGAAGTTTCAGGTAGCCTTAGTGGCTATGAGTGTCGTTTTTCCAGCTATGCACCATTTGGAAAATAAATGATTTGGTCACTGTATTCCAGACCCTGGCAACTTCCCAATTGGATCATTGCAATGCACTCTCCATTGGTCTGCCCTTAAAGATAACTTAGAAAGCTCAGTTGATCAGGATTACTGGCTGGGATTCCATTTTCAATCATATAATCCCTTTTCTTAAACAGCTGCATTGGTTGTCTGTTCATTTCTGGGCCCAGTTTAAGGTGTTCATGTTAGTGTTTAAAGTAAATGGTGCTTCCGTCACGGTGTTCCGTTGCACCAGAAGTGGTTTAGTCCTGCTGGCCACATGACCTGGAAAGCTGTCTGTGGACAAACGCCAGCTCCCTTGGCCTGAAGCAAGATGAGTGCTGCACCCCATAGTCACCTTTCACTGGACCTAACCATCCAGGGGTCCTTTACTGTTTACCTTTAAAGCCCTAAACTACTTAGGCCTCATATACCTGAAGGACCATCTCCTTCCCTGCAGACCCTCTCAGGTGTTAAGATCGGCAGAGGAGGCCTCTCTTTATAGTTTTGTTGCCCCCAAGAACTTTGGGTGAGGCTTAGAGAGGGCATTCTTGGTGACAGCCCCTAAATTGGAACTCCCACCCCACAGAGGTGTGTTTGGGACCCTCACTACAAAGTTTTCAAAGAATGCTGAAGATACACCTCTTTATCCAGGCCTTTGACACTTGAGATGTATATTTGTAGAACCTACCCTACTTTTGTGATTAAAAAGTTTACAACAAACTACAGAGTTGTATTCTAAATTGTTGTGACCCACCCTGAGACCTTAGGTTGAAGGGCAAGTGATAAATAAAAATTAACCATAATAATAATCCAAATGTTAACATATCAAAAGTTTTAGGTGCACAAATAAGGCCTGTTAAGTTTTCTAAATTTTGCCCATTACTGTTTTCAGCTAAGGAGTGATGATGTAACATTCACAAATGTAGACCCCAAATTAATTATTTTAATTAAGCTTGTTAATATTTATATGCAGAGAAATTAGGAATGTGATGTGTGACACTGCATTTTGGAACATTATAAAAATAATATTCTGCCTCATTTGTTTCCTACTGTCCATCCAAAACATTCCTACAAATGCTACTTTTTTGGGGGGAAGGAGAGTGCTAAATTAGGATAACTGGTGTTTGTGTGAGTCCTCATATAAACAGAATGTCATGCTTTCCCACTCTTTGTGACTTATAGTCTTGGTGGACCTATTATTTATCAGTAGTCAGACTGGATTTATTGTAGCATCAGTTTTTATTAGCAATGTACTTCATCAGTTTGTGTGTCTTTATTACCAAGTTGTGCCCTTGGAAAAACAGAAGATATGCTCATAAGCAATTGTGATGTTATAGTTGCCTTGTGTCCATGTGTAGATTTTCTCATACTTTTTTCAAAATAGTCTCTGGTGTGAATTTCGAATATTTTATAGACTGCACAATTTACATTTTTCTTCGTAGAAGAAATTCTATTTTTTTAGTTTTGTAGTATTTTCAACAAAAAAGTTTGTGACAGGACCGAACAAAAGAGAGAGAAAACATAAACTTGTTCCACACTTGGTTTCTAAATAAACTTTTCAGTTAAAATGTTAAAAATGTCATTGCTTTGCTTTTCCACATACACATATGACCTGTATTTATATAAAATGTTCTATAATCATGTAATTGTATTGTAAATACGGTTGTACTATTTGCTTACATACTTTCCTCTTGCTGATTCTTTTCTACCTTATTCGTAACCAACCCTGCAGAATGTTTGACTAAAACTTTTCTCTCTTTTTTGGAGACTTAAAAAAAAATCCGTTGTTGCAGTATGCAAAGCTGTGATGGAGAACCAGGTTTTTTTTTGTTGTTGTTGATATTGTACATCTGCTAGAGAATGCAGTGTGAGTGGGTTCATAGATGCTGCTGCTGTTACCCAAAGTACCTGTTAATTTTTGGCTGTAGATCTCTGGTATTTTAAACAAGACATTAGTATTTGCTGTAATGCAGCCAAAGGAAAGCAATGGTATATTTGGGTAAACATCTGATAGTAAAACTTTAAAATGCCTTACTATACCCTCCAGTGAAAGGCACTATTCAAGTTTACTTTTATATTTCATTTTGTATATATTCCTTTTGTATTGTAAACACTGCTGGTAAACATTACACTTTTATTAAGAAAATTCTGTAGTGTGAGAGAAGTGCCTTGACGGACAGTATAACAATCATCTTTACACATTTCTGCATGTAATAACTATTTGGTAATCCATTAAATTCCTTGAGTGTCTTATGGATCTCTTTCCACTTTTTAAATCGGTTTTCTCTAATGTACCATTTGCTGAGGTAATAAAATTTAAATTCAATGAATAAGCTGCTAATCAAATATAAGTTTATATTGATAAAAAGTGTTGGTTTGGTCTTCCTCCTCTTTGTTGAATGGAGATATTGAAATCCTGTTCATTCAGATGTTATGCTGTATTTGTTTATACTGGCCATGATTACCTGGCTCACAGAGCAATCCAAATCCTTAACAGGGAGCAACACACGGATGGATCCATCAGCTCATCCAATACTCTGCCACATGGGTGAAGGGTGGTTTTCATACATTTTCCCTTGCACTAGCATTAGGCTTGTATAGCTGTCAGGGACCTACGGGTCTTTGGATCTCGGAGCTCCAATGCCTCTAATGTCCTGGGGGTTTTGGGGAGGGGGCTTCTCTGGGTACCAGCAGCAGTATCTTCACACCTGCCCTCACAGAACTTGGAGCCACTGGTACCACGCACCCCCACCAGTGGTGCTCTTCATCAGCTGATAGGCCTGCACACCATCCCACTACCATCTGACATGAGCATCCAGGAGTTAAGATTTTGCCCCCAGTTGTTATTTACTGTATTTCTAAATGGGGTCCGATGACAGTGTACAAAAGAGTATAAATCTTACCATGTAATGGAATTCCCCCCCCCCCTAAATACAGGTATTTTGAAAACCACAGTTCATAAGACTTGTAATTTTTTTCCAACTTAGGTAAAAATCTAAGACCCTATCCTATTGGTCTTTATTCTAAAGTAACATGAAGTAGCATTCCAAAGTACCAATATAATAAACTATAAAATCAAACCTAAAAAAAAAAGAATACACAGCACTTTATTCTGCTTTTCTATACACACCTGAAAGTAAGCCCAGTTTAACTGTGAGGTTTACTAATTGGTAGATGCTCTGGACTGTTGCATTGCTATGATACTGCAGTTTGTGAAACGTATGAGGCTCTGTGAAATGCTATGAGTGTAGCATGATCCTACTGCTGCTGGTAAAGTACGGTAAAAAGGTATTTCCTTGGCTTTGCTATGCCACTAAGCCAAAGAAGGAATCTACCCTCCACATGTCACCTCCCATCAGGCAGCAGAGCCAATGATCAAGGATAATGGAAGATACCAACCAAAACATCTGGAGGACCCCTTCTCAAAATCATATAGCCTTTAATTTCATGAAAGCAGAGGGCAACACCAAACCTGATGCCTCAACGCCTTCCACATGTGCTGAGTCAGAAATATTTTGGGCAGCAGGTTGCAGGACAGCCTCAAAGATGTGCTCTCCCAAGCCCACATTCCCAGCATGTTCGCACTCCTGTTTCGGTGACGTCTGTGCTGACTTGGTCATATTCACGAAATGGAAGATGGCAGGATCCCCTCAGGGTCATAGTTACAGGCACCAACCAACCTGTTGGCAGACCAACTCTGCCTTACAAAGACGTCTGCAAACATGACATGGCAACATCAACCCAGCCCTGTGGGAGTCCCTTGCAGATGACTGCAGTGCCTGAAGGCAGACAGGCAGCTCCAGTAGGCTAGCTTGTACACACTCAGCCCGCTCTCTATCCTGCATTCAGACGTGCAAGAAGCCTTGTCAGAGATAAAGGGCACATTCCAAGCAGGCAAGAAGGCGCGGGCGCCAAGCGGGGCCAGCGAGGGGTGAAGCGGCAGGGTGAGGCTGTGGCTGGGAAAGACTTCCGAGAAGGCACCTCGGCCTAGCGATCCCCGTCCCTGACATGAAGAGTTCGGGGACCACCAGCACCCCTTCCCAAAGAGAGCGAGAAGTGACAAGCCAGCCGGATCCTTGTACCAAACAATGTGGCGGGTGGAGGCGGGGAAAGAAAGTAAAAAAAGAAAAAGCGGGCAGAAGAGCCCGCCCAGCAGTGACGCCGCGAGTTCTGATTGGAGGAGAGAATATAAATGAACGAAGGAGGGAAAGAATCCCACGCCACTCAAGAGTCCCGAGAAAAAAAAGAACCGCCCGGTGGGCGGGGCGTAGGGACGTTAGGACGCCGTGGGGCGGGACAAGAGCTGGCGCCTGCGCGCTAGCGACAGTGCCTCCGCGCGGAGTGGGCGGGAGGCGGCGCTGAGATGAGTCGGGCCCTAGCGCCACCGCCGCGGTCGCCGCCGTTACGGAGCTGAGCGCGCCGAAGAGGTGAGTGAGCGTCCGCTTCCGCCAGCCTCGCTTTCCCCGTCCGTTGAGCCCGGAGCGCCCCCTCCCTCGCCGCCCGCCTCCTTCGGCGTCTTCTCTGGGCGGCTTCTGCCCCCCCCCCATAGCATCCGGAGTGGGATGTCGCCCCCCGAGCGGCGTTGGCGGGAGGGCTCTGAATGGGCTTTGCTGGGCAGCCTCTCCTCGTCCAGGAGGCCCGAAAAGAGGCTGGAGGGGAGCGCGAGGGGAGGCGCCCGCGTCCCCAGGTCCCGGTTCCCTGCGGCTCCAGACCCTGTTTCGTCTCCTCCTCCTGCTCGAGACCTTCTTTGCATTCCCTTCCCTTCCCGCCCCCCCCCCCAGCACCTGCCCGTGTGAGGCATCCCGCGGGTGACTGGAGAGCCCTTTGCCCAGTTACGTGTTCTCTTAGGATTTCAGGTGATGCGGGAGACGTCACTGTCGGGCTACTCGTCCTGCCATTCCTTGGACTGCTTTCCGGAGTAAACAACACCTGCTTTTGGAGTAAGTCAGTCTCTCTTTTTGTATGGTTGGGGGCGGAGTGGGGACATCATCGTGAGTTTGGGGGGGGGGGGGACGGACTTCTTTATTCCCTGTGCCATAGAGTGGGGTTCCCAGCAACTAGTGCTCAGAGACATACTGCCTTTGAAAGTGGAAGTAGAACCCCTGGCCATTGTAGCGAGTAGCCATGGAAAGCTTTATTCACCATGGATTTGTCTAATCCTCCTTCAAAGTTATCCAGGTTGGTGATGCTACCTCTTGTGTGAGTGAACTCCATAGTTAAACTATGTGCTGTGTGTGAAGAAGCTGTTTCTTCTACCTGTCCGGAATCTTCCTGTATTCAACTTCATTGGATGTTCCCAAGTTATGAGAGAGGAAGGAAAATTTTTCTCTGTCTGCTAGTTCTCCATACTATACTGTTATAGATTTGGGAGTGCTCCCCGCCCCACAAATCCTAGAAATTAATAATTGGTAATATTTTGATTATTTGGGATGTGAAAGGAGAAATGCAAACTGCAGAGGAATTTCTGGGCTAGTCTATTCAAAACAGGGCCATTAAGGAACAATAGAGTTCCAGTGATATCTGACCAATATTTTAACAGTGGCCCACTAATTAAAATAACTTGGCAATGCAAGAGAACTGTCCTTCCCCCCTGCCCTGAGTTGTGAACAGAGACTGGGGTTTGGAAGGTTGGCAGGGTGACTGTGTGTTTGAGGTGACAGGAAAAAGGAGTCTGGGGAGGAGAAGGAGGAAGAGAGACTAGGATTCATCTTTGGGCAGGTTGGCTGAGGGAGATGCCTTGACTCCAGGGCTTCACTGCTGCAGGGACAAGCCCTCTTGAAATGACCATGCTGTAAGATTTGGACTCCTCCCATGCAGACTGAAGCCACGACAGTTTCCACCATGTCTCAGTTCTTCAAAGGACCACAGTGCCTGGAACCCCATGAGCATGAGCTCTTGCCACTGCTCAGCAGAGAGTGGGAGGCACCCAGCTTTTGTAACAATACATAATTTTATGCATCTTTATAATTTCTTCTTTAGATTTGTATAATGGCATTATGATATTGAGATCTTTATTTTCCATTCCTTTGTAATGATACTTAGCATGGAAGTTGCCTATTTTCACAGCTGCTGCATGACTGCATTGCAGACCTCCTGGAAGTTCAGGTGTGTACTCTGGGTTACACCTTGAACCATCATTGCTACTGGAGGCGTGGGTGGCCCCAGAGGCTAGGAGTGCCTTTTCCTAGCTTTGACTGGTGCACCAGCCATAGCCATTCTTGGACAGGGCTAATCTATACACCATTAACTTCCAGGTTGGATTACTGCAATGTGCTCGTGTGTTCTGCTCGTTGCTGCTTTAGGACCTGCGGCTAACTCAGTGGTTTGGTTGCTGAATGGTGCTGCCTACCATTGAGCATGTTACACTGGGGCAGGTTCAAGGTGCTTATTGACATATAAGACCCTGAACAACTTGGGGCCTGGTTACTTGAGGGAGCACCTTCTCTCATATCATCCTGTCCATTAATTGAGTTCTCCATGTCAGGCCCTCCTAGTCATTCCATGCATCCTGAATCACCGAGGGGGAGATCTTTCTCTGGTGCAATGCCCAGCTCTTGGAATTCACTCTTTCCTGAAGTATGACAGGTACCAACCTTGTGTTTTGGTATCTGTTTAAGACCTACCACTTTTATCAAGCATTTCCTTTATTAAACACCTAGCTTTCTGTGAAATATTTTTTATTTTCCCACTGTTATTGTTGCATTAATGCTTTGTGTTATTTCTTAAATACGTTCAATATAAGCTGCCCTGAAATTTGATAATAAGGATGGTATATAAATATTAGAAACAATGCTGGTGTTTATAGGACTAAATATTTCATTGTTTTCTTGTCCTGTAGATAATAAACCCTGGGAGTGGAGAATTCAGTATCAGGATTGTGCATTATTGCTGTTGTTGTTGCAAGTGAGCTAATGTAAAATGATTACTTGGGGTCTGCTCCTGAAGGTTGCAAGAATGGGCATTTGGTCTTGATAAAATTATTGCATATGTTGAAATTTTGTGGGTAGCCAGTCTTTTGCCCTCCAGATGTTGGGCTACAGCTGCATCACTCCTGACATTTGGTTATGGGGGCGGGGGTGTAGTCCAGCAATATCTGGGGGGCACCTCTTTGGTTATCCCTGGTTCAGCAGAAGGTCATCTTCCCGGTTACACAGGAAGAGGAAAGGAGGAATATGAGCTTGAGTCTTGCTGTGGTTTGTGCAAGTCCCCCTAAACCAGCGGTCATCTTGGTTTTTAGACACCTTTTTTTAGACCCAAGAGAGAAACCCATACTCTTCACTTTTCCAAGGGATCTGGGTATAACTCTTGCGGCTAAGACAATAGTGCTCAGCAGAACAGGGTAAAGCTTCACTTTTTATCTTGCCTTTCAACACTTGGGTCAGTGCTCATTACTGAGAGGGTCAGCAGAGGCAGGTTGGTCCTGCCCCACCAACTACTACTGGACTAACATGTTTTTTAAAAGATGCAAAGAGGGGTATACATTTCTCAGTGAAGGCACCCAGACTCTAAAAACTGGTAACATTGTAATTAAAGAGTTGTTATTTAGTCCATATTTTATTTTTGTTATTATATGTACAACTAATAATGGCAACAAAGTGTTCCGGTTCTATTAAGTGTACAGGAGCATAATAAACAATCTTCAAACAGGTCAAAACTAGCATAGTGTAACAAGCTGTAATATGACAACAAGCATTTTCTCTTGATTTCAGTGTTTTAATTCTCTCAAAATTGATATTGGTGGGACTTTGGGTACATAATGCTCTGGTTTTCTAGAGCAGGGGTTGTCAGCCTGGTCCCTACCGCCCACTAGTGGGCATTTCAGGATTCTAGGTGGGCGGTAGGGGGTTCTACGGCACAAGCTGAATCCTCCTTCCGTTGAGCACTGGTGGGCGGTAAGGAAATCTTACCATCAAGAAAAATGCATTAGTGGGCAGTAGGTATAAAAAGGTTGACTACCCCTGTTCTAGAGTAAAAGAATGGACAAAGTAACATGCATATCAGAGGGGATGAAGGTAGCAATGCTTTTCTCTATCCCTGTTACCCATTTACAAATAACTTTTCAAAATTAACAGTGAAACTCTATAGCAGATGGCAGAATTCTGAACTGTCATTTCAGAAGCAACACTCTCCTTATGTAGTATTGTTCAGTGCTGGATCTACAAGTTTTGTCATAGGGTGCAAAAGTCTTGTTTTTTGTCCTAGGGTGCCACCCATTCTCCCTAAAGACAAATGCTTTAAAAAGGCCTCATATAGGTTGGTGGGTTAAGTCAAGGAAAGGGAGCTTTGAAAATGAGTTGCTAGTTTCCTTTATACTGCACTGTCAGATTTAAAATTCAATTAAAAGCAAAATTAAATAATAATAATAATGTATAGTTTAGTAGCCAGGACCATCCAACACAGGAAATCAAGTTACATACACTTCTTTCTTCTTAGATGTATGAAGCTGTCAGTGTTCCCAATTAGCCCACACACATCCACACACAGGTTACTAACTGTAAAGCATAATGGGAGGCCAGTGTATAGGGGAGTGCCTGCAAGGGGGCCACCCTCCTGGTTTGCTCTGCCCAGGGTTCATGTGCTTGCCTTCTTGGTGCAGTGGGTACTAGGAAGCAGAAGGTGACTGGAAGGCAAAGGAGGCAGAGGCGCTTATCTGGACCCATCTCCTGTGGCGGGGTGTGTACCCTGAAAGCTGAGGATCGGGTGGGAGAAAAAAGGAGGCATTTGATTACAGCATATCTGTGGGTGCTGCCCTGGGCATTTCCAGCAAGGAGCCAGAGGGGATGCAGCTGCATCTGTAGTGGTGAAGTGGAAGGAAGAGGAAAACAAGGAGGGCTGCCCATCTGTCTGCCTTGGGACCTGCTGCGTCTTGGAACAAGGGCTGCCAGGCAGCAGTGAGGCAAGGCAGAAATGGCAGGGAAGGTTCTGGGCTCTACTGCTGCTGTTGCTGCCACGCTTGCATTGCCTGGCTGCTGTTTGCCATCTGCTGCCAGCCCAACAGACCAGACCCAATGTGAAGTGAGAGGCTCCTCCCTGCCCTTTCGCTCCTTTCAGCATTGATGTGTGTGTGCGTGTTGAACCCAGTAATTTTGAAGCCCCCCCAAATGTGCCGTCCAGGGGCACTTGCCCGCTTTCTCCCCACACCCGATCCAGCCCAAGTATTGTTTTGGGAGAGATTCATTTAGCAGCAGAGCACACAAACACACTTAAAAAATATATATTTAAATAGATGGTTTGAATAAAAATCATCATGCTAAAGTATGATGTCATGACTGGAAATGCATTTTATAAGCTTCATAATTTCTCTTTGGAAGCTGAGCTTCTGTTAGTGCTGTTGTTAAAAGTTACAAGTCTTGGAAACTGCTGTGAAGTTTTTAGTGCACAACTTGTGTGAGAAAACATGCTTCCAAGATTTCAGCAAGCTTTCTCATAGATGTTTAGGATGGGTAAAAATGGTTCTCATACCTGATACACTTGTTTGCTAGTATGAGCTGATGACTAAACTAGTTTGAAATTACAAGTTTAGCAAGATGATGAAAACAATTAAGCAAGTAATGGCAAGTCATAAAGGAGATTTGGGTTTTTTGGATTCCAGAGTTTAAAAGCATATTATAGTTCGGTTTTTGCAGTAAAGAACGAGAGATAAGAGTGCTCTGAAAAGTCATAGGCAGGCAAAAAAAAAGGAAGTAGATAATACTGAATGAAACGGTAGTAATGATAAGCAAGGAGAAAACCAGAGGAAGAGTATTTGAAATGAGAGAGCACCGTACACAAAGTAAATCCCATTAAAGAGCCACATACGAAACAAAGCAATGTCTTTTAGCATTAATTTAAGTGTGGTTGGTATCTTCAATGAAATTTTGTTAAACTTTTTTTTAAGCTTAATACACTTAAAAAGTTTGTTTTATTTTTTAAAAAAAGCAGTGTACAAAATAATCAAAACATATAAAAATCAAAATTATATACCAATATCATAAAATAAAATTCTAAAAATTACATGGTGATTAGTAGAATGTACAGCTAATAGCTGTTTATCAGGTCAATGTAGTTTGGGCCCCTGTGTTATCGGCAGGGGAAGCTGCAAACTTGCTGCCGCACCCTGCACTACTTACTGCCAGTTATGTCAGCGTGTTTTGAGTTTCTATTAATATAAGTTCTGTAGCCAGAAATGTTACCCATAACTAGTTTCAACATGTAGCTCTGAATGGATTGCGTACTAAATCTCATAGCAACACTTGACGCAGTGAAATGTGTTTTAAAGAGATAAAGCAGAGAGCTTTTACCAACTTCAGTGAGAGTCATTCCCTGAGTTTTAATCTCGTGTTACCTACAAACAAGTAGAAATCAAAAGAGTAAAATTTTCACTAAACACAAAATGCTGCAGAAATGATCCTGCATTTGTTTTTAAGTGTAATTCTATCCTAAATCCCTCTTCCATGGATAACCAGATTAATTTACTTAGAACATAGTGCAGAACATTTAATGTAACATTTATGGCTGCTTATTTAAGTCTCACCAGAACAATGATCTTTTATGAAAGAGCCATTAAGATACATTAGGTTTTCTAAGGGTGAACTCTTGGAATGCTGGGAGTAGATTCCAACTAACTCAATGGCACTTTCTGCTGAATAGGCTTGTGTAGAATTGCACTGTCAGGCACACAGCACTTCTGAAGTGATATAAAGAGAGAACATTTAATAATAATTAAGAAGTCACGATGCGATTGGGCAACTACAGTGTGTCTTCTCCTTCCATCAGCCTCCCTCCTGTTGATAGCATTTCTGTAATACATATGGGCAGCCCAGGATATTTAATGTATTCTGAGAGGAAAAGTATGGTTTCTTTTCCTTATTTGGCTTTAATGGAACATCTTCTGCCCATCATGTACTTCTATTCTTTTGAAAGCCCTTGGCCACTCTGTGGACTCAGCTATACAGCTGCAAATAAAACTTTTTAAGTGCAATATATGATGTGACACTATATGGCAGTGGTGAACCTTATGGAAAATTCAATGTATTTTTTAAATGCTTTTTAAAAAGCATTTTCAGAACATTTTTTATGTGTGTGTAGATTGCACCTGTGTCTCTCAGCCATACCGGGAAATGCCAGGGATTAAATTTAGGACCTTCTGTATGCAAGTCAGGTGCTTTAAGACTGGTAGGGAAAATCTTTCAGATTCTGAATTTGAATAATACAAAGCAATGAAACTGGGACTGGAGGGGAAGCCATGTGTCTGATTGCTATATACCATATAATTTAATTATTCAGTTTATGTTCTAGTTATTCACAATTAACAGTCTAACATAAATTATGACAAATCTACAGACTATGTGCAACTTCTATCATTATTTAAAGTATATTTCTTTGGAGATGAAACTGAGCATGCTTGAACTATGTATTGAGTAATGCTTGTGTCATGACTATTTGACAACAGCTATGTTCATAATAGATTCAAAGGTCTTTGAGAGAGATGGCTTTGTTACAAAATGTAAGTGTTCTGTAGTACTAAGACTATTTCACATAATGTATGAAAAATTGAAATACAGCATGAGAACCTTTCCATTCTTACACATTTCCATGTTACACATTTGACAGGTTTTCTTTATATCCCAGCTGTTGTATATTCCAATTGCAGCATTTTTTTCCTCCCCAGCTTATGTTGACCATGAGTCTTGTCATGATAAGTGAGAATGTGAAGCTGGCCCGTGAGTACGCCTTGCTGGGAAATTATGACTCTGCAATGGTCTATTACCAGGGAGTACTTGACCAAATGAATAAATACCTCTCTTCTGTCAAAGACACATACCTCCAGCAGAAATGGCAACAGGTGGGTCATCCTTTTTCCATTGATTGGTTCTTACTTACACTTAATTCATAAGGTCCTTAGCTTAAAAAAATTGCTTGATAATAATTTGCTTACAACAGATCGATTAAATTTTATAAATATGCACATTTCTAAAACCTCCTCTTGGTGAATTCCTGACCTACACTTACTAAAGAAAAGCTGCTACTAATTGTTAGAGAAAATGGCACCTTTAATTTTTAAGTTACCTATTATTTTAATAATTAAAAAGCCTCAAAAATAAACTCAGCACTGATTAAAATCTGATGCCAGCGCTTAATTAAAGTTCAAGCCAAACCTTGTCCACTCAGAAGCAAGTCCTATATTGAATTCAGTGGGGTTTTCTCGTAGGTATGTGGAGTTTGGATTTGCAGCCTTAGTTGATTAATCTAAAACTTACTGCTCTGATGAATTGTCTTAATTAATCACTATCATGTGAACATCTGAGCCCTTCCTGGAATGTATCACTTCAGACTACTGGTGAGGAGTTGCATTTATGAATGCTCTCCCTTAATGTTTTTCAAAAACACAACTTTATGCACAAAAAATGTAACCTTTCTGGCATATCATGGCTCTTCCATGTGAATGATCATCTGAAATTTCCTGTCAGAGAATTTGCTCCTGCCACACTGGGAGTTGTATTCTTTCTCAGTACTAAAGGTATGTTCCAAAGGCACATGATGCGGCAACCTTGCTGAGATCAATGCCTGGAAATCCTACATATGCCTCTGGAATATAAATATGTAAAGTGGGATATAAATAGAATAATAGTTCATCATTATGACTTGCTTATTTAGTACTGGAATATCTTGCAGTGGCCCAAGTAACCTTGAAAGGCCTGCAGTAAACACCAGTGCGAGGGCTTCTGTGGTGCATTACTGTGCCTGCTATGAAATTTAGATTACAGGAGTCTGTTCTGGAATAACTACCTTAAAGGGCACCTAGCATATGGGCGATCCTTAAGATTAGCTATCACAGAGAAGTAATACTGTACCTTTAATATGGAATGGAACATGCAAACAAACTTCTAAGTTACTTAGCATAAGTTTGCAAACAGTACAAAGTGGACTGGAATGAACTTTAAGCATAAAAAAGTTTGCATGTAAGATCCATTGAAAGAAAAGTCAAGCATGTAGTGGTGCATTTGTTCCCCATTTTGGTGCAGGGTTTGGGAATCTTTGGTGGACCAGGTCAACTTCCCATAAAGTAACATATGTTATCTTGAAAACTTCCAAACGGCCCCTTCATCCAAAATAAAGATAAAAATAAAAGACTGATACAATATCAAAACAAACAATTGAAAAAAATCAAAGCAAACAATTGAAGTTAAACATCTCTAGCACTTCTAATGGAGAACTTTTTTAAAGGTACATATGCTCAGCTAGGGACACGTTTCTACCTGTTAAAGCTATACTTTTCATGTTTTCAATCAGGTTAGGCAGGAGATAAGTGTAGAAGCGAAGCACGTGAAGGATATCATGAAAACACTAGAAAGCTTTAAATTAGACAGCACGCCTTTGAAAGCTGCGCAGCAAGAATTACCGGCTCATGATGGAGAAGTTTGGTCCCTGCCTGTACCTGCCGAACGTAGGTAAGAGACGCCGAGAGTGTAAAGTGGATCAGGGAAGCCCAAAACATTACATTTAAAATGTCTGTGAGGCCCACACACCGGTTCCAGTTCCTAAGTCGGGGGAAAAGCATGCTGCGCTGTCCCCGGTAAATATACCTTAGCAGTCCACATGAAGCCTCAGCACAGACCTTGCCCCGGGGGGGGGGTTCCTAAGATCTATTGCCCCATAATGTAAACTATTCAGATCCTCATAGGTCCAAACAAAATGCTTATGCACTTGTCCCTATGTTGAAAGCTGCTTTAGTTTAGCTTTATTACAGTTTTCTCTTTTACATTTTCTAACTAACCAGAAGTTCACCAGGAGCCAGGAAACGTCAGTCTGCTCATTGCAGTGATTGCAGGAGCCAAAATAACCGAGCGAGTGCAGCGCCTAAAGTCTCCAGCCGTCCCTCCTCCCGAAGCTCTAACGATAAAGGCAAAATAATCCGTGGCCGGGAAAAGAAGGATCCGCAGAATAAAATGAAAGAAGAAAAAGTAAGTGTCTAAAATGTGAAGCTAGCTTTTCAAGTTCTTAGAAGTGCCCCTCTCCCATTTGGATCTCTCTCATATACACTGTCAACATTCTCAAGAGGCAGGAGGTCTAAGGTTTTAGGGAAGAGTAGTTTGAAACATGTCAATTTTGAAGCCCCATTACATTCAGTAGTGCATATTTCCAGGTAAATGTGTATAGAATTGCAGCCTTAATGAAACTAAACGTGGCATTTTTGTCAAATGGTACAAAGATGAATATTATTAGAATTTCCTTTCAGGGAGTCTGAAGGCTATAGTGTATTTCATAAGAGCATAAGAAGACCCTGCTGGATCAGGCCGAGGGCCCATCTAGTCCAGTATCCTGTTCTCACAGTGGCTGAATAGCTACCTGTGGGAAACCAGTAAGCAGGATTCGAGCACAAGAGCATTCCCCTCTCCTGTGGTTTCTGCAAATGGATGGAGTCATTCCATTCACGGAAGAACTTTTAATTAACTGAAGAGGCTTCAGTTAATGGAAGGGGACCATTTTCACCAACACCCACCATGGCACTCCAGCACTGCTCAACGCTCCAGAATATATCTTTGGGGAAGGGATCAATGGGGTTGGTAAAAATGGTTCCCCCTCTTCCACTAGCAGAGACCTCCACTATGTCCTTCCATCTGAGAAACAGCCCTTGATAATATTGGGTGGAGCCATGGGTGTTTTTACAAAACATTTCCATTGTAAAATGCTATATAAATATACCTAATGCCACAATTCAGTAACGGAATTATTTATTATAACAAGGTGCCAGATCAGTTCATGGCTCAGCTGACTTCTGAATTAGCTAACCTGCACTTGGGGATGATTTTAATAGTTCCACCCAGTGCCATATTTCCATCTTGAATTTGCATTATTCTGGTGCGGCTGTAAGCTGTGTAGACTATGCCCACTTTTGCCTACAGGACCCTTGCTTCTATTATAATTAAGAGGGCATTAAGCCAGGTATAGTGATTCATTGTGTGGACAATTTAAAAATAGCAAATGTAGGTTTGATATGCAAACTGTGTTTGTAATGCAGAATAAGCCCTCGTCTGACATTTCAGAATCTGAGCCAAAGAAATTTGATAGCACTGGATATGACAAAGACTTAGTAGAAGCTTTGGAAAGAGACATCATTTCCCAAAATCCCAACGTTCGATGGTAAGTGTAACCCATCTCTGTAATTTTTTTTACTTGGGAAGTATGTGTGTAAGCTCAATCCTTTAAAGAGGGTAATGCCAATGCTTGGTTAAAAATTAAATTTAACCTGACAACAGATTGTAGGTCTTCCATTAATAATATTTTTCATTCAGTTTACGGCAAGATATTACATTCAAGGAATTAAGTGTATCAGGCCTAGCTCAGTGCAACATATTGTCCACTGTGACCTGCCAACTTATTTGCATCGTTCAGCTGAATCTAGCACAAGGCTTCTATAGAGGGGATATCACTACATCATACCTGCTGTGCAGCCAGGAACAGCAAAATAATGGTACACAACTAGATGCTATACCACAACATCAGTGGTCTGAAAGAATAATAAGCATACTCTTAACTAATGCTGCTATACAGACTTCCTTGCTTAGAAGCAATCCTGTTACCACATAGCCAGCTGAGTGGCCATTCCCTCATTGGTTGGCATCCTGTATTTGCTATGAACAGGATGTAGTTTTAGTGGCTGAAGCGTAAATGACTACTGTCCCAATGTGGGCTAGTCAACAGTTGTTAAGAGTTGCTAATTATCTGAATTAACATTTTTCTCCTTTGTGTATACATAAGGCAAGAATGTTATAAAATGAGCTTAACCTATACACTTGTACCAAGAATCCCTGGAAAAGATGGTCAATTTGCCTCAACAGAATTTTTCTTAGAATATTACATGAGCCAGTTTTCAGTGAGGGTGGGAGAATGAGTTTGTGCATCTTAAAATTAGAGCTTGTGTAGTCTGTATTTGGGCCTGTTCAATGCCTGAAAGGGGGGGAAAAGAACACTCTTCTGACTTAGAGAAGCAAATTGCCTGCTTTCCTTGGTCTTTACTTGCCATATACAACCAGTGGATTGGTTTCTGTTTCTATTATGAACCTGTACTTTAAAAGCAAATTCCTTCATACTGAAACACTTCATTCTTACTAAATCCTGAGGAATGTGCCCTGCTGAGTAAACATGAATAATATTAGGCTACTTGTGCCCAAAGAAAGGGCTGGCACATACTGTACAAAATAATGTTTCTCTATAACTTAGAATGTAACGGTTGTGGTTGTGATTGTTTGTTTGTTTGTTTGTTTGTTACTTAATTTATATTTTGAAACTCTCTAGAGGAGGAGGTGGTTTGAGGGGCTGCAGGGGGAGGAGGAATTGCTGGAAACAGCCAGCCTGCTCAGTCTTCTAATATATTTTTTCTGTCAGCAGTGGGACACCCACTGAATACCTTTCTGTGGTTTTTGACTTCTTGAATATTTATAATTTGTATAACAAATGCACGTATTTATAAAGCTTCACCTCTAATCACTTTTACCCTTGGTTTATATATAAAATCATATTTTAACTTGGTGTGTTAAAAAGTCAAAATTTAACTCAATGTGGTGCCTGCATTCAGAGAGCATTTTAAGCCAGGTTACTTAAAGGGATGATAAATATTACTGAAATGCTTAAACGAAAAAAAAACACCTGAACTTTTTATATTAAAAACAACTTTATGATAGACTTCCATGTGAAAGAACATTTTGTACAAACAACAAGTGTGTTGATGTATTGATAGTTTTCTCCTGGAACAGAATTACAGATCATGCAAATTTACTTGGAACAGAATGCTGACACCTGGGAGTTGATAGAATTCAAATGGGAAACTATTTATTTGATATTCTTCTGTAGAGAGTCATAGAAGGTTTCAGCTGCAGGTAGGAATGCATCTTTTAGAAGCTAACCCAAGGTTACCGTCTGACTGTGATAGGGACTCTTGAAAGGAACAGTAATTAGTTGCTTCTAGTGTGTCATAATCTGTTAATTTCTTTTCTTAAACAGGGATGATATAGCTGACTTAGTGGAAGCTAAAAAGTTGCTCAAAGAAGCGGTGGTTTTACCCATGTGGATGCCAGAATTCTTTAAGGGGATTAGAAGGCCCTGGAAGGTAAAATCATGCAATTTAGTTTTGAATTAATAATGTTTTCATATGTCCTGATCGGGCACACTTTTAATAAGAGAAAATAATGAGATAGTATTAACCTAAAATCTGAATGCAGTTATTGTATGGCTAGAATTTCTCACATTTTAGCAATAGAGCAAAATATAAAGGTAAAGGTAAAGGTACCCCTGTCCGTACAGGCCAGTCGTGTCTGACTCTAGGTTTGTGCGCCCATCTCACTTAAGAGGCCGGGGGCCAGCGCTGTCCGGAGACACTTCCGGGTCACGTGGCCAGCGTGACAAAACTGCTCTGGCGAGCCAGCACCAGCGCAGCACACGGAAACGCCGTTTACATTCCCGCTATAAAGCGGTACCTATTTATCTACTTGCACTTAGGGGTGCTTTCGGACTGCTAGGTGGGCAGGAGCTGGGACCGAAAGACGGGAGCTCACTCTGCCGCGGGGATTTGAACCGCTGACCATACGATCGGCAAGTCCTAGGCACTGAGGTTTTACCCACAGCGCCACCCGCGTCCCAAGAGCAAAATATAATATATCACAATTCCACTGAATGCAATGTGTAGTGATCTGGATACGTAAACAAGTTATGTAAGAATGCCTGCTGTTCTGATCCTCAGAGCTAGGATACCATTTTCTTAGACATGATATTAAAGCACATTTGGAGAAAAGGAAGTTCTAAAGCAATTTCCCATGGAAAATGTGTTCTAGATATCTCAAATGAGAAACTTTCTGAACATTTTTTTGGACTTCCTTTCTTTTACATAGGGTGTTTTGATGGTTGGTCCTCCTGGCACTGGAAAAACGCTTCTTGCAAAAGCTGTAGCTACTGAATGCAAGACAACCTTTTTCAACATATCATCGTCAACACTTACTTCAAAATACAGAGGAGAATCTGAAAAACTTGTTCGACTTCTATTTGAAATGGTGATTTTAGAGTTCACTGTTGGTTCTTTGATATATATTTTGGATGAATAATAGTTTCTAGAATATACAGGTGTTTCAAAAACCTGGCTACTCGTCTGAAATTTATATTTAAGCTTTTTTCAGACTTCTAGTTGTACAGCAGCTAAAGGGTATGCATGTTTGTATGTAATGGTTGTTGTGTTACATTGGTCAGTTGAGCAGGGCTGACCAGCGTTGAGCTATCGTGGACCAGACTCCTTGTACTGTCATAATTTTGTCTTAACGCAGTACCAGTCCTATCTGACTGCAATGAGTTATTCTCCTTTACCAGACAAGCATGATGCAGTTGCATCACAAAATGTAGAGGGTGTGTGTGTGTGTGTGTAGCCAGCCTCATTCCCACACCACCCCTCTCCATTAAAGTCTTACAGGTTGCTTTGTCACTTAGCAGTGAATTGCATAGTAGCACCTCCCTTGGTTTCATACCATTCAAGTTAATGTATAACTTTTATTACTTTTTTAATGAATGAATTCAGGTAGGTAGCCGTGTTGGTCTGACGCAGTCAAAAAAAAATTAAAAGTATCTGAAGAAGTGTGCATGCACACGAAAGCTTATACCCAGAACAAACTTAGTTGGTCTCTAAGGTGCTACTGGACGATTTTTTAAATTTATTATGAAGCACTCCAAAGCCCACTTGCATGCTGCCCAGAATATTATTTGAAAGTTTGTTGGGTCTCTGGATGTTGGATTAATGGATAACATTTGGCCATGCTGGCTAGGAATGGCAGTTGAAGTCCAGTGTCTGGGAACCCAAGATTGTTGCTTCAGGGGTAGACTTTAGTAATATGGTGCCCTGAGCAAAGGCAAAATTTGGCATTGTCCCCCCCCCCCCCAAAAAAAAAACTTTGAGTAGGTACCCATATAAATATAGCGATGATGATGATGATGCACCCCCTCGGCTCGGCACCCTGTGCAGGGGAACTACCCGAATCACCCTAAATCTGGTGCTGGCTGCTGACTTGAGAGGGAAAAACTGTAATTGTATGGACTTTCAAGGTTATATGCCATGTTTTTTGTGAAGTAAGTTGTTAAACATAGCTCAGCGGTACTTCTAGTGATTTAATTGATGTTCCTTCATCTTGTCTCTCCAGGCTCGATTCTATGCACCAGCAACAATATTTATAGATGAAATCGATTCTATCTGTAGTCGCAGAGGAACTTCTGAGGAGCATGAAGCCAGCCGAAGGGTGAAGGCAGAATTACTCGTTCAGATGGATGGTAAATAAGCTCAGTTCACATTGTGTTAAAGAGATGTGGAGCTCAAAGTAGGAACTTTGATGTGACATTATAGTAGCAACACTGTACTAATATTTCTGCTTTGGATCAGAAATTATGTATGACTGTTTAGAGTAGTAGCTTTGTGCTATACGTGTATCATGTGGATGTAGCACTGTCTGAATTACTGTGGTTGTGGAATCATTGAACAGTCTTAATTTTGCAGACCAGTGGATAGACTTCTGAAAAGTGTTTTCCCTCTTTACAAAGCTGTCTTAGTCGTTCTGCTCTTGTTTTTCTTTTTTAGTAATTAAATGCAGCAGCAGGGGGAGCTGCTTCAATAGCCAAGAGATACTTTATTCAAATTGTTCAGTGCAAATCTGTTGCCATTTTATGCAGGTGATTAAAATTCACATTGGCTTTAACTTTGGATAGCTTCCAGAATTTTGTGACCTCCCCTTATAACTTCCTCTTTCCTTCTGATTTAGGTGTTGGAGGGGCTTCTGAAAATGATGACCCTTCCAAAATGGTTATGGTACTAGCTGCTACTAATTTCCCATGGGATATTGATGAAGCCTTACGACGGCGGCTAGAGAAGAGAATTTATATTCCTTTACCATCAGGTAGAACAACTTCCATTTTGGGGGAAACCAACCTTTTTATTTATCCTGAATTTTGAATTCTGAACCTGAATTTGGTATAGGACTGTATTGGGAAATAGGGGTGGTGCTTCCAAGTGGCCTCCGGGGAAAATACTCCCCCAAGAAGTAGAATCCCAGGTTTGTGCTGCCTTCTATGGAAGGGACAGTGTTCGCTTCTCCCCTGGGAAGTCCCCTGAACCTCCAGAGCTGTGATTAGGGTGGCAGTTTGGGTTGCAGTGAAAATCACTTCCCTTCCTTGGTAGATTGTTGCTTGTAAACTTTGGCACACAAGATTCTCGGGTGGCAAAAAGCAGAACTAAGTGCATATTTAGGAACCCATTTTTGAAAGCCTCAGCATTTTTTGAAAGTTAGTAATTATACTATGTGGTTCAAACTATTTATATTGTTACTTTTTAAAAAATGTTCCATTTTAGCCAAAGGTAGAGAAGAACTTCTAAGAATAAGCCTGCGAGAGTTGGAACTTGCTGATGATGTTGACCTTGCCAATATAGCACAAAATATGGACGGTTATTCCGGGGCTGACATTACTAATGTGTGCAGGTACGTTAAAACTGTAACACTTCTAAAATAATTAAGGCCTGTTTTAAGCATACCTGCTCAGAAATTTGAATGAATAATCATTTAATTGGGGCTTCTATTGGAATCCAAAATTTGTTTATGAAAATACATTAATGTTGCCGTTTGTCCACTGGCTTACTGCTTTGATAAAAAAAATATTATACTGAAACTACTTCCCAGCCAGGCAGTCTTTATTCTTCTCCCTCTTCATTCTCCTCTAGTTCAAGGAAAGCAGACAGATTCAACCTATTTCTCTGCTTTCCTTGAACTTGGGGAATGGCAGGTTTGTATACCATTTCCCCTTAGTCCCCATTCTCTGCCACGATGGGTATTTTCCTTCTTGGTGCACACTTCTCTCATGTATTGTTCCTCTCCACTCTACATTTTATCCTTTTTCTCTGGCCATATTCACTTTTTCCTCATCCACATCAGTTACCTTCTCTTATTTCTTCCACTCCCCTCTACTCCCTCTCCGTTATTTTTTTCCTGCCTCACTCAACAAATCTTTCTCTAACCCCATACCTGTCTCAACTGCACTACTTGTGCTTTTTCTCAGTAGCTGAATCCATTCAGCCCTTGCAAAATGAAGAGGGTAATGCCCATATCGGCCTCTCCGAAATGACTCCACACCCCTTGCCTTCTGTCATCTATTAGCCTAGCCAGTGTCACTGTTTGAAATACCGAAATTCCTGTCTTCCCATTGAAGGCAGTTTTGATATTTGACAGAGCTGTAGCTGTAAAGCATCTGCTCTGAATGCATAAATTCCTAGGTTGGAAACATCCCTTACCTGAAATCCTAGTGAGCCACTGCCAGTCAGTGCAGACAATACTGAGCTGGATGGACCAATGCTCTGACTCTGTATAAGGCAACTTCCTGGATTCTTGTGACATTTTGCTAAAGGGAGATACCAAAAATGTGTAGCGGTTTCTGTGAATATACAGTGGTACCTCGGGTTAAGTACTTAATTCGTTCCGGAGGTCCGTTCTTAACCTGAAGCACCACTTTAGCTAATGCTGCTGTGCCTCTGCTGCACGATTTCTGTTCTCATCCTGAAGCAAAGTTCTTAACCTGAGGTACTATTTCTGGGTTAGCGGAGTTTAACCTGAAGCGTATGTAACCCGAGATACCACTGTACAAAGGATAAGACACGCATGATCAGAGAGAGAAAAGAATGATAAAAAGGTGTCTCTGTAAGCTGGGGTTTCAAGCTGGGTCTCAGATTCCAAATTACTGCAATAGATTTATGTGATCTACTGAACTGTTATTAATCCACTGTTGTAGAAGTGGGAGCCTGCATGCCTCCAGATGTTGCTGGACTGACTCCAACATCTGGAGAGCCACAGGTTCCCTATCCATGTAGTACTGGGTACAGTACGAAGTCCTCAGATGTGTTTCCGTTTGTGTGTGGAAGGTCAAACTTTCCAAGCAGTCTCTGTTTGATATTTTAAGCATGTCAGTGTTCATCTACAACTACTATTAGCCATTTACTTAGGACCAGTAGCATTGTGTATTCTCATTAAGTCCAATCTTGGATACCAACAGGGATGCTTCACTAATGGCTATGAGAAGGCGTATTGAAGGCTTGACACCAGAAGAAATCCGAAATCTTTCCAGAGATGAAATGCACATGCCAACCACAATGGAAGATTTTGAAATGGCTTTAAAGAAAGTTTCGAAGTCAGTCTCTGCTGCGGACATTGAAAAATATGAGAAATGGATATTCGAATTTGGATCATGCTAAGCCTTCCTACCTTGAGATATCTGCCTTAAGTCTTCAAACAATTCCAGAAGTAATTAAAAAGTAGTGCAACAGGGCACTGAGTACTATTTTTTAACTTTTGTAATTACAGTTAACAGCAATATCCTTAATAAAGTTAGTTTTTTAAACTGCAGCTCATTTTTTACCTCTTGCACCAGTTGTCCCTTCTGTTCTCTGCACAAGGTATTTGCATGTAAACTAGTCTTACTTCCATCTATGCACCCAACTAATGCAATAGTATTAGTTGGGAAGTGTTATACGTACCTATTTACAGATAACAGGGTGAAAACTTTTTGACATAGATCCACATTTTCTATTTTTTATATTCAAATAGAGTAAGCTTGCTTTGCTGTTTGCCTACACTTTTAATGATAAGTAAAAGTGAACCACCTGAGCCTCAGGTGACAGCAAAGGATCCAAAATAACCCCCAAGCTACATACCTGCTCCTTCAGAGTATATAATCCATCAGGAACAGGCAATCTCCCATCCATACAGCCTAAGGAACCACTCACTAACAGTGCCCTAATTCTGTAACTTTAGCGAATTACATAAACATTCAATGGGAATCAATGCTAGGTGGTGCTGGGAAACACAAATGGCACAAGGAGAATTCACAGGAGAAAACCAATGGCAATATATAAAGGGTAACATAAATAAATATTTTGCCTTGTCTCACACTTTGCTCTGGAGACCTTATTCACGAAGCAGCAGTAGCATTTCAGTATTATGAATATGTAGTGCTTTGTGTTCTAGCATGGCAGTTATCTCAAAAATGGAATGCTTTTCAATATAAAATATTTGAAGGCATTCTTTTCATGTGAAGTCACAGGCTTGATAGCTACATGAACCTGCCCTCATGCTGAGATCACCCTGGGTCCTCCCATCTCCAAAGGTAATGCAGGTAGCAGCTAGGATATGGGTTTTTTCAGTTGTTGCATCCTCCGTTATCTTTCTGGCACCAAGCAAATATATTTTTTTATTTCCCCAGGCCTTTTAGCTTTCATGTTATAAAGGGATTTATGTGCCATCTTTCAGCTGTAGAAAGAGCCCCCAAAGTAGCATTTGATCATTCAGTGGTGGTGCTTGGCTGAAGGTAAGGCTTCCAGCAGCAGAATAAGGAGCAAAGCAATTTCCCTTCCTCTCTCCAAATCTGCTCTGGAAAGTCCCCAGCCCTCCATACTAACTTAGGAGGGATGTGCAGGGGAGGAGATGCTGCTTCCCTCCCTATTCTGCTGACAGACTCCTTATGGTCCGCTGAGCAACACTCCTCAACACAATCCTAAAGGTACCCCTGACTGTTAGGTCCAGTCGCAGACGACTCTGGGGTTGCGACTCTATAGGCCGAGGGAGCCAGCGTTTGTCCACAGACAGCTTCCAGATCATGTGGCCAGCATGACTAAGCCGCTTCTGGCAAACCAGAGCAGTGCACGGAAACACCATTTACCTTCCCACCAGAGCGGTAGCTATTTATCTACTTGCACTTAGTGCTTTCGAACTGCTAGGTTGACAGGAGCTGGGACCGAACAACGGGAGCTCACCCCGTCGCGGGGATTCAAACCGCCGACCTTCTGATCGGCAAGCCCAAGGCTCAGTGGTTTAGACCACAGCGCCACCCGCGTCCCTTCAACACAATCCTGAAGCTTTTTAAATCTGTGATTGGGTTTTTTATCTGCTGCTGAGAATTTATTTTACATTGCTGCTTTCTTCGCCTCTAAGCAGTTAAATACATCTGGTGTGTTTTTGTTAGGCATGTTCGGAGCAGTAATGCTGAAGGGTAGTGTAGCAACTCTGTGAAATAAACCACCCCCTGTAAAATATACGAAGCAAACCAGTTTTGCAAGGGTCGGGCCTTGCTGTCCTTGATAGACATGAATGATACAAGGCCTCCAGTTTCTCTCAACAGATAAGGATTTATTGTAAAGCTGTGATCGTACAAATCCATATGTAAAACAATTCTTAGTAAATCGGGATCTTGAAGACATTTTCTCTTGGGTAAGAGGCATTTATACTGTACTGCAACTTCAAGAAGTACAGTTTTACAAACACAACTTTTAGTGGGAAGAGGCCTTTTTAAAAAAATGACTGAATAAAGTGCTTGTAATGTTAGATTGCCTTTCATGCACCAAAAAGCACCGCACCAATACTGAATTTGTTGTAAGAGCAGGATGAAAGCTATCTCTCGACCTCTCCCATAAGGCACGCTTAAGGACAGCAGGCCTAAATTAGCTTTCCTTTTCTCACAGGTGTGTACAATCCTGTCCATGCTGTTCCATGTTGCTGGGGTCTAATCACTTATTATTTTCATTGCTCTGTGGAGCTTAAGGCTGCAGTCTTAATTATGTTCACGTATCATTACTGAAATCTCAGGATGTTTCAAGGCAGCAGGTTATTTAGATTAGTGTGGCAGGTTCATGCAACCAGTGTAGTCGGGATGATTTTATGAGGAGATGGGAAATTACTTCATAGAAGTTAGAACTTGCTGAAGTCCTTATGGAAGGAAACTGCTATTTTTTTCCCCTTCTGTCAATAACTTATTAAGGTGGTTGAAGTGAAGACGTAGTCTTTGGGGCCTCTTAAAACATTTTAAAACATTGACATTTCATAGTCTGTATAGGAAAGGGTACACAATATATTAAGAATCAAGTGTCAAATACCGTGTCAACAAATTCATACAATTAAGGTGAATGTGTTTAAATACACTTTTCCTCTATATTATCTGTCTTCTCTGGAATATCTGGAAGTAAGCTGATCCCGACCACAGGGACGACACTGAGATCAACCTGAAGGACTCCCCTGAAAAAGAAGCAGGTAGTCATTGAAATCTAGACTTCAGAAATTCAAGGTTTTTCTTACCAGTTGTCATGCCCAGTTTAACAGTGTTGTTTCAGCTTCAGAACTGAAAACTGTACAACAAAAACAAGTTTACTTCAACAGATATGTAAGCATGGTAAGCTAAGACTGTTAAAAAAAAGTTTGTCTTCTGCGTTTATAGTGCCTATTAGGAAGAGCAACTGTTCAAAACAGCTGCACCTGAAATATAGAAGAATGGTTTTAAAAGGGTCAATATATTATAATATTTCAGGAGAACTACATTTGTGGAACTGGACTATGCTCACAAAAACTTAAGCAGGGAAAGAAAACATTAGTCAGAAATAAGCTCCTTTTTTCTGAAGTAACAGTTTGGTTCTACAGAATGAAATGTAGAAAGGCACTTACCTGGGTTCACATGAGGGGCAAAACACTTTTAAGACTTTGATGATTAAAGCTGCTCCAACAACTCCAACAACAATGACCAACATTAGATCAAAGAACACTGGAAAGGACTGCAGCCAGAACCTGCAGAGCTCTTTTCTCAAGTATTCCACCCACTGGCACATCACCTGCAAATGCAACAATACTGCCAGTTAAATACCCATCACTGATGCCCACTAAACACAGAAGGTGGTATATCTGTTTCAAATCTCAGACCATAGATCCTCTTCGGAAGCCCAACTGCTCCAATTTAAATGATCTTTTTAGCTCTCCGCCACTATTTATTTACTGATAAATAAACAGTGATTAAGACTAGCGGGGGCTGATCAGAGTGGTGGCTCTAGCCCTGCACTCTATCCAAAAGTGGCCAGTTTAGAGGTGAAGTTTGCAAGCCTGGTGGCAGCAGCTTTTTCCTCTTCTATGCCTTCAGCACATGATATATATGCTGTATCTACACAGATACTTAGATCTTAAGATAAGTGAACAAAAAGAAGATCATGGAAGGAAAGTTTCCCTTCCCCTCTTCCACCCCCACAGTTGCCCGAAGCTTCTCAAATTCCTTCTGTACTTGCCTCATAAACTTACACTTGTTTTGGCCGATTTTTTTTTGTTTCCCCCCTTTGTTCAAAAAGGATACTAACTCGCCTTTGACAGCTTCCTTGACGTTGCTATTTAACCACACTGCCGTTCTCTTGGACTCGTTTGCACCTGTACATTTTTATCTGACTCTGTTATAATTATTGGGTGATACTGGAACAGCTTTTGATCTAGCAGTGGGGTCTGTTTATATAAGAGAAGGAGAAGTCATTTGTGCCAATTTACTTCTCTCTATAACCCCGCCATGTCCCTCAAAAATCTGTTCCAGAGACTTGGGAGACCATTGGTGACAGTGTGTAATATAGCTCTGGGGACTGCAGCAGTAAGCAGAATTTTTTTAACTTCCTTTGTAACTAACCTCTCATTTTTAGACACTTCCTCTTCTGAAATTGAATGCCACGTTACTGCACTTTCTGGGCAAGCTTACAATGATTATGAAATGCTGAATTTGAGACACAAGTATTTATTGTATCTAGAAATTTGTCTTTTTGTTATGGCCTGATATTTACCCAAAGTGAGGATAATTTAAGTTGTCCATTATTACAATAGTTTCTCCTTTGGCTGCCTACCCGGCTTGTCTGTCTGAAAATCATCATCAGAGTTTTGGTCAGAAGCATAATAACATGTTCATAATATATTATTTTGGAGGCCTGGTATTTCTGTGACGGGATTTCTTCTTTTATTATTTTTAATTTATTATATGTAATGTTCTCTTTTATGCAGACTAACACCACTCCAAGTGGGGCCTCTGGAATTTTTATACCCAGGAGTAGGAAATAATTATCACCATAATGCTTCTGATATTTAAACTATGTTTTAAGTATATGCTTTTCTTTAATTCCAGGAACTTTTAATTTGCTTATCTTGGATCTGAAACTTCTAGAATTAGCATACAAATACCAATACATTTTAGCTCAAGGTATATATGTCTTTTTTTGCGCACGATTTTGACTATAATACATTTGGTTATTAGTTTGGTTTCATGTTTTCTTTTTCATGTTTAAATTAACTTTTCTATTTTGTGTTCAGTTACAGGGCAAGAAACATTCAGCTCCTTGATGAACATCAGATATGTTCAATCATCTTGTAGAGCAGGAGGAAGACCATGCCCACAGGCCATGCTCCCAACCAGTAGAAGTTCAGCTGAATGTGTAAAAAAAGACACCTGTGCTCTCATATCCCAGGAGGAAAGGAGCTGAGAACACACAAGCTTGGCCTCGGGCATTGTGAATTCTCATCTCTGAAACATGCATGTACGCCCAGCTCTTGGCCTTCCCTACCATTGGGGTTTTGGGTTGAAGTCCCTTCTGCAATCAGAATAACTCTATGATATTTTTTGGAAAGGGTAGGGAGCAGTTTCCTCTGTCCCAGCAGTACTCTGCCCTGCTGTCTTGTCCCCTACATAATTTAGGCTCCTGGAATGTCTCACGAGAATGCCCCACCCTACAATAGTGGTGTAACAGTAACAGAAAAGACCTTATAAGAGGATGGAGGCTCTGTTCTGAGAGGAGTCTCTGGCAACTTGCCAGGCATTGTCTCTTCGTCCACTGTAGTTTCTACTTGTCTTAGAAGGTAGTGACTGGTTGTTTGTAGTGGGCTTTCAATATCTATTTTTTAAAAAGAAAAGAAAGAGGTTAGATTAACAAGTAGATGCCTCCCCACCTCCATAGATAATTCCAGGGGAAAGCAAGCAAGCAAAATAACAAAGTAAGGCTACATTTTGAGAATATCCAAATATACTTGTGCATTTTGTTTCACAATACAACATACTAAAAAGAATGACAAACAAACAAATTTGACCTGCCTTTAAAATTGAGGAGTCAATTTTTGGCCATTTCCCATAAGACTTGAAAGACTTCTTAGCTGGCATTTGGCTGATTCACTAGTCTGGGGATTGTTTTATCATTATTTGCTGCTTTCATCTTACCAAGTTGTTCTTAAATGATGCACACCACTTAGAACATTGGAAAAGGAGCCTATAGACATTTTAAAATCAATCAACTTAAAATAGATTGGATGTTCTCCCTTTCGGTGTATGGATACTGAAAAGTAATACAGGAAAGCTTAAATGAAAAGACAAAAATTATGGCAACACTTTCTGTAATGAAGAAGCCAAACCGGTTTGTCAGAGATCAACATCACTGCATACCTTTTCCTGCAATGTTTGGAAGTGTGAACAAGATATCATTGTCTCTGGGGATGGAATACAGCATGCTTTCCTTCAAAGGAACAGTGTAATTTGAGTGCCTAAGGACTCTTAAGTCCTTTACCAAGATGTCTATTTCAGTCACTTCATCTTGCTGAACCTGCAAAAGAGAAGTATAACTATTTATGAGTAATCCTCTTGAAACCGGAGCGGTAGGTGCTTTTTTGAAATGGTGAAAATAAAAAGGCAGATGTATAAAAGATAAACAGAATGCCAAGATGAAAAGTCTGTTTGATTTAGGAACATAGGAAGCTGCCTTATACTGAGCCAGACCAATGGTCCATCTAGCGCAGTACTGTCAACACTGACCAGGCAGGAGCCATTCCCAGCCCAAACTGGAGATGCTGGGGACTGAACCTCATACCTTTTCAAGCAATGCTCTACCAGTGAACCATGATTCTTCCTCGTTAAATAAAGATTCCACTCACTGTAGCCCTTTTTGTAGTCTCACTAAAGAGATATTAAGGTGAAGGGCAGAATGTGATATCGACTCTCTTCTAAAGAGCAACCCTGTTGAATTGTCTCTTGAAATTTGAAGGTTCATTATTGTTCCACAATATGTGTATTTCTTTAAGGGCCAGAGCAAATAACGTGACCTAGTTTTACAGCTGTGAAGCAGTATAGCAAGTGCTGTTAAGTTGTGGTGATTAAGCTGTGTCAGCAATTGGGTATAGTATATAAAGAGCAGCACCTAGCTCTCTCAGTACCCTGGTGGTTGGGTTATGCTTATTGATATATTTAATGTAAAAGGAGTTTTTGTTTTTGTTATTAAAACCTAGTTAAAGTTATTTTGTGTTCCTTCCAATGTGTGGTCTTCCCAGCAAGCTTTCTGCAGCGCAATGAATCTGCAAATAGCCAACAAACCCATGCTCCTAATCTTTCATTAAAACATTACCAGAAAATGGGGCCTACCCACTACAACATAAACATGCTGAACATCTTCTCTCTAGAATGAGGGCCAATGTGGGGAAGTATGAAAAAGCAGCAGTGTCATGTGGTATGGGAATGCTGTTTTGTTTTAAAGTAATTGAAGAAGAGAATTGCGAATAATTCTGTGCCAAATATTAATTCCTGTTTGAGCTGTCAGTTTCATCTGATGATCTCAATGCTAGTATTTCGTGCATCTGGCTATTAGAACTATCCACAGAACAGCATCTGTTAGCTGTGGCCTAAATGATGAAGAAAGGAGCTGCCTCTGTTTGACTGGATGGGAGGGAATGAATGAATGGCTTGCTCCTTCCCCCTCCCTTCCAAACGATGCTCCCATACTTGGACATGACTGACCATGAACACATCAATTCCTGGAAAGTTCTGCCTCCTGAGTTCCAAAATCTTGGGATGGAAGGAAGCTGCCCCTTCATTCCAATCCAAACACAGGACCCTCTACCACCACGACTGCACTCAGATAAGGAAGGAAGATCCCCCAGACTTAAATAATGGCACCGTTTTATTTTCAGTTCTGTGAAACTGGAAAAATATATCGTATAAGTTGCCTTATACAGAGTCAGATTATTTGTCCATCCAGATCAGTATTGTTTACAGCTATCATGGTGCCCGTCAGATCATAGCTGTCAACTTTTCCCTTTTCTTGCAAGGAATCCTATTTGGAATAAGGGAATTTCCCTTTAAAAAAGGGAAACGTTGACAGCTATGCGTCAGATGTTGTTGGGCTCCAGCATGGCCAATGGTCAGGAAAGTTGGAAGTTATAGTCCATAGAGTAGCATGTTAACTGCTTGGTCGACACTGACTGGAAGCAGCTCTTCAGAGCCGATGACACCAGTGTTTCTCCGGCCAACCTGGACTGCACCCATCTCCCTAAAATGTTTCTGCCTCTGTGTGGATTTGAACCAGTAACGTCCTGAGCTTTTCTATGGTTATGTTAACATACAGCCCCACAAAGTTCCCTTTTCTGATCACTCATAACAATGAAGTTGCCCTTTCAGTTGCCACCAAGTGTCGGGCTGATTTTCACAGGGGCTTTTTACCAAGGCCTCAAGGTGTTTCCCCACCCCCACCCCCAAGTTGTCACTATAAAAGTGTAGGATTTTTGTTCTAATATGCCACATTCTGAACTCAATGCAGAACAGAATTTGTCATTCTGCTGTGGAGTCTTCATGCCACTTGTTGCTTGCAACAGTGTGGTGCAATTTACAAAAGTTCATGGGGATAAAAATGAGACAGGCATCTTGTGAATCACATTGCCTGGAATAGTATGGTAATGAGAAATCTTTAATAAATGATGTGTAAACTCTACCAAGTGTGATTAATAGGAAGTAAATGACTCTGAATCAGTAGAACTTGTTTCCAAAGTGTCTGTTGCTGTTATTTCAGCTTCAGTAATTGTACTTAATATCCTGACTGGTTCTCCCTTAAACGGGAAGAGAAAGATCAGGCATATGTATTTTGAAGTATTTTTACCCTACTCTTCAGCTGAAAAAATGCATTTAAACAAACTAATGGCTGCATTTATCACACTCAGAAATAAGCAGCAGACTGAGTGTAGTGCATAAAACAATGGGAGTGCTAAAAATAACACACCACAGACTTACTGGACAACAATTCCCCATTATGCATAGAATGCAACTGGATGGGGAAAGTTCTCTAACGCTGGAATTCAGAAAACAAAACTTTCTAAACAAATCACCAATCTATTAACTCTTTAGGAGGAGATGGGATGCCATGAGTGCTCACTGAATAAGTCTTGGCACCAAAATTAGAGCACTGTCATATATTAATTACAGAACTGGTTTGTTGATTTTCCTGTCCTTTTGTCACTAGTAATTCAGAACATACTACCTGATGCCAACACTGACATGATGAGTTGTGAAGGGGGGGGGGATCCAATCTGACTGTAAAGTGCTAAACCCTAACAATTTAGAGACATGTCAATGAAGAGGAATGTAGCAGGATGCCGTTTGTTGATGTAAGTTTTATTGTTCAGCCCTCTGCCAGGCTTTCAGGTGCCCAAGCTGCAATGCTGATCAAGAATTACATATTCACACTGACACTTCTGTTGAAATTTAGATTTGAGCATTGGAGTTGAAGCAAACAAATTCCTAGTAGTTCACTTCACACTTAGTTCATTTCACATTTCTGAGCATATGGCATAAAACAATTAGAGCACTAAACACAATACAACACAGAATTACTGTCAACAGTACTGTACTGTACACAGTTGTACACAATACTCAACTGGGTGTGGCAAGTTATCTCATGCTGAAAATTTAAAAACACCATACATTTTAAGCAAATCACCAGGCTACCAGAACTATTTGAGAGGAAGAGTTTTGTCACTTCTTTAGAACTCAGAACCATTTTTCTTCGAAAGCCCTGTTTCTTCTTGTTGCCACACACATTTAGTAAGAGAGATTCTCTTTTGACAGTTTCTTGATTAGAATCATTAATTTCTGCAGTATAGGAGTGGATTTTACAATAAGATCAGACTACAGTTGAAAAGAGCGATGTACTAGAAATTCTGTTAACAGGTATTAGGTCAATATCATTATGTGACAGCAGCAGGGCTGGCTCTGTATCCAATGAGTCCCAGTCCAGATGAGCCCTGTCTTCTCCCTGTCCCTGGAAAGCCCTGTTTGGTGATAATATACAGTATATATTGTTGTGGTGTTATGGTTTCTTTTTAAATCCTATTTGTTTTGTGGTTTTTAGTTCTTTTACTTATGTATATTTTAAGAGATATTTATTGTTGCTTATGTGGGGTGGTTGTTGTTGTTGCTGCTGCTGTTTAGTTTTAAATGTGGAATTTGTATTGCATTTTTTTAGATGGATTCCTTTAGTAAACAGCTTAGATGTTTTTGTTTAAATACGGAGCAGAATATACTTAAAGTAAATAAATAATGTACTTGGGGTCCACTGCCCAAAGAGGACATATAATAGCACAAACATCGGACACCGTTATGATATGGTGGCCCAGGGCATATCATACAACTAAACTACCCATTCACAGTGGAACCAAGTGCTCCAATGAATTTAAAAACTGGCCAACAAATACAATAATTTAAAGTGGTATGACCTACCCGCTTGCCATCAATTTCTGTCACTTCCTCTTGAACGACAATCAATCGCAAGTTGGATCTGGATGCCATCGGCCATTCGTGGACCATAATGCGAACGCTGACAATTCCTAATCGCTCCTCTTCCTGTAGTGTTTCAGAGTTACTACTCTCCACTATCAATGAAGAACTGTGTGTCATATAGTGGTTATATAGAGAGATATGATCTCTAAAAACAAGGTACACATAAATGGGTGATCGGTGCATTGCAGATTAGATTTGGCTCCTCACTGCACGGGAACAGAACTGCTTGCTGGATTCAAGGCAGCTTTCAAAAGAAGTGATCATGGGCCAAGAGAGTACAAAGGTTTCCCTGAATGCAAACAAGAATACTTTTTAATCATCTGTGTATTGGTTTTCCCAAAGAACAAGTGGAAACACAAGCAGCCTCCTTCATTCCATAGGGTTCCCAAGAACTGAGTTCAGCACTGCATTCCGATTAAAGCTGGAGCTTGGGAAAATTGGTGGCAGAGAAAGGGGAGCAGGAATAGTGTTCAGATAAGTGCACACAGCACATGTCTAGGTAAAGGTAAAAAGGTAAAGTACCCCTGGACGGTTAAGTCCAGTCCAAGGCGACTATAGGGTTGCGGCGCTCATCTCGCTTTCATGCCAGGGAACTGGCATTTGTCCATGGACAGCTTTCCTGGTCATGTGGCCAGCATGACTAAACCGCTTCTGGTGCAACAGGACACTGTGATGGAAACCAGAGCGCACGGAAACGCCGTTTACCTTCCCGCCACAGCGGTACCTATTTATCTACTTGCACTGGCGTGCTTTCGAACTGCTAGGTTGGCAGGAGCTGGGGCAGAGCAACAGGAGCTCACCCCCTCATGGGGATTCGAACTACTGACCTTCCGATCGGCAAGCCCAAGAGTCTCAGTGGTTTAGACCACAGCACCACCCGTGTGTACCATGTCTACCAAGACCAATCTCCCCACGACTTTTTGGCACAAAAATGAAGGAAAGCAAATGATAGGACACTTACATCCAAACTCCCTGCCCCAGGGGCAAGTACGATATCCTTGCTCCTATGGACATTTATGTTAGGGAAGGAGCGGCTGTCTTGCTGGCTTTGCACATGCATGCGTCCAACCCTGTTGGTAATATGTAGGCAGCTTCTATCCACAACACACAAGTCAAATCAGTCTTTGGAGTTTCAGACAAAAAAAATAAGGGCTTGTTCCAAGTACCACTATTTTCTTCTGCAAGGATTGGGGTATTTAGTGTCAGTTGAGACCCCCTCCTACCCTGACCTCCCTCCATCCCTCCAGTAAGGCAAAGTGGATGTTTGAATGCATTGTGGGAAGTAATAACATGCACTCTTATTATACAACCCCAGAATTTTATATTCTTATCTTGGAAATTTAACAGAAACTCAAAGGTAAGGCTTATAGAACCAACAGCAATTATATTTTATATTAAATCAATACAAATTTGTATTGTGATGGTTTGAGAGTTGATTGCATCTGAGTAAAGAACAGTGAGAGCTCATTTCTAAATATGTTTATTGAGACATATGCCCTGCTCAGTTCAAGAGAACCTACTTCCTTTAGAAGATCTATACTAATTTTTTAAAGCATAGGAGCACTTTTGCTGCATCCAAACCATGATGAGCCACTGCCTGGTCTCCTTAAAGGAAACCATGTTTAGTTATTAATGCATAATGTTTTAGGCTTTCAAAAGCCAATGCTTAAAACACATTAGCATGCCCTTAGTGCAAGAGCTGATCATAAAGGGTAGATGATCTCAGAACTTAACCTTGAGACCACCCATAACCAGTGCATCAAGAGACTACTCTGTGCATAAAATGTTCTTCCATGGAAAGTAATTGCTTTAGCTTCATTCATTATGTAAAATGTTGCCTGTATACCCAAATCAGGATGTTTCTGTCCAGGACAAAGCAGATTGGGGGGGGACAGTATTTCCATTTTCAATAACTACATTATAAAAATTACTAGGAAATCTTTTCAATCAAATCTCTAGTTCTAGCAGAGATTGAACTTAAACTAAGAAAGTCTACAGGAGAAGAAAGTGTTTTGCAAAGATTATCTGAAAGACTCTCCCAACTGTTGGAATTCTGCCTGGGTCAGAGGAATGTGCCACAGCGTAGGCACCGGCAGATATTCCTGTCGACCTCCCCGCGTCTCCACTCTGCTGATAAGCAGGCGAGGTCCGGCGATTCTTCTCAGATGTATGAGAGGAACACACCGTTCTTCCTCTCTCCCCTTTGGTGTCCCCAGGGAGGGAAAGAAGCAGACAGAAAACTATTTACATCATTTATTTCTGCCTCTTACATCAGTACAGAGAATCATGTCTGCACTCAACAACAGCAAGAAGAAACTCCTCCCAAGTACATCCAGTACGGGTCATATGACACACACACACTGAGCTAACATCCGGTGCTCAGTACAGAATGGACTGCCCCTTTGTTCCCATGGCAACAGTCACAAACATCCTGCCTGGCTTTCCAGCCACAAGCAGCTGGCTGAGCTGCTAGAGCCTTTGCTTGCTGCAGCATTGGTGCTTTATGGTAACATACTCCCCCTAAAGTATCAATGTGTGCTGCGAGCAAAGCGTCATCCAGAGAAGAAAACAAACAGTTGTTATATTTATAACATTCCCCTGTTGTTTCAGTTCCACTCTTGGAACTACCCGCCACTGGTTTAACCAATGTACCTCTCTGGTTGTGTGACTTCGCATTACCTTGGTTAACAACTCTCTGTTGTGCCTTTGTCTCTGACTCAGACACAGCTTCAAGCTGTCCTTGGTCGTTTACAATAGCAACATATGCAAGGTTAGCAAACTCCTTTGAATACCTCTTGGGTGGTACACCCTTCGTTGCTCTCTCAGACCTGCGTATGAGGTTCTGATCCTCTGTGCTCACTGGTTCAACCTTTGGACTCTGTTGAGAACCAGTAGCAATCAGTGGTTCTTCCTTCACCTGTGAAGGTCTATCCATTGTGTGAGATTTTCTCTCAATGACTGTGACAACTGAGCTGTCTGAGCTATCGCTGTCATCATCAGTACTACTGAACTCAATAAGATCAAACTCATCATCATCATTATCATCAGATCCTCTCCTGTGGGAAATGTCTGTACTATCCGCTCTTGCTTTGGAGCACTCTCTAGGAACTTTGTGAGAATCACCTGACCAGATTCAGACAAAATTACTCTGTAGAGACCTTTTTCATAACCTACGAAAATGCCTCTGGCATTCTTTACTCCACCTGGAGCTTCTGTTCTCACATGAGACCCGAAAACCTTAAAATAGGCAACAGAAGGTTTTCTATTGAACAGCTTCTCAAAAGGAGAACATCCCAACTCTGTTGAGATCTTTCTCAGCCACACATGAAGATAGGACGCTAGCGATTCGGCCCAATATTCATGTGGCAAATGTGAACTCAGCAATTGCGCATTCATCCCCTTTTGCAATTCTTTGTTCACTCTCACACAGACCCCCCTGTTCCACGCTTCTTGCGAGACTGCAACTTTGTGGTCTATCCCTTTTCCATCCAGGAACTTCTGAAACTTCTGCAACAGAAAAATTTGCTTCTCATCTGTGAAAAGACAATCAATGTTAGCATCATGCATATTTTTAACCTTGTCACAAAACTCCTGAAACTTTTCTAAAGTTTCTTGCGGTTTCTCCATCATATAAACCCAAGAATAATTAGTGAAACAATCCACACACACAAGGTAAAATTTTGCACCGCCTCTAGATGGTTCTAGAGGACCAATCACATCAGCATACACCCGCTGAAATGCTCTGTCGACCTTCTTGGTCTTAGTCACCTTCCTGGTGCTCACACTGGTCACTCCTGCAAGAGAGATTTCGTTAGAAACAGCAGAATTACATTTCATGTAATCACTTTGATCAAAAGTCAACAAATACAGTCCATCTTTCTCTTTGGCAGTAAGAAACAGTTCTCCATCTTTGTAGATCTTGCAGCTTTTAGCATCATAGGACAGTTTCAGTCCTTTCTTTGCAATCTGCGACACGCTCAGCAGATTAAATCTCAGTTCTGGAACCAGGTAAACATCATTTATAGTCAAGTTCAGACTCTCAAGATACACAGTCCCAATTCCAGTCGCTTCCAACTCCTGACCGTTGGCCTGTTTCACAGTGAAGCTTTGCTTCTTCAACGTCGAAAATAGTCCTCTGTGCGGGCACATATGAACCGTTGCGCCCGTGTCAATTATGAACGAGTTCCCAACATCTGGCGTGGTTCCTTTCGCCATCATAGCCTTTGCAGGTTTCACCTGGCACTTGGAACGGCTTTTGCCTGACGCCTGAGGCTTCGTAGAGCTGCTCTTTGCTCCTCTTGACTGGCGCGGCTTCTTACAGTTTCGCTGTAGATGCCCAGTCTGTCCACAATTGTAGCATCGGACAGCACTCAATGCTACACCATGCTCTCCAGTAGCATCAGCAGTGGGGAATTAGAACTCTGTTCTTCCCTCCCCCTGTCTTTTTCTTCCAGTGCAGCAAGTCTGTCGTGTTCATTCAGGACCACAGCACAAACTCTCTCCGCGGTCAGCTGCGCGGCCGGTAGGGAACCAAGCTGACTGGCAACAACCTTGTAGGTGCGGCTAAGGCTGTTTATCATCATGAAGCAAAACACTTCCTCCTGAAGACGGAAATTGCGTTCCACCATCTGTTGACGCAGAAACTTCATTTCTGTCAGGTGCGCTTGAACATCTCCATCAGGCGCAAGTCTCAGATTGGTCAATTTCTCAAAATACAGCAACGCTGAAGAACCAGCATCTCTCTGATGCGTTGTACGCAGCGTGTCCCATACCTCTTTCGCATTTTCTAAATGCTGAACATGCACCAACTGATCATCTGAGACACACAGAATTATAGCAGTCCTGGCCCTTACATTCTGTGACTCCCAACCTCTGGTTGGTGCTGCAGGGATGGGGTTTTCAATTACATCAAAAAGCCTCTGATTCTGCAGCAGGGCCTTCATCTTTACAGACCAAGATGAATAATTGTCATTGGTTAAGGGAGGTGGGCAAGGCAAACCTCCCCCTTTCTTGGCATCCATCTTGAAGCCAAGCCTCTTCAGCTTTCCAGCCCACACTCTCAAACAAACTGTAAAATCCAACAGTCGTTTTTTTTTTTTCTCACGCAGCAAACTGCAAATTGTTTACTCTCTTTTTGCACCTGGCAGCTAAACTCAGGCTGCTATTGAAAAGTCCCTTCCAAGAGCTCATAAACTTGTAGCCAAAACATTCTCTGATTTTGTTTCGCTTTCCCAGGCTCACACTCAGAGTCCAGCCCCTTTGCCAGTAACTTTCCAGGACCGTTACCTAGCAACAATGCATTTCAATAAGACATCTTATCTACCACAAAAATTTGTGGAATGCAGGCTTCAGCCTTCAAGCTGCAGGCCTCTTCTCCCGGAGCTTTTGTTTTCTTTGAAACGCAGCTCCGTGAACCAGGGAATTAATCTTCCTGCGTTCACACTTTTAGCCCGAAATGCAGCATACCTTGAGCTTTGTTGCTCTGGAAAACACCTCTTCTTTCCACCAGCTGTCTGTGGAGCCTCTGGCTTCTTTCAGACGCTTCTATTCCTCCTTAGGAGCAGAGGAGGACAATCCACCAGCCTCTCATACAGATGTTCGATGGTTTCGAACCATCCTCTGCTACCACTTTTGGAATTCTGCCTGGGTCAGAGGAATGTGCCACAGCGTAGGCACCGGCAGATATTCCTGTCGACCTCCCCGCGTCTCCACTCTGCTGATAAGCAGGCGAGGTCCGGCGATTCTTCTCAGATGTATGAGAGGAACACACCGTTCTTCCTCTCTCCCCTTTGGTGTCCCCAGGAGGGGAAAGAAGCAGACAGAAAACTATTTACATCATTTATTTCTGCCTCTTACATCAGTACAGAGAATCATGTCTGCACTCAACAACAGCAAGAAGAAACTCCTCCCAAGTACATCCAGTACGGGTCATATGACACACACACACTGAGCTAACATCCGGTGCTCAGTACAGAATGGACTGCCCCTTTGTTCCCATGGCAACAGTCACAAACATCCTGCCTGGCTTTCCAGCCACAAGCAGCTGGCTGAGCTGCTAAAGCCTTTGCTTGCTGCAGCATTGGTGCTTTATGGTATGATTCTATTATTATTCTTTCTTTTACACAACTGTATCTGGATAGATGCCAGTTTAAGAAAGGAGACAGAAAGAACTTATCAGGGTGGAGTCACATCCTTGCATTTATACTGCCTAGTCTACGGCACAAATTCTTTGCCTTTAACAAATAAATTAACTGAACAGGAACTTCGCTAACTGTTCCAGAAAGGGAAGGTTTGAACTCGTTATTTTTTATGGGCAGAATATGTGAGCACTGTGGATGAGAAATAGAGAGGGCACTCCATTTCGTATTTTATCTATTTTAAATATACCTTAACAGTGGAGATTTATTTTTAACAGTACAGATGTGTATATATTATAGTGTTACTTATTTATTATACCATTATTCATGAGTGGTGAACTGCAAGGAAGCACACAGCACAGGTAAGGAATTAAACAATACTTACATATTAAAGTCTGACATTTAATCCGAGCAACTCCACTCTTCAGCGGAAAGTCATTTACATACACCTGACCATTTACATAGGTAATATTAAGGATGACCTAAAGAAAATAACAGAATCGAATATGTTAAATGTCCACATTTTGTAATACAAGGTCAAGCACAATTGTTAAGTTTATTTAATCTAAATAATCATTTTAGCAATTACCAGAATTCAGACCTTAAGAAGTTAAGGCTGCAATCATGGAACTGACATTCAACTGGTTATGGGATGCAGTTGGCACCAGAGGTCCCCCAGTACATGTTTGGAAAGCTCTGAAGGTGTAGATGTTTTGCTGGTGGTAGGGGTCAAAATGGAGTGGGCGAGGCTGAGGATCCACAGGATTCTGCATCCTCTCACCTCCATTATTCCCTGGAGACACCCCAAAATGCTTTGCAAAGCTACACCAGCCATGCAGTAGGCATAAGCAATTCCCACTGATCACTATAATCTTTTAGGGGAGCAAAACAAGAAGTCACATGGTGCCATCACTTGCTACCATCAACGGTACCTGCTACTCTGTATCTATCACAGATTAGTTAGACCCTAAATACATGCTTGATTTCCACTGACTGATCACAATCACAAGATAAAAGGCTAGCTAAAGCAAGTACAGGAAGTCTGACATACCTGCCCATCCCTGTTGTTTTCCAGCATTGTAACTTTAATCTTGATGCTTTCCTGCAAGTGTAAGAGGAGGAAGAGGTTTCAAAGAAAGAAACATGTTACAGATTCCTCAATATGGCATCAACTAGGTAGCTGTTTCTATTTCGAGTTCCAAAACCCTTTCCAATACCAGTTTTAATCTATCTGTGTTTCCTGTATATTCAAAAAGTAGAGTATAATTTTATAAAAACTATATAACAGACCTTTAGATTACGAAGAACTGAATACAACCAAGTTTTCAAAAGCTGTGAGATCTAGCAGTCAGTTGATCATGGTGTGGTTGGTAAAAAAAAATATAATCTGATGAACAGGCGCCAAGTTACTTCCACTTTCTGCAGTTTATCCTGATCTATGCCCCAGATATTGAGTAATAATAAACATTGCATTCTACAATGCACAACAGGTTCTCATCTGAGTTGCTGGAATAGGTTTTTTGTTTTTTTTAAGGGACCCCTGACCATTAGGTCCAGTCGTGACCGACTCTGGGGTTGCGGCACTCATCTCGCTTTAGTGGCTGAGGGAGCCGGTGTACAGCTTCCAGATCATGTGGCCAGCATGACTAAGCCGCTTCTGGCGAACCAGAGCAGCGCACGGAAATGCTGTTTACCTTCCCGCCGGAGCGGTACCTGTTTATCTACTTGCACTTCATGCTTTCGAACTGCTAGGTGGGCAGGAGCAGGGACCGAGCAATGGGAGCGCACCCCACCATGGGGATTTGAACCACCGACCTTCTGATTGGCAAGTCCTAGGCTCTGTGGTTTAACCCACAGCGCCGGAATAGGTATTACACCAGTTGTATTCCATATCCAGGTTTTCCTATATTAAAACAACTGTCAAAATGATGGTATATTAACTATATCCTTATTTGTTGTATGTTCACATTATCCTTTAGATCATGTGTGAGGAACTTTTGGCTCTCCAGATGTTGCAGTGCTACATCTCTCACCATCCCTAGCCATTGGCCGTGATTGCTGGGGCTAACAAGCCAAAGGTTCCCCACACCTGCTTTATATTTTAATTAAAAAAATTAAGGCAATCAACTGCTTATAAGCTATATATATGAGAACACAGTGCATGAGAGTGCCATGAATAGAGAGCACGTGCCACACTGTGACAAATGTCTAACTTATCAAAAGTTTAACCAATACTTTACTTCTGCTCTCTGCCTTACAATTAAATTAGCACCAGAGATGGAATCCAAATTACTGCTGGCATTTATATTTTCAGGAAAACAAACAAAATAAAATGCTCTTGGGGTCGTTTGCAGCTAGCAAACCTAAGTTTGCATAAGCTCTCTGGAACTCCTTCATTTATTTATTGTTTATTTGGGTTTTTTTGCATTTATGTCCTATCTTTCCTCCAAGATGCTTAGGAGAATGTGCATGATTTCCCAACCACCAAGAAGAGCTGGGCGGAGTCCATACCGTGATGCTGGTTTCTTAATTTTTGACCTGGCAATATATCACGAATCATGGTGTGTGTGTGTGTGTGTGTGTGTGTGTGCATGCGTGCCCTATGCAAAAATCACAATGTGGGGGAAACCGTGAAGCCAGCCAATGCCTCTACCTAGGTCCATCCTTATTTCAGACATTGTGATATATTGGTATATCATGATGTTGAAAACCAGATATCACCCAGCCCTACCACCAAGCTCATTTTATCCTCACAATAATTCACTGAGGTACAGCAGTTTCAATGTACATCTTAGGACTGAATTTTACCAAATGTATACTAGCCTGCATATGTGCTTCACATATGGTATGCTGGCTTTGTATGTATAACCTGGTTTATATTTCCTTTAACTGTCACCCCGCCCAGCACTTTCCCCCCTCCCCTCCTTTTATGCTGGCACATATTGTGAATGTTGTGATAAAACTTTAAATAATAAAAAGTATAAATCAATAAAAAACAGTACTTTTCACATTGTATTATTTTCACACACACTACACGTCTCTTGGATGTCCCAGCATTTCTTGCCCTGCCAAATACACACACTGCATGACTGGGTAGAGTATTTCTTGGGTGCATTTAATGACCCTTCAGTTCAAAACTCTCTATTCTGCAAAATTATGATGAAGAGGCCAGAGTTCACAATGTTCCCTTTGTGACGAATGCAAAGAATGACTAATTTCAACAGAACAAAGGGGGAGGAGTCAACTGTGGAGCATATTCTACGTAGTTTAGAAAAATTGCAAGAAATTGTGCAATAGTGGTCATGTAGGAGGATTGCACCATAAGCAAATGACTGAACAGACATTTTATTATTTTGCCTTTCAATATCTTTCTTTCTTAGTCCTTTCCTCTAACAATTTTTCAAGAAGATATATTTCTAAAAGAATTGTATTCTGAAGGTAAACTTCTACCAGCAGGTTCTAGTGGTGCAATAAGCCTTTCTGGAGGCTTTAAAATATAAGATGTAAAGATTACATGTTAAGGGTGAAAATGAGAATTTTTTGGGGAAGAGGGAAGTAGTAAAACAACTAAAGGAAGATCATTCCAGATTCATGGAATGAAAACTAGCAGTGTTTTGCCTGAAGGACAGAACTTCTGACCACTTTCCTCTTAGATATTCTCCTGTTGATTTTATAGTTCCTAGGAATCACTGAGATAGCTATAGAGGAAAACAAATCACAAAAGAACCTCAAAAATACTTCTTTTTGGCAGTCCAAACCCCTTAGCAAGTCATGAACACCTGTACTGATCAAAATCTTTTTACCCTTATGTTTATGCAAGCAGCATCTACTTAGGAATTATTAAGAAATAAGTGCATTCTTTCTATCAAAGTTTTATGATGTGTCAACTATTCCTTTGCTCTTTATGCATTACGTACCACAAAGACACAGAGGGCGATTCTCGCATTTCCCACTGTTTCTTGCAAGTAGTAGTGAAGAGAATCACTACCGGAAGAGTAAATATGCACCACTCTTTTAAAGAAGAGTCCCCAGACTCTTGCACCTTCCTTTTCTAAAATAAAAAATGCTTTCAAAAAGCAAAGTTATTGACTTTTCTAGTACAGCATATTCATGTGAAACTTCAGTTCATTCATAAACGATATAAAAAAGTAGAGTGAGTGTGTGTCTTATAAATGCTCACTTGAGGTATTTACTTTGCTAGTTCTTCATAAAGTGGATCTTTCCATATACTACTCCATCACACTGAAAACCAGGGATAAAGTTAATCCAAATCTAATCATTGCTTGTTCAGATGTTTGTGATGGAGATTTTGGGTTAGCTCTCTTAGCAATTAGCTAGCTATCAGAAGTTGAATGCAGTAGCATCTTAAGTGCTTGAAAAGGACACTGTACCAAAACCACTCCTGTGCTTCAAGCTATAACATGTGATTAACTTAAAGAAACTACTAGTAACACCCACAAATCACAGGATTTGTAACACCTACAAATCACTTAAACATTCCTCTTTATTTTCCACTCAAAAGCAATTTGTTTTTGTTGGACAGCTTATCATTAAAGACTTCCGCACAGAAACAGTTGAGAATATCATGCTCTTCTCTCAACGCAGACCAGATGCATTAAAGAAAGCACTCAATCCCAAAGTTCAAATCAGACAAATAAAATCTAATCTTGGTGTTACCTAGCCCAATGGACATCCTGTATTCTCACTGCATATCCATTTGGTCCCTTGAATATGCCTGTGTGCATATATAGCAAGCACGCAGCTGACGTACTTCATACCAACATCCAAGCCACACAAGGCCCGATGCCACATCTTATGCAATTCTGCATACATATTAATATACAAATCGCTCCTTCACGGGGCTGGGGGTGGGGGAGGAAGAAACACCCCCCCCCACACACACACACCTTCAAAGTGTACAAGCCTGAGCATTTCACACAGGTGGGCACTACGGCACCATCTCGGGATGTCCACACGAAGCTCCTGCACGTCACACTCAGTCTTGCACACTCCCACGGCACCTTAGACAAGACAAACAATACAACGCCGCCGCGCCTATCTACAGCAGCATGTCGCTTCCTTACTCCGAATTAAGAGGAAGCTGAGCACGGAAGATTAGGGGCCAACCCACTGCATTTCTTGTTTCTTGGTTTTATCGGACTCCTCCGAGGGGTCCACTTCTGCTCGCCCCTCTTCCCCACTCCCTCCGTGTACTCTCCGTCCTGGTGCCGCCAGAATAAAGATGAGGCTGCCCGGAGACCCTTCCTCTCCCTTACCTGGCTATCGAGCTGGGAGAAAGCGGCTGTCGGCTCCGGGGCGGCCAGGCAGGAGGGCAGCAGCAGCAGGAGCCCCGGGAGCAGCCGCAGGAACTCGCGTGGCCCCAGCGCCGCCTCCATCTTGGGAGCCGGGAATTAAAACAAAGTGAAACATCAACAAAGCCAGAGGAGGCGGCAGGCGGAGCAGAGGCGGGGAGGAGTCCGGCAGGGGAGGGGAGAGGAGAGGAGAGGAGGAGGAGGAGACCGCAGCAGCAGCAGCAACAACAACACAACTGGGAAAGATGCAGGATTAGGAGAGGTGCTGCTGAGGGCAGGAGAAAGGCCCTGTCAAAAAGGTTTCCCTTGGGAAAGGCTTAGGAGTTGGAGCCAAACAGCTCAGAGGAGATTTGCGCGGGGGAAAGAGCAACCTGTCTCAAATAAATTAGTCCTCCTTCCTCAAATTAGCAGAGATGAGAATAGGCATGCAGGTTTAGTCAGCAATAAATCCCGCTTTATTCAGTGTGCATACGGTACCACTGAAGGCTCCTCAGCATCCATCCCCTGATAATGCCCACCAGAGCATTATCTTTTTGTGTATTACCATACAGAGTTTCCCCCCGCCTTCGAATATTATTTAGGTGGGGTTAAAAACAGCAGAAATGAATAATGCTAAAAACAAAACAGAAAGTTGAAACAAAGCAAAAGGCAGCATTTTTATTTGGAAAACAAAACAAAACAAAACAAATAAAACAGATAAAGTTTAAAAGCCTGGGAATTCAAAAAACGTTTTTCCTTGGCACCAGAAATACATTAGTGTGGGCACCAGGCAAGCTTCTCTGGGCAGAGAATTGCAAAGTTGAAATGTCACCATGGGAAAGGCCATCTCTGTTGTAATTGCAGAGGAACCTGGAAGAGTAAACAATGCAGTGGCGACTAGCCATGATGGCTAGTGCTCTCTACTGGACACTGCAGAAGGGGAGAGTGCTCTTGCTCTAGTCCTTCTTGGGGATTTCCTGCAGGCATCTGGTTGGCCACTGTCAGAACAGGAGGCTGGACTAAATGGGCCCTTGGCTCTTATGTTCTTAAGAGGCTGTGACGCTGCAATCCTGAGAGTGAACCCCAATGAACACACTTACCAATGCAATGGGTTAATGAGTAAGTTGTTATTCTAAAGGTGGGTATGGTTGCCTCTCTAAAAAGAGTGCAACACTTGGCTGTTTTGCCATTTCATGAGGGTCTAAAAAAGCACACTAAAAATAAGGTTTTTTGTTTTAAAAAATATTTACTATGAAGCAAAATGCATGTTAGTCCATTTCACATGGACTATCAGGACATAAATCAGCTTGCTGCATGATCCAAATTGCCTAATCCCATTGAAATCAATGTGCTGCATAAAGCCAGTCTATTAATGGGACGAAAGTACTGTAGTAATTAAAATCCAGGTGTGCGTGGAAAGAAGTTTATCTTCACCCCACCCCGACAAAAAAAGTGTTCATACCTGGGAATCTAAACTTGTCAAGAATAAAAACGTATTTTGAGAATTTGTGAATGTAATGCGGTTGAGTCATTTGTGGATGGGATTGATGGCAATAACTCCTCCTAAACCACTTCGTTCTGTCAAATCAATTCCTATTGGGATCTCTTTCCATTTGTTTAGTGAATGATTTACAGTTGCTATGTTGAATGTTGATGGGGACATATGAATAATTACTTAGCCATTACTCCTTCATTGCTCAGTTTAACTCATGAGCATAGCCAGTGGGGGGGCAGGGGGCAGCTGCACCCCCCTAGATCAAGCACAGTAAAACAATAGAAATACTTAACAAACTGAACAATTACGTCGGTTCTGCCCCCACCCCGAAAAGTCCAGCCCCCCTAACAAAAATCCTGGCTACGCCCATGGTTTAACTCCTGAATTTTTCTATGCCTGGTGGCTCAGAGGGAAGGAGCAATTGAAAGGGAAACAGCAAATTGCAGGTTCAGTGGTGTTCTTGTGAAATATGTGTATGCCCTCCACAAAGCACAATTTACTGTCAGGTACAGGCAGCGCCCCCTGTAACCATATTGGAGCATTTTAAACTGATTGGACTGAGGCCCTTATAATGACGTTTAAAACACTAATTACCAGTATTACAAGCACCGCCAATAACTGATCATTTTCTATTCTTGTGGAGGAAAGATGTAAGTAGACGATAACATTTGTGTAGTTTTTTTGTCTGAATATTACCTTTGTTTGTTTCAGCAAATTGTATGGGGACCAAGCTGTTATGAGACATAACATCCAGGCTCCTTCTGAAGCTGTTTAATTCCAGGAGAAAGAAGTTAGAGCTGCCAATGGAGAAATTCCGAACAGTTGTGAGTGGGCGAAAGGAAGGATTTATGTCATAGTGGTTTTTTAAAATGTGTTTTTGTGAGTTTAAAGCATTTGAAACTTTGCCCCACCAATGCCAATGCAATTATACTATGGGGTCTGTAGTCTGTGGTGGAAAGCGACTTCCAGGAGCTCGATGAAAATCACCACTCTATCGCAGGTTAGAAGCAGTTCTCGGGTTGCACTGGCAGCCAAGGTCCGCGCAGGTAGTTCAAGCATCCCATGCTCGAGCGGATCCCCGGTCAGAACTGCAGGCAGAAGCTTTGCGCTGCAGTCACTTCCAGGCAGGTGCGCTGCGCCTTCACCACGCGAAGCACGACCTGCCTCGCCGGAAAGAGCAGACGCTTCTGCCTCTGCTGCGACCTGTTTTATGGGGAACAGGCTGGTCCCGCTCCCGCTCCGGCCAGTCACACCTATAGGAAACCCAGTGTTTTCTCCGGGCGGTTTGTACCACCGCCACAAAATGGTGCCTAAAGTGAACGGAGGCGGCGGCTTCTGAGCGCGTGAGTCTGTTGCCAAGCAGGGGAGGAAAAGGCGGAGCGGCACTGAGGCGGCTACTTCCGGGGCGAGGGAGGCCGCCGGGAAGCGGAGCGAGGCGCCATGGCGGTGCTCCTGGAAACCACGCTGGGAGACCTGGTGATCGACTTGTATACGGAGGAGAGGCCGAGAGGTGAGAGGAAGCTCCGGCGTCCGCCAGCAGAAGGCCGAACAGGCTGCAGATGCCTTTCCCGAGTGTCCCTCTCCGACGCGGCCTTCAGGAGCCGCCATGGAGTTTTTCCTCCCTCGTTGCATTTCTGCGCTGCACCGGTTGGGTTTCTGCACACCGCCCAGCAGGACCGGTCCTAGGTGGTGTGCCCTCAAGTGGCCCGACCTGCCTTCTCCCACCTTTGGGGGTGGGAGGGTGTCATCCAGATGTTTTGGACTAGAGCTCCCGTAGTCCATGTTGGCTGAGGCTGAAGGGAGTTGTGGCCCCCAAATTTAGAGGGCACCAAGTCGGGAAAGGCTGGGCTAGACTGTGCAGTCTAGAAGCAAAACAACATCCTTTGCAATGTTGTAGATACTGAGAGCAAAGCGTAGATCCTCTAGCACAGTCTCTCTTGGGATATATATTTCTACAAGTACAGTTGCTTCCAGGAGACAACTTTCGTTGATTCTTCAGGAGTTCTACCAGGATTATTTTAAAAATACCGTCTTTCTTTTGCTTTGTTTATTGGTTTTGCCTCATGCCTTTGGCAGTAGCTTGACACCCAAAGATTAAGGAACTGAAGTTTTTCTAATTGTTTATCTATGTGAGTAGGACAAATACTGCAAGGTCTGGATTTGTTCATGTGGGAAGAGGCGGTCCTTGAGGGCCTTGACTATAGGGCTTGATAGGTCAAAACAAGCACTTTGAAGTGATTACAGAAACTAATTAGTAGCTACTGCAATCTGGACATAATTGGTGTACTGTACTCAGATGTTCTGTAAGGGACGCGGGTGGCGCTGTGGGTTAAACCACAGAGCCTAGGGCTTGCTCGGTCCCTGCTCCTGCCAACCTAGCAGTTCGAAAGCACGCAGTGCAAGTAGATAAATAGGTACTGCTCCAGCGGGAAGATAAACAGCGTTTCCGTGCGCTGCTCTGGTTCGCCAGAAGCGGCTTAGTCATGCTGGCCACATGACCTGGAAGCTGTACGCTGGCTCCCTCGGCCAGTAAAGCAAGATGCGCGTCGCAAACCCGGAGTCATCCGCAACTGGACCTAATGGTCAGGGGTCCCTTTACCTCTGGTCTCAGTAATCTGGCCACTGAATTGTGCAACAGTGTAACTTCTGAACTGTTTTCAGAGGCAGCCCCATGTATAAAGCATTGTAGTAGTTTACCCTAGAGGTTACTAGCATATAAATAATTGAAGCTAGGTTATCTCTGTCCAGATAGAGTAGCATCTAGGCCAGGGGTAGACAACCTAAGGCTCATGGGCCACAAGTGGCCCATGGGGGTTGTTTAACCGGCCCACAAGCCGCCACTGAGCTGCCTGCTCGGCGAGTCCCTGTGCGCTGTGCTAAACCAGCGCAGTGCGGGGACTCACTTCTGCAGTGCCAGAAATCACGTCTGTGTATGCTCAGGTGCCAAAAATCGCATCTATGCAGTCACCGGAAATCATGTCTGTGCAGACACCGGAAATTACGGCCGTGCGTGCAATCTGGCCCACAGAGGGATTTCCGCTGGAGTGAACCAGTCCAAGTGAGGTAAACCTTGCCGACCCCTGATCTAGGTCAAAGCTGGTGGAAGACGCTGCACCATCCAGGCTACTTGTGCCTCCAATGACAGCTGTGGTTCCAGAAGCATTCCTAAACTGCACACTTGCTCCTTTAAAGGGAGTGCAACCCCATTTAACATCTGAACATCATCTTTTCACTGTTATTTTACTCAGGATGAGTTCTTTATTCTGAAAGTTCTGTTAAGGGTTGACTAGAGTGACAACCTTGGCACAGGGTTTGTTTCTACTAGCCTCTTATTGCAGGCCTTGATGTGTTGTGGATTTTGTTGTTCTTACGTATAATGGAGGAACAGTGAAAGTTTCTTTTATTAAGCAAAACATGCAGACTGGTTCATTTGCTTTAAATTTCTTACAGCTTGCCTGAATTTTCTGAAGCTCTGCAAAATCAAGTATTACAATTACTGCCTTATACATAATATACAAGTAAGTATTTGTTATGATTGATTTTAAGATTTTGTGCTATACAGTTGATAAAGAGAGTTGAACTTAGACCTAGGAGATCTTAGCTCACTTCACCTGTACTGTATATTGGAAATAATAGCTTTGCAGTCTGCATCATACAAATGTCAGTGCAAGCAGTAAATTTTAATAAACCTATTTTTCTAAAACTCGTAAACTGCCCTGTGATCTTTGGATAAAGGGTGGTATATAAATTTAATAAATAATAATAATAATAAATAAACTATGGTGATAGATAGCATTAAAGAACTTTTTATATGTGCTTTGCATTCATTCAGAGAGATTTTATCATACAAACTGGAGACCCACAGGGGACTGGCCGTGGAGGTGAATCAATTTTTTGGTGAGTTTCATTTAGATCTTGAGTCTGTGTATGCTTACCAGGAAGTGAGTCTCTTTGGACACCGTGGGACCTTTGCCCAAGTAAACATGCATTGGAATGGACAATTCATTGGGTAATTAAACCCAGGAGAAAGACCAATAGACCTTATCTGGACTGTCTATCTTAGGTGTTCTTCCCCCTCCAGTAATGCTGACAAATTTTGTGTTCAGCTGTCTAAAGAAGGGAGATTCCCTTGTATGGAACATTACTCTTTTAAAAATGGAAATGAGTATTTTTCTCATCTCCGTAGCCAGTCCAACAAGATTCACACCACGCCTTTGAACACATGGAACTAGATGCAAGCTTGACAGATCAAAGCAAATGTATTGTTTTTCTAAAAGCAGTTCTAAAAGCTTGTGAACGTGGGTGTTGTTACCCGATTAAGAGTTTCTTAGGCACACAGAGAGCTCCTACATTATTTGATGTACCCTATTCATTTGAAAGGAATATGTTTGCATCTTGGTCTCCTATTGAAACAAATAGTGATGATCTTAATAGAAGAGCTTTGCATGCATATTGGAGCATTTTAAACTGATTGTTGGACTGAGGCACTTGTAATGAAGTTTAAAACACTAATTAGCAGTATTATGAGCACCGCCAATAACTGATCATTTTATATTCTTGTGGAGGAAAGATGTAAGTAGACTATAACATTTGTTTAGTTTTTTTGTCTGAATATTACCTTTGTGTGTTTCAGCAAATTGTATGGGGACCAAGCTAGATTTTTTGAAACAGAAAAAGTGCCAAGAATTAAACACAAGAAAAGGGGTACAGTGTCAATGGTGAACAATGGCAGTGATCAGCATGGATCTCAGGTCAGTCCACAGTACTGGAAGAGTCTTACAAGAAACTTGGGATAAGTGAATGGAGTGATGCCACAAAGAATTAAAATAACGATTTGACTGGGCATAATCCATGCACATGATACAGATATGTTCTTAAAGAACAGCTACTAACAAGACTTGACACAACATTAAAAACCAAAACTAATACTTACATAGATTGACATTGTGGGTAATAGAAGAGCATTGACTCTAAAAACCACCATAAAGCACATGCACAAAATTCCTATACAGTATTGTCTTTCTTTTACTTGTTCACAGTGTCAAGCAAGATGAGATGGTTCTTAATCTTGTGGCAATTATGTAAATTTTAAAATGTGTTAGATTTTTACATGACTCTTAGGTTTGGAAAGGCATAAAAATGTAAATGTGTAATCTTTGGGAGGGGAGGGAAATATCAAAGCTGATGATCCCTGAGAGAGTCAGGACCTAAAACTGAGAACCAATATTTCCAAATGGTACTGGACGGCAACCAGTGCAGATGTTTCAAAACTTGCATGTGAATATCAGTCTGCACTTATTAACAGGCAGGCTTCTATATTTTGTCCTAGCTGAAGTTTCCAAATCATCTTAAAAGGCAGCCCCACATGTAACACATAACATATTACAATAGCCTCTCTTCTGGAACCTGCCCTCCAGAGAAAACAATATATTGCCTGTAGTTCCTAATCCCGTTCAGAATATACAATGATTGATGATATTGAAAGCTGCTGTTGATAGCAAACAGTCTCAAAGGAAACATCTTAAAATACCTGGAGATTTCCACCATGCAGTTAACTCAAAATAGTTTTGGGGTTTTTTAGTTTCTTATTACTACAGGAGACAACCTAGATTACTTGAATGGTGTACATACAGTCTTCGGTGAAGTAACAGAAGGCATGGATGTGTTGATGAAAATTAATGAAGCCTTCGTTGACAAGGATTTTGTTCCATATCAAGACATCAGGTTTGACTCTGTTTTGCTTTTATAGGCTACATATATCAGAAAATCCCTGCTTGATCAGACCCAATGGTCTTTCTAGTCCAGCATCCCCCTCAGGGGTCTGCCAGGTTCTTTTGAGAGGTCCATATGCAGGACATAGCAATCAGTACCTGTTCCCAACTGCCGCATCCCAATACCTTCTGATCAGTGGTATACCACCTCTGGCACTGGAGGGTCCATTTGGCCTATCATGCCAAACGTTTTTGCTAGACCTATCCTCAATGAACTCATCTTTCAAAGCCAATCAAACTAGTTACAATGACCATCTTCAGAAGCAGTGAATTCCACAAAATAATGTTTTTATTATTTATTTAATGTGTTTATATGCTGCTTTTTATTGCCAAGTGACCTCAGTTGTGTATTACATGATGGTATTTTTCTTAACTTTTTGGGGGGGGTCTGTTCTGAAATCGTTTCCAGTCAGTTGTATGACCATCAGCTCTTGGCTATTTTGCGACAGTCTTATGAACTGGCCAAATATGATTTGCCTTCTGTTTTAGCCAAGAGAATATCTCTGCAGTCATATGCTGCAGTAGGATCTGAACCTTCCTCCACAAAAGCCAGCTCACATGCTTTTGGGAAACGGCAAGAGCCCTGCACTATACAGTGATGCTCTGTTCATTGCCTGTCTGGCTGTGTGCCATACTTGACATACATACTTTGCAAATGACCTGACTTTCTTACAGATTCTGATTATCCATCTGAGAGGTTAGTGTGTGAGTGTATTTTACTGATGCATTTGTTGCCACAATGCACACATATGCATGAAATTATCCTTTACTTTTACTGCAATTGTTGTCTAGGATAAACCATACAGTGATCTTGGATGATCCATTTGATGACCCTCCTGGTTTGGCAATACCAGATCGTTCACCAGAGCCTACCAAGGAACAGTTGGATGTGAGTGTTGCTATTTAATGTCTTTTGATACTGGAGAGGGAAATCAGAAAATAGATAAACAAGGAATATTTATCACCATCACACAAACCCTCAGTCCTTAATCATGGTGCCCATTCAACATATGCAAAATGAAAAGAAGAGTAAAACGAAAAGAAAAAAGTGAACCTGAACTGGTGGAGATGGAAAGTTTACTACTGAAACAAAAATCAAGCTGTGTCTTGACAATGAATCCTCTTCAAGGACAATAGTAATGTGTGTTTTTCAGTTTCAGCAGAGTGCATTTTTTGGAGCTCTGAGTTGCATGAGGAATGGTTCCCAGAGGGGGATTCTCCCTCCACCTGCTGCTTTCCTCCCAATTCAATAAGCAGTGTCATAAAAAAAAAGCCTATCCTGAAAGGCATCCATCAACCTCTGATTAAACTATGTTAGACTGGCGCTAACACTTTGCGATGTGAAAGAATTTATATTTTCAAGGGCTGAAACATTCAAGTAGTCAGATTATTAAAATTGTTATTTCTGGGTATATCTTCCATTTTTATTTGGAATGCATGGCTGCACACAACCCAATGCCTGCAGAAACATGGAGGTGCAATATGTGAAATGTAAAAGATATACCTGTGTATTTTCCAAAGAAGGCATATGTCTGACCAAAGATAAGGAGGAGGATAAGTGTCTTCACAGGCAAACAGGCACATGTGCTATCCATGCCACATGATGTAGCTATGCCTCCTAAGGCGCATGTTTATATGCCTGTGCTTCAGACATTAATATGGCAGGCAACTTTAGGTTTATAGATACACTGCTGCCTTGAACTTCAGAAATGGAACTGCATCTACACCCCTCCCCTGTCCAGGTTTTAAAAGGTGAAGAAAATGGGGAGAACAATTGGTGCATTCATTGTGGAATTGAGAAAAATAAGGGTCATCCTGTAACTCATACTAGAAGGAGAAAAATACAAATTAACTGCTATAATTGTCATCAAGCATGCTCGTTTCTGGTGGTTCACAATATAGATTATTGTGATATATGTAAACCTGTGCTAACTGCTTACATTTTGCTGAGTGTATAATTTCAAAAAGGGTAAGCTACACAGTACAGTTGTACCTTGGAAGTCGAACGGAATCTGTTCCGGAGGTCCGTCCGACTTACAAAACGTTTGGAAACCAAAGCGTGGCTTCCAGCTGGCTGCAGGAACACCCTGCAGCCAATCAGAAGCCGTACCGGATATTCGGCTTCCGAAAATCGTTCAAAAACCGGAACACTCACTTCCGGGTTTGATCATTCGGGAGCCGATTTGTTCAGGAGCCAAAGTATGACTGTACTGTGGACAGGACTGTAATCAATCTCTTAAGCTTGAACTCACAAGTGTAAAGTGTTTCTGTATGTCTTCCTGTGTATGTTTAAAATTTGTGTTCAAGCAGTAAAGTTAGTTTCAGTTCAGCTATGCATTGAGTCACAAATGGATTGAAAAAAAGCAACAATATATACTCACTGGCTAAATATTATTAAATAGCTGTTTTTCTTTTATTTGTTTTAAATATAAGACAGAGTGGAAGAATAGGAGCTGATGAGGAGATTGATGACTTCAAAGGAAGGTCTGTTGATGAAGTGGAAGAAATTCTGGCAGAGAAAGAAGCAAAAACTAAGGCTATTCTTTTGGAAATGGTAAATATGTTCAATTATTTAACTCAAAGTCAGCCTTGCAGATATGCATGTGCTTTTTGTGAATATAAATAAAGCTGTCGCAGCATCAGATATGATGATTACTAGGACTGTCTGTTGAATCTAGATGTAGGTTCAATTTTTTAAAAAAATCTAATAATTGATCTTGCAATGGGACATAAAGATAAATCAGAAGGATTTTATGCATGCTTAAAAGGTTGTATATGTTAAATAATTACATGTCAAAACATGTCTAAATGTGACTTGCCCGAGATTCTGTATAAAGTGGGACTAAAATCTCCTCTCATATCACACTTGTATTCCAGGTTGGAGACTTGCCAGATGCAGATATCAAGCCTCCTGAAAATGTCTTGTTTGTTTGCAAACTTAATCCTGTGACAACAGATGAAGACCTTGAAATCATATTTTCCCGATTCGGACAAATAAAAAGGTAATTATTGAAAATCGGCACAAGAAGCAAAAAGTTTGCAAGTAATTTTAAAACTCTTCCTTTCTGGGACTGATTGCTCTGCTTTCAGTTTGTTTCAGTCATAAATCTTTTATTTCAACCTTTGGCTATTTTAGAAATTTTTAAGACTTGAACAGCGGAGGCGGGTGCTGGTGGGTGAGAGTCAGGAATTTTACTATGGCTGGAAGAAAGTGCTTGTTGGCTGCCTTCCCCTTCAGCATGTGTAGTAACAAAGTTAGGGGAAACATGGTATCACAAGAAGTTGTGCAGCATCTTTCCCTCTCCTTCCGAGAGTCCTTTTTCCCCTAGATGCACTTTTTCGTCCTCTTCTCTCCCTGCCTTTTCTTGTCAATTCACTTTTGAATTCTACCTCTTTCAAGCGTGCTGCTGTCTGATCCCTAGAAGAGTGCCCCAGGGGCTATGGGACAGAGTGGGAAGGGAGGCACCGTATTTTTCGCTCTATAGGACGCACCCGACCATAGGATGCACCCTGTTTTAGAGGGGGAGAACAGGGGAAAAAATTATCCCCCTCTCTGCTCAGCGCCTCTCCAGCGCAGCAAAGCCTGGAGAGCAAGAGGGATTGGTGTGCACTGACCCCTCTCGCTCTCCAGACTTCAGTGAAGGCAACCCGAAGCCTCCGGAGTGCAGTGGGAGCTCCTGCTGCGCTCCGAAGGCTTCGGGGATAGCTGCCTGAAGCTTCCGGAGCGCAGCAGGAGTTCCCGCTGCGCTCCGGAGGCTTCAGGCAGCTTCAGCGAAAACGCGAAGCCTCCGGAGCACGGCGGGAGCGCTCCCTCTGCGCTTCGGAAGACTTCGCGTTGCTGTCGCTGAAGCCAAGCAGCCTGCATTCGCTCCATAAGACGCACACACATTTCCCCTTAATTTTTGAAGGGGAAAAAGTGTGTCTTATAGAGCGAAAAATACGGTATGTGCACAGAGAAGGGGCTTTACCTATGCAATGCCTCGTTAGGACAGAGTGGAACTCTGCTAACTGGATTATCCCACGAGCAAAAGGAGTGAGCAAGGAATTCTTGCTCATTCTTCCTTCCCCATATGCCTCCTGCATGAGGGACCCTCACGGGAGAGGGCTGTAGCGGGAAGGGAAGATTGGGAAAGATCTCCTCTCCTCACTGCTTCCACCAGTTGGAGCACCCAGAGAGAAAAGCAGGAGGTTCTTCTGGAGCAGAGTTCTACCTGCAAATGGAAGGTGCACTTCCATTCACAGACGAAGATGTCTGGATCCAAATCATAATGTTGGGTTTCGCAAGACCTGCATTTTTATCACATATCCTTATGCATTTTGTGGTTTCTGATGCAACAATTGCTTATGAAGCCACTCTATACCCAGAATTTGTGATGTAGGAGGCAGCCCTCTGTTTCTGGTTTTAGACCTAACAGCGATGGCTAGTACTGTATAGAAAATGTGATCCATGTTAGCAGATACAGAGCTGTTTTTCTTGGGGACTTGTTGAGGAAGGTTTCAGCCCATTGATATCATACCACTGTTGTCGTCATCCTGCGATTTCCAGAACAAAATGCTTTACTCATTTTTCAGTTGTGAAGTGATTCGAGATTGGAAGACAGGTGAATCCCTCTGCTATGCTTTCATCGAGTTTGAAAAGGTATGTGGCCTCACAAAAACTGTACTCACAGTTCATTTTATGTAGCATCTTTATAGGAGGGTAAAACCTAAAGGTGTGTTCTACCTGTCTCTTATGAAATGGTTTTATAATGCTGCTAATAAAATTACAAAGGTGGAGCAGCTTATGACATTCAAAGCACCAGTACAACTCACCCACACCCAAAATCTATAATGACAAATCTTCTGTTGTGAGTTTGAGGAAAGTATTTTCTGCTGGAACAATTCTGGTGTCCTGGATAGTGTATAATGCTCATCTGGGAAGATCCAAATGAGCTCTGCTATAGGTTCATTTCTGTGGCTTCTGGGAAGTCACTGCCTCTCAGCTTTAGATCCCCATTCATAAAATACAGTTTACAGTAACCAGTCTCACTGGGATCGTGAGAGAATTAATGGTTGTAAATGTTATATTCCCTAAATTTTCAGAAAGTCAGATCCTGTTCGGGTGCCTGATTCCACAGTTGGTTACCCTGGGAGAATGTTGCTTGTGCTCCTTTCAATTTCTGGTTTAGTTTATGCATTTAAGAAATTGAAAATGGCTTGACAGTTCTTAATGCATGGGAAGAACCAGGCTCTTGATTTGCTTCTCTTAAATTCTCCTCATAGACGTGTAGTGATGTTGTGGTTGTGTAGGTTGCACAGGGCTGTGGCAGAAATGGTTTTGGATTCCTTGACCATACAGATAGCTAGATTAGTGCAGTTTTGGATAACCACCGTGTAGAAACATTTGGGGTTTCATTACGCAAACTTGATACCAAACATTTTAAGTTGAAACAAATCTCTACAATCATGGATGACACATATCACTGTGCCAGCACAACAGTTGGTGTTCCTCATCCGAAGCATGAGGACTTCATGGACTTTTAAGCTACTGGAATTTCCTTTTTCCATTCATATACTGCCGTTGCAGGTTTATTTTTAAATGTCATTTTCTAATTTTAACTTTACATTTCTCTGAAACGTGTACCAGGAAGAAGACTGTGAGAAAGCTTACTTTAAGATGGATAATGTTTTAATAGATGACAGGCGGATACATGTGGATTTTAGCCAGTCTGTTGCAAAGATTAAATGGAAAGGAAAAGGTAATTTATTTTACGCATTATATCTATAACTCTTTTTTATTATAACCATCAGTTCTCCTTTAGAAGAGCAGACAAACATTAGCTTTTGATGCGGTCATGTTCAGGTTTGCTAGTTATGAAATTGCCAAACAACCATAAAATGTGATCTCTTCCCAGTTCGCATCCTATAAATACCCTGCTTCTCAAATTGGGCAGTGTATAGTATTTTGTGCTGGTGGAGAATAAGGGCAAAGCAATCCAACTCTCTCCCTTACACCAGGCTGGTGGGAAGGTGTTAGAATGAACAGAGGTGCCCCTCCCTAGTTCTGTTAGCCAAGTCAGCTAGCCACCAAATATGCAGACAATCAGGAGAGCCACTTGTGGGATCCCTAATGGTAGCAGCCAGTAGAAGCTGGGGGAACTGGGAGGCAATGAGCATTGAAAGGAATGTTTCTCAAACTTTTTGACTACCTTTCTAAAAATCTACTTATTCTTTGTACTGAGACTCACAGACATACCCAAACATTCAGAGTTTCTGTTAGGCAGATGAGAATGCGGTAGAGTTTTGGTGTGCAGCTGCACATATGCTCTGCAGTGCATGAGAATCTGTAGACCAAGAAAGAGAGACATTAATGACTGTTTTAGCAGGAGTCCTTTCTCTCAATTCTCTTTCTTTGCTGAATAGTCCCTTCTTGCTAGCTTGGAACCTCAACTCTACAAAGTATTTAGCCATTTGCATTTTGTGACCTTGAACCATAAGATGGCAGCACATAGCTAAAGATACTCATTTAAGCAGTGAATTTTCCCTCTCCCCCACATTTTAAAAAGTTTTATATTATTTATTATTTTGACAATTGCAAATTTGGGGTGCGGAGGCGACTTGTGATTTTTGTCTTACTTGCATTCAAGATCAATGGCAGCTTATCTCTCTTCCTATAAACAGGTGGGAAGTATACTAAGGATGATTTCAAAGAATATGAAAAGGACCGTGACAAAACTCCTAAATTAAGTTTGAAGGAGAAGGTGAAGCCAAAGCAAGAGTATCCTTTGCAACTAAATAATTGTATGTTATTTTTAAAAACTCCTATTTTACTATTTATGAGTAAAAAGGCTACAGGCTGGATACGTATGGTATATGTTTCTAGTTTATTGGAATCTTGCAGTGGGATTGCAAAAACATTTTACCTTGAATTTGGTAGATAGATTTTTATTACCTTAACTTCTAATAACTGTTTCTCAGACTAGTAGTTTTTGTATGTAAACTCCTTTGCGATGTAACTGTGCATGTAAAATTTTAATTCACGGATTTAGTTAAAATCTTAGTTGAATTTAGAAATGTGGAAATCACTTTTCAATTGGCGTTTCCAACTCCTTGACCAAAACAAAATAGCCCCAGCTAAATGTCTGTATTGGGCCATATTCCAGCTTTGTAGGCTTCAAAACAGAACAGCTCCATCCTCAGGCTGTGGTTCGAATCAGAGTAGTTAACTTTTAAAAATGCATGTTTTCATATAGTGGGAGCTCTGTGTGTTCTAATTGCCCTGCCAGTGCTGCCTCCCTCAGACTTGATGATGCTTGCCTGGATCGTCTTACTGTACAATCTGGCTGAACCACATAGTGAACCCATTACAGATGCTGTGACATGGAGTCTAACCATCATCTCTATGCAGAAATATCTTTTGACAGCTTTGTGCCATTTGAATTGTGCCTTAGAATAGCTGTGAAATGGGGTGGGGGGTGGCATTTGTTTTTGTTATGCAGTTAAAATGATAATGTGCATTCGCTGGCTTTGACCTTCCAGAAATGAATCCAGAGGTACACTGAAGTGGACCATTTTAGTTTGTCATTTTATTCTCCTGGATCCCATTCACTCATGTTTTTGCCTGATAGTGCTGCGAGGTGTTACTCTGTTGGCCAACTTGTTGGCTAACCCTAATATCGGTCTCCCAAGCTTTCCTTAACAGACTGCTCTAGCTCAAGATATGACCTTGTATTGGAGGAGGAAGAGGATGACGGCAAAACAAGTCACAGGCACTCTGATAAAAAGAAGAAGAAACGCCACCATTCAGATGATACCGATGAGGATGAGAAGAGGTCCAAAAAGTCTAAGGTGCTGGGCTCTTGTCCTTTCAGTTTAATGATGTGTTGCTGCATCAGGGAAACATTGGGTCAGATGCATGGAATGTTTTCATCACACTTCAGTCAACACTCAGTAGATATACAGTGGTACTTCGGGTTACATACCCTTCAGGTTACAGACTCCGCTAACCCAGAAGTATTACCTCGGGTTAAGAACTTTTCTTCAGGATGAGAACAGAAATCGTGCTCCAGCGGCGCGGCAGCAGCGGGAGGCCCCATTAGCTAAAGTGGTGCTTCAGGTTAAGAACGGACCTCCGGAACGAATTAAGTACTTAACCCAAGGTACCACTGTATTGTGAAATGTTCTAACATTGTCCAGTTCTTGTCTGCATAATCTCAGCCGAAAGTCAGCTCCTGATTTTGCTACTTTTCCCCACATCTCACTGACGATTTATACTTCCTCCTTGTTGGCCCCACATGTAGCCTTGCCACTTCTACAGAACTCTTATTGGTTTCTCCCACTACTTTGGCTGTCCTACAGAGATGCTCTTGGTCTCTACCTTCTTCCTTTCAAGAGCTCTGTACAATCATTTCTATTTGAAAGCTTCAGCCACTTAGATGCCAGCCTTCCTTGCATGCCAAACTGGAGCATATTTGGGTCAGAGTGCTGCTGTTGCTGCCACATACCGTTCACAATGCTCCACAGCTGCTGCATAATTTAGCACATTGGTTGCACAATTAGATTGAGATTTTTTTCATAAGCCACCCTTTTAGAAGATTCCTGTATGATACCAGTCCTCGTTTCTTCTCTTTTTAGAGAAAGTAAGCAAGTGGGCATTTGCATGTCAAAGAATGTGAATTGTTCAACAGTGTTAGGACCGAAGCCCATGTCTCCACAATGCATTCCCCATCTCCAGAGTGGCAATATCCATCTATATCAGGTTATTAGCCAGAAGAGCCAGATCATGGGTGGTAAAACTGTGACCCTCCAGATTATTCTGGACTACAAATCTCATTATCCCTAACTATTGACTATCCTAGTTAGGACAGATGGGCATTGGGTGTCCCAAAAAAATCTAGATGCACCAGGTTGCTGAATTCTGCCATACAGCCGAAACATATTACACAAAATCAGGCCTTTTTTAATTGATTCATTTTCTCAGCTCAGGATCAGCTTTCCCATGTCTTTTAGGAGCATTGTTTACATTTCTTCCAGCATAGATACAATTTGTCATGTAGCTCAAGAATAGGGGATTTGTGGCCCTCCAGGTGTTGCTCGACTCCCAGCTCCCATTAGTCCTAGTCAACATAGCCAATGGTCAGGGATAATAGTTGTTGCCAACCAGTTTCTGCAGGGCCACAGGTTCACCACTCAGGATCTACCTCTGGTCCTGTGGCATCAGAAATGGATTCAGAAATGGATTCAGATGGATTCACAGTTAGTGACGGTGTAGCTGCTGCAAACTCTGGTCCAGCTGAAACGAAGCTGATGCTGGTGCAGGTAGCATATTTGCAGAAATAAGTGCTCTGGATCTGATTGCACTTCTCTTTTAAGGAGCAAGTTAATACAGCAGCTTTTCTTCTGGGCTGGCGTGTTCTTTGCTGCCACATTTCTCTTAGCTGCTGTTTCTCTTCTCCTTTTGCTTTCTGGTTCATGAGTTTAAGCTTTATCCGCTTTTCCCATTCCAGCACTTTACTTTCTGCTCTCATATCCCAATATATTCTTTCCATGACCTTGGCTCCTACAGCTGCACCATTCTCAGCTGTCTGAAGGTCTCCTGCCTCAAACAATTCCACCCTTGCTTTCTTATACTGGATGTTTCCTGTATGATTTATTGATACCATCTCTTTCTTCATGTCCTTTTTCAAAACCAAGCAAATTAAAGAAAATAGTAGTAGACTTCATTTGTTTTAAAAGGAAAGGCATTGAATAATACAGTGTTGCACAACAGCATCAAAAGTTCAGAGCACACATGCCACAAAATATAACAGATATATATTACATTTCTTGATCCTGTAAAACATGCTTGATTTTTGGAATCAGGCTTAGATTTTTCACTTTTGTTGGACTGAAGCAAAGGAAAGGTAAGCATACAAAGCCTGTGAAACATGCATACTTTCCTCATCCACTATTTATACAAGTTATGTTGGTTGAATCTATTTTACTAATGACAATACTTGGGGTGGGGTAGAGATAACAGATATGGTGAAATTATTATTAGGAAACTACATTCTTGTATAAGGAAGGGAGAGTTTTAAAGTTTTTAAAATTGCCCATGATAAATTTGGTTTCTGTATTCTTTTGCTAAAGCAAGTGGTCCTTGCTGCAGAAACCTAACTTTACACGGTTCAAAAACCAGGTGAATGAAGCAACCACTTTAATTCAGCCACACATTGCTGATAATAGGTTGTATCCAAAGATGGTTTGAGAGGAAGGCTGTTCATGCAACTGATCTTTTGCCACAGACCCAAAAAGAATGCTGTAAGCTCTGAATGCATTTACATCTGATTCTGAATTATGTCATTGCAAGCTTGTGTATTCTTTTCAAATTAATTTGTGTCATTCCTAGCCCTTTCTAATCCTTACAACTCTCTCTACATTTCTTAAAGCAGGACCTTGACCGAAGGCAGAAAGAAGAGAAAAGAAAAAACGAAAAGCGAGAGAGGCGGCGCAGCCGTAGCCGTAGCCGTAGCCAGTCTTGGGATAGAGATGACCGATACCGAAAGTCAAAGGACAAATACCACGAGGAAAAGAGGAAAGCCAGAAGCCCTAAGAAATCCAGAGAGAAGGAGAAGTCCAAGTACAGATGAATGAGGATTAAGAAAAACAAACTCTTCCCCCAGTGCTTTTCTGCCTTTGAGACCAACAACCACTCCCCAAAGACCCTTCAGTCTTCCTTTTTGACTTTTGATCCTGGGGCTCTATAGGATGACATCCTATAATGTGGAATTTAGTAAAATTTTGACTGTATTGGGGGGGGGGGGGGAGTTAAAGCATTTTGTTTTCAGTTTACAGTGGAATGGTGACAAGACCACCACATTATTTGATTTATTACAGGCACCACCCACCAAAAAGGAACCTTAGTAATGTCAGCTGTTAAAACATTATTTTTGTCAGCTCTTAAGAGTTACTTGATTCATAATTAATTTCCTACTTTATCTTTTCTGTATAGGAAACTGCATGCAACTGAAGGGTGTGTCATTATATGTGACAGAAGTGGGCTTTATTTTGCCATGGAAACCTGCTTCCAGTTAGGGCTTCCTGCTACATGTATTGAAGTAGTGTTGCGCGTCTTAATTACACATGCTGTATACACAGTTGGTACATCCAGTTCCTAGACAGAACTGATATCCAAGTAGAGACCTTGTCACGTGCAAAGTAGCTCTAAATTCCTTTGGTTGTGTGAGGCCTTCACTAAAAGGCCATCTTTTACAATACACATTTCATAATTCAGAAGCATGTTTGTTTGTTTGTTTTTTAATACCTACACACTTCTCCCTGAAGCTGTTTTCTATATGTAGAGATCTAGATTCATTGCAGGAAGAAGTCTCTCCACTTTGTAGTTATTGCAAGGCAAGCAACAAGCAAACTCCACACTAGCATTGAAGTTTCTCTATGTCACTTTAGAGGGTATGAGAAAAGAATCCTTTCTTCAGAAGCCAACAACAGAATTGGAGAAGACCAAGTCATGCCCTGCTAGTGACTGGCTTAGTCCAAGAAAATTTCAGCGTAGAACAACATTTCACAAACAGTTGTGTTTTACCATGCTATAAATTATTAAAGTTAAAAACAACCACCACCACCAGGTACAATTTACAAATAGGAATAGAGTAGGGCTATTTAGTTTCTCTCTACTTCCTTCAATATTGTAATTAACCCCCCTTTACTGCAGAAAGCTAACATAGTGTTACAAACAAGAAATGTCTGAGTTGAAACAGCCAGCAGAACTTGTTGCTGCATGCAAAACCAAGCCAGCATAGAAAGGAAATGCTTATTAAACCACAACCCAAGGTATAAAATACTTGTAGGGAGGACTGACGTTAGTTTTGCCACGTGTTTATCTTTTTCTTTTTTAGATGCTCTGTATTCCTCTGTTATGTATTAAAAGAACAAGCCAGTAATGTATATGCAGATCTCTCAAAGGTTGGGATGTAACTAAGCTGTTTTTTAAATGTTATCTCGGTAATGCATTCTTGCTAAGGAATATATGGGGGTTTTCCCCCCCTGGACAAGAGAGGCTGTAATTCTATACTGATTTGAGTGGAAGACCCATTGAATACTGTGGGATTTGCTGCTTTGTAAACTGGCATGGGGTTGTGCTGTAGCTTTCATAAACTCCCACATTCTTTTTAACTTTCCAGCACAAGCTCCCTGTGCCTGAAATACTATATTTTGTAAAGATGTGCTGCCAGTGTTTTTGTAGAAAAAAATCTTTACAGAAGCGAAGCTTTCCAGGTGAAAGCTATTCCTCCAATATGAGCTTCCCATGCATGGCAGACAGTTCCTACCTATTAAAGATAGAGAATAGTTTTTAGCATTCTAGACCAGACTTCCCCAACCTATTGTCTTCTAGATGTTTTTGGACTACAACACCAAGACAGTGTGGTATAGTGATTAAGAGCGGTGGACTCGTAATCTGGTGAACCGGGTTCGCTTCCCCGCTCCTCCACATGCAGCTGCTGGGTGACCTTGGGCTAGTCACACTTCTCTGAAGTCTCTCAGCCTCACTCACCTCACAGAGTGTTTGTTGTGGGGGAGGAAGGGAAAGAAGATTGTTAGCCGCTTTGAGACTCCTTAAGGGGAGTGAAAGGTGGGATATCAAATCCAAACTCCTCCTCCTCTTCATAACCTCTGACCTTTCGCCTTGCTGCATAAGACTGGTGGGAGCTGGGAATCCATAACATTTGGGTGGTACCAAGACACAAACGTACGTTTTCAGAAATCCGTGCACTCATCCCCCTCAATCCCTTTCTCCTTAAGATCTCTTTTTTGAACTGGAGGGGAAGACTTGCACACCAGCTTACACTCAGATAACACAATACAGTGGTACCTCGGGTTAAGAACTTAATTTGTTCTGGAGGTCCGTTCTTAACCTGAAACTGTTCTTAACGTGAAGCACCACTTTAGCTAATGGGGCCTCCCGCTGCCGCTGCGCCACTGCTGCACAATTTTTGTTCTCATCCTGAAGCAAAGTTCTTAACCCGAGGTACTATTTCTGGGAGTCTAACCTGAAGAGTCTGTAACCCGAGGTACCACTGTAATGTTAAAACACTTAAAACTGAAAGATTCATCAGGGCAGTCTGGCAGCTAAAAGCCTTCACCTGCCAACTGCCTTCCTAAGCAGACTGATTTCCTGCCATGTCCTTAACTAGCAGCAGCAAAGGGAGCTGGTGGGTTTTCCTTCAGCGGGAGTTCCAAAAGGGGCTTAATGTGCTTCTCATGAGAAACCAAACCAGCTTAATGCTAGGCCATGACATTTGTAGGGGGTAGGTGTGCGTGAGTTAATATTGCTTCCAAAGTACTGAAATATTCACAATTCCATCTCAAAATATCTTGTAAGGTTTCTCATTTTTCAGCACACTGAAGCCTGGGTTCTTCCACCACTTGATTTCTAAAACATCTGGAATCCACAGGACTATGCAGTGAGCTTACACAGCTTCTGATATTGCTAGCTGTGGACTTCTGCTTTTCCTCTTGGAGAGTATAGAAAGTGGTCTGTGACCAGTTTTTGTTTTTTAAAGAGGGGCATACTCTAAGGAGCATGGCTAAATCTGTAGTGGAGAACCCTCAATAATAATAGAAAAAAACAGTGTTAGAAACAGAGATAGGAAAGCTGGGAGCTAAATGGCACCTTAAATCTAGGTTATTGGCACAACAACAGAATGTCTAGGTGCACTTTTTTATAACAAGAATACAAAGCTGAAAATGAGTGAACTGCAGCTAAAATATTATGTTCATTTTTCACATAGTCGAGTCCTCCTGCCTACCGCCTTATATTCTTAAGAGGGTCTTGAATCTTCAGAAAGTAGCTGGAAGTGGGGGGAAAACCCCATGTTTACCATTTTTAATTGAATGCTCGAACACAATCAATGAAAAGTTCTGTGTGACACAAAATTCTGTATATGCTTACTCTAAGAAAGGTGGTTCCAATCAAAGATAAGTACAGATATGGTTTATAAAAGCATGTTATCACCAAATGGCTATGGCCTTTGTCCTGACACACCCCTCTCCTTGCCTCATTTTGCAAAAGCAAAGTCTAATGAGTTAAATTTTATGAGATGTCCAATTAAGGAAGTGAAAATGTTCCCATGAAATGAGTTGCAGTTTGCACATTGTACTTTCAGTTGGCACCAATAACAATGCGCCTTGAAAAACAGGCAGCATTTCCTTGAGTGCATAGAATTGCAAATGCACTGTAGCCTGCTGAATGAGCTGCTGGATAACAGCGATGGCCCATCCAGCCTCACATTTCTCTGGTCACTGAGGGAAGACATTGCACTTCATTGTAAGTACCAACTATTTTTTTCAACGTGTTTAGCAAATGCACTTGGATGGGTTAGCGAAGCAAAGCAGAGCTTAGTGTGAACCAGGGTTTGGACCTTGCCCCACTTCTTGTAATGTTTGCCACGTATGTCTCCTGCCCTTCCAATATACCGTATTTTTTGCACCATAGGACACACCGGACAATAGGACGCACCTTGTTTTAGAGGGGGGAGAACAAGAAAAAAAATTCTCCCTCTCTCTGCCCAGCGCCCCTTCAGCGAAGCGGCAGGAGGCGCTGCGCAGAGAGGGGGAGAATTTCCCCCCTCTTGCTTTCCCGCTCTAAAGGTGCCGTTTAAGGTGCGTTCAGGCAGCTACCTTGGAAGCCTGGAGAGCGAGAGGGGTTGGTGCGCACCGACCCCTCTCGCTCTCTAGGCTTCAGGTTCCTTTCGACCTGCACATTGGGGCTGGCGGGGGGAAGCGCACCACCAGCCCCAAAGAGCAGGTCTGGGAGCAGCGGAGAGGCTGCTGCCATAGTCGCGCGTCACCTCTCCAACCGAGAGAGGGTCGCGGGGGGCTTCTTTAGCCCCGCTCGCGCAGCTATAGAGGCTGCTGCCATAGTCGCGCATCACCGCTCCAGCTGGGAGAGGGTCGCGGGGGGCTTCTTTAGCCCCACGCGTCCCGGCTGGAGAGGTGACGCGCCACTATAGAGGCTCCTGCCATAGCTGTGTGTCACCTCTCCAGCCGGGAGAGGGTCGCGGGGCTATGACGTCTTCGCTCCATAGGACGCACACACATTTCCCCTTCATTTTTGAAGGGGAAAAAGTGTGTCCTATAGAGTGAAAAATACGGTAATCCTTGCAAGCATAGGCAGAGTGCTTTTTACCACTGAGTCGTAGGGAATTGGGGATGAGGTTCTGTAGGTCAAAAGGTCCATCTTCAAGGCACTGTTCCGTCTTGAAGGATTCAAAACTGCATTCTCGTGTGCCATGTCCTTTGGATAACATTACTTCTGATCAGAAAGCTCTTGCTGAAACATATAGGAGGCAAAACCAAATTGTGGCTTTGCACACTTTCAACTGCAAGGGAAAACAGAAAGTGAGAGATACTCATATTTACTTTCCCTGCCTGTAACCTGTAGCATTGTGCCATAGGCAGCTACTGTTCATTAAAACTAGGCGCTAGATTAATAAAAGGGGGAGAGTTTCAGCTCAAGGTGTTATGTTACTATTGTATTATGCAGCACTATCTACAGTAACTTGAATGCATACACATACACACACACACACACACACACACACACACACACACACACACCATGCCTTTTAACCAGGAACTTACCTCATTTTCAACAGTAAGGAAGAAAACACTGATGGGAGCGCCAAGGATAGGAAATGGCCATAGAAAGTAACCATTTCTAAGTGGATAGCCATGTTAGGCTGTTGCGGATCAAAAATAAAAATAAAAATCAAGGGTGTAGCACCATAAAAGCTAACACTTTTATTATTATGGCATAACCCTTGATGGGCAAAAGTGTAAAACTTGACTTCTTCAAAATCAACAGTAATTAGTAATTGTTTCAGTTAATCTGTCCACCCCCTCACTTCACCACCAGCTTGACTGATACGTTCTCAATATTAAACATTTATTCTTGCACAGATTGATCTTCCTGAGTCAAAGTAATTTTTAAGCAGTTAATTTTTGAAGTTCCTCTCTTGAGTGATTGGACTGAGTGCTGTCTTCATCACAGCACACACAAACCTAAGCATGGCATTAGGTTTCCCACAGCTCTCCCTCTCCCACATCCCAAGGCTCCAGGTGGGGGGGAAAGAGGTTGACCAGCTTATCCTGGCACACAGGTGAATCAATTAGATAGAGGCAGAGGCAGAACATATGCTCACGCTGCCCAGGGCAGGACGTGCTCCCAAGGGGGGCGGGGCGCGAAGGGTGCCCTCCCACACGCCACAGTTCAGGGTAGGAGAGTGGCAGGGAAGCTGTTGCTCACTCTCCTCCTCCTCTCTGCAGCTGGGTCAGACATGACCCGGCAACGGAGCTGCTGCAACTGGGTGCGCCTCGCCACGGCTGAAGAGGGCTGCTCTCTGCCGCTGGGTCAGAAGAGCTGATGCCGCTGGGCGCAAGGTGTGCTGCCCACTCACCTGCCATTTTGTCACTCCTCTCAGTCATGACACCCGAGGCAGGCCGCACTCACTGCAGCCCCCTTCCTAAGCCTCTAGATAATGGGAAAGGGAGTGTAAAATGTTGAGTGAACAATGCCTATTATGCCCCCAAGGCCAGTTGCACGCCCAGTGGAAGCATTTTTATCCGTTTTGGTTCATTCTTTAAATGAGGCAGCTTTTTCTCCACGGGCTGGAGCAGAGCTGGATGGGTTCAGCTCCTCTGCAGTTAGTAATGTGTAGAGGCGCACACACCCGTTGCTATTAGGCATGTGTTAGAAGCCAGTATTAAGCTGAGCAGTCTGGTAGCTCTTCCTCCTGCTAGGCTCCGGTTTTGTGCTGGAAACACTACAGGCCAGAAGGAAACCACAGCGCACAGCTCGCGTGTGCAAGCCTCTTTGCAAAGAAGATAAGGAGCTCACCCTTTCTGTGTCATTTTGAAGTTGCTTTGGCAACATCTGATGTACTGTTGCAGCTGCTGGTCTAAATCAGACGTCATCCTTTGTCAGAACTGTCAAAACAACAACAACAACAACCCTGTAACATTTGAGAGCATGTTTGGTGAAGATACAAGCAGGGCAATGACCCTGTGAATGGTGCTCTGAAAGCGATTGTATGTCAGTGCAGACATTAGCAGCAACGGCAACTGCCCAATGTAAATAGCAGCTTCAGGGGATTTATATGCATTGGGCAGCTGCCATTGCTGCTGGTGCAACCCACCTGCTGGCTGGGGTTTTTTTAGACCCCCCTCCACCAAACCCTAATGCCTCCCCTACTCAAGGTTGCTATTTTAAAAAGAATAATCAGACTTGCAAGGTCAAAATACGCATTTGACATGTAGTTTGGCTCTCACCCTGTGAGGCTGCCATTTGATAAAGCCTTTGAATAAGTAGCTGCAATCGCTATTAGTGTTTAGTTATGCCAGCGTTTCTCAAACTTGGGTCTGTTTTTGATCTACTCCCACCATGCCTAGCTAGCAGGACCAGTGGACAGTGTTGATGGGAACTGTAGTTCAAAAAAAAGCTGGAGAGAGACCAAAGTTTGGGAAACACTGAGTTATACAATACCTAGAAGTAGGTAGGTATTACATACCGTATTTTTCCATGTATAAGATACCCCCATGTATCTTATGTATGTATTTCTTAATTTTAGGGACTCCAAATTAAGAAAACACCCCTCAGCACTGCCCGTGTATAAGACGAGCCCCAGTTTTCTTTTCTTTGTTTATTAAATCTTTCTGTTGCTGGTAGTGGTGAGACAAATCTCCAAGATGATGCTGAACGGACAGAATTGCAGTGGCTTCCCCAGAGTGACTCTAGGGCACAATGGCACCACCGTAGCAGCCTGAATTCCATGATAATGCTGGACCCCATCATACAGGTGTTTCCCCCTCAGTCACAAAGCATTGCAGTTGATGAGATATGGGGTGCATGGTGGCATCATTTGGAGGTAAATCCGCTGCCCCCCCCAAAAATGCCACAAGTAAAGTATCCTGTTTCATAACCTCATCCCTTCCAATTATGAACAGTGGTAGACATACAAATTAAAAAAAAAAAAACCCAGCACAGACCAGCCATCCTCAAAGAAACTGAATAACCACAACAAGCTGGGTAGAATTTGTTTTTGTTTTTCAATGCTTAAAAGATTTGTTAATTGCTAAGCACTTGCAGCATTTGAAGCCACTTCACAAACTAAGAGATGATATCTGTATTTTACTAACCACACTGCAGAAGTGCAATCCCTCAGTTACGTTGTTTTGGGTTGTTATAATCAGAGATAAGCCTGAGCTGCTTGTGCGTATGCACATATGTATAGCCTTGTGCATACGTCACTCTTGCACACCTATTTAGGAACATACCTGCTGTTCTGACGAATATTGGTTGTCCAGAGGGTATATTTAATAAGAGGAGATCATTTGTGCTCAGAATATCAGAAGAAAGGCTGGAGTCTTTTGGTAAGTCAAAGGCAGCTGATATGAACTGAGCTCTGTGCAGCAAGGGTTCTCAAATGTCCTCATGAGCTTTTCTTAACAGAAAACTAAACCTTATGGCCTCCCTTTTGGCTTTAGAAAGGCAACTTACTGTTCATTCTTCTCAAGGTGCAAATTACTCCTCCCTAGTATTAGGAAAAAGGGGGCTGAAGTTTCTAAGAACAGAAATATTTTGGAACTCGGTATCATTTAATCCACATAAAATGTGCATAATTGCACCAGTCAGGAATATCTGTTAGCTCAACAGCAAGCTAGAAACAGGAGGGACACATAAAATAGAATATTTTATTTTTAAAAGTTTAATTGATATATTAATGTTACTTGCAAAATCCTGCCAACATGCTGATGTAACTACTTGTTTATTATAATTTATAAAAACAGACAAGCGTTCTCCAAGCCCATGACAGCTGCTTATTATCCATTAAATGATACATGGTTCATACTTTGAAGAACAGGAAGGTTGCTATCTTTAGTATTTACTAAACAGCAAATCACTGAATGAGTGTTTTCCTTTTGTTTCCTCTCTAAAGCTGAACTGGCTGCATTGGATCAATACCATTGACTGGAAGTCTGCCATCAAACAAGCACACACGAAACCACAGGAGGGTCTCCATTTTTAAAGTGCCCCTGTGAGTTTCCTATCTTTGGAGAAGAAATGGAAGCGCAACAGAGCAAGCTGGAATTTTTCCACAAGTTGGGCTATGGAAAGGAGCAAGTCCGCCAAGTGCTGGAGAAACTAGGTCAAGATGCCTCAGAGAACGATTTGCTACAAGAGTTGGTTCAGGTGGGCAGCAGGCCTCAGGAGCCTGAGAACTGGACGCCAAGTTTTCACTCCACCCCTGCTGCCCATGGATCATGCAGGCCTTTGCCAGTTTCCAGACAGTCTACCGAGGAAGGAAATGATCCCTCCAGTGTCTTGAGAGCTATTGTGATTGATGGCAGCAATGTTGCTATGAGGCAAGCATCTTTTTCATTTTGTTATCTCGGCGACTTCTCTGTTTCTTAAGCTTGCCCTGTTGTGCAAGCCAAAGCTTGTCCGTAGATATAAGATGGGACACCTGAGGTATGGGAAATGCACTATGGGGTTCAGAGGAGCATCACCCCCATTTCCAAGTGAATCGAATAACTGATTTGCATCATGTCTGGAGCGATGAGAGTGTGGTGATCTGAAAGCTCTTCTCTTGGGGTGGTTGATTGATGATGGCACATTCATACAAGCATGTGCCATCAAGCAAGAGATAAGCATGCATGTGTGAACTATCCCATTTGCCTCATTTTCCCAAACTGGCATGCATCTCATCTCTCTCATCCCTTTAAAGTAAGCCATGCAGAAGTTTGCACATGAGGAAGTTGCTGTGCCGCTGACTGCTTTGATGCAAAATTATGTTCTCCAGAAGGAGATAAGAGTTATTTGTTATGGTAACAGGCCTCTATACAAACGGCCGACTTCCTGATGATAAAGCCAGAGGTTGGTTGATGGTGACAGGGAATGGTTGCAAGAGCTTGCATTTAAGGGGAAATGTGAAGAGAGGGATAGATTGGCTGTGTCTGCCTATTAAGCACACATGCAACCAATCTCTTTAGCATGCTAGAATTCTGCTTCCCAAACAGGAACTCCCTAAGAGGTATATCTCTTCTACAGACTTAAATTACAGCATAATCCTAACCATGTCTACTCAGAAGTCAATCCTTCTGAATTCAGTGCAGACTAGCAGGGTTAGGCTTGCAACCTTAGTTTAACAATGATGCAATTTTCCCAAGGATTCCTAGGAACTGCAGTTCTGTAAAGTGGACTGGGGATTCCTAACAAAGAAACCTCAACACCTGCTCCAAACTACAATCTCCATGATTCTTTTGAGAAAGCATGGCAGCACAATTGGCATATAATGGATATAAATTTTAATTTTTTATGGCTAAGTATTCATTTACTCCTTAATTATGCAGATTTTGGCTGTGTCTGCACATCATAATAGACCATAAACCATGGTTTACTGTTCATGAGCCACTTTGCTCCTTCCTGTATTGCTGCATTCATGATACTATAGCACATGAACTGGGCCACTGTGTCTTCTGTTTCAGCTACCAACAACCTGCCCCTGTATTACCGCTGTTAGAGCCACAAACTCCACTACTGGCTTCCCACTATTAACACTTTCCATTTTGCCTAGTCCTTTTTTATAGCTTGTGATGGCTGTTAGATCAAATATCCAGGGACAGGAAGCCCTAAAGCAGTTGGTGCCCTCCAAATATTTTGGACTAGGTTGGATACTGTTGCCCTAAACTAAATTAAACCTCTTTGTTTTCATACTCAGGCTGCTGAAAGATTAAACAAATGCCAATAAAATCAATGACTCACCTCTTTTTATCCTGGTAAACAACTGCAAGGTTTCTTTCTCATAGAATCATAGAGTTGGAAGAGACCACAAGGGCCATCGAGTCCAACCCCCTGCCAAGCAGGAAACACCATCAGAGCACTCCTGACATATGGTTGTCAAGCCTCTGCTTAAAGACCTCCAAAGAAGGAGACTCCACCACACTCCTTGGCAGCAAATTCCACTGTCGAACAGCTCTTACTGTCAGGAAGTTCTTCCTAATGTTTAGGTGGAATCTTCTTTCTTGTAGTTTGGATCCATTGCTCCGTGTCCGCTTCTCTGGAGCAGCAGAAAACAACCTTTCTCCCTCCTCTATGTGACATCCTTTTATATATTTGAACATGGCTATCATATCACCCCTTAACCTCCTCTTCTCCAGGCTAAACATGCCCAGCTCCCTTAGCCGTTCCTCATAAGGCATCGTTTCCAGGCCTTTGACCATTTTGGTTGCCTTCCTCTGGACACGTTCCAGTTTGTCAGTGTCCTTCTTGAACTGTGGTGCCCAGAACTGGACACAGTACTCCAGGTGAGGTCTGACCAGAGCAGAATACAGTTGCACTATTACTTCCCTTGATCTAGATGCTATACTCCTATTGATGCAGCCCAGAATTGCATTGGCTTTTTTAGCTGTCGCGCCACACTGTTGGCTCATGTCAAGTTTGTGGTCAACCAAGACTCCTAGATCCTTTTCACATGTACTGCTCTCAAGCCAGGTGTCACTCATCTTGTATTTGTGCCTCTCATTTTTTTTTGCCCAAGTGCAATACTTCTTTACAAGAATATCATGGGGCACCTTTTCAAATGCCTTGCTGAAATCAAGGTAGGCTACATCCACTGCGTTCCCTTCATCTACCAGGCTTGTAATTCTGTCAAAAAACGAGATCAGGTTAGTCTGACATGACTTATTTTTCAGAAATCCATGCTGACTATTGGTGATCACAGCATTCCTTTCTAGGTGCTCACAGACTGTTTGCTTAATGATCTGCTCCGGAATCTTCCCTGGTATTGATGTCAGACTGACTGGGCGGTAATTATTTGAGTCCTCTCTTTTCCCCTTTTTGAAAATAGGGACAACATTTGCCCTCCTCCAGTCTGCCGGGACTTCGCCTGTTCTCCAGGAATTCTCAAAGATGACTGCCAGTGGTTCTGAGATCACATCTGCCAGTTCTTTTAATTCTCTTGGATGCAGTTCATCTGGCCCTGGAGACTTGAATACATCTAAACTAGCCAAGTATTCTTCTACTATCTCCTTAGTTATTCTGGGCTGTGTTTCCTCTGCTGAATCATTTGCTCCAAATTCTTCAGGTCGGGCATTGTTTTCTTTATCGGAGAAGACTGAGGCAAAGAAGGCATTGAGGAGTTCAGCCCTTTCTGTGTCCCCTGTTTGCATTTCACCATCTTCTCCTCTGAGTGACCCCACTGTTTCTTTGTTCTTCCTTTTTGCTACAAACATACCCATAAAAGCCTTTTTGTTGCTTTTAACCTCTCTAGCAAGCCTGAGTTCATTCTGTGCTTTAGCTTTTCTGACTTTGTGTCTACACGTGCTGGCTATTTGTTTGAATTCCTCTTTGGTGGTTTCCCCCCTTTTCCATTTTTTGTACACATCCTTTTTTAATCTTAACTCAGTTAAAAGTTCTTTAGATAGCCACCTTGGCTTCTTTAGGCACCTTCCATGTTTCCGTCTCACTGGTATTGCCTGAAGTTGTGCTTTTACTATCTCCCTCTTAACAAACTCCCAGCCATCATGAACTCCCTTTCCTTTTAGTATTACTGTCCATGGGATCTCACCCAGCACTTCCCTAAGTTTTATAAAGTCGGCTTTCTTAAAGTCAAGAAATTGAGTCCTAGTATGCTTGGCTGCTGGAGTGGGTGGAGTTCAGTTTCAGATAAACTCACAGACCTGCGTATGAGTCAATGATTTTAGAATTGTTCATATAGGTAGGCAAGGGAAACAAACCTAGGACAACAATCCTGGGGGTGGGAACTCTATGATCATGCACAATCTCTTTGATAGAGAGGTAATAAGGATGCTGGCTTAGATTAGCATTTACGTTTGGTGATCATAAAGTCCAGTGCACCTGGCCTGGGAGAGCATGGCCCTGACTGAATCCAGTCAAAAAAGCAACTGAATAGACTCTTGGGCTGTGGCATTGTTTAGGGTGTTTTCTTGGGATTTTTGTTGTTGTTGTTCTTGATGTTAATTTTTGTTTGTTTTTTTGTTTGTTTTAGATCTCATTATGATTTATGTGGGAAATTGTTCAATTTGGTTGTACACTTTTTGATGTGTTGTTTGTGACTTTTTGTTATGTTTCTAATTATGTAATTCTTGTCATGTTGTCAGCCACCTTGAGCATCATTTTAACTATGGAAAGGCATCATACAAATTAAATGATGATGATGGTAGAGGCTGAAGTAAAATTACTTTAGAAATTTCATTTATCCCTGTACTGTACTTGGTTCCATGCCTTGCCTATTTAATATCCTTGCCTATTTAATTTCCTCCATCTACATATATTTCTGAGCTGATTTGCCGTGATAAAGAATCTAGCTCTGACTCATCATTCCTCAAGGTGACTTCTGAACAGTAGGGGCATAGAAGGGAAGGAGACATACCTACAGAATATCAATGATACGAAATACTAGAACACATGTAAACTGAGCAGATATCATAGGCAGAAACTGTCAAAAAGCAGCAAGACTTTCTGACCCTAAAACATACTTCCTTTCTCTCAGTCTCTCTGTCTTTTCTTTTTTTTTTCAGTCATGGAAATAAGGAAGTGTTTTCATGCTTGGGAATTCAGCTGGTGGTGGACTGGTTCAAACAGAGAGGTCATCAATATATCAAAGTCTTTGTCCCATCATGGAGAAAGGAACCAAGCCGCTTTGATAACCCCATTACAGGTAGGCATGCCTCCCGTACATATTTTAGATATAAAAGCTTGCAAAATATTAGGTCACCATTTTGGCTCCTAGTTCAGACACATCCCACAGGAGTTGGTGCAAACAGGTGTGCTTTGGAAAACTCTTCCAAGGCTGGTCTAGGAGAATAAGTTGTATCTACTCTGATACAATTGAATTATTTTCTGTTATAAACACAGACTTTGATGTATTTAAATATTTTTCTTTCAAACCTTTGCTGTATCGTTTAAAGAGTGCAAGAGAGCCAATCACTTTCATTCTGTCTCCCCAACAAACATGTCTCCTACAAATAGCCTGGCATCTTTTTCTGCCTTGTGTTTCTAACACTAATATTGAGATGTCCGAGACTCCAGGTCAATGGCTAGGGTTAGCAGCTCATGAATGAAAAGATCCCTTCTTCCCTCTGGCACCGGTAAAAAGAAAAAAGAAAGAATATCACATTATGTATTTCCATAATTCACAAGGATGTTGCAGGTACTCAATAGCTAACACATTAACTAATAACATGAAAACATTAAAGGATGGTTATGGAGGAAGTGATTTTTAGACTACAGAGTGGCAAGGAAACCAAGGGCCACATTTCCTCATGGACAACCTTCCAGGGGCCACATGCCAGTAGTGGGTTAGTCCAGAAGAAAAAGTTTCAGAGCAACTGATGTGACTCTTGCACAGCCCAAAGCCATATGTTTCTACAAACATACACAAAAACACTTAAGGAAGGTGAGGGTTATGGCTAGAGGAGAATTTAAAGAGCCAGAAAGAGAAGCCAGGAGGGTTGTATTTGATTCATGAGCTGAAGTTCCTCACCCATGTCAGTGGCATTTGTTTCAACCTATCTGTCTATGCTTATCCCTGTAGAAATAAATTCCAACTCATAGTGGAATGTTATGCTTCCCAAAGTTAAGGTCTACTCTACTATGTGAACAGCAAACTATTTTTCAGATTTATATGCATCATCCTCAACTGCATCACTGTAATTCACCTAGTTCTCTTCCCGTCTGTTCCATAAATTGATGACCTGCTTTATTGTCTTGGGACCACAAGCCAACTCACTCTAGTGAAAGGTGATAATATAGACCTGAATTGTGTTTATTAACTGGTAGATCAGATCACTGATAGTGCAGATTAGAGAGGAGCTCAGATATTAATCCACCATTTTACTCTGATGACATCACTCCCACCATAAGCCAACTTGAGCTCTTGATTGGTCCAGTTTATTAAGTGCTGAGCATGCAAAATCCACATTGTGGAGTTCTGGCCCTCTTTAAATTTAATTAAGTAATTTACAGACCAGTTCACATTCCAGTTACACTGAAATCAATGGAATTAAAATGGATTCAATCCAAATAATTAAATTTAATTTGAGCAGCTGATTGTGCTGTTAGTTACTAATATAGTGACTTGAATGGAGAAACCTTTAAGCACATTTTTGAGGATTCCCTGCATGATTTGTGGTGGTGTTCTTATTCCAAACTTCTGCTTGGGATCTTCTTCTTTTTTGTTTAATTCTCTTCTCTTATTTTTACGTAGATCAGCATGTTCTTGAAAAACTTGCAAAGGAAGCAATTCTTGTGTACACACCATCCCGCAGAATGAAAGGCAAAAGGCTGGTATGCTATGATGATCGGTACATAGTTAAACTGGCGTATGAGCAAGATGGGATCATCGTTTCCAACGATAACTTTCGGGACCTGCAGAATGAAAATCCTGAGTGGAAATGGTTCATTGAACAGCGACTACTGATGTACTCCTTTGTCAATGACAAGTAAGAGACTGGCCTATTTGCAAATATTATTTCACCTTGGGTCACGTATCTGAGTGAAACTGAACCTTAGCATGGTCAGCTGCAGTTCTCATTACATTAAGGGGGGAAAGTACTTAGCTTTTTGAAAAGGCACCCTTTAAGACATTTTCTTGGCATCTGTTAGTATACATATTTGTAACCTTGGCCATAACCAAAAAAGGAACTTAATTGTATGTACCTATGTTGCCACAGATTGTTAATTCTGCCCATTTTTTATCTAGTTAATACAGCTAGATATAAGATGCTACCTATCTTCCCATCAGTGGAGGAACTGTGTACATGTTGCAAATCTTTTTTTTGCTAAGAATCCCTTCAGTAAACTTCAAATACAATTCAGAAAATATGGTGATGTTTGCCCAATAACTGTGATCATTTCCTTTTTAGATTTATGCCTCCTGATGATCCCTTAGGCCGGCACGGACCCTCTCTTGACAGCTTTCTCAGCAAAATGCCACAGATTCCCGAGCCAAAATGGCAGCTCTGTCCTTATGGTAGGTTTTGTTTAATGCCATTCACAGCTTTATCTGCCTCCCTGGTGGGATCCCCAGGGAGATTAACTTGAGGCTCTAGAGAAAGAACCAAGACATGAGTATTATTCAGACATTCCAATCTCTCATACAACCAAGGAGAGCAGATGTATACATGCTTGCTCCACTCATGTTGGAGAGAAATTCCGAAGTGGGGAAACTTCCTTACGCATGTAGACGCCACACATTATTTTTGCCTCCATTGCAGACATTTGCCTCCAATTTTTGGAGAATGATGAAAAAAGCACTGCTCATTCCAGCTCTCTCTCATGCAATTCTAATTCCTCTGGTGGGTGATTCATGTACCTGCTTTTCATGTTTTCAGTGTAAAATCCAAATGGGGAACATGTGCATCAACCTCATGCAGAAATGCTCAGTCTCCCTCAACTTCTGGAGCTCACAAATATTTCAACACAACTGACAACAGAAGCACATAAAGCAGGTGTGCAAGCCACAACTTTTTGCCACTTTAAAAACAATTGCAAGTACTCCCCCATTTCATTGCAAAAGACAGCAGGTTGTATGTGATGTAATAGTTACTTTCCCCCACTCTGTATTTGTTTGTCTATTTAGAGTATTTTCACCCTTCTCTTCAGCCAAAAAAAAGACTCCTAGAGTGGGTTACAGAGGTCAATACTAAGACTGCAAGCCTGACAGTAACAATTACATAAAAGACAGGGCATAAAAAGAAATTTGTATTAAATTTGAATTAGCTTGGTGTTAATTTGTTAAAAATTTTGAAAATCAAAAATTAATTGGCAAAAAAGAAAGAAAATAAGAAGCAGAGAGGACAAAGGGGTAGAGGAAAATAACAAATTCAGACACTAGCTCTTAGTTCTAGATTTCAGCAGGTCATGGAGCTGGATCTAAGCACAGTGGAAGGTTCTGCGGCTTGCTCTCCCTCCAGTGGCTCCTGTGATTGTTGCTGGTAACTGAAGGGAAGGCTCTCAGCTGGAGGGGTGCTAACTGCTGTTTTCTCTCCTGCTGGTGACCTTCTAGTGAATCTCACCATACAGATTGAACACGGGGGTTTATTATTGAGCAATGCATTATGATACGCTTCTGCATGTCTTCCAAGTGAAACAATAGCCTGTGGTAAGATACCCACACTTCACATGTTGTACAGCAGTGTGAGAAATATACATGCCACATTCTCACTGCATATGCAAAGCTATCCTCAAGTTAGGAGAAGCGTGCTGTTCTGACAATGACCACAAAGGGGCTGAATGGCCCTTCTGATACAAAGATGAAGTATCAGAATACTCTGGGCGTACCCAGGGCAGCCAATGACATGAGTTTCTGAAAAACATACCATTCTCTCTTAATATTAATTGTTCTATAAACTGATAAGCCCAAAAGCATCCAACAGGCTTTTATCTGCCGTACAGGCATGCTTCCACGACCCTGTGTTGCATCCCACTGAACATGTATTTAGCAAATTATCTGCTCCGTTTTCCCCACACAGGCAAAAAATGCACATATGGCATCAAGTGCAAATATTACCACCCAGAAAGACTGACTTGGGACCATCGCTCTGTAGCTGATGAGCTCCGAGCTAAGACAAAGACCAACTCACTTGCTCAGAGGACAGAAGAAGAGAAGACAAGAGCAAACCCAGTAAAGAACAGAGATGGGAATACATCACATTTACCTGGTCCCAATGGTGGTAGTGTTATTGGCAGGAGAAGCTCAGCACACAGCTTGGCAACATTTCACAGTAATCCCCAACAGTGGGAAGGAGAAGACAACAGGGATGCAGCAAGTGACTGGACAAAGATACATCAAGACAACTGGCAGCCTGAATCTACTGAATTACAAGAAGATCAGGCAGGGGCCATGTCAAAGCAACTGACTGCATTGTCTCTCAGTGCCAGCAAATACTCTGGAAATACTCTTGCTGGACCTGGTAAATATGAAGACATAGTGGGTGACCCACGTAGGGATCATTATCTCAAATACAACCAGACTTCATCTCTGTCTCCTCACAGTCTGTGCTGGGATTGCCCTTGCTTACAAATATGTAATTTTCAAGGATGTTACAGAATGCAAACAGCAGCAGTGTCAGTCCCGACCTCACAAACACCTTCTAGTTTGCTAAGGGATGGCTTGAAGGCCCAACATGAAGGACGACATGGCTCTATGGTTTCTTTTGCTGAGTCATTTTCAGGCTGCAAGGATGGAGATATGAAATATCCTGGAAATCTGCAGACCAAATCTTACAACCCATTATTTTTTATGGATTCCAGCTCATTCAACACACTAGACCATTACACACATCCTTCTGGTACTGAGGCCCAGCAGAATTTGACTCTGCAGTCACTTCCTAGAGAGCAAGCAAATGTCCAGCAAGCACAGTACTTTGGCTTCCCATATAATGCAGCAGAGCAAACTGTGTCCTCCTCCTACACCAATATTGTAGATGAGACACACTTAATGCCATTCGTTCATTGGCATGGGACCCTACATAGCAGATCTCCTAACAGAAAACCATGGTAAGGAGAAAGAGAGGAGTTGGTAATGCCCTATTCAAAGACTCCAGTATTCACCTTGTTCAACCTCAACAAGTCTCTCAGTGGAAAGTAGTATTTATATGCTGGCCTTGAGATTTGTTTGTATTCTACATCCCCTACCTTCTGCATGATTTCTCTTCTGCCATCATTGCAAGCAACATCCTGACCTTCACTCCCTCTAGCCAGTTTGTGTTCTCCTTTCCAGAGACTACTCACATGCCACACTTCCCAAAAAGCTTTTCCTAGATCAGTGTTCTTCAACCATGGATCCCTAGACTACAACTCCCAACATCCTTGACCATTGGCAAAACTGGCTGGGGATGTTTTGAGTTGTACACCAATAACAGCCAGAGACTTAAGGTTAAAGAACACTGTTCCAGATCACCACCACAACCTCCTCTGTTACAATCTGTTTAAATTCCAGTTAACCCCTTCTCCACAAACAAATCCATCTTTATCAAATCCATCTTTCAGCTTTTTCTTACCTGTGTCCGAGGTCTGTGTAGAGCTTATCCTTACCAAGGTTCTACTGGTGTTACATTAGTGTGATAAAGATGTGGATGAAAAATATATACAGCTAAATATTTGAGGATGTGTTGTTGGGCAATGCTGATAGGGGTGCAGGCCCATGCAGAGCAGGGGTGGGCAGCAGGGTACACTTGCCCCAGGCCTCGGGGGACCCTGCCAGGGACTGGTTGCTTTTTTTGTTTCAGTGTGTAACTTTATTCTAACAAGACTTCTGTCCTGGGCCTCAGACAAGCTCTGCATGGGCTTGCAGGTGGGGGCCCTCTCTGACATGTCCAAGTAATGTTTAGAAATGCACTTCAGTATGCTTTGCATAGAAAACACATGCTCAGCTGGGCAAACAAGGTCCTGTGTGGATGCTCAAGTGGCATCTGTGACAAGAAGCATCTTTTGCCAACTTTGACTGGTGCTCCACTTGTGGCATTTTGACACAGTTTGTAACGTCCAGGTTAGATTATTATAATGTAGTATATATCAGACTGCTTCTGAAATTGTTTTTTGAAACTGCAGCTGGTCCAAAATATAGTAGCAGCTCTTTTGCTCCATTTAAAAATGTTTTTATATATTCTTCTTGCATTGTTTTAGCAGTTTATGTATATGCTGCCTTGAAGACCAATTGGTAGAGGGGTGGGCTAGAAATATTTTTAATTAAATAAACAAGCCAGCAACACACCCCTTGTGTATTTCATTTGACTCAGATACTCTGAGATATAGGGTGATAGATATATGTCAAAGTATTTCCATCTTTAAAAAAGCTTTTGAAATAGCTGGGGCTGTAGGGAGGAAAGCGATCCAGAATGAGACTGGACTACAGAGGAGAGGAGGGGAGATTAACTTTATCCCCTCACAGTGTGTCCTTACTAAAAACATAATAGCTTGGATTCAGCTAACACAACATTTTAATAGAAGCCAGCACAAGGGACACAGTCACAGGTCTCAGTCCTGCCCCTCCCCCCATGACTAATATTGCAAAAACTTTGGGGAGAGATAGAGATGCTATCACACTTCTTAACACTTATGTGTATTTTTGTGCTAAAAGTCCAGTCAGAGGTTAATTTCTAATTTGCGGGGGGGGACATAACCAGAATGATCAGTGTAGCAATATATACAGACCTGGTTCACACATCATGATAAGCCAAAACTAAACCATAGTTTATTAAGCAAACCATAAATCTCTGCTCATATGATCAAACAAACCTTGTTTTCCTTCCAGCTATTTTGTATTTCCCACCTGCTGTTGGATACAGAGATTTGGAAAAGAGATTTTACTCTCTCATAGCATAGTTAGCACAATGGAGATGGCTCCAAGTGCAATAAAACTGGGTTTGATTTACACCTGACTTCCTCCACCTTTAAACAAATGTTCCCCACAAAAATACTTAGGCTAGAATAAATCATACTCTTAGCTTTGTAAATAAGTGAATATTTTACTCACAGTTTCCAGAAGTTAGAGCAAACAAGTCTCCATTTGCTGGCAGTAAAATAAAGATAAAGAAGGTTCCAAATGACTTAAAACATAAGGTACTTTGTTTCTGTACAAAAATGGTTGTGCTATCTTTAAATTAGCAAATATATAGGCTGTAAGATTTCCTTTTAAGTAGCATTTGCTGTGTTGGGAGCCAAGCTGATTGGCTCTTTCTTTGCTTCTTCCAGGAAGAGAAGAAGAGAAAGGGGGCAGGGTCAGAGGCTGCTGGAGCCTGCTAAGCCACACCCACTGGCAACCTGAGCTCAGGTTAACACTTTCATGCATACAAGACTTGATAAAGATGACACTGCTGTTAACACAGCTAGTGGGAACTGCCAAACATGGAAAGAGGTTTCATTTTTCAGCCGTCCTTAGTTAGCATCTCTAGCTTGGAGCCTGTTTGGGGAGGGGGGGATAAGCCACATTTAAACCAGTTAAAGAACTGTTGGGATGCTAAGCCAAAATTAATGCCAGCAAGCCCACAACATATCACGATTTCTTTTAGTTAACAAACCAGTTAAGGCACTGAGGCTGGGCTCACACATAATACCCAAGTTGATTAATGAAGGGTTGTTTTAACCTTAGTTTACAGTTGCATGAAAAGCAGGATACAGTAAGGTCAGCTAGAGGAGCATCTTTCCAACCTGTAGGCTGGGATCCAAAAGTGGGTCACAGCAGGGCTGGATTTACGTACTGCATAAGTTAAACAAGCTATTGCTTAGGGCCCCACTCTCTTGGGGGCCCCCCCAAAAAATTAAAGAAAAACTAAACTGGATGTACATTTCCAAAATATAAGATAAAAAACAAATAAAATAAAACCTACATACAGCAACAGTGTTTTGTGTTGTGTAGGCTCCTATGATGTAAGCAATGGGCCCCCAATCATTTTAAGTTAGAGCTTAATAATTCTTTCACTATTAATATACGTCTTAATTGTATTTCAGTATTAATATACTTCTTCTTAATTGTATTTCAGTTCAACAATTACTTTAATAAAATACATATTTTGTTATGTGCAAATGGCTTTAGATACCTATTAGGTCTATAAATTACCACATAGCATTTAGCTTAAGGGAAATGCTGAAGTTGCCCTTTGGGGCGCCTCAGGGTCAATTTTTTATAGTAGCCCAAATTTCAGTTGTACGGGTGTATGTATATATTTCAATTTTAACTCATGAGCTATTGCTGCAATCTGCTCCGATTGTATATTTTATCTTTATGAATGCTGTTTTTATTGTGTTATGTTATGTGAGCTGGTCTTTGACCGTAATAAATTATCTATCTACCATACAGTGGTATCTCAGGTTAAGTACTTAATTCGTTCCGGAGGTCCGTACTTAACCTGAAACTGTTCTTAACCTGAAGCACCACTTTAGCTAATGGGGCCTCCTGTTGCTGCCGCATCACCGGAGCACGATTTAACCTGAAGCATTAACCTGTAACCTGAAGCGTATGTAACCCAAAGTACCACTGTATAGCATATATTAAACACAAAAAACAGCAACAATTTGTTGTTGACAAAGGACAGCTGGACATATAAAGGGCCTCATTACCTTCAATAGCTTAGGGCCTCATCAAACCTAAATCTGGCCCTGGGTCACAGGCACTGGTACGACACTGCTACTGCCTGCCAGACGCTTGCTTTAAAAGGGGAAGTTTGGGAAGGGAAGGAGCGGCGGATCTACATCCCCGCAAGCCCAGGCTGCTCCTACCTGCGGGAGAGCCCTCGCCCCTCTCGGCAGGGGCTGCAGATGCCTCTTGTTCTCATCTAGCGTGTTTCAGACAGGTATGTACTATATTAACCTGACTATAGGCCCCACTTCCACAAAATATTCGTATTAATATAGTAGGTAAAGGGCGCGGGGGGGGGGGCGGTTGCTTCGAAAGGAAAAGGGTGGCGACTGGAGAAGGACGCTTGTTATTCTTCGCTGCTCCTCTTAGGCTTAGGGTTTCGGTTTTTCTCTTGTCCGGGAGCGAGCAGAGGAGGCGCCCTGACAGGGAGGGCAGGCAAGGCCAGGCCTCCACTTTTGTGCTTCAGCCAAGAGGAGAAACAAGCATGCGAATTCAGCGGGAAGAGCCCTCTTCTCCCACCTCCCCATTTTCTGCCCATTTCCACAGCTTTGCTAAAAGCCTTTCAGCAGCAGCAGCCTGTCTTTCCCGCCTTCCCGCCCTTTTCCTTTGTGTTCGGTCTACTCACCGAGGCATGCTGCATTTCTGCGCCTGCGTGCGGGTCTGGAAGTTCTCGGGGCGCCAGCCCCTTGCGAGCTTTCCTGCCGCTCTCTTGCGGGCCGATGTAGCTTAGCGGCTCCCATTTTGGCGCTCAGTTACTAAATTAATCTTGACTACACCCGTAATTGCTTCTTTCCCTCCGCCAGTCCTTATTCAGTTGATTGCCAGCTCAACTAATTGCTCTTCGCTTATTGCAGTCAAACTGTTAAGTTTGTCTCGCTCTTCCCAGCTAGGGTTGCCACCTGTCCTGTATAATACAGGATCGTCCCATATTTCAATGTAAAATGTTGCGTCCTGTATTGTTGGGAACTACTGAACTATAGAATTTTTTATTCCCATTTCTCATAGGATTCTAATATATTTCTAGCATTTCTAGTTCATTATTGTTTGCATTTGATTCAGCGTTAGACTATTGATATCCATAAACCATAATCCAGTAACATTTCATGGGCAGAATTCCAAGTATATAGTTCTCATTGATTTTAACAGGACAGGATCACTGGCCATTTAAAAAATGTTCTAATAAATAAGCAACCCTTTGCATATATTTGTAAGAATGTTACTGCAAAGGTGCCACTGGCATTTCATGTATTTGCTAACATCTGGGAACTTGTTTGACCAAAGATGGTCAATTAAACTGTTCAAAAAGGGTTCTGGCCAATTTTATTTCATTTATTTTAGAGGGTTATATGTCACATCTTTATCAAAATGATGCCAGGGTGATTTACAATGATTAAAATAAAATTAATAGGAAAATAAATTTAAACATAAATTATTAATCTCTTATGGTTCTTCACCACCCTCCCCCCGTGGAGTCATGGTTCTGGAAATGAAATCTCTTCATTGATGGGACTTTTCTTGACTTAAAAACAAATAAATAAGCATTGGCATTGTGTTATGAAGTGCTTAGAAAACAGAACTCAAAAGAGGCAGTCAAAAATTACCACAAAACCAATATCTGGAATTCAAACATAACACTCCTAATGCTTTGCTGGTTAAGGTTAACATATTGTGAACCCCCTAGAGAACAGACAGTTGAATAGGTGATATAAAAGTATGAACAAAAAAACCCAAACAGTTTTCAGTTTCGAAGTATTTAATCTTTATTTGAACAGTACTTGTAGGCAGTACCTTGCAGCATGTTGCATTTGAATTTGGCTTCCCGTCCATATTCTCATTCAACTAGCCAGGTGTTAATACTTTTTTTGAAGTGCAGTGAGAGAGGAATCACAGCACTTCAACATTTGACATTTCAAAATTTTCAGAGTAATTGAAAAAAGGTGGAGCATTTGTCTTATGTAGAGAAACTAGACTAAAGGAAAAACAATTGAAGGCGATTTCCCCCTCAAACTGAGGACTGAGATCATTCAATGCTTCAGAAAGAGTGATGATGGCTCTGCTACTGTATGGAAACTCAATACAAATGGAAGACTGTGATCCATAATTTACTACCACACAAGCAGCGGTGGAGAAATTACAGTGGGGAAGAGAACTTGGAAGATATGGTTCAACATTGCCAAAATACACAGAACTATTGGCACCAGAAACAACATCAGATGAGAAGTGTGTGCTTCCCACAGGAGGTCATCTAAGGATGAGATAATACAATTTTAGAAGCTACAGAAACGAGTAAAAATATTATTCCAGTAAAGCAAACATAGTCTTGATAAGAACTTGGAACCACAAAACCCCTAATTCACTATGCAATTATAATTGTACATTATGTGACATGCAGAACTCCTTTTCTAACCAATGGGATGAATTCCATGTTAAAGTTACAAATTTAAAAGCTGTACAAGAAGAAGGAATGAAAATCAGCAACAGAGAACAGATGATTTATAGCTGGCAAATCTGACCCTGTCTGATCCGGCCTCTGCCATCCTGGTGCCCTCCAGATGTTTTGGTTACAAACCCCATCATCCCCAGTTAGGTGGTAGTACAAAACATCTGGAGAGCATCAGGTTGGAGAAGGCTGGTCTAATACATAAGTGATCAGAGGACTTGATGACTATAGAATCCACTGCAGACTACAATACAGTGTTTGTGACTTGCCTGCTTCTTGTCTATTTGCCCCAACCTCCCTAGACCTCCATCCAGGTTGCTATAAAAATGTACACCTGCTCAAGGCCCAGGACTTTGCTTTTCTACAGGTATGAACATCCAATAACTGATGAGATGCAAACCGTTTTTAGACTGCACTGAGGATGAAAAGAAACCAACAGCCTCTTTCTGCCATCAAATGATGTGTCACAGGTGACAAGGGTATTGAGATGAAAGTCACATCCAGTTCACAATTGTAGGACAAGATTACAAGTTTGTAGATAAGGAGTACTAGAAGAGTTGTCTTACAGAATCTCTGTGTTTATTCCCTTCCTACTTTGTGCATATAGGACCAAAAGTATGTTGGAAGCCTACTTTGTGCGAGTAGCATACAGCAATATGTGATTTAGTTAGTATAAAATTTAAAGTGGAGTACACACATAAAACCATGTGGTGTCACCCTAGTTTACAATATAGAAGCCAGAAGCTGCAAGGCAGGAGGTATCTAGTAATGCCAAAGGCAGGATCTAATATTTGGCCTGCGTGTATTTTAACTTTTTGTTTTTGTGGGGGTGAAGGCATCAAACTTAATACATTTGATTAAAAAAAACAACCCACTATTGCTAAAAGCTGTTGAGGCTGTAGCAATTCAACATGAATACATATATTTTAGCAGTAGTCACACTTAAAGCCTGCCTTTCAAGGTGGTATTTAAGACAGTTTACAACATTTAAAAACAAAAAATACAAAATAATAAAAGCAAGCTGCTTTAAAACAATTCTTAAAATACATCAAAACACATTTTGAAGCCTCATTGAAATACAGTTTGCCCTGACAGCAGCCAATGTCTGCAACTTACGTAGTTTCCAAAGGCTTGTCTGAATAGCTATAAAGACAGTAGTTCTGGACTACCAGTTACATAACTGAGCAAAACAGATGCTTAAAAACACAGTATCACCTGCAAAGTGGGAAGCCCTGCTCACACAACTATGCCAGGAGAGTGCTGTAGCTCAGTGGTAGAGCATCTGCTTTGCATTTAGAAAGCCCTTGGTTCCACCTTCAGCATCTCCCAGCAAGGCTGGGAATGGTCCCCCATCTTACACCTGAAGAGCTACCACCAGTAAGCAAAGACAATACTGAGCTAGATGGACCAATGGTCTGTGTCAGTGTAAGGCAGAAATCTGTGTGACTTTAATATATAGCAGTTCTCATATAGATCATCTGTACGCTAGGAGATACTCCATTGTATGCAAGCTAAGCATTAATGAGTTTAGATGAAAGTATTTTTAAAGAGAACATGGTTGCTGTGGCCCTTGCATGCTAAATTAGTGCTGGAGGGTTACGTGCGATGGAAGGGATTTTCTGTCACAGGTGCAGATCAGTCATCTGAAATGGCTCTGGATCTAGACATATTCCTGGAAGTACACGTCATAGAGCAGGTAGCTTACATGGTGTGTTTTCTTATCTTCATTCTTGTAGGACCCTCTGACCCCATTATTGCAGCATCAAAAGTTGTCTTCACAGCAATCTGCTTGCCCCATCCCACCTCTTCCCAGTTTGCAGCAAAGTAACCACAGATCCTAGGGCTTGCCAATCAGAAGGTTGGCAGTTCGAATCCCCGCGACGGGGTGAGCTCCCATTGCTCGGTCCCAGCTCCTGTCAACCTAGCAGTTTGAAAACATGTCAAAGTGCAAGTGGATAAATAGGTACCGCTCCGGCGGGAAGGTAAACAGCGTTTTCATGCACTGCTCTTGCTCACCAGAAGTGGTTTAGTCATGCTGGCCACATGACCCGGAAGCTGTCTGTGGACAAACGCTGGCTCCCTTGGCCTATAGAGTGAGATGAGCGTGTAACCCCAGAGTCGTCCGTGACTGGACCTAACGGTAAGGGGTACCTTTACCTATTAGTGAATAGCCACTATATTTATCCATCTTTTATTATGCCATCCTTCAATTATATTCCTAGAATGGCTTACAAAAATATATATAAATAAACATGTACATCTAATAAACCAAGAGGCCACAAAATCATAAAAGCCACACAGAACATTCAGCAGGGTTAAAAAACAACAATGTTGGGATGGTGCCAAAAAGATGATAAGATTTGAGGCCAATCTCTCTGGAGAGAGCATCCCACAGTGCGCACTGGGACTCCTGTTCTGTTTTGCTTGCTCTAGCGCTGCAGTGACCCCAGTGCAGTGCTGTGGCTCCTTCCCATTAATTTAAGCAGGGTGAACAGGTTAAGAAAAAGGCTGGCAAAACTACGTTCACTGTCAAGTAGCATGTGAAACAGCCCTTGGTTTGTATCTGCACCGGAACAGAAGAGAAGCTTCTGACAGAAGCTAATCTTGGGAGAAAGTGGCTTGTTAAGTTTCGGAGATGGCTCAAGACACTTTGTTGGCTGATGATGGTGTCCCCACCTCATTCCACATATAAGAGGGGACCAGACAGGCAGCTGATTTTTACTTCAACTCTTGAAATGCCAGTGTCCTTACACCACACGTAAAGTAGCGGCTGCATGACAGGCTACTTGGTACATTTACCTTACTGATGCTCCCCATTCGGCAGAAACTGCCTAACTGTAGGATCTGATTCACTTTATTGAATACAGATAAACCAATCACGTGAGCTTATGAAAATAAATCGGCAAAAAGCACAGCGAGCCACCTCAAGCTAGACCCATCTCCTGGTTTACTGTTGTATAGAATTGGTGATCCTGATCTTAAGCCACACCAATCTTGGAACTGTGACTGCAGGTTGTAGTTTTCATAGGGTGGAGTGGGAAGTAGCATGGAGTCAAGGCATTCCCAGGTTCTGAGAGCCAGAAACTTGAATGTGCCCCGTTCCCCCCCCCCTTTCCCAGCCACTCAGCTGGCTGATCTGGCAGCAAGGGAATGCAAGACCAGGTTTTCTTTGGCAGTCCTACCTCAGTCAGAAACAGATGGTGCCAACCTGGAGGGGCGGGGAGGCCAGAGTTAGTGTTGACACTCCACAGCCAGATATATCAGCCTGGCACCTGGAAGAAACACCTCCCTCCCTCTTCTTGCACAGGCATTCCCAAAGCCTGAAAATCTTTGAAAACACATTTCAAATGCTATATAAAACAATGTATATACCCTTTGAAGACAATGGCTACAGTCATGTGCCTACTTAAAGGGAAGCAGGGGTTCAGCGGGGCTTACCTTTCAGAGTAAAGAAACAAAGGACTAGGCTATAAGAAGCCTAAGGCCAAATTAACTATTTGCCAAGTGCAACAATTTGACAAACTTCAATGTGTAAGCTAATTAAAAAAAATAAAAAAGCCATTCTACAAATAAATTGTGCATTTCAAACACTAGTATGAATAGCAAACTAAATAAAGTTTAAACTAAACTTTAATAAACTAAATTCAGGAAGTGATACCCATTTGGGACTTCTGCTTGCCTCATGGGACTTCCCCTTCTCCTCTTTGCACCCCCTCAGAGGGTTGGGGAAAAGATCTGGGAGGTATAGGGATGAGGGAGGTTGCAGGGGATAAAAGCGTATGTTGGTACTTACTGTGATAAGTTCCTTCTCTGTAGGGAGAAATACAATCCTGTGTGGGTTATCACTGCCCATCTCACCGCTGACAGGAAGTAACTTTCTTTTTTAAGCGTATACCTGGGGCTGGGACAACCCATTTATCTCCAGTTCAATTTGTGCTTAAACAAGTAACTGTACAGTCAGGAATGAACAGAAGGAAGCCAAATAGTTAGGAGCAGGAAATTCAGCAGTCCCAGTGGGGCATGCCTCTCTGTTCCCTGGACCCCCGTCCCAAGCTTGCCCCAATGGCCCCTTTAGATAGTACAGGTGCTATTCCCACCCCCGTTATGTGCTAAAGAGCAAGAGGGGCAGGGAGCTAGGAAGCCCCTGAGCATTGGGGGAAGGCATGTCTGGCCCCCTGGGCAACCCCCCATGCTCTGTGTCTGATGACCTCTCCCATGCACACAGCAGTACCTGGGAGGGCCGGATCATATTTCTCCCTACAGAGAAGGAACTTTCATGGTAAGTACCAATGTACACTTCTGTAGGGAGGGAAATATGATCCTGTGTGGGATGTATCTCAGCAGTTCTCAAATCGAGTGAGTCACACCTCTTTGGTGCTAAATCCCTGCTGAACCACTTGTCTCCCAAGGATACCTCCGCTGAGGCGTAAGTATCTAGCTTGTAATGACTCATGAAGGTGGAAGGCGAAGGTCAAATCATCACCCTGCCACCACAGGTAGCTCCTGCAAGGTTTAGGCCAAGAGTCCTAAACTGATAGAGCCAGGAGTTCTGCAAACCATGTCCTCCTTAACCAGAAGGGACCCCCTGCAATGATCTGACCCACTTGACAAATCTCTGAATAGGTACTGTGGAAGTAACGGCTTACAGTCCCCCCCCACACACCACACTGACCAGGTAGGAGTCAGGGAACTCTAGCCCATTGCTCCACATTTTGGTTCTCTGGACTTGCCAACAGGACCTTGGAGGGTTGAAGCGATCTACCATTTGCTTGAGTGCCTGTGGAACTCCATTCCACCTAACAGAGGTGCTGACGGCTGAGCCCAACTGCTCAAGTGTTGGAGGCTCTGCTCTGCTGACAGGGATTCTGGGTGTTTACCCACCCAAGGCAGAAGAATAATGGCCTCCTACATGAGGGTCTGAGTCTTGCTGCCACCCTCCTTGCATCTATATGCCTCGGTTGTCAGGGCGGATAGGTACATGCTTGCCCCATCAGCCTCTGTGATGGAAGTCCGGTCTGATCACTCTGAGCTCCAACCAGTTGATGGATTGGATGGCTTCCTCCATGGCTGATTTCCTGAGGCCCTTCCCCTGCTGCTGCCCCTGGCGAAGGGGCCCTGATGGGCTTGTGGCAGGCGGAGGAAGGCTGTGGGGCTGCAGGTAAGCCCAGAGCCTGCCCCAGACAGGCCAGCCTTCAAGAGCAAAAGGGGGGCATCCTGCAAGGGGTGGGTAGGCATGAGTGGTCCCCGTGCCCCTTTTCCCAGCTTACCAGAACCTCTGGGAGTGCTGGAGCAGGCTTTTCAGGTCCCTCATACCTGCGTGACTGAGGAACTCGCTGCTACTGGAGTCAGGGTGATCGCAGGAGCTCTTACTCAGGCACCCAGTGACTCCATCTCCAAAAACAACTCTCCTCCTGAGAGAAGTCCTTTTCGTCCGTTTAAGCTCTTTCCAATGCTCCCCCCCCCCACCAAGAACATACAGAAAGCCTCCCAGGCTGTAGGCCCAAAACAAAAGGCCCAGACAATGGATGCCATGCAGGAGATCTATACAGCCTGGAGAAAACAAAAACCCTGTAGGAGTAGCAGAAGGAAGCGGAAATAGGATCAAGGAGTAAACAAAAGAAAAATCCCTTCCAATATGGCGTTCCTGCCTCTTCTCTTTTGCTGTGCCTAGAGAAGCCGGCAAGACATCATACCAGTGGCTGCCAGGAAGCTGGAACTGGAGATAAAGGGGTTGTCCCTGCCCCAGGTATACACTCTCAAAAAAGTTATTTTCTGCCAGTGGTGAGATGGGCAGGGACAACCCACATAAGATCGTATTTCCTTCCCTACAGAAGGGAAAATCCACTCACAGTAGGTAGAATTCACAGAAACATCATTTGACACACAATGTAAACTTTCAGTCATTAGCAGTGCCATTACAGCATTTCATTCACAATACTCCCAAATGCTTTTAGTTTAGGGAGTTATATTGCCCATATAAGCTACATGTTTGCAATTCTCTTGAGCTTCTTCTCAGCACTTGAAAATCACACTAATTAGAACTCTGCTAGCACTTACCATAGGGCTGGGCCTGACACTGTCTGAGGAAGATCCTTGCCCACATGAAAGACCACTATTTTGTACTCAAAGGCTCTTGGATACCCATGCATATATGTTTGTGCTGTAAAAGTTGGCAACTCCAAAGATAAACAGAGTCCAGATTAAAGGATCAATGGTGAGCCAAAGGATTATTTTAGGGTTTGTTCAGGATGTCCATTTGCATCAGTTTGCTACCCTCAGTTACATAAAGCAGCACTTCATTTTGCACCAGATTCAGTTGTTTAGTGTACCACTTCTATTTTTTTTAAAGAAACATGGATATTTGTGCTTCATTTAAAAAGTGCTAAAACTCCTGCAAGTAGTTTGGACAAACCTCACTTTGGGTCCTCTAGAAGAACTGATTTGAAACTGCAAGTTAGTGTCATTCCAGATTCTAGCATTAAAGGGCAATACTACCTAATATCCAGAGGAAATCTTAGGAGATTGCAGTAGCAAAACTGAAAATCTTGCATTGGTCATAAATAGCCTATAAATTCTTTGAAGAAAAGCAACAGCTGCCTCATTATCATCTATGCATTCCTCTTCTCAGAAGCAGAAATATTAAGTGTATCTCAGAGGTTCCTATCTTCACAAGATGTTTACACTCTTCAATTATTATTTGGCTGAATTTATAGCTGGACTACTAGGTTAAAAAGACACAAAACCATAGGTTACAATATATTTTTTTTAATTTTTATAAATAACTTATCTGTTACAAAGACAGTTTACCCAGCTAAATCACAAAACCATCAACTCAAGATATCCAAATTAGGTTTTATTAATAAAACAGGTAAAAATTGATTTGTCAATCTTCACATAGAACTGCAGATGAAGCTGAAAAACAAGGCTTCTTTTTTTAATAAACAAAATGCATTCAATGCAAGTACTTTGGTTCTACTGACTAATTACTTGGGACAGTCATTTTATTCCCATATTTTAAAAAATTCAAAGCCTTTAAAACAAAGGCCTTTGTATTCATAGATCACTTGTAAAATTCCTGTTAAAAATGTCCACTGGAAATTATTTACAGTGGGTGACAGTCTACTTTGTCTCTTGCTACATTTAAGCACTCTCTCCTGTCTTATCCTAAGAGATGCTACATCTTTTTTGTAGTAGGCAAGAGAGCATTAAAAAAACCATTTGTGGTTTCAGTTATGTGCTCCTTATCACCTGAATGCTTTCCTTTAGATCAAAGAGCAAGGACTATGAAAATAAGAGAGATGCTTAGTATTGCTTCAGTGTTCAAGTCTGCTTGATTTCTCTTTTCTAGCCTGTATGTCACACTATTGCTATTCTCTACCAAATCGGGTTTAGAAACTGGCTGCCAAGATATTGATAGCATTGATGTTTTATGCTACTGCTACTGTTTTGTGTACTGTATGTACTTCCCCAGTAATAATCCCTTAAAGAATTTGCAAGATATCCAGCAGATGAAGCAAGCATATTAAGATGCTGATCCATTGGTGGGTTGAACATACTTTAAACTTCTGTTTCCTTGTGCCAGACAAAAATATTACATTGTGTCACCCACCGTAAAAATCAGTGTACAGAGTGAACTATATGCATATACTCCAACTTTTCCTGCATTTTCACCATGCTGCATCTGCAGATCTTCACAGATCATCAGCATTTACAAGAGCAACGTACAGAACAGGCAGTGGAGAGCTATTTGTGCATTGTTTATTATTGCTCTTATTTTAAGGCACTGCTTCTCTCAGATCAAAAGCTTTTTAAAAAAGGGTCATGATCGTGCATAATCACTTAAAGGGAAAAAGAAAGTTAACAAAAACTATTACACTATACATTAAGAAGTACAAGAAATAATAAAAGGTGAAGAAAAGAAAGGCACTTAAAGCAGCTCTAGAGCTATGTACAGTAGGAAAAGCTTCGGGGGTATTCACTGTGAGTATTGTACAGACAAAGCATGCAGTTTCTTTTTCATCTTCAGACATGATTGTACTGATTTGCGTCTTCACAGAGCAGAGCTGTGTTTTTGCTGGGAAGACAAGGCGAAGAGTACCACTGATTTGTGAAGTTCTACAATTCACGATCCCTATGCGGCAGCAAACAGTTTAACACACTTTCAGCTTGTTCCTTTCCATTTCCTCGGTGAATGTAGTGTTTCACTGAAAGCTTTACAAACAACCCAAAAGCCATCAATCTAATCCCTTCCCCTGTCAAAATTCAGTAGTGACATCTGTGGAGGAGGGCGGTTGGGGAACACCCAAGCACTGAACATGATGAGAGTTACTCTTACTGGGGTTCTGGTAATACTGTACATGATTCAGGCAGCTGGCAACCAAGTCTTTCAGGAGATTACCTTCCAGCTGATGAATTTCAGCTGCCTGCAGCACAACACTGAGGTATTATCTCTGTAGCATGACATTTAACATTAGTAATAAACCTTGTCACACGTTCAATTTTACAAAATCCTATGCATAAATGATTATTTATCCCAAGGAAATGACACAATAGTCAAAAGGTTGGATTTACAGAAGATAAGTGAGCCTCCCTGGCTCAGAAATGCCTGGGCATTTCACACTGTTCACAACGGTTTAAGGCTGGGTGATTTAAAAAAGTACAAGCAGTACAACTCCAATGATTTCCCTCGTATTCCTCCGTATCAGGTACAGTCTTTGGTGTTTTGACAATGGACCTCTGATCTGCTGGGGAGAAAGAGAAGAATTTTTAAATACAAACAACAGGAGAGATTAAATTCTGTGAAGCTTTCCCCACCCACCCCCTGCAGTATTCGGTATTACACTGTAGAATAAGTTGATTATTTCCACTGCTGTGTTATTAAAAGTTCAGTCCACTACTCAATTGCAAAAAAGGCCTCCTCTTCCATATGCTTAAGGCTATACAATCCTCTCAGTCTCTAAAAATGAACAAAAATTAAGCAATTTCAGCACATGGACAGAGCAGAACTGATCCACCTGTCTGCATGCAACAGAGAACAGTAAATGGATACAGTGATTACATGTATGCTGCAGACCTCAAGTAACTTTATGATGAAGAACTGACAGTATATATTACAATAAATGGGCTCAATGTTTCAATTTCAGGGATGCTAACAGACAGAAAATTTAGCAGCAGTACCTTTAGGCTTTGGTGCCACAGGACCTAGAAATCCAATGTTATCATAAAAATTATGAATGGCACTGGGATTAAAATGTGGTCCTGGAAAACAGAAAAAAACACAACACAATGAAAGGAAGAGTTAGTACAAAAAGGCAGCTAAAGCAGAAGCATTACAGAATGTGTAAGACAAGATCTTCACTGATGTTGAAGGAAAAATTCTGAGGTCACCTAATGCAATCTACCAATTTTGTGCCTCCATATATGGCTCACTAAAAAGCATTCAAAGGTGGCATTTTCTAATTGAAAATATGGAGTGGGGGCAGGGAAAGCTGAAGACAGTCAAAACAGTCCAATGGAAAGATGAGCCAGGCTGCAGCAACCTTCAGGTTTTACATTAAACCTCAGGGGAAGCGTCAATAATATTAGGTTTTGCTTTTCTAAATCAAGACAATAAACATGTTTTGGATATCACCCAAAGTACACCCGCTGAAATCAATGGACTTAAGTTCATTGATTTTAGTGGGTCTACTCAGACATGACTAACATTGAAGTTCACCAATAGGATACAAACTAAACTAAAATATGTTTGTGTTCATATAGAATATTGTGGATTTTATCATAGAACCATAGAATTGTATAACTAGATTAAAACAAGCGTAGCTCTCTAAGTAATCCAGAATATAGATATAGCAATAGGAAGTCTTACCCTAGGTGCCCAACAGCTGTCTTGTTTGTCTTATTCAGGTTTAATTTGGTCTACTGATTTTAAGAATTATTTTTTTCAAATAATGTTTACCTGGTGAGAGCTCAGCTGGATATTCAGAACTGTTTGTAATCCCTGAACCATGAATTTTTTTTGTATTATTTTGAACTACAAATATGAAAAACACCAAGCTAATGTTTGTCTATTTGTGCTCCGGTTGCTAAAATGATAAGAACAAGTCTGTTAACATGTCTTTTTTTCAAACCTAGCCCTGCCCTATTCTTCTGAAGAACTAAACATAGCTTTTAGGCTTTGAAGAAGAGGAAATGGAATAACAGCCACCACCACCCCAGCCATTCTGAATCAGGAATGGGGGAAAGGGCTGATTTTGCATTGTCTTCCTGCTTTCTATTCTATGCTAAACTTACAAGGCTTTTATTTGTAGGGTGAGAGAGTAACTTTAGAAATTATATTTTGTATGTAAGCTTATCTAAATCCTTGTTTTATTTTCATCATTATCTGAAAATATGTAGACTTGATCTTTTACAAACAAAGAATCCCAGATAAACAGTGACAAGGTTGGGCATTTTGTTTGTTATGAAAATGCTCAATAAAATGTTAGCAACAACTGAATTACACAATGCATTAATCAATTATTTACATGTTCTATAAACCTCAAGCCTTCAATGTTTAGCTAAATGGGCAAAATTATTATTTATACTGATAGTACAGTACCTCTTGCTTGAAAAAGATCAATCTCTTTGGTTAGGCAATCTATGTCTATCTGAAGTTGTCTGTTACAACTTCTTAACTGTTGCATTTCTTCAAGCTGAAAAACACAGAACAATGCTGTCTATTAGATTACTAACTTTATACGTGGGACAACAAAACTTAGTGATGACTGTGATTTAAGCGTAATCATGCCATCTTCAACCCAAAACTGTTAAAGAACAATCCCATCAGATCTTGAGAGGAGGGTATTTATTCCCATGAGGTGTCTAGTCACTGAATTTTGAATTCAAATTATTACTGAAATTACAAAAGCACCAGCTGATACACAGAAATCAGTGATAACTTTTCCTTGTTGATAGTCCTAAAAAAAATCATTTTGGAAATACTTTTGGACGTATTTTTTCTTTCACATCACAAAATAATTCTAAGTATATCACATAAGCACAGTCAAGCAAAGAACTGGCTTGCCAGAGTCAGTACTTCTCCTTAAGACCATTCAGAACAGATGACTGCGTTTTTAAAATTGTCTTCTCGGTCTCCTGGTTCATGCATCATGGTAAGCTAAACGGGTTCACATTGTTCCTCCCTGGCTTTTTGTTTTAACTTCTGTGCCACACTGAGCTAAGTCAAAGTTTTATCCAAACCTGGGCTCATAGTTAAGTCCTGGTTACAACTTGTGGTTTAGAGAGGAGATAATGTAACCACAAACTCAGGTTTGGAAACACAAAAACGAACTTTATCTTAGCTCAGTACAGGGAGGAGCAAAGTGGCTGTAAGCTCACCTCCATGTCCCTGCACATTTCCAGTGAGCCATAGTTTGCCTTACCATGATGTATGAACCAGGTGACAGGTAAGCAAAGTATATTTTACGTATCATTACCATTTTTAAACTGAAATTCTATTTCAGACTTATACATGTTTAAAACCTCCAGAAATTATGACTTACTGAAGGAATTTGGGAAGCAGAATTTGATCTTTTCAGGCGCCTTCGTGTTAGATTATTCTCCATTTCATTGACTTCTGTTTTTAGTTTATCTAGCTTTTTCTTCTGAATCTCAAGTTCTCGTTGAAGCCGTTCCATTCTAGCCTTCTGATGTACTAGCAAAGCTGAAGGACATAAAGGTATCTCTTTAATCAGTGTATTGTTCTCTTCACAGCATCATTTGATATAATATAGGGCACCCCAGGTCAAACAATTTCATGAGAACTCCCACTTTACCAAAACTGAATTATATAAAGATTGTGTGTACCATACAGTTGATTTGAAACATGAATTCAGATGATTGCCTATAATAGCCATACCTGTATGATAATTACAGATGTGCAGCTAAAGGTCTGAAAATCGACATGTGAAGTTTAGACGCCTCCCATGTGGCCTCCTTAGTTCACTTCCTGGCTCAGAATTACCATACCTCCCCACTCCCTAGGTCAAGGATTGCCCATCATCCCTGACCATTGGTCATACTGGTTGAGGCTGATGGGAACTGCAGCCCACAACATCTTTAAGGAACCACACAGGCTACAATTGCCTTATCTTCTGATAATCAGACAGTGTTAGAAACTGAAAGATGAAAGCTAGAAGCTAACTGGCACCTCAAACCTAGGTTATGGGCGCACAATGGAATGTCTAACCTTGCTTTTTTATAACAAGAATACAAAGCTGAAAATGAATGAACTGCAGCTACAATATTATGTTCATTTTACACATGGTCTAGTCCTTCCCCTGCTCACTCCCCTAATATTCTTAAGAGGGTCTCTTCTCCAGTCTTCAGAGAGTAGCTGGAAGTGGGGAAGCAAAAGAACCTGCTCCTTTCCTTCCACTCGGAGTTTTAATTGGAAATATTAGGCACAGTACTGCGCTGAGCTCAGAAACTGCTTGCACTAATGAAATTCCCTGTCACAAAATGTGCCTAGAATGGGAGTTTCAAACACTGTAATCAGCCTGTGTAAGTCCTTTTTCTCTACACCCCTCTTATTTTCTTAAATTCCTGACATTCCTTTCAGTTTTCTGCATCTTCCACCCTTGCTTCCTTATTCAGTTTCTGAGTCTATTCACTCTTCATGGGCCCAATGTCCCTTAACTATACCATCTAATAGTGTTCCCACTATGTTTCTAAGCCTACAATCTCTCTCTCTCTCTCTCTCCACCTGCCCAATCCCAATCCTATCCACAGCTCAGAACTGTTTTTGCAAAGGCCTCTCAGTCAAAATGGCCTATGAATTCTGCATACAGAAATAAAACTGATTTTCAATAATCTTACACTCTTTCCTGTAAGCCGTCAGATTTAGTTACAGCCAAAGGTGGCACTGCAGGTGACAGGTTGTTCTTAAACTTATTACATGTAGACACTATTTTCTTGTGCTATTCTTACATTATATATGGTAAGATGTTCAGCAAATTCATTCATTTGGTGGAACAGAGAGATTTAAAGGAAAACAATTTATTCAAAACCATGTTAAATTAGTTTCAAAGAAATACTGGCATTCAGTTTTAAACTATTTCTGGTTTAAAGCAGCAGTCCAAGCCTGGGGTGAACAACATACAGCTTCGAGAATCATATCCTAGTTAAGGCTTCAGAATTAGACCTATCAAATGCTTTCAATCACAGATCTAGACAATTTAAAATTCAATTTTATTAAAGTTTGAAATAATCCAAAATGAATTGGTATGTCAACTCATTAGCTCCATGGGTTTCATTAAAAAAAAAAAAGGTTAAGATGAAACCTGATAATTTTTTATTCTACTGAATGGTTGTTGCTTTTGACTTCAAATGTCATTTCAGAATATATTGTAAAAATAACTGTATACACAAACCAAGTTTAGAATAGATAACATCATAATTATAGATATAAAACTTGGTTATTCAGCAATTATGGCTTAATGATGAAAAACTGAAGCCCAAATTGCAACTAGATGGAATCTGGCCAGAATCTTATAAAGACATTTATGGTAGAAACAGCACATTCTGATTGCTTTGTATGCCATGGTTCAGAATCATGGCCATACAAATCAAGATGCAGTGTAGTAGGGGAAGAAGTTCCAAGAGATATAATGAAAGTCAAACCTGTACTAAACACACATACCGGATTACTAAATAAAGCTTTGAAAATGTTTTATACAGCTTTCTGCATAATTTAAGACCACATTAGCAATCAAGTCTATTTGAGACATACATTCTCTTTAAGTGGCATAAATAACAACATACTTAAGGAATATATTTTATTGCTCCTAGGTCCACAACTTATTTTAAAGCTTATCTAAATACCCCAGTTAAACAGGAAACACATTGCTCAAGCCTTTCTGTACCAGAAATACTGCCACAAGCACTTCAATGCAGATTAAAAGCTCATTAAAATGTCTGTCCTTCTCAACTTTTATTTGAATAAATAAACATTCTTGCTCTTACAGATACATAGAAACATACAGAGCTTGAAAATAAGATGGGAAAGTTCTTAAGACTCAAATATGTCTAGTTTGATAGATTTCAAAGCTTTCTCATGATTTTTGATAGGATGCTATAAAATTTGGGGTTAGGTCTCAACCACTGGGAATTGGGTTGACATCAATGCCAGAATCAATATCTGGAATTAAATTGGGATGGGAGAGAAAAGATAGGATTAAAAAAAAAATGGGAGTATTTTTTATGTAAGGGGAAGATTCATTTCTTAAAAAAAAAAAAGATTCATGGAAGGCTTATTGCTGGCTTCAAGGCATGACAAGGCCCTCTTACTCTCTTTTTTTAATTAAAATTTGACAGACCTCTTTTCAGCAGGTGCCTGTTTCCTTCACTAGGTCACCTCGGATGCAGTACTGTTCTGTGCTGGGAGCATTATGCAAAACCTGAACAATGCTTGGAGCATTCTAGAGATATGGTGGCCACTGAGAGAAACACCACCCTAACATAAGTATTTTAAAAGAATGAAAGGGCACCACTGTGCATGGGTGGCCATCACCCCGTTGTCGGCTAATGAATCCTTTGAGGAAGAAAAAAATTGCCTCTGAAAAATCACCAAAATGGCTTTCCAAACTACCCACAAATGGAGTGTCAAGCAGACAATTTCTTTCAACACTGGCACTCACCCCAAGCCCAAACTTATGCACAACTACATATACATGCAGCACCAGGAAATCAATCAACTGGCCACTTCTACCTGCGAATCAGATCCCCACTCACAGCACTGTGGGGTGTGTGTCTCTCCCACCACATGTCAGCTTGGTCCCAGCTGCGGGCAGTCAGTCAGCATCACCATCCCCTCTGTGTGCACTCACCCATGTGCTGCACAAGCCATGCATCCCTGCGGGCTACCACCGCATATGGGATCAGTGCCTGCCTGCTGTGCTGCTGGGTCCTAAAGCACCTCCCAAGGGCACACCAGAGGATGAGCGACCCAGTGCCTTACTAGCTGTGCCGCCCAGGGCCAGTGGGAGAGGTGCAAATCCATCTCCAAGTAAGGTGGGGCCAGAGCGCAAAAGAGGAGGGGGGGCAGAGGGAGAGTGCAAATAGTTGAGTCAATCAGATAGGCTGAGGGCAACAAGAGCAGATGGGTGAAAATGTGAAGGGGAGGGAAGGAGGAAATCAAAGAAAGTGAACTACTGCTGCCCAGAAGTTGTTTGGGGCCGCTGCTCAAGAGGCATTGAAGGGAAGGTGTGGCAGAAAGCAGCCCTGGTGCACATGAGTCTCCCTCCCTCCCTCACCAGATGTTCTATTATAGTGGCATGCTCCCAATGTTACACGATTTCACTTATGTTTGTAGATGCCTGGAACGTAACCCCTGTGCAAGTGGGGTGGGGGGCACCTGTACTATCTAGAACAACTGGCTCACTATAACTGATTGTTTCATATACTTTGGCACTGTGAACATTATTGAGCAAGTGCACATTTTCATAGCTCAATTGTCGCAATAGTGACCACTCCAAAAACACCTTATCCATTTCTCATCTCCCACAAAAAAACTACAGAAGTTACACCCAAGAAGTGCATCATGTCCTTTGGAGCAGGGTAGTTCAACTGAGATTTCTTCAGAAATTATTAAGGATACTTAAATAAGAAAAATTCAGCAATGACAGCCAAGTTGCCTTGAAAAGAAAACTTGCCCAGCACCACCAATCTTGCTCTGCAATGTGTACTCAGTTCAAATGAGGCAACAGTGAAATTCAGCACATCTGAACAATCAGTGCATCCCATGAGCATGCTGCGGAATCCTTTGTGTGATGCTTGATATTTCTGGCAGTCAAGTCAAGTGGAAACTTCTCATTGAAAACAGAAAGCTTGAAAATAATTAGAATTATTTACTATATCCAAGTGAGAATTATGTAATGAGACCAATTATATTAATAATTATATCCATATGATGTTTTCAACTTGTAGAACAAGGTACTACATGACATTTATTCTGTACTTTCAAGGAATCTATCCTGCAGTGTGGCAGTATTTTCTCTATGGAACTCTCTGCCTATTTGTTGTATTGTTTTCAACAACTTCTAAAAACCTTTTTTATTTAGATAAACCTACCCAGACATGTACTCACCTATTGACCACTGAAATTCGAAATATGGGACCAAGTTCCAGATCTATTTTTAGAATTTCATCACAAAATGACCATGACTTCCCAAAGCTTCTTCCACAACTACAAGGGGTAGCAACTTGTGCTTCCCCCACCCTTCTAATAAAAGCAGTTATTCTCAAGGGGCTAGATTCCTTGCCAGAAGCAGCAGTCATGTGCACAATAATCTTTCCTAAAGGAGAGGGAAATTTTCGAAAGTGTTGGGGGGGGGTGTCAAAAAATTCCATTCAGCAGCGTGAATCTAAGTATCATTTTGCACCCTGACATTTGTCTCCTACCTAAGGTAAGCAGGAAAGACAACTCTGAAAATGAACAATTAGCAACAGCATTCAGAAAGAACATAGAGATTCCCACTTCCTGCTTTTGAATGGATTTGGTTAATTCAATTATTCTTTTTTGTCATGGCTATTATTTTGTATCTTACCCTTCCCTTGGTGTCAAAGAGAAATATAATCTTTTCCAAAAAAAAATATGCTAATTGATCAACATTTCAGTTTATTCAAACACAACGCTTTGGTCATTCTTCAGCCCTTAGTTTTGTGCGATCACTCATTTGTAAGTCGCCTTTTTGTTACTTTTAAATTTCTATTATTAGCTATATTGTGATAATCATTCTTAGTGTTGCTATATGTGTAAATATGTAAAAACTTGTAATTAAAATATATTTAAAAAACAGCATTCAGAAAGAAAATGGCAACTCAACTACACTCTCTTCTGAAGCATATTTTGATTAACATCCACATCAAAGTATGAGGTCCATAAATGCACTCATCACGTTACCAGTAGCATGTGTATATGTATATGTATATGTATATGTATATGTACGTGTGTGAGCCCAGTATATGTACTGTGGTGAGCCCAGTAAGTTGAATCCAGAATTATTGCCCTGGGTTTCAAAGGCATTAATGAGAAATTGCTTCTGAAGCACTGCACAATATCAGAGAAGACTCCACCCATTTGACACATAAATGATGATGAGTTTGGCAGCTACAAGTTGGCCTGCCAAAACTTGTGCAACTTTGATCAGATCAGAACTCATCTGCTGATTTAATTACATTTATTTTAATAAGCTAATAAGTAAATAAAGCAGTTCAAGGAAAAAAGGTATTATCGCATTGCTGACGCAGCAACGTATTTATGGTTCACCTAATTTGCAAGACAACCTCCAATCAATATGGCGCTGAACAAAATGGAGGGTTCACATTCAACAGCCAAATTACTTAAGGCTTTGCTATCAATGGGAGAGAATAGCCATGTGCTGTTCATCTATCCTAGCTTCCTTAATGTACTCAAAAGAAAACAATCTATTCACTGTTCTTTATCCAGCAACAGACTTGAAAAGAATTTTACAGAAAATCCAGTTTCAAATATAACCCTTTGTTGTTGTTTTTGATGGAAACTCATATCCCTCACATTGTACTTTTCTAGTACTTGGAGCATCTGTTTCTTATTAACAAGTAATCTGAAGCTGACAGAGTATATCAACTGTCATCGGTAAATCTGAAGATGTCTTCTAAGCCTCAAGAAATGTGAGGATATTTGCCAGCTGTCACACCTGCCTGTATTCAGCACATGCCACACAGTGCAGAAGTTGCAATCTGTGCTACAGATTAAATCCCTATTAAATCATTTTGAGTCCTGATGGTTGCACTGAAGAGACTATATGAAGGCATTCAGTACATTTGCGTAAGGTTCAAACAACACAGTTCTACACATCTTCCATACATGAGCTGCTGTCTGCTATCAGCTTTGTTAGGCAATTCTCATCTCTAACGTTTTCATTATCAGGGTTCTCCAATAACAACATTATCAAGTGAAATCTTTACACGGTGCTGGGAACCCCCATTGTGAGTTTAAATTAGGTGACTGTAAAAGAAACAAAACAAAAAACCCAGCAACAACTGGTTAACATTCTAAGCAAAGAGTGTCTTTTAAGAAACAGTATACTAAGCAGGCTTCTACACGGCTGCTTGAAAAGTACACCTAACATCTTGCTAGCACAGGGGATGGTATGGTACAAAGGTTTAGAATGAACCTCAGATTAAAGCTTAGTTTATTTGTGATACTGAGTGGTAGTCTTGGGCAAAGAATTATTTCCAATGCTATATCCTAATGTGAAATGACAATAGTTACCTCAATCACTCAATTACAAGGGTGTGCAATAAAGAAATGGCTTGTCATATCTTGATATCCAAGGGCAGAGGGTATACATAAATATAATCAAACACGCATGAGTATATACCAATGTCTTATTTGAGATAATAGGGCAAGGTAAACATGCACCTAAATTACCAGAGTAAATGCCAGAGAAAGCAATTTTAACTTTCTTCGCTGAGCTCCACAGCCAGCAATTTCCTCAACTCTGCTTCCCTATCCTAGCCTTTGGATGGCCATAAAATGGCTAGGATGCATATATTATCCCAAGAGCAGCAATTCATTGGCATAATGTAAAACCAAATGACATTTCAGGATTTATACTTAATACAGTTCAGTTTTGAATTTCTTATGGTTATTCTGTATTTTAAATAGGCACATTAACTCTTATAGTTTTCAGTTTATTGTTCAGTATAAATATAATACTAGAGATGGGAATTTCCTTAATATATATAGTTGTCAAACTATCTTCTGGCAGCTCTAATAGACTTTTGATAGTACTCGACCATCTTATGTTTTATTGCTATGCATCAATTCAGCTCTCATGGGATATCCAACTAAGTCATACTCAGAGGAGACCTGTTAAAATAAATGGACAAGCAGACCATTGTAATGGCTCTACTGTGAGTATGACTAACACTGGACATCCATGCTTTTTAAACCTTAAAATTGAAGGCTGTGAATTTTCAAGGATGGGAATACTAAATGCATAATCTGACTGACTAAATTATGAATTGTTCTGAAAACCATGGTAGTGAGTACATTAGAAACTGCAAATGACTACTCTTTTTATATTTTATATTGAAAAACAACTTCCAAAACCCAACCAGGAATTTAGATACCTATTAGAAAAGAGGTTAACTTAACAGAATTACTTTAGTAACATAAATCTACCTTCACACTAATAAAGTTTGCTGGAGGCATAGAAGGAAAGTAAAAGTTTAAATATTTAGGATGATAAACCGATAGAATGGAAGTTCCATAAGTATCTCACAGCTAATACCTTGTGGTTATTTCAGTTTTAAAGTCTTAGGCTGAACTCCTTGGCACCCTTAGGATACACAGGAGAAGGCTGCTGAAAAGAGATGTCTAGAGCAACAGGATGTAGGGGCAGCTGAGAAACTAAAAGGAAGCACTATTTTAAAACTATTCAACATTTTGGTGCACAATGGGACAGATATGTCAACTACACAATCCGGTTACAAAATGACTACCTTGATCGGTAAGAAATGTGATGAAAAAAATGTAGAGTGCTTGAAATCAAAGTAGTATGTTTCCCCCTGTCCATAAGAGTTGAACAATGTGCTTTCCTACTGCATCAGTTCTGCAATCCTTTCAGTCCCTGGATTCTTTAAGAGATCTTTGCACTATATTTACACTTGCTACCATTCTCCTCTTCTACAAAACCATTTCTAGAGTGCTAAAAAGGAAATAATCATTTGTTAGTTCCACATGTTTCAAGTCTTTTATATTTAACCTATTGTCCTAGAAAATTAAATCCTCATCAATCCACGTGAATCAAGTGACTTTTTTAAAATTGTGCTAACCTCTTTGGCATAAATACCCTATTATGTGTTTACAAAAGGAACACACATTTTTTAAAAAATCATTTACTCTAAGACATGCATAAGGCACTGTGACTTAAACGGATAAATTTCCAAAGCAAGCCTTCTTCATCAAATGGCAACAGAGTATTACTAAGATGTACCTGTCCCTTATTTGTTTACTGCCCATTCTGACATACTTAAAATAAATAAAGGTGTAGAAGCCACCACTATTTCAGTATTGTGTTCGTTAATTCATGGACCAAAACAAGGCAGAAATCTCTACAACTTACATAAAAATATTACCTTGTGTATAGGCAGCATCATCAGATCCCATACTCAGTTTTCGCGCCTCACTAATCCTATCGACATGTGGGTACTGAACAGGGTCAGTAAGGTGTTGGATACCTTCCGTCTCTGCAAAGTGATCTGTAAGGTTTAGAAGATTTGTAGGTTCAAAGGTTGGGGACACCACACCAGGTGAAACCGCAGGGGGTTTATTTGGAGAAACAGTAATTTTAAAAGTGTATTTTGTGTTAGGCTGTGTAACAACCACTCGGGGAGAGGTGGCAGCGGCATTGTTGACCACTGTTCTGCTCTTGGGAGGGTGGTGGTGAATAAACGCAGGTCCCATGCTTACTTGACCAGACATATTCCTAGACGTGGCAGTAACTCCTGGATTTGTTGATATGAAGAGTGTGGGTTGATTCCGAACAAGTTGTTCATCTCCTGTAGAAGGATTGGCTGAAATGTAGACCTTAGGCTGACTTCGTGTGGTCATTTCATCAGTATTTGGTGGACTGGCAGCTATGTAAACAGTGGGCTGACTTCTACTTAGAGTCTGACTGTTGAGGGAAGAGGAGTTAGAGGATGAGCGGGGGCCAGTTGAACGCAGTTTCGACGAACTGTTTCTTTGTGGTGGTTCAAGTTTGATTTCAATTTGGTTTTTACGAGGTCCTGTAGAGATATTTTGAATATTGTATTGGCTCTGGGTGGAAGAAGATTGCGAGCTACCAGATGAATGAATTGTAGGTGCTTGTGGAGTAGTAGGAGAACTTATGGGCATATAGACATGGGAGGTCTGATGGCCTTGCTGGTTTGGCTGTGTTGATTGTTGTGATGAGGTATGCGACGAGGAACTGGTTGTGGGAAGGGTTGTCCAGGGATTTGTATGTGAAGGCTGGTAGTTTTGTTGAGAATGCATAGGATTATACTGAGACGTCCAGCCTGGATTTTGCTGAGTTTGGCGAGCTGTACCACTTGGATTTGTGATATAAGGCCTAATATAGATAGAATTGCCTTGTGGACTATTTATTGGAGGTACACCATGTATGTGCAAAGATGTAGGGGTATTCCGTCCGGGCTGAATATTTGGGGCTAAAGTTACCATAATGGGGTTGAATCTAGGTGTTTGCTGAGCCAAGCCAGGTGTTCCTTTGCTGCCCAAGTGAAATCCAAAATGCTGCCCTGGATTAGAAGTACTAACAGTATTAGATATGCCAAAGAATCCCTGTGGAACCTGGACTGGAGCTGTCTGTGGTTCCTGATGAAACAGTTCACTGTTGGACTGGCTGGTTTGAAGGTGCCCATCACTAATGCTATGAGCTAAAGTCCTACTTCCATTCATTCTACTTCCTTCTCTTCCATGGAGAATCACATTCTGAGACTGCAAATCCAAATTAAGGGATGTCATGTGATTTCGCAGACCGGGAATCCCAGAATCATCTGAAAAACCAATGTCTCCTTCACCGTAGAGATATTTTGTGCTCTCTTTAGAGAGAACTGCGCAACAGGCATCCAGGTTATTATTATTCTATAAGAAATTACAAAAATGGGTATCAATAAAAATAATATGGTTTCATCACATTTAATTTAACAACTTAATTAAACACTGGCTTTCACAAATATTGTGCTGTGTGAAAAAGGAATAAAAAAACAGATAAAATGCAATACAAAATTAAAAGTAGGTTCTACTTTGCTGGTTAGCATTAAAAGAGAATTCTGAACCTAAAAATACTTAAGACTATGAAATGTATCATGTAGGGTGTTTCTTAAAATTTTGTTTTAATGCCCAATATCAATATTACTGAAATGATTAATCAGCAATTAAATCCCAAACAATTGTTTGTATTTAAGAGGTATCATTTGATAAGGCTTTGCAGCCAACTGTCTTTGCTGAGGAAAGGAAGAGGGAATATCATAGGGATAGGGTGGACCTGGCATGAATCAGGAAGACAAATATGTTGTTGGTTATCAAATAAGAAAAGTGCTCCAGGGCATGTATCTTCAAAACCCAGTAACTCTTCCTCCAATTCCTTTCAGAATGAAAGGACAGTTCCTTGGAGGATAGAAAAATGGACTCAGAGGATACATGCAAGGAGGATAGAAAAATGGACTCAGAGGATACATGCAACAGGGTATACTTGGGTCACCTTTCAGTAGTGAAAGGAAAGACTACTTCGATGTTCAAAAAAACCTAGTAGGCTGAGATCTGTATTTTATATCGGTCCTGGAGGTTTTGCTAAACATGATTAGAAAGGACCGGTTGGTTAAAAGTATACAGGTCAGAGCTAAACAGTATAAACTGAGAGCATTTGCAGATGACTTAGTATTGATGTTACAGGAGCCAGAATCTAGCACTAAAAGAGTTTTAGAATTAATTCAAGAATTTGGTCAGGTGGCAGGCTTTAAACTGAACAAGCTAAAAACTAAGGTTTTAGAGAAAAATTTAACACCGATTGAAAGAGAGAGGTTTCAGAATGAGACAGGATTGACTGTGGTAAAGAAAGTGAAATACCTGGGGATTAATATGACAGCCAAAAATGGGAACTTATTTAAAGATAATTATGAAAAATGTTCGACCGAAGTGAAAAAAGATTTAGAAATCTGGTCAAATTTGAAACTCTCACTGCTGGGCCGTATTGCTGTGATAAAGATGAATGTATTGCCTAGAATGTTGTTTTTGTTTCAGACACTACAAATTGTGGACAAGATGGACTGTTTCAAGAAGTGGCAGAGAGATATTTCTAGATTTGTCTGGGAGGGCAAGAAGCCCAGAATAAAATTTAAGATATTAACTGATGCTAAGGAAAGAGGTGGATTTGCCCTGCCAGACTTTAAACTTTACTATGAATCAGCAGCTTTTTGCTGGTTGAAAGAATGGCTACTTCTTGAAAACACAGACATTTTGGACTTAGAAGGTTTTAACAATGTATTTGGATGGCATGCATACTTATGGTATGATAAGGTCAAAGCACACAAAGCATTCAAAAACCACATTGTCAGGAAAGCATTGTTTAATGTTTGGATAAGATATAAAGATTTATTGGAAAATAAAACCCCAAGGTGGCTGTCACCAATGGAAGCAAAAGCTCTGAAAAGGCTCAATATGGAGGCCAAATGGCCGACATATTGGGAAATTTTGGAACAAGACGGAGATAGACTGAAATTGCAGAGTTTTGAGAAATTAAAAACAAAGTGCGAGATTGGCTTCACTATTATCAGATAATGGAGGCATATAATTTGGATAAGAAAATAGGCTTCCAGGTGGAAAAGTCAAAATTAGAAACAGAACTGCTAGAACCCAAAACTAAGAATTTGTCAAGAATGTATAACTTGCTGTTGAAATGGAATACTCAGGATGAAACGGTGAAATCTGCTATGATTAAATGGGCACAAGATGTTGGACATAATATTATGTTTGCTGACTGGGAACAGTTATGGACCACAGGTATGAAGTTTACGGCATGTAATGCCTTAAGAGAGAATATTATGAAAATGATATACAGGTGGTACATGACCCTAGTCAAGCTTGCAAAAATCTATCATTTGCCCGATAATAAATGTTGGAAATGTAAAGAAACTGAAGGTACATTCTTTCACCTTTGGTGGACGTGCCCAAAGATCAAGGCTTTCTGGGAAATGATATATAATGAATTGAAAAAGGTATTTAAATATACCTTCCCGAAGAAACCAGAGGCCTTCCTTCTGGGCATTGTCGGCCAATTGGTGCCAAAGAAGGATAGAACTTTTTTTATGTATGCAACAACAGCAGCAAGAATACTCATCGCAAAGTATTGGAAGACACAAGATCTACCCACTCTGGAAGAATGGCAGATGAAGGTGATTGACTACATGGAACTGGCAGAAATGACTGGCAGAATCCGAGACCAGAGAGAAGAGACGGTGAAAGAAGACTGAAAGAAATTTAAAGACTATTTACAGAAATATTGTAAAATTAAGGAATCTTAGAAGGATGTTGGATAGAAACTAAGGGTTTTTTTAGCTGTAATGCTGTAAGAGATATGAAAAAAGGTTTGCAACTGGGTAATTTCAATGGTAAGGATTTGCTGAATCAACAAATTGAACTGGAATACAAAAAAGGGAGGTATGAGGAGGTCCGGGGAAATAAGTATAAGGAAGATAGGTTATGGAAATTTAATGTCCTTTTAATTGTTTTATTTGGTATGTTTTTTTATTTTTTACTTCTTTGGTTATATATATAAAAAAAACTTTATTCTTTTTCTTTCTGTATTCTGTATTTTTTGTATTTTTTGGGGGGGAAACTTTAATAAATATCATTAAAAAAAAAAGAGAGATCTGTGTTTGGAATATGTGTTATCCTCAGAGGTCAATCTCCCTTCCCACATTTTTTCAGTGGCAAAGGAACTACAAAGAGCTTATCCACTGAGCCCAATTACCTCCTCCGTTATGTAACTGTTTCTTCTTGGTTTTGTATACTTAGGCAGATTTTGAAGGTGATCAATGAAACCAAAATATCCATTTTCTGTGAGGATGTTAGGTTAACAGAGGAAGCAGGATAGCATCATTAAACCTTTGCACTACGTAATATAGTATAGAAAAAATTGTTTAGCAATTGCATGATACTGGAAGGAAGTGTTTTGAACACACCTGACTCTGGCCAGCTAATGAATGCCAGTTAGGTTAGAAGCAGCCAAGAGGTTTCTGAAACTTAGCTTTTAAGTTTACTCATGGGACCCAGAGCAGACAAAATGCTGCCTGACTCAGAGTCTAATACTTCTCTCCTGCTGAGTGCATAGGATTGCAGCTTTAGAATTGAAGTAAGCAATTCAGTTTATTATCCTTGTATGTATACAAAAAGAACAAGCGAAACTTTGTATCTTGTACCATATGGACAACTCTGAAGTGCTACAAGACCAAAAGATATATTGCAAACCAATACACTTTATTCCAAAAACAAGTTAGTTTAATAACCAACACTAATAACTAGTTTCCATCCAGTCTATCCTATCCTAACCACCCATTCCATCCTTCTATATCTATCCTTCCATCCCACCCATCCAATCTATATTTGTGTATGTACTGGAAGTACTGCAAGTTATGTAGTTAATGTGCATGATAACCAGCCACTGTGCATACTTCCCCATCAATATGCATACTTCCCAATAGGCCTTGGGAAATGTGCATACCTCCTGCATTTTGTACACTCTCTGGGCAACATGCACATTCTCCATCTGTATACTTAATGTTCAGAATAATGCAATTTGTGGTCTCCTGCCTAATCTTACATGGCCCACAAAACATCTTCGCACTGATCAGCCAAGCAGAGGAGGAAAAGGTGGCTCCAGATAAAGATTATTTCCTCCTGCTGCAGTCCAGCCTCCTTTTCTCCACTCTCAGCAATTCCTCAGTCAGCTGAGCAGCACAGGGGTAGTAAAGGGAGAGGAGTATTTATTCATTCCCTCCTCCTTCCATAATCCTTATGAACATTATCCTCCATGTTGCTCAATGGCAGCATGAGATCAGTCATATTAGAGTTGTGGAAAGGGAAAGGGAAACAAACTGAGGAATCAGAGAAAATCAGGCTGGGAGAGAAACAGTGTGATGGTCCCACCCACTGCCATTTTTTTACCACATCCACTGTAGACAGATTACCTCCAAGGCAATTTGGTTCTGGAAGTAATAAGGGTTGCCCACTGCCGTAGTCTTTTCAAGACTCTAGGATTAGATGATATAGAAATGAATCCATGTAATAAAATTTGAACTTTGTGCAAAAATGTTCAAGGCACCTACCCATTGTTCCTGTTGTGGTGTGGGCAGTGGGAATGTGACCACTGCTTTACCCAAAGGCAGCCTCACTAAGCCACTTCAAAAGCCTCATGTGTGGTATACAATGATGTTTTTACTCAGAGCAGATCCATTGAAATTAATAGACCTAACTTAGTCTTGTTCTTTAATTTTGATGTGTCTAGCTCGAGTAAAATTTAGTTGAATACCACCATATATTATCCAACCAAGTGGCAGCTATAAGGAATGAGAGTTAATTTGAAATGCCTCTTAAAATCCCCATTTCCCTGGCAGATTAGGACACCGCAAGTACAATACAATCAAGTGATGGAAGTGATAACAGCTTTATATGAAATCCTTATACAAGTAATATGCTTTAAACCTTAAACTGAGGATATGACAAGTTAAGATTCAAAAGGTTAGGCAACATGGAAAGGGAAAAACTGCAATATCTAAAAGCAAATTAAAAGAAAAGAAAAAATAGCAAAAAAACTGGGATGGGGAAGGGTCTACTAGAGGAAATCTACACTTAAGTAGGTTAGTGGGGAAAGACTTTGTAAGTACTTTTAATTATTGGCACTAAAGTGCCTACGTAAACAGAAACAACATAGCACTGACCTGTAACATGCATCTGGACACAACAACTTCAGGTACCTCAGGAAATTTTTGGCGCAGGTCATGTAAAACCTGAAAATTTATTTGTTGGCTTCCTTGGGCCATTCGTATGTTGCCTGGTCAGGACTTTTGTTCAATAGGCAGTTCCAAGCCTTAGTGCAAATGAACAATCATCTCTTCTGCCTCAGCATCCTGTGGAAGACAAGATTTAAAAAGTCAGCTACAATAAATTCATCACATGCTTTCAAATACAGTTTTTTTAAAACAAGATTAGTGACATTTTCTTTTAAAACATATTGCTTAATGCTCCCTTCATCACAGCCTCTAGAGATATCTCTCTTCACTCTACAAAGTGTATAAGCCCATTTTCAGGGTGCGTGCTTTAGGACAAATTTTAATAGGAACTGTTTACGGGCTTAAAGCCTACCAAGAATTGCATATTCACAACAACAACAACAACAATAATAATAATAATAATAATAATATCTTTATTGTCATTGCACCCTTCGGGGACAACGAAATTACTTGACTGCTCCATAAAAACACTAATTAATCAATACAGTATAATACAGCAAGGGAGATTAGATGACTTTCAAAGTCCGGGCTTCCCATTCAGGGCCGAGATCGCTCTGGAGAAGAAGCTGTTCTTAAGACGGCTAGTTCTTGTCTTCATCGTCCTGTATCTCCGTCCCGACGGCAAGAGCTCGAAGAGACAGTGACCAGGATGCGATGGGTCTTTTACTATGTCCAGTGCCTTCCTATGGCACCTTGTGGCATAAATCTGCTCTAAGGTGGAGAGTGGGCAGCCAACAATGCTCTCTGCTGCCTTAACAACCCTGCACAACCCCATCCTGTCCTGGGTAGTACAGCTTCCGTACCACACACATAAGCCATAAGTGAGCACGCTCTCAATGGCACAGTGATAGAAGGCAAGCAGCAGTTTCTGCGGAAGATGGTTTTTCCTTAGTAGTCTCAAAAAGTACAGTCTCTGCTGCGCCTTCTTCACAAGCCCCCTTGTGTTGACACTCCAGGACAGATCCTCTTGTCATTCAATACCCAAAAATCTGAACGTTGTTACCCTCTCCACACAGACCCCATCAATCAAAAGTGGCTGGACGTTGCTCTTCTGTCTCCTGAAGTCCACCACAAGCTCCTTTGTCTTCCTTGTATTTATGAGCAAGTTGTTAGCTCTGCACCACTCTGTCAGCCGCTCCACCTCATCTCTATAATCCGTTTCACCCTCCCTTTCAGAGATGAGCCCAATCACGGTTGTGTCATCTGCAAATTTGACAACCCTATTACTAGGGTGAGTAGCGACACAATCGTACGTGTAGAGAATATAAAGGAGCGGACTGAGTACGCATCCCTGTGGTGTTCCTATGTTAGTCTTGAGCATATTAGAGGTATAGGGGCCCAACCGAACCCTCTGGGGGCGGTCTGACAAAAAGTCCAATATCCACCCACAAAGTGATAACGGAAGCCCCAGATCTTCCAGTTTAGACATCAGACGTTGTGGTAGAATGGTATTAAATGCCGAGCTGAAATCTAAAAAAAGCAGTCTGGCATAACCCCCCCGCTGCTCCAAATGTGCAAGGACGGCATGGAGGGCAATCGCCACAGCGTCCTCTGTCGATCTTTTCGTTTTATAAGCAAATTGGAATGTGTCCAGTCCCTCTGGTAGGCAGGCAATGACATAATTTCGTACCAGCTTTTCAAAGCACTTCATGATTATAGGTGTGAGTGCTACTGGACGAAAATCATTCAGATCTTCCGGGTTAGATTTTTTTGCTATTGGAACGATAATAGAGGACTTTAGGCAGGATGGAACAATAGCCTGGGCCAGGGATTGATTTAAAATATATAAAATATATAAAGCAGGGGTAGTCATCTGTATCCATCCCCTAAAGAGGCTTTTTGTCCCCATCAAAAAAAGAAGCTAAAAACTCTGTAATTTGTTTTTTTAATGACTTTTTAAAGTTTTTTTTTTTGTTTAAATGCCCACTGTTATGGGTCTCATGCTGTACTGCAATGATGCAAGGTTTTCTGTGCCTGTCAAATTTGCCATTAATTCTTTAAATAAATTAAAAAGCTGACTGATCCTATAGATACCCCACTATGGTACCAAAAGGTTTTGTGTCCCCCATAATTAAATAAATAAATAAATTGTCCTTTTGGGGGGGAAATGGCCATACCTTCACACTTCAGCTAAATCTACCTTGATAAAGGGCCCCTGGAGGGTTGACCATGGGTCAACATGGTTCTTCTATAAGCCAGTATAGCCTATACATTTAGTTATGATTTCCGAGATTGAGATAGTTTTAAAGATAGCTGTCATGATTATTGCAATTGCAGTAGCCATATAATAGGCCCAACATGGATTCATATCCTTGGATGTCCTACTGAGCATTCCAGCAGCATTGCAGTATCTGAGAAGAAATTGTTTAAGTGCTTCCAAGAGTCCATTGAATAAGACCAATGTGCATCTAAGTTCAATCTGAAACAAGTCAACACTTCTGCCAATTAATACATTGTGGAACAACTCTGCTATGAACCAAAAACTCACCACAATGAAGTTTCAGAATAAAATTAAGAAAGCATATCTGCATATTGTTTTACACATTTCTCTGTGTGGGGCAGACATACAACTAAAGCACTAAAACTCTGTGTACCACACATTCCGTACCATATATTATCCTCTAATTGACAACAAAATTACTTCCAGCTGTCATATCGCTGTTCCAAGCTAGCTACCTCATCCTATACATATGGTTTCTACTGACAATGAATTTTATAGTATTCTTTCTTTACCTAGGAGCAATTTTATTATCCCAAGTAGTTTCTGCATTTCTTTTCCTTTTTTATAATATTTTTTTAAATTAATTTTAACATATAAATTATAAAATGTACCACAAAACTTATCACTTATACAATCTTTTTAGACTTCCATCAGCACCTCTGATGATCCACCATTTTAACCACTTCTTATGCATTTCTTAACTTTATATTGCCTTTACATCTCTTAACAAATCATCCTCCCCCTTGTCCATTTTTACAATACTTCTAATAATAATCCTCACAAAACTTCTTGCAACCCTACAAACTGTTCTTCACAGTTACTTTTCAAATAGTCTGTAAATTTACTCCGCATATCTTTTCCAATGATATTAGCAAAGGCCAATTGAATGGCTTACTGGGGAATGGATAGCCTTGAGCAGCACAAATTCAGGACAGATCTCCACATTTAGGAAGACAGAACTTACACCTTCCACTTTAGCAACAAGTGAAACACAATTACATTTTTATAGATATGACAATGCATGTTAGACCTGTGACCTACAATATACAACATAAAATAAATATCAACTAAGTGACTAGGCAAGGACTGAGAAAGCACTGTTTTCCTCATCAGCAGTTCTGACTTCTTACCTCTAAGAATATAAGCACGCATTCCCCCTTTAATATATAATAATGCCTTAGGCAAAACTATCCTATTCTACGTCCACCAACCCACCCACACCCTGCAAAAGAATTAGAAAAAACTATGTAGACCATTTTGCAATCTTAAAAGACAAAAGCATTAATATTATAGCCATTTCATGATATAATCCAGAATTACCCTATTTCCTTGAAGAAGGTTAGGAACTATCTGATATTCAAATGCCATACAACATGGAATTACACTTTGCAACTTTTATGCTTTAATTCTTAAATTGCAAAAGAAGTGTAGCTGGACAAAAATGAAACTCAACCAAACTGAAACAAAAATATTAAAATAAACTGAAATCTAAGCAAAAAAGTCTTTTAGAAATAAGAAATGTTTGAGAACTATATAACTTAGTTAAATGGGTCAAACCAAGAAAAGGCAGCTGTCACATTCTGTGACTGGACAAATCATAGAGATGAAGACTGAGCAGGGATTAATAGCCAGCAAGTATTTGTAGTCACACTGACTCCTGCGGCCAAAGAAAAGAGAAAGAAACCACGCCTTCCTTAATTTTGCAGGTGCAGAGAATTCAGGAAGAGAAGGGTTTTCTCAGTCTTCATGATGGGCTTTTCTAGAAAGTACAGGTAGGGCCACACTGCTTATGCAAAAGCCAGTGAAAACGAAGAAGCTACCTTTTACATCCCCAAGTCCTTGAACTTGGGAGGCATCTGTGTTGTAGTAGCCCGACCCTTCTCCAATCAGAGACAGGATGCCAATGGAAACCCACTGAGTAAATTTCTAGAACTGTAAAACTGAGTGAAACTTGTCTTGCCAATGGGGAAATAAGTACTTCCACAAATTTCGATAGCACTTAATTGCATCAACTTTCAGTGCCACTGAGCATTTAATTTTCTCATTATGAGTATCTGGAGTGCATTTCAAGGTTCTAATCTATCCTGAAGGACAGGTCTCTGAAGATAGTATTACACATTTCTGTTTGTCCACATGAGAGTTGACTTCTGAGGTCCTGCAGGGGAGCTCATCACAGCCTATTCCCCCTGCCCCCAGCAGCTTTTAAATCTCACTTTAAGTAACCCGTGAAGCTCTTGTATTTGAAATCAGTGAAAGGCTGGACATGGGCCAACAAACTGAAGCTTAATCCAAACAAGATGAAGGTAGTGGGGACAGCAGACCCTATGACAACTTGTTCTAGAGGGGGAGGAGCAGGTACATCATCTGGGAGTATTGAAGTGGTGGCTTTGGTCAAGACAGCTTTTGACCAACTTTATTGGTTCTCGTAACAAATTAACATATACCGAGTTTGGGTACAAAGACACATAAATCATTTTTCTGACGGTATCTTACTAAATTTCTAATTCATGGTGTTTTATATTTTATACCACTTTGATATTCTTTATTATTAACCATATACAAATTTGCACAAATAAATAAATGTTCACTTTGCTGTCATTTGGTTTTTGTGCTGCTGTTGCAATATTGTTAATTTATCAAATCTGCTTACTGTTTCAATATATTTACTGAAAGCTGCTGCAGGTATAAACACGATGCAGATATATCAATAAATGTGTAACAAATTGTGTACTGGACACCACAGAGCTAGTGTGGCATGTCTCCAAAGGAAGAAAAGACACAGGGGCAAACAACAACTATGCGCGCAGACATAACTTTGCTTTCTCCTTTTGCTGCAGTATGAAGCACTGCCAAAAAGAGATTAGCTGAAGAAGCAATTTGTCTTTTCAATACCGAGAACTGCTGCAGTAAAACAAGGTCTGGTCAGGTATGCAGGGGTTTTTTCCTGCATCACATGCATCTTTGCTGGATTTTTCCGGCCTCAGGCTTCTAGGTGTCTATATGATAGAAATGTATGGACTTCACACAAATAAAATGCAACTATTGTAATAGAACATAAGATAGAATATTCTAAGTCCATGGCTCAGTTATACATTTCATTCTTTTAGACTTTAGCACCCACAGAAAAGACTGGCCAATAACAGCAGCTACAACAAAAACTATAAAAAGGGATGGGTGGGGAGAACTACTCTTGGCAACAATACCATTCATGACAAATTGTTATACAAATTGTTCAGCAACTTTTAAAATGTAAACTTTTTGCAAAATTGCTTATGAATATAAAAATTATAGCACAACTGAGTTGTAGCAAATGTTTTAATTTCCAAGAAGCCCTGTTTGTGAGGTCACTGATAGGGACAATTGTAAATTTACTGTAAACAACAACAACAAGAACAGAACACATAGTTCTTCCGTTGTACCAATCTCTGAAATTCAGTAAAGAGAAATGTTTGTTCTTGGATAATTTAAACTTCCCCAAACCACCAATAAGTAATACGAATAAGTGTGCTGATCTTTTTACCATATTCTTATTCATATTTTATTCCAGATTCTAATGTGCCCATAATTGCACCAACCTGTTCAGATTCTATTAAATAAATTCACCGTCTAAAATCTCATAAATATCTGCATGTTTTTCACAAAGCACTCAATATACTCACTTTTTCTAAATGCTAGGCAATTGAGCAGATACGAATTGACTGGCTTCATGCTGAATGAACCATTAGCAAAGTCATGCATAGTGTAAGCATGGTGTTAAGTATGTTCTATGTTTGCAGGAGGGACGCGGGTGGCGCTGTGGGTAAAACCTCAGTGCCTAGGACTTGCTGATCGTATGGTCGGCGGTTCGAATCACTGCGGCGGGGTGAGCTCCCGTCTTTCGGTCCCAGCTCCTGCCCACCTAGCAGTTTGAAAGCACCCCTAAGTGCAAGTAGATAAATAGGTATCACTTTATAGCGGGAAGGTAAACGGTGTTTCCGTGTGCGGTGCTGGTGCTGGCTCGCCAGCTGCAGCTTCGTCACGCTGGCCACGTGACCCGGAAGTGTCTTCGGACGGCGCCGGCTCCCGGCCTCTTAAGCGAGATGAGCACGCAACCCTAGAGTTGGACACGACTGGCCCGTACGGGCAGGGGTACCTTTACCTTTATGTTTGCAGGAGACTATATTCATGGTTCCCTTATTTAATGGCCCTGTTCAGGAGAACTTGCAACACAGCTTAGCTCAGGCAGTCTACAACTGTCATTTGCTGCACAATTCTATTCCTTGATTGAAGACACATTTGGGTAGCTGAAAAGCGCACTTCAAGATTCCACATGTCATACTGGTCTATTTCAATTAAGCATGCCAAACCTGTGCAAAACTGCACAATCTGACCACATACCTTGTCCTGCCTCCACCTCTTAAGGACATGCAGCAACATGTTCCATGTGTGTAGATTAAGCCCCGAGCCAGAAGTGACCATTCAGTCTGGCAGTACCAGCTACCAAAAAAAAAAAAAAAAGTTTCTTCACTCCAAAACTAGCCTGTCCCTATCAACATGTGTGTGCACTAATGACTTTTATCTGAAGTGGGGGGAAATGTTAATTCCACTCACCATCCAATCAAGGGATATAATTTCTTATTGGCAAAGGAACAGTAACAGGAAGGATACACCTGAGGGCAATGTAAGCTTGGCATCAGTACTTTCAGAACCGGAAGGCTTAAATTGTTTCTCTCTGTGTTTTTAACAGTCCTTATTTTTATCTGTAAGCTACCTTTAGGTAGGGTACAACAACAACAACATGGTTTCTAAAGAGCTAATGGGTATGTGCCATTAGGTACCTTAAATGTAGGTTACGGTCACTACACGGAATGTTTATTCGTCAGGGGTTGGACTACATGATCTTCAGGGTACCTTCCAAGGCTACAATTCTACGATATGAACTACATTGCTTGACTGTATCTTGCTCTTGCAACAATTCACTTGTCCCAGTATGCAAGGAGGAGAAACACACACAGTGGGAATGGAACTGGCTTAACTACGGACTAAGGCAGAGGTTTTTAAATTGTGGTTGCCAACTTGGCGCCCAGAAATCTTCACATAGTCACAATTGGGCCTGTGCCAGTAGCAAAACGTGCTAGGCTAATTTCTAACAATGGCTTGCTGGTGAGTAAGCTAATGTGTGTGCCCCTTATTCCCTGCTTTGTTTTTTAGTTTTCTGAATAATCTTTCGGTTAGGAAACAGTATTGAAGGGGATGGGGAAGAAGGAAAAAACTGCATGTTAAGAAGAGAGGAACTAATGTCTTTTTTCTGCATTTGCTGGTATGAATCCTTATATTAACTTTCTTAACCTGCCACTTTTGGAGAAAGAAGTTTGAAAATACAGCCAACTAATTAAATGACAAATTAGAAATAAAACTGTATGAACAATTTGTATTTGTTCACTTGGTATCTATTATAAAACTTTTTACGGTGCTCAACCATTTCCAGGCCTCAAACTGCAAACACTGCTGCTTGAAGCAGCCTCCAGAAGTTGGTGGAAAATATGAGAATGAATTGTGTGTTTGTTTTTTGTTCTTATTCTACATGTCCTTTCAGAATGTAGTCAAACAATACTGTGACCTACCCAAGCTTCCTGCAAATTAGATTTTCACCATTTCAGAATATTCAGTATGCAAGTTTAGGCCAGTAAGATATTCCCACAATGCCTACTTCTGTTTCTTTTCACATGTCCTACTTGGGGCTATACGACTCACATCATAATCTTCAGTGTTTTACTATTCATTCAGGATTATTAAGATTGTGATAGTTTGCCCAACTCCCCTCCTATACAAAAGCACAAGCGTCTTAAAAGATGCAGTGTTCAATTTTATTTTCAACATTACCTATGCAATTTTTCATAAATGAGAACCAGAATTAAAAAGTACAGTATGATCACATCTTGCATTGGGCTTATGTTCCAGGGATGGTGCATATAAACAAAAATGTATGTACCCAATGAATGTACCATGGAACTGCCCCCACATGACCATCCTCACCTTCAGCTCTGGAATGCTCTAACACAGGGGTCTCCAAGCTTTCCTTGCCTCGGGCCGGTGTCTCCAGCAACGACTGCATGGTGGGCTGGAGGGCGAGGGAGCGCGCGCGCACACGCTATTTCCGGTACACATCCAGGTCGGAGGAGGCCCGTGTGCATGCGCAAGCTATTTCCGGTGCTCCTCCGACCCGGAAATGGGTCCCCGCGCTGCACCGCACCGCATCGGTAAGAGCGGGTGGCAGTCGCCAGGGGCTGGATAAACGAGTCCCTCGGGCCTTATCTGACCCCTGGGCCGTATGTTGGTGACCCCTGCTCTAACAAGATTTCATGGGGCTGCCTGAGTTCCTGCAAGATCTTACTAGAGCATCCCTAAGCCTGGTAAGCAAGGAAAACCTGGTCCTCTGCCTTGCATGCAATAACAGCTTTCAACTGTGCATGGTTGAAATTGCGCAGGTTAACTGCATGCAATATGTGATCGTACTGTATAGTGCTATATTATACTAAATAAAAGAAGAAAGATAAATCCTACACTGATTGTAGCCAAGGATCTGATTTTTATTTTGCTAGCCTTGGTAACTAGCCAAACTTTGGTTATCAGGAACCACTGAATGCCATCACACTGAGCTTCAGAGGTGGTGAGTGCTTCTAAGGCATGACACAAGGTTAGGAACAATTCCTTTCCCCATCTCTAATTTCAGGAGGAGGACTGGAGCACATGTTTGTTGTACTGTACTGTACTTCCAAGGTCTATTGGTGTGATTCCAAAACACAGCCCAACACAGACTAAGTCCAGCCTTTCACCTAAATCTGGAATGAATGGGGAACTTGTAGCCGGGCTGTTCTTAGAGGGTGCTCCAAGCAACCTCAAATACAGTGGTACCTCGGTTTAAGAACAGTCTGGTTTAAGAACAATTCGGTTTACAAACTATGCAAAATTGGAAATAGTGTCCCAGTTTGAGAATTTTACCTCGGTCTAAGAACGGAATCCGAACGGTGGAAGGGCACCAGTGGCGGGAGACCTCATTAGGGAAAGCGTGCCTTGCTTTAAGAACAGTTTTGGTTTAAGAACGGACTTCCAGAACGTTCGTAAACCGAGGTACCATTGTACAGCGTAACACAGACAAATTGCACTACTCCTTCTGAACCAGGAGGTGGCAGAGTAGTGAGAATAGTCATACACACTTAAGAGGCAGGAAGGACCAGCACCATGGTCAATGTCAACAGCATGGACACCTAATCATATCCCTATTGTCCACAAATCCAACACTTTTTAACACATCTCTTTTTCAGGAGCAGTATCTTTTTTCTATACTATAGAAAAAGCAGTGTTCCAAATTTCATTATTGTTTCACATTGTATGTTGCTTTCAGCTGCAGTGTACTTTTTCTTGAGCTACTCTATTTGCACATGTATTCGCAAATACATTTTAAAAAGCCTGGACACTTCAATATTTGTGAAGTTACTTAAATATTGCTTACTCTGAAATGCTGCAGGTGAAAAACAAGAAACTTACAGCAGAAATTGTTTATGCTTCTCTCACACAGCAAGTCACAGAAACAGCCTACAGCCCTGCCAAGTGGCTGCAGTTTCTTCCAACCTGGATGCATGCTGGAGGACTACCCATTGTCTGCATAGGCTGCAGAAAGAAACAATATCACAGTGTTTACTCACAGATCTAAAACATTTGTCCATGTGGCCCTCAGATAGGAAGGTATACCCCCTCTTCCTACATTGGAGATGCTAAAACCATGGGAATATCACTCAGACTTATGAGACCCCAAGCAAACATACTTGAGGGAACAAGAGAACAGTCCTATCTTCAAATACAGATCATCTGCACTGTTTCTTCCAACGTGCAGAGCCAAAACAGTTGTGATGTTGAAATGTGTGAGGTGAAATGTTGCTCCTTTGGCAACAGTAGCCACAAGGGGATGTGAGGAGATTAGCTATGTGCAATCCTTTCCCCCACATTATAGTACCTCCAAAAGTATCCCCTTGAAAGGATATTATTTTTGGTTGTGAGAGATGCTTCCATTGGTACCAAATAAACTTCCTTCCAGGGCTAATAGCAGTGTCAGGGTGTTTAGTGGAATCACAAGGTGGAGGTGGTAAAAAGATTTAACACCTCTCCTCATTGTTCCTTTGCTACTCACTCACTTCCCACAGTGTCTACTGTTAAAAGGTTGAAAAAAAATGATCTGTGAATGCATTAGCCTTCTAGTATACTAGTCTCTTGTAACTCCCGATTCTTTTTAGAAGAGGTAGTATATATCAAAAAACCTTTGATGGAGGAAATGTGATAAGGCAGGGGTGTCACTTTTTCCCAAATCCACCAAACTAGTACAGCGAGAATAAATTCACAAGACAATTTTTCAAGATCATTTGGGAATTTGGGTGGGCTTTATATTCAAATGAAATGCTCCTTTATATTAAGCCAGGGGACCAGCAAACTTTTTCAGCAGGGGGCCAGTCCACTGTCCCTCAGACATTGTGGGGGGCCGGACTATATTTTGGGAGGAAATGAACAAATTCCTATGCCCCACAAATAACCCAGAGATGTATTTTAAATAAAAGCACACATTCTACTCATGTAAAAATGCCAGGCAGTCCCCACAAATAACCCAGAGATTCATTTTAAATAAAAGGACACATTCTACTCATGTAAAAACACGCTGATTCCCGGACCGTCTGTGGGCCAGATTTAGAAGGCGACTGGGCCGGATCCGGCCCCTAGTTTGCCTACCCATGGATTAGGCAGTAACAGTCATGCTAAGTAGCAGCGAGTAGTAGGAAATATTTTGAATACTTATATTCTACAGAAAATTTTGTGAGAAACCATTTTATTGAAACATTTCAACAAGAAGAGCAAGTTAAGACCAACAAACATTATCAGATCACAGTGAAAACGAGTTTACGGGTCATTAATCCCGCCTAACAATTTGAAATGAAGAGGGGAAAATAAACTACATATCTGGTATAGTGTTTTTCTGTTAACCGTAGAACTTAATGTATTCACAAAACTAGTATTTACCAAACGTGGCTCAAAGATCAAGTTACACCTTCTCTGGCTTCACATCAAGCAGAAATACAGAATGCACGTGTTCCAATATAAGAAGCCACAAGGGTTTAAATAGTTTGAAAGAAAAATCAAATCCTCTCTTTACTCACAATTTTAAAAAATACCCTTTAAAACTCACTAGGCTGTTTGTTTGCTTTTTACCCAAAGGTCCTGAATTGCTTTGGGAAGATGCCTGGCTTTGGTTTTAGGCATGTCACCAATGGGAACATAGCCTACATTTTGGGGCAACCACCAAGAATGTCTTTCCACTTCTTTGTCATATGAACTTGGCAGAGATGGTATAGGTCAAAAGCATACATGCTGCTGATCTTGGAAATTAAAGCAGCAAACAAGGAAGAGAGAGTTATTGTAGGCACACAGTGCCCAAGCTACTTAATGCTTTGCACACCAAAATCAGCACCCTGAGTTGTAACTTTAAGTCTGAAAAGCCAATGGCTGGAGAACGTTTTTGTCAACATGATTCTAAGAACCCACCTCTGACAGAGGAAGTAACACTGCATTCAGTATCAGCTGTGGCATCCAAAAAGCACACTAGGGGAGATACTATCTAAGGGCATGAGAAAGGGCTGTCAGCTCTGAACCTGAAAGGAAGGATCAAAAGAAGCTTTCTTCTTGCATTGGTTTTAAAAAAAACACTTCTTACCACTCTAAATTTTAAGTGTAGTTGCTCCATTATATAGCAGTTGTCATTTTAATGGTCAAAATTGCTCTTTCTATATTAGCACCCCTTACGCATCTGGCCACTGCCTTTTTCCAAAAAGCAAAGAGGCCTTGATTGAAGAGGGTGTCTGGGACCACTGTTATAGTGCTAGAGTTTGAAGTGTTGGTGCTCTGCACTGCAACCCTTCAATAGCCATGACCACTTCTAAAATTATACAACAAAAGAGAATTTTTGTCCGGTGCATTCTTTCCCTACCCCCTTTGTTTGACATTCATCCTGGAGGATTTAAAAGTTTTTATTTTGTGGCATTTTGGTTGGTCATAATAAAAGGATTTTTGACTTTTCAAAACAAAAGTAGTAGTTAATATAATCTGCCTCGGCCTGGTTTGTTGTTGTTTCTCGTGCTGAGAAATGGCAAAAAGCACCCAGGAGATGATATCATTAACTGCTTTAAAAAAGTGGCAGCACATCACCCTTGTTTATCCTTGCTCTTGCTATACCACTGTCTGGGAGAAAGTGAACTACCGTATTTTTCGTATAGGACGCACTTTTTCCCCTCCAAAAATGAAGGGGAAATGTGTGTGCGTCCTATGGTGCGAATGCAGGCTTTCACTGAAGCCTGGAGAGCGGAGAGGGTCGGTGCGCACCGACCCCTCTCGCTCTCCAGGCTTCAGGAGAGCCCCAGCGCCAGCCCCACAAGGTCGGGGGACAGAGGGAGGCGGAACGCCGCCATCCCGCTGTCTCCCGAAGTGGTTTGGAGGCTGATGGCGGGAGACCCCGCCGCCGGCCCCGCAAGCTCCGGGGACAGCTGGGGGGCGCAGCGCGGCTTCCTGCTGTCCCGGACCTGATCTGAAGGCGGGTGGCGGGGAGAAGAGCGCTTCTCCCCGCTGCCTGCCCCGCAAGCTCCGGGGGCCGCTGGGAGGCGCAGCGCGTCTCCCCGCTGTCCCCGGACCTGATCTCAAGGCGGGCGGCAGGGAGAAGAGCGCTTCTCCCCGCTGCCTTCCCCGCAAGCTCCGGGGACAGCTGGGAGGTGCAGCGCGTCTCCCCGCTGTCCCCCGACCTGATCTGAAGACGGGCGGCGGGAGAAGAGCGCTTCTCCCGCTGCCGGCCCCATAGCGCCCGGGGGGGGGGAAATAATTTTTTTTTCTTTATTTCCCCCCAAAAAAACTTGATGCGTCCTATGGGCCGGTGCATCCTATGGTGCGAAAAATACGGTAATAGCCAGGATCAATTCACTGCTCCATAGGTTTATTCAGGTAGAGGTCTATTTGGCATTAGTGTTTTGGAATAATTTAATATAGCGAAACATCACAGCTCTTGTAATTAATTGATACAGTGGTACCTCAGGTTAAGTACTTAATTCGTTCCGGAGGTCTGTACTTGACCTGAAACTGTTCTTAACCTGAAGCACCACTTTAGCTAATGGGGCCTCCCGCCGCCGGAGCACGATTTCTGTTCTCAACATGAAGCAAAGTTCTTAACCTGAAGCACTATTTCTGGGTTAGCGGAGTCTGTAACCTGAAGCGTATGTAACCTGAAGCGTATGTAACCCGAGGTACCACTGTAGTAGGTTGCAATTACTGACTATTGGAAACTGTAGTCTTGTGACAAGATCAGGAAATTTTTGTAATATCCAAATGAATATATGTGTGCCTATGTTACCAGATTCATTAAAATGAAGTACTCTTTTAATCCACTCAGCAGGAAGTCTATGTAAAAGGATATACCAAGAAGATTCTAGCCAGGGAGAAACTATCAGAATCCTTATTCTGTATAACATCCACTAATGTGTTCAGCCTGTAACTGTCCAACCATGTTCTTTGACATAGGTTGCTTCCAGACAACTTGTTTAGTAAGCATTCATCCTGATTTGTTTGAAAAGACGTTAGATGATATTTGCTATTTAATGAGTAAGCATCCTAATTTGTCTCAGGGACAAACTCCATTGCATCAAAGCAAGTCTTATCACACACTTTCCAATGAAGTTCCACATCTCTTTCCTTATTATAAAAAGTCCAGTCTTCTGTGGAAGTGGATGCAGGAGCTCCAAGTCAAGTTAACTGCACAACCTGAATCTGCCAGTATGTGACAAAATCCCATCCGAAAACAGCAACAGACTGGAATCACTATTATCTATTATGCAATTCTGCATTATCTTTTTAATTGTAAACCATATTGAGGATTTTTTTACAAGCTTATGTTATATGAATATGAAAATGAAATGAAAAATGACATTTTGAAACAGAATGACACCCCATTGGTTATTAAACACCCATAGCAGTAAATGCAGAAACAGTTGTAATTGGATAGAAAAATAAATTTCAATCAGTAACAGTAAAACAGAAGTTTTATTAGAAACAACCAAAATTCACAAAGTAGTTTGTGAGTTTTTGAATTCCACAGAACACTGCTTCCACTAGGAAGGGAAGGGAAGGGGAAAATAAATATTTCTTTAGAGAGCCATAAAAGTAATCTACATTGGGCAAGTAATCCACACTGTTTTTGGCAACAACATTCCAAGCTACACAATGTTGAGGTAGACTTAAAAATTTCATTTCCTATCCTCTTTCCCTTTTAAAGTAAATCTCTTTCCAATAAGGAATGAAAATTGCTATTCTTTCCATAAAATAAGTCACCACCATGTTGAAAATGAACAGTTGGTTACATTAAATGAGGTGGTATAGTTAATTCCTGGTGTGGAAAGAAATTATTTCAAACATTTGAAATACTGTGGTTTTCTTTATCCGACAAAGCTTTGAGAGTCTACACTGGCTCATCTAGAAGAAAACTAGCAAATGAACAGGATTAAGATCTGCACACAAAACACCTCTAACTTCAAATTGACAGGCACCAAAGATTTCAAGCAGGAAGCTCACTTGAATGTAAAATGTAAAATGCTTACTTTGCACTAACATGATTTCATCCAATCATTCCTTCTGTACAAATGTAACTTTCCACTTGAAAACACTATAAACATAGTTCCAGAGTACCGTTTTACAAGCAGAAAGAACTATAATGGAGCTTCAATAATTTACTCTCTCTAAAACTTAGCTACCACAGATTTGTGCATTTTGATTTTCACTGGCAAAGTTTTGAATTAAGACTGCACTTGGCTGTTCCACCACATGTTTCTTGAGAGGAGACCTGGAGAGAGAATATACGCCCATTTCCCAGAAAGCAAAGCCACCATTCCCTACCTTGTAATGTGGGCAGTTTTAATGTTTCACCAATGTGAATATATATCGACCTTAAGGGCCCTCCCATGGTGGCATTAGAGAACATCTGATGAGGTCCCTGCACCAAATTCTGTCTTATGGTGATGTTGGGCAAATACTCGGTGACACAACTAGGAAATGGGTTAATCTACCCATCTGCCCTGATGATATCAGGGTTTGCTGCCTCTCAGCTCATGTTGAAACTTGTGTACTTTGTCCCACTGAACTTAATAGATGACCCTGAGACTCGAGCCAGCCTCTACCTGCAAAATTCTGCACTGGATTCTGATTCTGAGTCATGCCTGATTGTGATGTGATGAAATAAATCAAGTATCATTATTTCTTCTGTATAACTATGTATCTACATATAAATCTAAAAGCCAGCTTCCGACATTCACCTACTCCCAAAACAATCATATACTGTATAAACCGAATTCTAATAATCTGACAAAGTGTACAGTGAATACATCTGCAAACCGTCCACAAGATCTTTCTACATCTAAAGGTCTGTTAAACTGTTAACTACATCTTTCTTGCATGATTTGGTAAACGCTTCTGGCAATGGCATGAATTGTATCTGGCAAGAAGAAAAGACATATTCCAAATGGTAATTGCGAATCCAGAAGAAGTGCCAAGATGTGCAACTTACATAGGTCATCAGGAAACTGTGCATGCTACTGAACACCAGTCTGCCAAACAATTTCAACAGTCACCATTGTAGCAAAACATTGTTCATTTTTATTTTCAAAAACTTTATTTATAAAAGTAGAAAATGAGGTAGAAAACAAAACAAATGGAACAAAACTAAGTGCATGAAAAACAAAACACAGTTCTTGATGCAGATGTACTATTTTTACAATCATGATAAACACAGCTTAACTTTTTTATCACTCTGTGGCACCAATGTTCATGGTTGTTGAAGAAAACAAAACAATGGAGAAGCAGTAGGGGCTAAAAGGCACAGAAAACAGAGTCTGGACAAGAGGCTTGTGGGGACCCAGATAAGCTTTTATAAAGGTTTGTTTTAAGCATTCATGACTAAAAAAAATATATATGGAAAACATGGTTGCAAAACCAGATAAAAACATTTAGTTTTCTGAAACACTCCAGTTAAGTCCAAATGGACTTCATCTAGCCCATGGTATGCACAGTTCTCCTGTCCTCAGGGACCCCATAATAGAGCCCTGTTTTCCCAATCCCCATTTGGTGGGCGCACTTTTGACAGTTGCCACCAAGCTGCTACAACTTGTGTGTATGGTCCAAATGCCTACTCATGGCACTCCAAGAGGAAGCCCATTACATTAAAGAAGCCTATTACATTAAGCCCATTACATTTTTTAAAAAAACATGCTTTGGGGTAACAATTTCAAAGGTTCCCCCCCCCAAAGGAAGAGATTTAAAAACAGTAACTGTGGTGCTCTCAACCCCCTTCCCAGTTCCAGTCCTTGGACACACACAGAAGAAGAGATGGTGCTCAGACTTTCATGTTAGGCCTGGCTTTACAGACACTTGGAAGTAGAAGCAAGGTGCTTCCAAGGTGCTTTACAGCACATTGTGGCCCAAATCATTTGACACATTCTAAAAGATTCAAGGGGAGGTTATGGTTCTATCTGCACTTTGTCTCAGCTTTGGTGTGGTCAGAAGCAGTAAGAATATCTCTCACCACTTCTAACAACCCTCAAAACCCAACGTGATCTAAAAGAATAATTCCACTCTTCAGAAAAAGTGGCAGGGCCATTCACTCACATTGCACCAGGCTTCACAGTCACTTCAACACAGTAAGTATTATTCCATGTCTGGCCATAAATTACAGCACAAAACTGAGGTTATTTTGTTAGCTGCTGAGGGCAACAACTCCTAAATTAGGTACTTACTTGGTTTCTGATTTAAATGCAAAATTAAAACATTACTGCTGAATATAAAATAGGATATATGTATTTCCAAGTGATGAACACTAATAATACCATGCACTACAACTCTTCTGCATTTCCCCTGGTTTATACATTAACATTAAACCATGGCTAATGATAAATGTAGTTAACATTAACCATGGTTAACAAGCCATAGTTAAATCTGAGGCATCTGGCAGATGATAATTAAACCTTTGTTTATTACATCATAGAATAGTTAGAACTACTTGCAAGAGCAGCAGAACTTTGTGGGTGGTTTGAATTTTCTACCGATCTTCATTTGCACCTCTATATTTTTGGGTAGTGATGGCTTCTTAACCATAGTCTAGATTCAAAGGTAACACTAAGATATGGTCAACATTAACAAAGATATATAAACCAACTACAAACCTTGGTTACTGAGCAACCTTTAACCATAGTTAAACTCCTGGGCCGGATTCACACATAACATTAAGCCATGGTTTAATTAATGTCATATGCAAACCAGGCGACTGAATGTGAGGAAAGTGTGCAAGGAAGCTTTCTGCTGACAATGATTATGCTTCGCAATCTGAACAAAATACTACCTTGCTCACAACTCCTAGTCTATCACAATGAAATGTTGGCTCCTTAAACTTTGAGAAAGAACAGTATCACAATCAATATGAAAGTCTTTTTGCACAAAATGGAAAATGACACAAGCCAGCAAAAGTGACCATCAGGCTTCTAACTCTATTTTCCATCCACATTGGACTTCATTGGACATTACATGAACAAACCTTGCAATTTGTATATTCCAGCCATCCTTCCTACCCTTCCGTTTTTCTCTCTCTGTTAGCCATTGTTTGCTATTACAACCAAACTCGTCAAACTATGAGTTGTGCAAACCAAAGTTTGCCTAGATCACCTTTAATGGCAAACCATGGAACTGAGCTCATAATGCTTCAAACTATCACTTGGAGACACAACAACATTATGTCTATATAAATGCTTAGCCTGTGGTGTGGTTTGAAAGGCTTAATAATGTAGCCACGTAAACATGCACTACTCCCAAGCTTTATAGCAGTACCTTCGGCTTGAATTCAGAAACAGAATATCTACCCAATATATACAAGGTATTCTGAGATAATGATGATACACCAACAGAAATGCAGGGAAATAATCTTCTTTGCAAAATGCATCAGGACAAGGGAAACTACTTATCAGTTTTCTGCACCCTACCTGTACCCACGGCTGCTGCCAGTTGCTGAAGCTATCTACCCCCATATGAAAAAGTAATTAGTGTGCAACTGAAAGTTGTGCAAGTGTGTATATAACTTAACAGTAATGACAGGGAGTGCTATTCAATGATGTTTTACTCAGAGAAGACCTAATGGGCTACCAATTTCAAGTGGGTCTACTCTGAGTAAAATTTAGTTGAACACCACCCAAGTTAAGAAACTTTCAACAATTTAAAGGCTTGGTTTAATATAAGTTTTTCCAATCCTTTCATGAACCCCAAGCTTCAACTATCAAAGTAGAAATAGTAGCAATTTTATTTGTTTAGCTATAAACCACAGCAAGGATAACAAACACTCAAAGATGAGCCACAAATATGACTCTTCAATTTCCTAGCAGCTAGCACAAATACAGACAGACACAAGGTAACGCAATTTAAACTTTCTCTAACAGCAAAAAGCACACAAACTCACTTGGTGTAACAAAATTATTTCTGTGAGTAAACTCACAGCAAGTATTCTTCATCAGGATCTTATATAGAGGGCACTGAGTAATATGGTGAACAACGTCCTCAATGCTGTTTTACACCTCGCACAGAAATGCTGTTCCAAGGAGAATTTCTTATAGCTGCCATCCAAAAAGGCAGAGTGTAAAACACCAAGTCTTAATTCCGTAAAAGCAATTTTATGGGGAGCCAGAGTAATTAACTCCAAATAGGTAGCTTTTGCATGGTCTACTTTGAAACATGGATACAGTCTAAAAAATCTCAAAGAATGGATAGTTAACACATCAGTCAAAGAAGCTCTCTCATATGCAAGGAAATTCAACAAAGATTGATATATGTCACTGGATTGTAGGTGTAAAGCAGAATTTAAGGGGGTGAGCCATAAACTATAGAAACCAAGTGTGAAGATGGCATAGTTAGCATTCTCTTCTGAAAATTTAAGAGCTGAACTTGCTTTTTTACCTGACCAGAAGGCCAACCCACTTCTGCATGGATATACGCAATAGGAATACCAGCAGGGAGGGCCAATACTTTCTTTAAAAATGAATTTTGAACATTCTGCAACTCCTGGACTAACAGTCAGTTGAGACCCCAAAGTTCTAAATCGTGTAACACGCAGAAAACAATCTCAGTCAAGAAAAATTTAGGGAATAATAATAATAATAAGCCACCCATCTGACTGGGTTTCCCCAGCCACTCTGGGTGGCTTCCAACAAATTAAAACACAATACAACATCAAATATTAAAAACTTCCCTAGCTCAGGGTTGGAGTGCTATCGAAATATATTTCTTCAATTTATAATTGCCTATTTTGCACATGGTTATACATGGTCATTTCTGATAAAACACCTGTGAAAAGTTACAGTCAACATTTTAAAATACATCATTTCCAGGGGAAAATCTGAAGTTACAAACAAAGGCCAAATGTCTGAAAAATGGATGATATACTGAGTGTACGCTGGAAGTTTGGGGTGTATGGGGTGTTAGGGGAGGGGTAGTACCCCTGGCGGGAGACAAGTCATATTCCTTCTGTGGTAGTTTGCCCACCTTTGGTCCCCACTCTGCACTCAGCTCTCAGCTCTGGCTCCTAAAAACTGTCAGCATGTGACAGCAGCCACACCCTGGAAATGGCCTTGAATAGCTGCCTGAACCAGGTGAGGGTACCTGATGGGTCTCCTAAGGGTTGGAGGGCTTAAAGAGGAAGCTTGGGATATGGCTCAGAAGCTACACTGCAAAGGAGGAACTGGAGAAAAATCAGCCACAAGTAGGCTCAGAACTATAGGCTGAAGCATACATATTATATACACCACCATGTCAGAAAGAAAATTGACAGTCACCTTTGTGAAGAGCCCTAAGTAATTTTTTAGAGGAGATAAGCTATAGAGAATGTTCAACTATTATTCTATCTCAAACACAAGGTTAACATTCCAAATCTCACCAATTCCAATTTCCTAATGCTTTCCCAGCAAAAATACTAAATTGTGGGTTTTAAAAGGGCCAATTTAAAAATGCAGATGTGGGCTTTTCCACAGAAACTGGCAAAAATAAAACTATAGCTTCAAGACAAAATTTTCTATAGTAAAAAGGAGAACAACTACAGACTTTTAAGAGTATCTGTGCTGGAGCAAAGAAAAGGTCCACTTAGCCCCAACATCCTGTTTGCCTACAGTGGCCAATCACATGCCACTAGAAAGCCCACAAGAAGGATTTGAAAACAGTAACCATATCCGCCTGCTGCTCCCCCTGCAAGTGGTACGAAGATACACACTGCCTCTACAGCTCAATAGATTTATCAGTATTGACAGACTGATCCTAATCACTGGATCCATATCATGCATAATTTTATAACCTCTGCCGTGTCTCATTCCCCTTTAACCAGCTTTTGAACTAAAATGCCCCAATGTTGTTGCTTTTCCTTACAATTATCCAAGGCTAACTCAGCCAGTCATCCCAATGTTGCACTCTGATGAAAGATGCTAGTGTTTTTCCTCAGAGCGGAGTGGGGGCACTAAGACAGCTGAACCCCTCCACAATTTTTTCCCATACTCTAACAGATCTCAAAGATTGCCATTCTTTAGAATGCTGAAGGAGGAGCACTGCAGCGCACCATATATACAAACCAACTGTAACAACCCCTGCTTTAAAGAAAAAGAATCCTGTCTTAGGCCATGATCACCCACAACCAAGTGAGAATTTTTACTTAGATATACCAGATCAAAGCCCAACCCTTTAGTTTCCATTATGTTTTTGACTTATAAAAAAACCACCCGTGGCCAGGCTAGAGCTGAAGAAGAAACTGGCAGCATCTGCCATAGAGCAAGAGAAGGCATGGGCCTGAGATTTCAAGAATGCAAATGAAGAACAGGAAGTTAATAAAAAATACAGAGCACACTGCTAGACTAGATGAGAACCCACTCATCAAATATGGTTCTAGGCCAGGCATCCCCAACCTTCGGCCCTCTAGATGTTTTGGACTACAATTCCCATCATCCCTGACCACTGGTCCTGCTAGCTAGGGATCATGGGAGTTGCAGGCCAAAACATCTGGAGGGCCGCAGGTTGGGGATGGAAGTCCACTCACATGGAAGGAAGTCCAATTGAACTTACAAGTGCACATGCACATATTGTGGATATCCAAAGAAAGCAAAGCTTTGTCTGAATAACAGCAAAAGAGCTATGGGAAAGAACTTCTTCTTCTTTGGTGATCACTAGAAATACAACAAAATGTTTAGAATTTACTAAAATGGTATAAATTTATGTAGCCTTAGTATCATTAAACTAAGGCAGTAGCCCTAAACAGTACTGCATACATTCACCTCTCCCTTAACCCCACTAGATCTGCCTGTGTGCATTACAGACAAGATTGCAATTTCACAGATTAAACAAACTAAATTCAAAGGAAGCATCACTGATTCTATTTTAACTGATCTGCATAAGAAAAAGGCATGTTCCTTTATAGATATATGAATCTGGAAATGTTAAATACACATTTCAATCTGGAAATGTTAAATACATATTAGCAGTTAATGTAGAAGTTAGAACTTGAATGTTGTCTTTTATCGCTGACTTTTTTAAAAGGATGCCATGCCCTGCAGCTCCAAAACAGAAGTTTTACTCTCAACTACTAAGCACAACAACAGACGTACTGTTCTGAAGCATTTATTTCCTTGCAGTAAAAGCTGACTGAATTCCACACATGCTCTTAACAGGATTGAGTAAGTTTTAAATTGCTTATCACTAAAGAAAGTGAAATTTAATCTGCATGCATGCTCAGAATAGTATGGGTACAATTTTCCATATTCCCATAAAAAATGACCATGCACAGCCATTTTATAGAAGGGCCATGTTTATCACAAAGTGACTTTCCTTGTATCTGACTTAATTATTTCTAGAACTGTTAAAACACTGTGTCCTGCAAGAAAAACATCCCCTGCCCATACCCCATTCAGATTTTCTGGTGGGAAACTTTATACAGGTACAGCAACAAAACATTCTCTAGAAATCATTTCATCAGTTGTTGGGGACATAGTCACTGAAAACTGAATTTTAATGGAATTGTACCTTGCATTTCATATTTTTCAAAAATAATAATATATTTAGTTGCCTAGGTTTATTTTTCTGCCATAAAATATATTAAATATGGATTAACTTGATTTTTCAAGATCTTCGCTGACTTTGCTTTTTTTTTACAACAAATTTACTGAAGTAATTATTATATATAACATAGATAGTGCCAATGAAGTAATAAAAGTTTCAAAGAAAGTTTATGCTTTGCTGAAAGAAACAAATTTCACTTTGGCTATTTAAATATTTGTACTTTGAGTACAACTGAAAATAACAAACTTTGAATCAATATGTATTTCTTTCTTGTAAAAAAGAAAAAGGAACTACTACGACAACGACGACAGTGATTGAATGTTAAATGCTGCTGAAACATTCAAAGGAGTTGGATTGCTCAGCCATGAATTCGTAGCCGAGTTCAGAAACTCTACTTTATTTGGAATGCAGACTCTTTCCATTATTCTTAACCACAATGCTTGATGGCAGATGGTACCCTATGTATTCAGTTATTTAGGCTTCTGCCTTAAAAATACTCTCTCTTTACCGAAGTTTCACTTCACTATCACAAAATGGAAACTGGACTTTTAAAAATGTAAGTCATACTCAGAGTAGATCTATAGAAATCAATCAACTTTAAGCATCTCACAACTAACTTAATCCGTTCATACGAATGGGTCTTTTCTAAATATGACTGGGGCTGCAACCCTCTTCCTGGGGGTTACCCCCATTGAATTCAACAGGAGTTATGTCTGAGTATACATGGTTACTGTTGCATTGTCAATTAGATGCAATTTACCCTTTTCCACTGACAAATATTTAATAAAGTAGGCTTAAATATCCCAGCAATGATTTTCCAGGCCAAAAACCACTTATGGGAGATGGGAGGCCTCCCAATTTCTAGGACAATTTTCTGATCCACACCTATCACCAAAGTAGTATTGCAGTGAAATTCCTTGCAAGGTGCTCTCTATTAACCCTAACAATAAATTAATCTTATGGATCAGCTAGAACTAGATATGACAAATAGAAATCTCTCCACTTAAAGTGGCTCTTGCTGATGAATATGAAGGGGAAACAGAATATTCTCAACACAAAAGAGTAACAGAGTAAACACTACATTCTACTTCTGAAATATCTGCATAACTGGATATCTTTCCTCTAACTAATATTAAAGTTAGGATGGGTTACACTACACTTTTCCAACAAAATGTGGTCTGGACAGGTACAACTTCTTTATGTGTGTCATTTTTGTATGTAGGGTTCATTCCCATATAGGGAAATGCTATGTATGAAACAGCGGCTAGATCATCTCTATGTAGAGAAAAGGCACATATGAAGAACTTGTACCTCTCCAGCGTACAGTTTATGGCAGAAGTGTAGTTTATTTATGTGAAAAAAATCGATCCCTCCTCTAGTTCCAAAGAGACCCTAAATAACAACAAACAAAATACTTAAACCCCCAACATACATTCAAGTTATTAACAGCATAGCACATTAACAACAGCATGTGGGGAAAACACCACATGTAAAGCATGCACATATACAAAGAAACAATGAATGTCCAAGAACCAACATAGTGCCATGTCACTTGTGGGCTGTTTTTTTCTTTTTAATTTTTTAAAGATAAAGAGCTATAACAACTATCTATAATAACATCATAAAACACCCCAGTAAAAATGGTAATTTACCCCCACCCCCAAGAACTACAGCTTCTTTATAAAAGAGCATGCTGATAGCTTTCATTATGACAAAGACACATTTGAAAGCATGATAGCTAAGATGCTAAAAGAAAAAGGGAAAAGAAGGTATACAAAAGGACAAAATAAATCACTTTTTTAAACTATTATATCTGTAAGATTTTTGAAAAACAATTAACAGTATATTTCAAAAACTAAATGTAATTCAGCTACAGTGCAGTACTGACCAAGATCAGAAAGTGATACAATGACATTATATACAGAGATCAAATTCTCCAGAAAGCCACAGATTCTGACTTGAAAACTCATCCTAAAATGTAAAGACTGGCTGCAAGAATACAATACCAAGAAAAACATGCTATGTACGTCCTCAAAGGTATTGTTTATACTGTTTCACATGTTCTAGGTATATAGGTAAAACTTGGAAGTGCTTCTGCAGGTCCACATACTCACTCAAACTAAGGCCTGAAATTAGCTTATGACAGATTTCTGGTGTGCCCCTCAGAGCACAGTAAGGGGCATACTTCTTTGCTAGCCCTATTCAAAACTTATGACTGCTAAGAACTGAAACGTTTGCCCCTTCCAGTGTCAATACTCAACTACTTAACTCATTCAGCAATATTAGTGAATAAAGAATAGCAAAATTTACACTGAGCAAATTAGGCTGAACCACGTACATTAAATGATGTCAATTTAAACTTTTCATCATATCATCATTGAAGAAAGATATGAAATGCAGCTGAGGCAACAATTAATTTTTTATAGATTCAGGATAGCAGTACTACATTTCCATTCAAAAGGTAAGATGCTGTGCCTTTTTGATAAGTATTAGTTAAATGAAAATTGACAGCAACTAATTAAAATGATTTCTGACTTTTCAGCAACTGACTAATGGAAGCTGCTATGGTTTCTATGAAAATTCAAAATATTGTTATTGAACTCTTAACAACTGCATTAAAATTATTACTTTGACAGCAATCCCAGCTGCCAAGTGCTGACAGGATTAGAACCAAAACAGCACCTATTAGAAAAAGTGGGAGCTATCAGAGTGCTCGGCGGAAGCCCAAGGTTTGTAGACACACAAACAATATTTAGGAAAAAATGCTAAGAGGTAAGACATGAGCATGCTCTGTGGCCACAGAATGCTGAGTATCAGGTGAAGGGGTATGGCAAAGTCAGAGAAGGGAAGATGGCTGTGGAAAAAGGGCTTAACTCTCTGAACTGGAGCACTCTACACTGCAACATTTTCAAGCAGATCTCACCTGTTGCTATTACTCAATACAGTATACATATTAAAGTATTATCCAGTGCTTTTGTGTTTCATATTTCTACCACCAAATGCCTAGAGCTCCAGCAGTTATTGCATGTCTACTCAACAAACATTCCACTAGTGGCACTAACTTTTTAAAGATTATAAATGTAGATGACACACATTATATTCTTAGTTAACACCCAATATTTGCATGCCATAGCCAATATGCACTAGACCAGGATCTAAACATTGCTTTACAGTGTGTACAGCCTCAAAGGGCTGGATTCACCACATCAGCCCCATCAGGGGAATCCCGGTGCAAGAATTTCTCCTTACACAACAGGGCTCCCTTTCCCCTCCAAGAAATGGCTCTTGGAGATTGGGAGAAATCCCAGAGCAGCACATAGGGGGGGTGTGGATCATTCCATCTAGCAAGCTGCAATGCTTGTGTAGACAGAACAATTTTAAGAGCACAACACTGAATTCTACTCGAAGAGTACAGCATTCACTACTGCTTCCTTCGTAAAATTCTGTCCCTTAGTAAAGTGACTTCCAAATACGTGCACAGTTTAGAAAAAAAAAACTAGTGTTCACTCTTTATCAATGGCAGTCCCAGTTTTACCCATCCTGTCTCAAACTCAAAAAGGGATATCTTAACTATGGTTCATCAAAAGTAACTGTTGAGAAGTTTACTTATATGGCTTTTAACAACTGCTGAACTCTTCCAAAAAATACACTTGATCTAGCAGCACGATAAAAGCAGTAAACCAGCTGTTCCAACAAACAGAAATTGCTTTTAGCTAACTAAAATTAACCCAAACAAAAGAAAATACTATCATCCAAAAATATAGGCACAAACCCAATATATATTTGCAGCAAAGCTTTTTACTCTTAATTACCACTGCCAAATTTGGTAAATACACAATGAAGGATTACATACAATGGAGCATCGCCTACCCAGACCTAATACCCTCCCCCCCGCCAATACCATAAACTCTTTTTTCGTTGTTCTGAGATTTAACAAGGTGAGGGAGAGTTGTCCAATGCTGCTGGCTGCAAACCTTTTTTAAAAACTAGTTAGTACATAGATTTAATGGGCTACTTCACATGTGACACAAGGATGGTTTAGCACTATGTGCAAGAGCTAATGTGAGTCACAGCAAAGCCTCAGGCTTGCTTACACACATACACACCTGCTCTCACATGGCAAGAAGAAACCTTGAAGTTTCACTTTCAAATAATCCTTGCTTGGTATTATATACAAACCAGAGGTTGTGGCTTAAAACAAACTGATTTAAAAACCTGCTATATATTTGACAGAGGAAGCACAACCTTCTGGGTTTCACAGGACCTCTCAATTCCTTTCAGTACCATGACTATGGTATCATTCTCTACTGTCAGGATGGAGCTTGGCCTGGGACACAATTTTCTGGTAGTCCCAGTCCTCATTGACAGTAGGTTCCAGGTGATGGTACAAGCTGGGGGAACTAATGCTCAGCCCCATTACTTCCAGTCTGTAAGATTCAGCAGAGTTCCATTCTGCCCTCTATAGTATTTAACATCTACATTAAACTGCTAGGAAGAGTTATTCAGGAATTTGGGGGCACTGTTGCTGTGATGACACCCAATTCTGTATCTCCTTTTTGTCCCAAGTCCAAGGAACCCGTGGAGGCTCTTAGCTGGTGTTTAGCAGTAAATGAATGCATATGATCTAATAAGTGGGATTGCTACTGGTCAATGGGAGAGCTGATCCAAGAATGCGAATATAACCTGGACAGGGCTTTGCTTCTCTTTAAAAAAAAATCAGTGCCAAAGTTATTTGGTCCTGGATGCCAATATAGCAATCATGGCCAACAATGCTTTTGCTCAGGTTAGGTTCCTGGGAAAAGATGGTCTGGCAAGGGTCATACGTGTCTTAGTGACATCCAGGTTGGATGACTGAAACACTCTACACGGGGCAGCCCTTGAACAGTGCTTGCAACCTTTAGTTTGTGCAGAATGCAACAGTAAGAATTTTTACTATGGAAAGTGCTAGAGACTATGTGACCACTATTAACTTCAGCTGTTTTGGCTGGTTCACTTAACATGACAATTTAAGATGCTGATCATTACCTCTAAAGTTCAGTGAATTAGAACCAGAAGTACATCTAGTGGGAACCTGGAAATGAGCCTTTCCACTGTTCAGTGGTGTTCAGACACTGGAATTCCCTGCTTGTATGCCCCCATCCTTGATGACTTTCCAGGGCTTAATAAATACTATTCTGTTTTGTAGAACTTTTAGGCTATGACTAAATACTGTCCAAATTAGTTGTTTGAATCTTTTAATTTTTGTACTGTATTTGCTTTTTAAATAATATATCAGTTTTAATTGAAATATTATTACACAACCTGAATGCTCTTTCAAAGTAATGGGAAATGTGGAATATAAATATTTTAATAAATAACTAACCCAAACTTTCTAGATCAAATCCAGATAGTGGAAGTCAATGGAAGGAACTGTTTGTTGCAAAAGAAAGGGGAAAACACATCAAGCATTAACTAAAAAAGACCTGCAAGTTCATGAAGGGAAAGTTTTCTATCACCTCTCCAAGGCCTCCTCAGTGGCTGGTCCAAGTACATGCCTTCATACATGGCAAGTAACTCCAATATTATATCCTCTGAAAGGGTTCTGGATTCTAGACTGAAGTACAAATCCCAGCTCATCCACAAACAGATTAGGTGGCCAAGCTCAAGGCTCCCCTCTTCATTTACATCTCACCACATATCACACACTGAGGTAGTGACATATATTTTTCAGTACAGGTCAACCAATATTTCATGTACTGTTGGTCACACTTTTGAACCCTTTTAGTAATTGTACCATCTGTTGTTGGTGAAGTTTGAAGAAACTCCCTAGATTTGCCCACACTGAAGCAACATAGAGTAGTAGTTCTAAAGTGAATAGCTTTCTTTTTAATTTGCAAAGTCTTGTCATTTTACATTTTTTTTTAAATAAAACTAATGTTCATTCCAAATCGACACTGAAACATAAAAGTTCCAGTCTTGTGCATACTTACTTGAGAGTTAATCCCATTAAAATAAGTGGGCCTTGCTTCTAAATAGAAATCCATAGGATTTGCTTATTAATTTAATTAAGGTTAACTAAGGTTCTCCCTCCCTGAGCAGCCAAATCTCCTCTTCCTTTTGTGCAGTTTCCCCCCTTTTCTGTTATCTTCTATGGATGTTTTTCTTTCCATCTCACACCAGTTTATCTGCCCTCTCCTTGTGTCCAGTTGCCTGAAATCTAATGTATAGAAAATAAATCTGAAGTTTCAGTACCATCAGAACCTTATATGGGCAGCAATTGTTTGCTGGTGTCCAAACCCACTTAATTTTGAGTAAGCTTCATTTAAATGAATGGACCCTACTTCTGACTACGTCTTCTAAGCAATGGAGTTACAGACCTGAGCAAACAGGATTGCTGGGTGTTCAGTGTGTAAACATGCATCATAGCATAACTCTAACAATGTCTAATCAGAAGGAAGTCCTACTTAGTTCAATGTGGCTTACTCCCAGGTAAATGGGATTAGGACTGGAATCCTGCTCCTGAATGAAAAAAATGATTTCACTGAAAAGCTGCAATAATCCTCTGAGACTCATAGCAATACTAAGCACACATCTACCTACACGTAAAACAACATTTATGGTTGAACTGAATGAAACTTACTCCCAATGAAGAACACAAAGGTTCAGGCATTAAAGTTGCCACAATCCTACCAGGAACATTTACCTGGTCTCATAACTGAATAATCGCACAACACCTCTGCACATACCGTACTTTAAGAAGTAAAGGAAAAAAGCTAAGTCCTATATGGCTAACCGAAAGAATCCTTACTCCTCCAGTAAACCTGGAATATGGCTGTACAGCTGCAGTAACAGAAGTCCTATTCACACCAGTAATCAGAGGAATAGGGGCAGAGGTATAAAAACCCCAAGGGGGCTGGACCAAGAGAGACACCACAACTCCACCTCTATTTAAGGCACGTTTGCACATTAAGTTCAACAGGGATTACCCCACCACGACCACTGCCCTTCTATTCCAAGTGAAGTGTGTACTGGAATTGTAGTCCTTACTCGTGAATAAACCCTCACCTTGTGAGGCTTACTCTGCAGATCTGAGAGGGCGCCTAGATCCGCTCCCCGCATTCCTGAGCCCCACCAGCTGCAAAAGTGACCCCATCCCCTCGTTTCCATGGAGAGGAGAGATGCCCCCTGACTTGTAGGCCTCCCGCCACAACCCGCTCCCCGTGACACAGTGGCACACGTGATCCAGGGAGACCACCGAGATCGGATGGATAGCCTCTTCCCAAGACCAGCAGCAGCGTGTTCCCGTCAGGGGGTTGGTGGGGAGGAGGCAGCAGCAGCCAGGCTGGGCTGGGCCAAAGGGGGAAGGAAACCCTCTCGCGTAAGAAAGGGGAATAAAAAAGTCGCAGCCTCCGGGCTCAGCTGGGGAGTTCGCGTGGTGGTGACAGCTTTGCCTGGGGGGGATCCTGACCCTGGGGCTGAACACACACCTCTGCCTGGCTCAGCACCTCACTGCCAGCAAAGGCACTCTCTGCAGAAGCGACCCCGCAGGGCTGTCAGCCCTCGGAAAAGGAGGCTGACTGGGGTTGTTCCCGCCTGTAACCTCAGGATTCTCCGGCCGCCTCTTCCCTCCGCCGGGGGGGGGGCGGGGGGGCTGAAAGAAGAAGGCCGGAGTGGGCCCGAGCAGGGGAGGGGGATGCCCAGTCCCTCTCAGGCCTCTGAGGGCCGAGCGTTTTGCAGGAAAAAGGAGCCAGTCGACGCCAGGCCCGCTCCGGCCGCGGAGTCCAGTCTTACCCTTCTTCGACACCGGCTCCGCCTCCGCCTCCCACAGCCGCCGCCACTACCGCCCGCGCCGCCGCCGCCTCCAACCGGCGAGGCGGACACCTCCGAGCCCCTCCTGAGCCGCCGCCGCCGCCTCCTCCTCCCGCCGCCACCGGGGGAGGGAGGAAGGGGGGTTCCGTGACTGGTGCTGCTGTGGCGGCGGGCAGAGGAAGGGAGGGCTCGGCTGGGCGGGTGGGTGGGTGTCTTGCAGGCGCCGCTCCCGACCTCGCTTGGAACGGTTCCGGCTTCCCAGTCGCTCCCGTCCCTCCCCCCTCGTCCACCTCCTTCTTCTCTCGCTGCGCGTCTCAGCCAGCCGAGTCCAAATCAAAATAGTGTCACACAATATGGCGGCCACTCCAGTTGGCAAGCATCGCGAGATCTTGCACCGAGTGCTAACGGGATAGCAGTGGGAGAGGAGGAGGAGCGAGATGCGAGATGCGAGGCGAAAAAAAGAAGGGAAGGGCAGGCGGGGGCGGGGAATCTCCTCTCGTTGCCTAGGCGACGGCTAGTAATGCTGAGCAGAGCAGAGGTCAGTTTGACAGAAGTGTGGCCTCTTGCAGCCATCGGCTTCAACTGCCCACTCTGTTCCTCACTAGGAGCAGCGCAAAAGTGCCAGAGCTGAGCGCCTCTTGCAAGAGAAATGAGGAGAAACGTGTTTTCCTCCCCCTTCACTGTTCTGTGAACTCTCATGGCTTTACCAGAAATCTTTCTCTGTCTTTTAATTTATCTGCTTTCCCCCAGTTCCTCCTCCTGGCCAAATTCGCATTTGCTCTTCAAGTAATTGAAATCTAGAGTGTAAGATGAAGGGTGTGGAGCTTGAATAACTTCAGCAGGGTGTGCTTCATAAAAACAAAATCAGCAAAAATAGAATCATACATCTGTAAAGTTGGAAGGGACCCCAGGGGTCATCTAGTCCAATCCCCTGCTGTGCAGGAATTTGAACTAAAGGATCCATGACAGATGGCCATCCACCTTCCTTTGGAGACCACTGTACTGCCAAACAGCTCTTACCAACAAAAAGTTCTTTGTGATGTTTAGTCGGCATCTCCTTTCTTGTAACTTGAACTCATAGTTCAGGTCCTAGCCTCCAGAGCAGGAGAAAACAAGCTTGCTCCCCCACATTTGAGAGCCCTTTAGATATTTGAAGATGGCTATGTCTCCTCTCAGTTTCTTCTTTTCCAGGCTAAACGTACCCAGTTTCCTCAACTGTTCCTCATAAAGCTTAGCTTCCAGACTCTTTATCTTCTTGGTCATCCGCCTCTGCACATATTCCAGCTTGTCAATATCTTGGTCATCCGCCTCTGCACATATTCCAGCTTGAATAGGAATTCACAAGTATGATAGAGCAAACCCATTGAGATAAGGAGGAAGCCATTTTCAGGTTCTTTCAAGTAACTTTTGCCAGCTTTAAATAAACATTTATTTTCAAGTATTTCTGAAATATTTAGTATTGGCACAAACTAAAATGAAGAGCAGAGAAGGACCATTGGTTTAAAAAATAATTATTATCATACATCATTTATATGTTGTCCAGTAATTAACCTGCCTTTTGAGTATAAGTCTCTGCGACACCTATCAAGACATACTCAAATCATATAAACAAATTTTTAAAAGCACAATAAATACTAATTATGAACAATAACAATCATTCTCTGCAATCTCAATGCACCATGTAAATTTTTACATTATTCTTATGGAGGTGAGGATAAAAATATGAAATCCAGAGCTCTGCTAAGAGAGAGATAGCACTCAGCCACTCTGAGTCATCTCCGGGTATCACAGATTGACTGCCAACTTGGTTGTGCACACACCATATCTGTAAAGCACATTCAAAGCTGATTATTTCCCTCCAATAATTCCGGACACTGTAGTTTACCCCTCAGAGTTATAATTTTCATAAGCCCTAAACAAACTTCTATGCCCAGAATTATTTGAGGAAAATAATGTGCTTTGGATGTGCTTTAAAGGTGTAGTGTGTAACAGCTGAAATCAGTTGGAAGAAAACCCAGAGCCTTCTGGTAACCTTGAGGATACACCTGCTATTAGCCTAAACCTCAACAGAGAACTGGCAAGGCAATCAATGTAAAATCCCTCATTTGCAGACTACCATCCTCCCACCCAATCAATAAAACCAAGTCTAACGTGCACTCTGCCACATGTATTGGGCCAATTACAACCTCATGGGACAGCCTCATGGTGGTGATGCTGATCACGACGTCCTGAGCTGCCCCCCAACCTGGTGTCCTTTGCATGGATATTGACATCTTCCACTGCTAAGAATGTGGGGCTCCTAAACACCATATCTAAGACCATATTGATCAGCTCAGATAGGGAGACTGCTGGGCAGCAGGGGATTGCCAGTACACCAGCAGAATCCTTTATCTGTCCCACTTAGCCAACACAATCTGCAAACACCCTAGACATGTACAGTACTTGTCTAGACAGGGAGACTGGAAAGAGAGACTGAATTCCTAACACACACCCTTCTGATTTCACTCTGATGCTGGCTTGGATTATGACATTAAAGGAACAGAGAAATCGTGGTCACTTTATTGCTATGAAAGATTTGCTCCTAGCTCTTTGAGTTGCACACTGTTAGTGACAGGAAAGAGTTTAAGCAGGAAATACAACTATTCCTGATAGCAGATGAACTGACTTGATAAGCCACATCTGCTAAGTACACAACGTTTGCTGAACATAGTTGCTTAAATTAGTTTACATGTTTGTGATTCCTTCGAGCCATCTTCCAAAGAAAGAATCAGCTATCTCCCAAATAAAGAATTGGTTACTAATACAACAATTTCAGACTTTGAGGAGAGCACTTTGAATGGAAATGTACCTATTTGGATCCCAATGTCAGGGGAAGGAGATTAATTTTTGGAGTGTTACTGTCAAAGTTGGAAGTCATGGCATTTGCACAGCAGCACCGCTATAAAAGTGGAAGGGATGATGGGATAACCTGCACCTATTGTGCAGAACAGGTGCACATGGCAATGCAATCAGCCCTGAAGACTAAAATGTTATTGCAGGGCTAGCAAGGGGTCATGTGTGGGAACGTCTGAGAAACAAACTATCACAACCTGAGTCCAAAGTACTACCCCAATACTGTGCTCCCATGGCAACTATTGCCTTGTGCCCCTCAAGTTTATTTTCAATACGAGAGGGACCTTGCAAAGTGCAGTTTGTGATGTGGCACAGCAGGCTGCTTCTGTTCAGAAAACAGAAGAAGTCTAAAATTGTACCCAGCTCTTTGGATCCTGGCCCATATTACCAGGGCAAAAGTGCAGAATTACAATGTCAGATATATATTTGGAGTACACTTTTTATACTTTTTCTAATATGATTATTTCATCTACCATATCTACTGCGTTTGAAGTAAAGTCTTTTGTTAAAAGTTTTGTGGCTATTGTTTAGCTGAGCCCAAATAGGAGGCAGGGCAAAACAAGACTTGCTAATACAGTATTTCATTCAAAATGGTTTTAGATTTAGAACTAGCCAGGCCATTTCCCCTCTAAAGTTTTGTTATTATTCTACAGTGGCCTTCAAGTGGAAACATATGCTTATTTAACTGTCATATCATATAGCATCAATTACAATTTTTTATGAAAGCGATTTTACTGGGCAAAACCTGCATTATGAGACTTTGAAAGTTATACTTGTTGCACCAAGTTTAACTTGCAGGATTAGACTTCTGTACCTTTGATTATAGTTGATTGGTGTAGAAATGTCAGCAACGCTGCAATTTCAGGGTCCTAAATCACATATTAATAGTGTAATACTAGAAACGTTTACTCAGAATTAAATCCCATTTAGTGGAATGGGAAGTTATTTCCAGTGTTATGGGTTTGCAGGGGGCAAGGATCCTTAAAATTCCTGGGTGCCAAGTTCTCGTCATAGTTTATGAAATTAGTAAATGTGGGGTTTGATCAATGGATTTAGCAAGGCCTTAAAAAGGCAGTTTCCTCAGAAGAGTGCCTTAGAGAGGTGCTATGAAAGTACAAAGGTGATGGCAGGGTCACCATCAGACAAGAAGTAGGGTGTGTGTGAGAGAGAAGTTCCTCCTGAGGCTGTGTGTTAGTTAGCAAAAGGCAACTGAAGATGTGAGGGGAAAGTTGCAAGCGTAACTGGGTGTGTGGTGTCACCACAGGAAAAATGTCTTTTGCAAGAGGCTTTTGAAACAGAGGTTGTCAAGGGGACACTGGGGATGATGTAATGGATGGAGGAGTTGTGTTTGGCAAGGGGTTCTGGGGGAAAGGAGCAGGAAGTGGAGGAGGAAGTCTCCATGAGGGGACTGAAGGGCGGCAGCCATATTGGCTGGCTGGAGCGGGCTGTTACAGAGGCACGGGGATGATGCTTAGGATGCATCTGAGTCCAGTGCTGTGCTGCTGGGAAGGACAAGCTGACTTGCTGTGAATGCCCTCTCCATCTGAACTCAGGTGTAAATATGCATAAATAAATAGTATTTAGAAGACACTGCAGACACCCTGGGTGAACACCTGGAATCCCTGGAATCATGCTACCACTCAGCAGAGATTGTGGGTGGCGTGGAACTCTAGTTATGTAAGTACTTGGTATAAGGCTGCATATACACAAAGCCATTTGCAGCACAAAAATTAAGTTTTCCTCAATCCCAAATTGTTGATGATCGTCCTGAACATGGTGCTTCAATCTAGATCCATCTGCCATCCACACAGGTGGCTATGCTTACTTGAAAGCTTTTCTCTTGAGTAGGTTATCCATGCCATTCCCCCCCTGCACATGCCCCAGGTGAATGAAGAAATAATAATAATAATTTATTTATACTCCCGCCCATCTGGCTGAGTTTTCCCAGCCACTCTGGGTGGCTTCCAATCAAGTGTTAAAAACAATACAGCATTAAATATTAAAAACTTCACTAAACTGGGAAAGAAAGAAGTAGTGATGGCGATATTAGTGTATATACCCACCCAGAACGTAATAGGGCAGCTGTGGACACTCCCCAACCCTATTGCCACGGCTGCCTACATCTGTTTTAACCTGTTTTCAAGTGGACATACTGCAGGGTAATGCAGAATCAATCTGCAGTAAATTTCTATTCTTTAAATGAAACTGGTTTCTCAAGTACTTTTCAGTGGCAAAAAATATGCAGTAGAACTAGATTGTGCATAGAATAAAATGCTGTGTGTATGCAACCTAAGTCACTTTCCTTCTTATTAGAGATTTCAGTTTACAAAACATCATATAAACACAAGCTAAGTTCATATGTATTTATTGTACCCCAACCAGCATGAGCATGTTGTTTAGTCGTTCAGTCGTGTCCGACTCTTTGTGACCCCATGGACCAGAGCACGCCAGGCACTTCTGTCTTCCACTGCCTCCCACAGTTTGGTCAAACTCATGCTGGTAGCTTCGAGAACACTATCCAACCATCTCGTCTTCTGTTGTCCCCTTCTCCTTGTGCCCTCCATCTTTCCCAACATCAGGGTCTTTTCTAGGGAGTCTTCTCTTCTCATGAGGTGGCCAAAGTATTGGAGCCTCAGCTTCACGATCTGTCCTTCCAGTGAGCACTCAGGGCTGATTTCCTTAAGAATGGATAGGTTTGATCTTCCTGCAGTCCATGGGACTCCAGCAACATAATTCAAAAGCATCAATTCTTCGGCGACCAGCCTTCTTTATGGTCCAGCTCTCATTTCCATACATCACTACTGGGAAAACCATAGCTTTTACTATACGGACCTTTGTTGGCAAGGTGATGTTTCTCCTTTTTAAGATGCTGTCTAGGTTTGTCATTGGTTTTCTCCCATAAAGCAGGTGCCTTTTAATTTCGTGGCTGCTGTCACCATGAGCATATATTGTTCAAAAAAATTTTTTTAATTGATTTTTTATGCACAGGTTCAAAATCTTTTGATAGTTAAAATCTGTGAGACATTGCAAAAACTGCCAAATCTTTTGAAACAATTTATAAAGGCCCATCCATCAGATAGCACTGTTTGTGTGCCTGGCTGTTGTTAACCTGTAGGTGTGGTAGTGTATCTTCCAGTAACATGTACATCTGCAAATAGGAAAGGATGAAAGTTCTGTGGAACTGGGGTAAGGCAGACCTGTGGGGAGAAAAAAGAACAGATCAGACAGAAAGTACTTTTCCAACTAATCAGTATTCTACTAGTATTTGGGTCCCCCCCCCCGCAGTGTGCTGTTTCAGCAACGGTTAGGAAACATATTGAACAAATATTCGGAACAGCACAAATAAAATACAAACTTACTGGCACAGAACTAAGTTTACAGCTTTATGTCTAGAAAGAGCAATGGAATAATTTAGAGCAATTTTGGACACTATCAAGTGACACATTATTTTTAGATTTTAATACTGTGGGTTTTGACCCAAATGCAGTAAAATATATTCTCTAAACTTGGATGTACCATGCAAAGTGCCATCAGGACCAGACACTATAAACTAGGATTGGCGTATAATTTCAGGGAGAAGAGATTGTAATGGAGACGGTATTGTTGCCTTCTTTTATGAGGAGAATGAAGTGTTATAAATGCTGAAGATCCTTTCAACTAGAACTGAACATACTTCAAAAATATTCCCAACTTCTTGATATGCCATAATCAATATAAGAATTCTTTATTGGCAAAAAGAATGTTTCCCCTGCACGTTATCTATTTATCCCAATATTAGATCCATACCTGCTTTTAAATCAGATGATTAATGTAATGTGCAGCTAGCAATTGCAGATTTAATGATCGCATTTCCCACATGTTATGAATGATGCCACCTCTTTTCAGCAAGGAGTTGTTTTGTTACGTTATCAGTGTGACATCTGCATGACATCTGTTTCATTTTGGTACCGGAGGCTCCTGCTATCTACTCAAATACTCAGCAAGAGAAAGTTCTATGAATAAATCCCAAACTCCCTTCTGCCTACCCTAGAATTAGCCCGATTTAAAATGCAAATTAAGAAAACTAAGAGAAGCAACCCCTGTTAATCTAGCATATGCTATTGCCCAGTGTGGGATCTTTGAGGATGAGAAAGTGCAATTTTTCAAAACCACTCAATGAGTCAATTGCCAGGGGTTCCTAACTGAGCATGAAAACTTGTAATTCCATTAAGATGGGGAAAACAGTAGGTCTGGCTGGATCACTAGGATGTCTGTGAGGGAAGAAGACGGAACGGGGAAAGTCAATGACTCCCAGCAACAAATCTTCTGCTGCATAGTCTACATACACATTAGTGGCTTAAAATGCAGCATGGCCATTTCCCCCCACTGTGTTTCATGTGGCATTTGCACACTATTCTACACACACACCAGAGAGGGGTAGGGGATGCCTTCACCCAATGCACATTAACTGTTTGGTTTTCATGCACCTATACCTCCCTCCTAATCATTAAGCGGTTATCTGTGCCTGGCACTGTCATTCATATACAGTATGTGCAAAGGCTGTCTCAAACGTACACACCTCAGCTAAAATGCATCGTGAATGTGGCTGAAGTTTTACTTCCTGATTGAAGTTGATTTGAGAGAAAACGTTTCAAGCAGCGATATTTCTCAAGAAACTACAGGATAGTTCTGCATTGTGGGCAACGTTGGGCGTACATGGATTCAAAAAGCCAGAGGTGGGAGTGCATTGGGGCCAGAGTAAATGGTAATGTGTACAGAGCCATTTCCCTGTGTGGAGTGGAAAGGCTTGAAAGCCAATTTAGCTGGGAAGAGAGATGCCCAGTTCTGTGTTGGTTCAATGAAGAAATATTGAAAGGAGAATTCCCAGATGCTAAGAGGCAAGTTTGGGGCACAAATTCTTTGGCGAGAGAACCCTAGCAGAAATTTAAAATCACGAAATAGGCAGCAAATACAGTCTGTTAGACCTTTAAAATATGCCCTTTACAGTGAATTCCAAAGTTTCTCTCTTACCCAGCATAGAAAAAGACCACACATTTGGTAAATAAAAAAATAATTTACTTACAAACTCTTCAAAGGTCAGGTTCATGCGCTTCAGAAAGTTGCACAGGCAGTAAAACTTAGCTTAATTACAAAATGTTGAAAGTTCCTAAATTATTGGTATAGGAATTCAAGAGTGACCTATGCTAAGCCTCTCAGGACAGCTTATTCTGTGGTATTATCCCCTTCATGCATTCATTAGACTTAACCATGCTGGTTATATGAGACTTGTTATCCCACATTCTGAAGGTCAAGCCACATCCTAGTCTTCCCACTCCAACTCAGGTCAAGTCCACATGCTACCTGGGCTGTTTCAAAACAGTCTAACAAACTCAGATACCACCACTTATTTGGACCTTGCCCTTCACAGTTCTGTTAGTGCTCATGGATGCCCTGAACACCTAAAATATTTTTCACAGGGAGAGAGACAGAAAGAAAGAAAGAAAGAAAGAAAGAAAGAAAGAAAGAAAGGGATTCTCTCTCTCTCTCTCTCTCTCTCTCTCTCTCACACACACACACACACAGAGAGAGAGAGAGAGAGAGAGAGAGAGAACCAACCAGCTACTGAACTGTTGAGGGTGGGGGAAAAACAACTTTTATTTCAGAAATCTAACCTGACCCCATCCAATGTTCATAGGAGAAGAAAGAACACTCAGCTTCAGCTGCCGGTTGCCCTGGGACTTGAGAACAGAAGAGAAGCACCCTGTGGCTTCTGCCATCAGCCAGGTGACTGGGTTGTTTGTGTTTAGGGTTTGTGCATATGGATCTGTGTGTATTTATTATAATCTGTTGTAAGCTACTCTGAGGATCATTCAGTCAAAAGGGTGGAGGAGATACAGAATCTTCTGAATTAGTAAAATAAATAAAAAAATCTGAACATATGGAAAGCTTAGTGACCACTGCTGTATGAGAAGAGATAAGGCCCCAAGAGCTAGAAGAATCCAGTGTTTTAATGTGAGGAAAGGCTTCAGCACCATCATCGTTATCTTTATGGTAGTGATGTTTGTTTTTTAAAGGAGGTGGGTGTGGGTGCAGAGCAAAATCAATCCCTACTCCGAAAGCAAGGGAAATAATTGGAAAGTAAGTTGCATTTGTGTATTGTAGGAGCTGATTCTGAGTCTCCAACAGGTTCAGGCCATAGGAACATTGCTAAATATAGCAACCACTTTACTGAATGATGAGCCAACAGTTTTGCAAGATAATAGAAATACAGCTAGCTTCCTTTTTGCCATCCAAAATTCTTGCCTGTGATGCACAAAATGTATCTCATTCATTATCTTGTCTCCCAGAGCCCTTGGCTCAGCCTGCTTGTTCTACTTGCTACAGTTACAAGAACTAAGTAAATTTAAATCCCAGGGATCATGTACTGTACATACATGGTGAAAAGAGCACATCGTTGTCCTTTTGGGGTGTGGGGGAGGGTTGTGATGGTGGTGAAAGCTGGGCTTCCTCCAAAGGACACTTCTACATATCTTGCTACAATTAGACTATTTGGAGCCAAGCAATGTGGAGCCTTAACTAATTTCAGAATTCACTTCTGCTAAATTATTTACGACGCTTTCCATGCAGGCTCTGGCTTTTTAAAAAAGCCACACACACGCCTAATGCTCTATGTTAGGTTCCATGTGAAAATAAAGGACTAAGTCTGCATCCAGTGTCCAACTAGTACAGTAGTTTAAAACACAGTAACTGATGCTTAAGCCAAGCATTTGATATATTCAAAGAGACCAGAATGGAATTTCTGCCATGTACAGAGCTACTAAATCATGTTCATTAATGATGAGAATGCTCAATGTTTTCACATAAGCAGCTGAAACAACATTAGAAACATTTAATAAAAATACAGCCAGCCACTCCTATCAAAGACTCAGACACCTCAAGTATAAAACAATGAAGATTTTAGAAACAGAGAAAGTCCCTCTGTTTTGCAACTGCAGAGTCAGCATTATACATCTATTGAAACTGTTTGCTGGGGAAATCTTCAGCCTGAACTTTGTAAAAGTGAAAATACAGAAAGGTAAAATAGATGGATTGATAGTTTTTTTGTTTTTGAAAAAGTACAGTGGACCAATGCATCTCAGACTTTTAAAAGTGGGGCCAACCTGTAAACTTATTCAGTCCTTTTTGGGCCAATTTTAATCTAACACTCTGCACATTGCTCGCTTAAAATGCAGCTAAGTTCTTCTTTGTCTCAGTTTGGATCAAAGCTGGTTTGGGGAGAACACTGTTAAATAAGAAATCACAGAATAGATACAGGATAGATATGGATTGTGGTTAATGCCATGCAAAACCAGCTGTGGGGAGCACGCTGTATGCAGACTAAATGGGAGTGTGTACACAGCCTGACACCTCCTTTCAAGCCATACCTCTCTCTATAACAGGAAGCACAAGAATATCACACCTGTAGTTAGCTATGAATCTTTTGTTTTTCTGTGTAAATATAGATATAGGCAACATGTATTTGAGTTGAATTAAAGCATAATTAGGGAGGGAGGGAGGGAGACTTTAAGTCATCACACTAACACATCACACTGACAAGAATGGTGTGCTGTGAGCCTTGTGAAAGTCCCTCAAAATGTGTGTGTGTGTTGTGCAACCCACCCAGAAACACATTGTTACCCACGGTTTGAGAAGCTCTGCAGTAGGCAAAGCAAAGTAAAGAGCAAAACACGCAGGTTTTTGGAAATTAGAGAACAAATAACTTCACTGATCAGTGGGTTGCCAAAATCAACAGCCACAGAAACAGGGAATATAGCGGGAGACTTGTCACTGAATTCTATCCAAACCAAGAAAGGGAATTTTGTAGGCTCTTGTTTGGGTACTACATTTAAAAAATAATAATAGTTCAAGGATTGGGGGAGTTTTAATAAGGGTCGATCTAGACATGATGTGTGAGATCCATGCATCAAGAATCTCCCACATTTAAAAAGCTAAAAGGAGCCAGAAAGGAAAACCATGGTGCCAAGGGAGGAGTTTTCAGAGGTTTTAGCACAATCCTATGCATATTTGTCTGCTGGGGCTTATACAGGTTATGTAGAATTATAGGCCAAAATCATTGACCACCTGAAAGATATAGGTACCATTATGATTTCCCTGGTTAAACAAACAGCTGATTTGGGAGAGGGCAATTTATATTGGGAAAACAGTGCAGCCCCAAACTGACCCTTACCCCCATACACACCTACATACCAGTGGCTGCTTTTAACTTTTAAAAACAATAATAAGATCCTGATCTCAGATGCCCCATAGCTCACCTCGTTGCTTCCAGAACTTCACTATTTTTGCATGAGATTCAGTCACATCCTGGCAAATTCAGGCTACAGACTTAAAGTTGAATTGGAGCTCTTGCAAAGCAAACCTATTTCCCCCAAAGATCAGACTTATTGCAATGAGGAAAGTGACCAGAAAATGCACTGGATAGTGTGGGATAGCACTTGCTTTGATGCAATGTGGTCCTTTTTGTTAAAGGGTTCGGCTGGAAGCAACCTAAGAAATGGGGTCCACACATCACTATGTTGCTGCTGAATTTTGCTTGAGGAAAAAGGTCCAAGAAACCTAGACAGAATAAGAACCTCTCAGGCTAGTAGCCAGAGGGGGGATATGCATATCTTTATTCACATATTAGCTGCTTCTCCTATAAAAAACTGATGTAAAATGAAAGCTATTCACACACATTATATGCACATATAAAATTGTGTGCAATTTTTTATATTTGAGTCCTATATGCTTCATGTTTTATTTTAAAATGTGATCTTTTTAATATGGGCCTTGTGATTTATCGCACTTTTCCAAGCAAGCATAAGCAATTACGGTACTATTTTAAAAAATCCTGCAGGAATGGTAACACAACTCTCCTGTTCATTATCTACAAATCCCATTAAAAAGTACTCCAAACAAGCCTAAGGAGACTCACAAATCATGAAGGGTTGCCATGGGGAGGATAAGAATCTCTTCTTCTCCTTACATAGCATAGTCATGAGAAGAGATAAAAGTTCAAATGGCAACTCAAATGAGTTTGTCTTGATGTTAGGAAGAAACTTTTTACTATATAAGTAATGCTGAACATTGAAACAGGTTGCCTAAAAATGCAGCGGCTTCTACAAAACTGGAGGCATCCAGAATAGTTTAAACTATGTATTACACTGAATGCATATCTGAATCTAATGTTGCAGGTTTTAAAAACTGCAGTAGCATCAGCTGGGGTGGGTTGATAATTAATAGTATCAGAGTAGGTGTGGAAAGGGAAAAGTCCTCCCTGTCCTCTACTGCAGTCCTGAGGAAAACATCTCTTCTGAAGCTAGTATTGTTTTGAAGGGAAATTCCCTCATTGGTGTCAGCCTTTCTCAACCTTGGCTCCCCAGATGTTTTTGGCCTACAACTCCCATCATCCCTGACCACTGGTCCTGTGAGCTAGGGATCATGGGAGTTGTAGGCCAAAAACATCTGAGGACCCAAGGTAGATATACAATAAATACAAATACTTTATAATGTCTCTTTTAATTTGATCCACATTTTTATGGCACCACTTTTCATAGGAGAGATGTGTGTTTATATTTTGTTGTATGTACAGATTGCTTTCTCTTTTTGTTCCTCTTTGCATTGTAACCAGAGAATAAACACTGCAAATTACATTAAAAGAAGACCCATAGCAGCTAAAATCATAAGGAAAAATACTGTAGTCAATATCAGGAAAAAAAATTCCGTATAACAATTTAGTTAAAAAGTGATTAAAAAATAACTAAGCAGTGTTATTATCTTACATTAATATAAGCAATTCATACACTACAATGCAGCCAAGCAAACACAAGATGCAGACAGAAGACAAACCTTTCCACAGCCAATCTTTTTATCTAAGTTAAAAACCTCCCTTATTTGATAATAGTGCAACCAATCTCTGACTTTGGTTTTTAATTTGTCAAAATTCTGCAATTTTAATTTATCTCCAACTTGTTCTAAAATTTCACAATATTTTGGCCAGTTTGTCTCCATATTAGTTTTTTTCAATGCCTTTGCCTCCATTGGTGATAGCCACCTTGGTGTTTTACTTTCCAACAAGTCCTTATATCTCACCCAAACATTAAACAATGCTTTCCTGACAATATGGTTCTTAAAGGCCTTATGCGCTTTAACTTTATCATACCATAAATATGCATGCCATAAATTTAAAAAGTGAATTAGAAAGCAATTGCTCAGAAACATAAAGTCTTGCAAAATGTTATAGAATGTTTCCAATCTGCAGACCTGGCATTTAATGATCTGTTTGTATAATCCCTTTATGCCATAAAGCAACAGAACCCTCCATAATTCTAATAGCTTGTCAATTACCTGTTTTTTAAAAAATGCAGTGGGTGGGAGAATAATCTAGAAACTTGAATCAATGGTGCTTCCACAGTGGTTGAATGGAGCTATAAATCATACAAAAATTAAGCAACAGTTTCTAGGATAATACTCCAAATTTATCTTGCATTTATTTCCATGATTGTAACAGGATTTCCCATGTCAATAATATCTCATCTTGGTAAGAAACAGCAGCTCATTTTGATTGCCTCTGCTTTCATATCCAAGATGTGGATGCAAACTGAGCTTGATGTTGTTCAATAGCATTATGGGAGACATAATTTATGGCATTATAATTGAATCATAGAGCTGTAGAGTTGGAAAGGGCGGCAAGGGTCATTTAGTGCAACCCCCTACAATGCAGGAATCTTTTGCCCAACATGGGGCTTGAACACATGACCCTGAGATTAAAAGTCTCATGCTCTACTGCTGGGGTCAGCAAACTTTTTCCACAGTGGGCCGGTCCACTGTCCCTCAGACCTATCTCTATCTATCTATCTATCTATCTATCTATCTATCTATGACGAATTCCTATGCACACTGCTGGGGGGGCATGTAGTCCTTCCCACCCACCCCCACCCCCAGTCGCCTTCTTGGTTTGCCTCCTGCCTCATTCGCTGAAAGGCTGGTGGTGCGAAACGGGCTTCCTCCCTGCCTAGAGAAAGAAGGCGCTGCGCTTACCTTCCCAGGGGCTGCCACCACCACCACAGCTGCTGCGGTGATGATGCAGGTAATTGTGAAGCAGGTAAGCAGAGCAAGCTCGTCCGCTCCACTCTCTAGCCCACAGGAGCACCAGGGTGGCAGCGGCGGGAGGAAGAGCAGCGGTGGCTCTGTCAATCAAATGCTGCTGAGGTAAACCAGGCACGGCATTTGATTGGCAGAGATGTCCCCGTGCTGCGCTGAGGTAAACCAGGCGTGGCATTTGATTGGCAGAGCCGCCACCACTCGGCCTCTTCCTCCCGTCGCCATCACCGGGAGTCTTGGCTTTGCGGTGGGTTCTGGTTTCGCGGCGCAGAGGTGCGAGGTGGGCCTGATCTGGCCCAGGGGCCTTAGTTTGCCTACCCCTGCTCTACCGACTGAGCTATCCCAGGAAACGCTGGCATTGGGTATACAGTATATTGCTAATCAACCAACAACCTATGTCCATTAACTGCTTTGAAGAATTTAGCAGAAAACCTAAATCTTTCACCCACCACATGTTATTCTTCCATTCAACTTGCAGCTTTATGTACAACATTAGCTTCTTCTCCTTCACAAGTATGGCATTATCTTGTCCAGTAGTGGATTTATAAGTATGTATGTATAGTATACTGTTGAGGAGGCCCCAGGTTATTAGTATATGCTGTTAACTGAGAGCATACCTCTGAAACTTGACTACAGAAAATGAACTGCCATTGTTGAATTCCAGCATTTTAGTTTGTTTCCACTCTTCATTTCTTCTGCTCCTTGTTTCAAGTCAGTGGATGGAGCTCCATAAAAGTGGGGGTCACCAAACCAGTGTCCGTGAAGGCCTTCACTGGTACTCTCAAACAGACATTTTATGTAACATAAGTTATTGAGTATTATTTTTAGCACAAAAGGGGAAAAAATATTTGCGCCATCTCAGACTGTCAGTGTTTTCCGTTTTAGTCTGAAGGGATGAGTATGGAAGTACATAGGTAGGACTCCCTCCGTACGATGGTTCAATGTGTTTTTTAAAAATGCATTTTCAGTCATAGCTAGCTAGCTTGCTGGGTCTTTCATCTAGATACCCCAAGCTATTTAAGTAACAGTTTTTGCTTTCCACATAGTATAGAAAAATGTGTAACACAATAGCAGAACCCAAAATATCACAAATTATTTTTGCTGTTGAAATCTGTTAATTGTAATGTTGAAAATCTTCAGGTAATAAAATGCACATGTACGCTTTAGAGGAAATCCAAAATAATCTGTGTCACATTAGAATTATCTCACTGATAAGATCACCTTTTCAAACCTTAACTCACACAGCATGCAATGTCTGGATTTAACCACACAGTGTTATGCAGGTCACTCATAAACATTTCACTAGAGGGTCCATTTGTACAGGGACCTCCCTGTTCTGTACTCAGCTGTGCTATCGGTACTGAAATGTCAACAGGCCAAACTAGGTCTTTTGAAATTCTGCAAAGCTTCTTGGCCACATATATCTTAACTACAAATCATTACATGTAAAAGTGTAAGTTTTTCTCTTGATATTATTAAAATGCTAATAATGTTGGCCTTGCGGGCAGACAATATACCGTATTTTTCCGTGTATAAGACTAGGGTTTTTTTAACCAAAAAATTAGGTTTAAAACTGGGGCTTGTCTTATACAAGGGTAGTGCTGAGGGATGTTTTCTTAATTTGGAGTCCCCAAAAATAGGAGGCGTCTTATACAAAGGGGGGGGGCTTATAAACAGAAAAATATGGTATTTTGCATTAATTACTCTCTCACTTAGCTCTACTTGGCATATGTTATCAAGGTTGCTTTGTGCACAGGGTGAGTTTGTTCACATTTTAACATGTTTTATTCTTATTCTTTTTACTCCACTGCAGCCAAAAAGGCTCCCAGAGCAGGTTACATAAGATCTTTTTAAAAGCAAGACAGTCCCTGCCTGGAGGCTGCTTTCTAAAAGTCGCAACACAAAAGGGATTGAGGGGAGGGGGAAGGGGAGGGAAACAAGCAGATTCTCATAGTAACCAGCTGTAGTTTACCCCTCACAGAACTATAGTTCCCAGAACACTTACCATATTACAGTACAGTGTCCAGTGTCTTTGGGGCATGGTAGCGGGGATGTGCTTTAAATGCATGGTGTGTATGCACCTTAGGCAGACAGAGACAGCAGCTTCAGGTAGCAAATGCTAAAGGGGGACAATGGGGAAGTGTTGGATGGTGGAGCTGTGAGTGCCATCATATGGTGTACTCTCTGCCTCCTAAAGTTGTCTGTTCCCCATTATGTGGTGGATACTGTATTGTCACCAGTACTGAAGTTACACTTTCAGTCCAGTTGTCTTCTGTACGTGGAATGGGGTTGGGCATCCTGTCACCTCTTGCTTCAGGCAGCAAAATGTCTTAGGCCAGCAAAATGTCTGATTGGCAGTGGATCTCTGAGTGTCAGGCAAAAGACTCAGCACTTAATAACTGATCCTTCTCACTTTCTAGCAACTCTTCTGCCAACTGCCTCTGGGAGAATGACTCAGACAAAAGTACTTGGAAGGATGGACGAGGTAAAACCTTTTTAATTGGAGATGCTGGAAACTAAATCTGGTCATTCAGAAATGTAACTATGATATTTAGAGGCAAAGTTGCTTACAGAGAATTAAGAAGTTGGCAAAAATAATAAGCATTATTGAATGGGCAGGATAATGCCTGAAGAGTAAAGCATCAACAATAAAATGTAGATGCACTGCCAAATTACAAAAGAGGGTTAGTAAATCTAGGTCTTTATGCTACTCTGAGGCAGCCCAGATTTATTGGGTAGGCGATGGATGTTCCATGATAAGTCAAACATTTGGTACAAACTGAAACAAGAGCTAATGGAATTTCCCAAGGATATCTTCCATTGGGGAGGTGAAAACCAAAACCAAAGCTTTTAGACAGAGGGTAATTCCATGGCAGTCACAGAAATCACGAGAAAATACAGAAATAGATTGAGTCTGGGAATTTCAGAATTAGATTCAGTCAGGAGAGATTAAAAAAAAAAAGCCTGGAAGGTAAGTTAGATATGATATCACAGACACACACACAGAAATGTTCGTGTTTTAAACCATAAGATTATTTAGGCTTGTGGAAAGATTGACCAACACATGGAGAAAAGCAGGAGAAAATATGCCTTAAAGACTTTTGCGAGGGATCACTATACAGATGCTGAATAATTAACTTGTTCTCAGGCTCCTACACATGCCATAAGGTACGCTGGGGCCATGGAATTGCTTACCAAGTCCTTAAGGCAATCACACTTCATGACACTCCCAAGGAAGATGCCAGATGCTGACGGAATGTTCTGAAGTTCCTATTTCAGCCTATACAAATTTTTCAAATAGTTCTAACTACAGTTTTAGGCTGCCAATGTTCATTTATGTACACCATGCAATATAAGCCATGAGCCGAATTAGAAATTTCAGATCTTTCTGCTCTTGGAAGTAAAATATAGAATAAAATGTAACACCCCCCCAAAAAAAGAAATCCTCTGCTGATTCTTAAATGAAACCACAAGTGTCGCAAATGCAAAACAATCCTTCAATTATTATAGAGCATCAGCAAGTGTTGATGAGTGGTTTAGAGGGATTTTGATGTTCAGTAAGGTATTTGAGCTTAGCAAAGAAAATAAACAGAACTTCTATTAACTGCCTTGTGAGTGGGCTAGAAGCACACATTCAATTTGTAGGCAAGGTTAATTATCTCCCTCCATAGCAAGTGATTAGTGCCTGCTGTGTCATTTAAAAAAAAGCCCAGCTGATGCTCCTTGGGTATTATATCCCAAATGTCTGAGACATATTTGGGTACTTAGGGTGAGCGGTCATAAGGTAAGCCTACACAAAGTCCATTATACAACTTATAGAGCCAGAAAAGGACTTTGTTCCAGTATCTGACATTTGGTTTAATGAGAGTTACTCTCAACTAATTGTGTATAAGATTGTACTTTGTAGTTGAATTGGCCAACTGTTCCCTCTCTTGGCTATAATATTTTGATGGTTACCACTTTCTGTCAAGCAGAATGATGTTCAGAATCCCACAAAGCCTTTCTATACGCACTTGTGACTGAGAGCAAGTGAAAAGGTCTGCTAGTGTAAGAAGAAAGGTGTGTTTGATCAAGAGGCAGATACAGAAGGGGTTTTTATATTGGGTATATTTTCTTTCATTTTTCTGAGAGAGGCAAATGGACCTTAGTGCCAGCATGATCTATGTATAAAAGGAACTAAAAATAAATACTATTGGGAACAGTCTGTGTTAGAAAAAGAACCTTGATATACATTCAGATGCAAAGCCTAAGATGTGAAAACTTAAATGTCATCATTCAGATTCGATCTGTGTTCTAGTTTACATCTGTTGTATTTATAGGAAATCATCGGAAATTCAAAATATTTGTTTGCTTATATATGCAAACCAAAAAAAAGAATAAAATGAAAATACATCCTCAGCTGTGACGTAATCAAAATGACCAACCCTTCTTAGCTAGGTTCTCTTATAGCACATAAATAAGGAACCGACTGTATAGCAACATACACAAATGGAAAAAACGGGTTCAGGCCAGCCTACAAAGATACAAAATATGGCAAGCAAAATACAACGAATGTATTTGTCACAATGTACCCGCTATTACAAGGCATACAGTACATGCAAGCAGTACTCCAGAACCATCAAAATGAGTACAGTATTAGAATTTATGATATATTTTCATTATCTTTGATGCAAGGGAGATGGCAGAGCAGCTGTAGCAA